CTGCACGAGAAGACGATACAGGTACCTCCTATATCGTATGCGGTATCCGATAAAACCATAACGTGTAGTTTTTTTTCTTCTTCTTTTTTTCCACGGTGTCTTGGATAATAATATCATACACGTGTGTGTGGTGTATGTGCGGTGTTTCCGGGGCTGCCGAGCAGCTGAAAAGCCATGGGAAAAAAAATACTGTTGAACCTTAGCCGTCGCCGCCGCCGCCGCGGCCTGCGGAGAAGAGCATTCTTCGTGGCCACGAAGACGAGACCGCTTACACGGGGCGTTGACAAACGGCGTCACACACCGTTTCGCGTCGGTTCAATAAACCGCAAACGGTCGTCGCTTGTTATCGCACGAGGGGAAGGGAAACAGAGGAGGGGGGGGGGACCCCCGCCAGTATGGATAAAACTCGGCAATTAAAAACTATTCCGCGTTTACCGTAAAATATTACTATTTACTAAGGTACAACTGGATTAGAAGGAGTAATCAAATAATAATTGTAAACGAATCGAGGTCAAATATATTATGATTGATTCGTAAAGTAGGTATACTAAAAAAAAATTAACTTTTTCTCTTATCTCTTATCCCTTATCTCTCTTATCTTATCAGATAAATCAGCTGTTATGATAACAAAACTCGATTTTCCCGGGCGCGTGCCAAAGCAAAGACACGAAAATGTCAAAACCTAGAATGTATGAACTCAACATGAGACTGATTCAATTATTCGATTAATGTTATATTTTGCATCTTTTAGACCAAAAACTATTATTGGTAAAATTTTCGCGTTGCTAAAGAACAAAAACAATTAATATTAATAACGGTTAACCGATTAACCTATATAATTATTATATACATTTTATTATATTGACGGATACCATTTTTTTTGTGTATACCAACATTATGACTTTCTCCGAGAAATTAAAAAAAGTTATTGTTTTTTCGTTCCAAACGAACACACAAACTCCGGATGCTCTAAATTTCACAAGCATATTGGACGTCCCATTTGAAAAAACTCTTATGAATAATAATTTTTAAAGACATAAATAATAAAATAAAAAAAGAAAATGTGTGAATTGTTTTATTAACAGACTTACTGTTGAGTTAGTACAACTGCGTCATTAAAAATATAAGGTTAAGTATATTACGGTTTACAGATATATAATTAGAACGACAATTTTAAATAAAATCAACTATAGTTTAAATGAGGTAAATTTGAATGCGTTTTTAAACAAAACAATAATAATTGAAGTTCAGGTTGGTTAATTGTTCGTTTTATTTTTTCTAAAAAACACTTACACAACATGCCTAGATTGTTTACAGTTATTATCTTACCTGACCCTAGCCCATACAAATGCTCACGTTCTTTGACAAGTAGGTTACTTGTTTATTTTTAACCTAACACTATCTTATCGAAACGGAAACCGTATTTAGCCGGAAAGACAAAAGTAATACGACGTTTTATTAACTCGCAGTTAATTTATGTAAATAGCTATAAAAGCTGATCTTCAAGTTTGAACTTCGACCCAGTATTTCAATCTAATTAAATTATCGAACATATTATATAATTATGTAACAAAAGTGAAATAATAAAGAGAGTGAAAATAACTAAATTGAGTTTGTGAAAATGTAAAATTTCACCCCTATAACAAAGTACACATAAATCGACCGGGGCAATGATTCAGGTGTTAAAGGTATCATATCACATGTCTCTGAATTGGCCCTACATACATTTTACCGCCATATAGTTAGAGGGAATAATAATTGGGTATAGTATACCTACGTGGAAGTGCTGTACGATGCTAATTTGAATATGCGTTTATAAATGGCCATTATCGTTGTTTTTACAAGGAAAACATCACACCCTTCGCTGCACGTCTACCTAACCTAACCTACGCTGTGACCCCCGTAGAACATTATGGGAAGAAAATGGATTAATACCTGGTTTTTAAGTTTTATCACGAACTAAAGAAAATTAACACGAAGAATAACGCATAATTTCGTAGCTACCAATTATTTTTTAACACACACACACACACACCTATCTATATAGTATACGCAGTACTATTTGTATTATTCGTAACAGTGTTGTTGGTTGATTTAAAAAAGGAAGTACCTACCTCTCCTGGAAATAGTAGGTATAATTCTTAGAACTGAAATAATCGTGAAAACTGGAATCGTAATCCTTAATATATACAATTACTGTAATTTAACGAATAGAAAAATAAAAATAGAGAGACTATACTCTGAGATGATATTTTAGACATGATCAAAGAAGGCAGGGACGTCTAAAACGAGCAAGACTTAAAAAAGATTAGCAAACAAAAGTTTTACTACTACTTGTCTGATACTAGTCACTTGTGTAGTATTACCCAGAAATTAGGTTTGAAGACTCACACAAACAAAATGGTATATGGTCTTAAACACACGCTATGAACGCGTTACCTACCCCAGCAGTTCCTCTGAAAAATAATACAGTTTTTACATTATCTTGATAGGGTGGGGAATAATAAATGATTTGGTCACCATCGATCAGTTTTAACATTAAATAATTATTATACTATCCTAGCACGGGCCACAAGAAAAGTATTACCCAAATCTCACATTCGTAATATTTTACAAGAGGTGCTTGAGTATACAACCTAACGGCCAACCTGTCTTAATACTTATACGGTATACCTGTTAAAAGAAAGTAAATAGAGGATATTGTGGCCACAATAGGTAATATTCCAAACAAGGTGTGTGTCCCCTTAGGCCCAGATTTTATTAAGTAGTTGTGTAGGTATGTTTTTTGGATTTTGTTGTTTTTGGTGCTTTTTTTTAATGTTTTCTTTTTTTTAGTGTGGGCGTGTCCCTAAAATAGAAATGTTTCAGAGCACTAAAGTGCCCCTTGGCTAAATGCGCGTACACGCATACAAACAATTAATATTCAAAATAATATAATAATATGCATTATTATCGCCCCGTCGCGTCGTACGGATAATAAATAAACAAACCATATTTTCTAATATGATTTATTATATCGGTTGTTTAGTTGGTTTCGAATCTTACCACCACCGGGCGAATACAAATCAAGCATCTATACGTTTTTCAAATAGAGACTCGTTTAAGACAACGCGAAAGACGCAAATGTCTGAAACAGTAAAACATCTGCGGTGGTAATTTCATAGAGGCAGCATTTAGTACTTTTTATGAACCTAACTTTTCCCTGCTCCAACAACACAGAAGCTGTGAATATTTATAAGTTGTTTTATCGATTAGTCTAAAAAAAAAAACCCCGTAACTATTTCACATTAAATGCCAGCACACAACGTGCACGCCAATGTCTCTTTTTAAACATGTAATAGACGTTTAACCGGCTACTTGTGTTTATAATATTGCTATAGCATTCGTATTAACCGGCTGTCAAGTTAATTATATATATTTTTTTATTTTTGTCAACCTGTCAGTGTCGTTTTTATTATGTACAACGTCCTCTGTAAAACGATCGGGTCCGCCGTCGGAGTGTATAGAAAATATCCGTGCAACAGCTTCCTCTTTTGTGTACGCGCGTGTACGTGATGTGTTTTTGACGGTTATAAATAATAGTATTGCATCAACCTATTAATAAGGCGCACGTTACATACTGTTTATTATGTAGAAACTATAATATATACGCGATAAACTATACTCAATAACAATACACTACTACCTCGTACCTATCTATATACTACCTTCACTGTCATAACAGAACGAAGGGTGTACACTGTAACGCGGTCCTCCGACACGAATCCTTTGAAAATATAAGTTTGTGTTACATCATTAAAAGGTTTTTTTTTTTTTTTTAAATAATTTTATTTTAAACTGACGTCAAGATGAACTCTGTCATATTGTTGCCTATACCCACCGTCGCGCAAATGCCATTACATACACCAGCTACAGTTTAAATCCTAAAAGTTTTATATTTAAATTTGCATTTTATTCTCCTATTATATTATGTAAAGTCGCTTAGGCCCTACCGTTCGGGTCTATTTTTATTTTATTTTTTTCCAGTCAGTCTTTCAATATAATGGAAAATAAAAAAACGCTCTGTAATGATGTAATGATACGACAAAACAACCGAGGATTGCAAAGTCCGTGTTTCGAATTGTCACAAAAAAAAAAAACTATATGTACCGTTACTTCGAACCAGCTATGAAGTATATTATGTATGCTCTGGTTCTGTCTAATAACTCCCTTCCTCTCTCCTCCCCCCTATAAGACCAGTATGTTCTGTATTGGTATACCTACAGCAGTAACTGCACGTGGATACACTGCGGTATACAAATACATATAATATAAAATTTAATTCGAAAATGTTGCGAGTACACTGTTGGCCGAAATGTGTTTATTGTTTTTTTTTGGCAAAAAAACCTCTATACTGTGTTAAAATGGATACGCTTACAAATCTTAGCTTAACGGTAATTTTTAGTGAAAAATTGCCTATGCAATACGCCTTGGTAAATGCGCCAAGTATAAAGGCCTCTTAAAATTTGTTCCAATCATTTTCAAACGTATCGGGGTAAATACTAATGATTTATTATCTGCGAGGGAAAAAATATTTGAAATAAATATATTTTTTACTATTTGCGAATGAGAATACTGCCTCAAGATAAGTAGAGGGGGGGGGGGGTGGGGTGCATGGACGAAGCTTCTCGCTGCTTAGTTTTACTAAAATGTTTAGCCCCCTGAAATAATGACTCGGTTCGCCGTCAATGAACGTTTGACTAAATGACTATAATATGGTAAAAAAAATAACGTTTTAACAAATTGCACACGTCTTGTACGCTGTGTACACAATGGGGTAGATAACGACGACGAGCACGTCCGGCATGGGGGGCTAAAGCGAATACAATTGTATCTAATCTCAGGGCACCTGTAAGCAGCAACACAAGACGTGTGTAATAACCCCGGCGCTTCCGTTACCCATCAAAATAGCCGTCAAATTTCTTACCTTCCACCGTTTGCTGTGTGTGTTTTTATTTTTTACCTAATGCTCTCACTCGGTCGGCTTCCTCGGTATCCGCCAACAACAAACGCGCCAGTATACAATATTATATTCGCCATGGCAGACCACTACTACAACATCAGCAGCTACTACCTGCGTGCATTTCTTGCAATCGCTCCGTTACTGCTCCTGTTGCTACCGCTGCAGGTAAGAATATATGGGATGGGTATACGATTTATCGACCTTTCTTGTATTATTGTGTACACTCATTCAAGAGACGTACACTCGGCCGCCGTTGGAAATAATACAATACCCGGCAATAATATTACGGGCACATTGCGCGGCGTTCGAATAAAATACCGAGAAATGTACCTGCCTTGCTATTCCAATTTGGGGTCTACATCAGCTACAGGTGTGTGTTTATCGGTTATGCCCCCGCGTATTGTTATACTCCTGTAATATGGTTATTTAGGGCAGTCACCCTCGGCCGCTTCATTGTAATAACGATTCACCCTTACCCGATTGTGTACACCGGATTCGCGCGCCATTAGTCATTATTATTTACCCCGAAATATATTTTTTTGGTTCAATCATTTTTTTTTATTCTACCATAAAAAAGACACGTAAATATTAGAAATTGTAAACCTAAAATTTGAAATTTTTTGAACCGCCAGTTTTCCACGTCAATAGGAGTTATTCATACACTTACCGAGGACCTACCTACCACAAAGGACATTCGTCCATATTTACACATAGCAAACGGCACTGAGCAGCCCTATAGCCTTCCAGAGACGTTCAGCGTTTCGTAGTATTTCTTTAATAATACAATTAGAAGGGCATTAAACCTATGTTTAGCATAATAACTCGATTACGCAGAATGCGTTTTACTCGCTATAGGATGTGTTTAAAGCAAAAACACTCATCGTACAAATTATTGGAAGAGTTTGGTTTTGTAGGAAGTGTCTTACTAAAAAACAATTAACACCTGTGTAAAAAATGGCCGTTTTCAACAATAACGAATGTAAAGGAAATAGGAGTCTATTCAAAAAACCATCTGCATTTCTGCTATACCTATTTCGTTTTTTTATCTTGTTGTCTACAGCTCGAAATTCTTGATTCATATATAATATTGCATTATTGCGGCCCGCAAAACCATGATGGCATGATATAATATATCATTAAGTAAATAATTATACGAGTATATTAAGTTCCTATTATCCAATAATAAAGATTAACTGAAAATAAAAAATAAATATTTTTATACCATATGCAACAAAAAGGAAGGTAATGAAACATGGTTTTTCTTAAAATGAAATTTTTAGAAGAGGGGGGAGGGTATTTTCATAAATATCGAAACTGTGCTTAAAACAATTATTTATAACGTAAGAAAACAATTTATTAATTATTGTGTATTAGGTAACCGCTAACAATCTCGAAGATGCTCTTGTAGAAGCTAATTCTAAAGGATTTCCTGCCGATCTTTTATATAATGTAGCTAAATTACATGGACGATCACACAATGATAAAGTGCATTTGGCTGCAGCCTTGGAATCGCCAGACGTACAAGAAGCAGCACGTAAAGCAGCTATCGAATACGCAGTTAAAGACATATCGACCAGCCGAGAGGGTACAGAACAATACTGTCAGTATTCTTGGCTTAGATATTTGCCGTTCATGAACTGTGACCAACCGGCAGCACCGGAATCACGTAATACGCTACAAGTACTGAACATCAAAAGGAGCTGTTATAAAAAAAAATAATAATTTAACCTAGCCTACAATAATTAATCAACCCTCTCTATGTTGCTCTACAAAACCTTTCAAATAAAATACATGTTATATTTACAAACGGAAAGGTTTTTTTTTTGGTATTTTTAATTAAGAAATCACTGTTAATCTGAATAAAATATATACTGAACAATGTTTGAGCATAAATAATATGTACTAACTTATACACAAGTTAAACCAACGAGAAACCTCAAACAAATGGCAAGTATTTGCTTACACGGACGGCTTTAAATAAAATGTTAAAATAGAAAAAAAAAATTAATTCATAAAACATTCTAGTAGGTATACTATTAACAATTTGATTTTTTTTCTGTAAAAAAAAATAACAGAAACAATAAAAATAAAATAATTAATTCAATAACACAACGCCCATAAACTTGAGGAGTCCAGGGCAGTGGTGATGTGTAAAGGTACAAAACACACAGCACGTAGCACATCTTATTGCACTAGGCCAGCGTCCTTAGCCATCATATAGAAAATAGAAGATTTTTCTTTAAGTAAATTAGCGGGCGAGTCGAATTCAACCATCAGACCGTTATCCAAAACTATAACCCTGTAAAAAAAAAAAAAAATAATAATAATAAATAAAGGATTAAACCCATCGATGAAAGAGACAGTATATAAACAGCACGGATATTTACTTGTCTGAATCCATAATAGTGTTTAGACGGTGGGCAATTGTCAGTACTGTGCAGTCTTTAAATTCTGTTCGTATAGTCGTTTGTATCAAGTCGTCTGTTTCCAAATCAATTGCTGCAGTCGCTTCATCCAAAACTAATAGTTTGGTTTTTCTCAACAATGCTCTTGCCAAACACACGAGTTGTCTTTGGCCAACACTATAAAATACAAAATAAAAAAATAAAATATATATATAAATAAATGGTTTCCTAACGAGATTATCACAATTATTGCAATGCCTCTTTTGAAGACTTCACATTTAATTATTCCCGAGGAACACCATGATCTGATGATATAATAAAAAGTGTTAATTTCATATGAAAAGCAAATGTTTTAGTCTCTCATAAAAAAAAAAAAAATGCATAACGAGCAATTTTTTGTTAAAGACATCAATTTAATTTAGCCTTGACGAAAGTATTTACCTTAGATTATCTCCTCCTTCTGATATTTCGTGGTCCAAACCACCAGGCAAAGTTTTGATGTGTGCTTTCAAATGGGCCAATTCCAATGCAGACCACAGCTGTTCATCGGTGTTACTGTTTGTCGGGTCTAAGTTCATTCTTAAAGTCCCAGAAAATAACACTGGGTCCTATATAAGCATAAAGATACAATTTAAACATATATATAGTATAATAATTAAAATGTATTATTATTATTTACTTGTGGAATAATCGTAAGACGGCTACGCAATGCATGTAGCCCGATATTAGATATGTCAACACCGTCTACTATGATAGTCCCTTCGGCAGCTTCAACGATGCGGAATAAGCTCAATGTCAAGGACGATTTACCAGCACCAGTACGTCCAACGATGCCCACCTTGTTTTAAAATTTAAAATTGTTTTTAAACAATCAATTTATAACATAATGTATAAATATTTTATAACTACCTTTTCACCTCCTTCCACAAAGATATTTAAACCCTTCAGTGCCAAATCTAGTCCTTCACGATAACGTACTTTAAGATTTTCAAATTTAACTTCTCCGCGATCTGGCCAATTCTTAGGTACTCTATTCGATGGTATATCCCATGGAGCTTCCTATTAAATAATTAATTATTTATAAACATACAAAATATTTTGTTGAAATCTAAATTGTCTTTTATTACTTGAGGAGTCTCTCCATATTCTTTAATACGTTCAACAGCAACGATATTAGTTTCCACTTCAGAAGTCATACGAACAAGCCAATTGAGAGTTTGTGTAATCTAAACACCGTAAAATAATACTTGTAAAAAATAAAATGAAAACAAATTGAAATATTTCATACACACCTGGAGAGCATAACTGACAGACAATCCAACAATACCGGCACTTAGGGTATCTTTTCCCAAAACCGAGAATATTGATGCGAAGAAAATAATTAAATTACCAATAGTTTCTAACCTTACCGCTAACCACCTGAAAATACGACACATTAATGATTTACATCTACATCGCATTACAGTTAAATTCATTACCTATTAGCCACTGTACTGGGATAATAACAAGTTTGATTAAAATCTACTTTTTGTTCGGACTGGAGTATAAATTTACTTTCCATGCCATAGGCTCTAATCGACGGAGCTCCCGTAACCGTTTCACTAAAATGTGAATAAATTGGTGAACGAGACACAGATTCGAGTCGTTTAAGCTGACGCGACGTTGCTACATAAAATCTCTAAACAAACAACGTTAAATTTGTTTTATAAATAAAATGGAAAACCTTCATATTTTAAACAACTCACTTGAATAAAGTAGTAAACTATACCAATTGGAAAAATAACAGTAATAAATATTGGTGTACTGTAGCTTATAACTACTAAAGTACCGATAACCTATAAAAAAAATGTATATATTATTTTTATTACTAAAAATATTATTCTATAAATATCCATGCATAGTGTAAGATTATGTACTTTACACATCTATATATAAATATACTTAATATGTATATTTACATATCTATATATAAATATACATTATATTATATAGCAATGAGATGGATTAATAAGCAAAATAAGCAAAATCTTGCACTTTTTATGAAATATTAAAAATCATTATGTATTAAGTAAGAACTATAAAAGGTTTCATGCATACGTGCAATTTTAAAGATAGCAATGATTTTTTTTTTTTTTTTTTATAATATAATTGATGGGTTTGCCTAACGAATAATGTCAACTAATACTAATAATGAATAATTTATAATTTTGTTATAAGGAAATAGCCACAATGAATTTTCGATACTGACCTAAAACAAGTTTATACATTATAATTATGTAAAAAAAAAAATATATATATATATAATTATACATATTGCTATACTAAATTAACAAGCAAGGTTCCGGCTTAAGTTCCAGGCAAGGAATCATTTAAGACTAAAAAATAGGCTATAATCTGTACTTATATGTTAAGTCAAACTGGTGTGGAGCAGCCACAAAGAGTTAAAAACTACACTTTTATCTTAATACAATTAGGCCCCAATTTAGTCACGTTGACCCATTCTCATTGCTAACTCGGTTGTCTTTTACCATGACTTACTACTTACAACACAAGGTTAGGCTCGACAGGGTGTGTGAGTTTGTAACCCAATACACACAAATAGTCCACTGAAAACTGGCAGGCTAAAAAATAATTTATCTAATGTTACTAATTATGATTTCGATATTAACAAACTCATTCATGGGGTTTAGAAAGCCAATCTCACTTTCAGTATATGTTAGCAAATAGTTTTTAAGTTTGAATTATTTTCCTTAAGAATGTGTTAATTATACTTTACCAACCTCTACATAATTTTTAAAAAAAAATTTTTTCAAAATGTTTTCATTAACAAGTCCGAAAATCATTTTGGCCAAAAAGTACCGTTGTTCCTTATTGAACCAATATACAGAAATATAATATATATATCGTAATCTAAACCCCCACAATGATTTGCGTAACATTATAAGTTAATTTAAATATTTACTATTGTTTGACTAGCAAACCCATCAACTACTCAAGAATTTGTCTTTTTTACTCAAACAACGAAATGCATTACTCAAGGCTATAGATAAATCACATAAAGAGATTTAACAACAACTTAACCAGTCATTTTTTTTTTTGTGTTAGAAAAATGCATAGAATTAGGCACATTTTTATTTTGAAAGGCAATATTAAAAATTAATTGGAAGTTGAATAAAATGAAATTTGCAGACGTACATCAAACAAACAATATATTGTATCGGATATTTGTTGGTAAAGTTTGTCAACAACTTCTACATCACTTGAAAAACGAGCCAATATTCTACCAGTAGGAGTAGAGTCAAATAGGCTCATCGGATTTCTCAAAACATTGGTAGTCATGTAATTATGCAATGCGACAGCTGCTTTCCACGCGCCCAAACATAAACACAAATCAGCTGCTGCCTCGAATATCCCTGCAAATTCCGAGTAGAACCAAAAACGTTGGTAAATAGGTACATCACACGATCAATTAACATAGCATGATAAAAGGTTTTAGGTGAAAAAATTGATCCACGCGTATTCCTTGTATTTTATTGCTACATATTTTTTTATTGATTAAATATTAACGAATTTACGTATTTAGCCAGTTAATTATTTAAACAGTCATAGAAAATATTAACAAAAAAAAAAAAAGATAAACCCTTTCCTCAAGAAGGGATAGAAATTTTAACTTTTTTATGCAAAATTTTTAGGTTTTAAGTCTGAATATTCGACCGAAGATAGATCTAGAATGGAACTATAACATATTATACAATTTTCTCAAAAATCTGTAGTCATTTTTTTGTATTAAGAGAAAACCCCAAAAAGTGGGCATGACCTCCGCTGCACGGAAGTACATAGAAACATGGATGTCTTGATATACCCTGGTACTTTCTAATATCGAAAGTTTTATCTCTAATCTCGTATCTTCCCCTTCAACATGTAGCAGGACCATCTCTTTTTTCTAATATCTTATCTCTAATCTTACATATATACTCGGTAACGCTTAGCGTTTGCACGCACAGATTTACCAATTGACCCTCAGCCCAATAACATAAATCCATATTAAAATGGGGAAAATTAAACTTTGACACAATTCAATTCCCATATGTGAGTGAATATGTAATGCACATATTTCCATTATAGTGTTAATTAGGATATATAGGTAACTATAGCAGTACATTTTCATAAAAAGACGATCAACCCTAATCGTATCCACCCTAATACTAAAAATTCATTTTTAAGCACATAATTGTCATTAGGTATAATGTTTTTATCAATATTTATACATTTTATCTGTGACCACTAGACCTGCCTAACTATCTAACTTGACTTACGTACAATAATTTCTTTCCGTGCTGGTTTAGACTAATGGAAAGAAGTTTTATTAATTTAAATTAACATATAATTTCATGGTAAAAATAATATTTTTTTTTTTGGTGTGAGCAAAAATTGCTAATTTTTCAAACCCCTGTTAAGATTAACCCAAGAAAATATGTTCACATGACTATTAACTGGAATAAATGTTAAGTTGTAGAAACTATAATTAAAATTAAAAGTAAAAACAGGCCCATAAAAGGAATGGCTAATTTTAATTTTTTTTAATTTTTTTTTTTATTAATGGTAAAGGCTTCAATTACAGGATTATTAGCCTAGAAGTTAATGTACAATAAATTTAGGAATTAGAATAACATGATATTTATAGTTTATGGAATTTTAATTTTATTATGTACATAATTCATGAATATTCACAATATTTACAAATAGATAATACACAGTTAAAGAACTTAAGAGACATGCTAAAAAAATTAAAAAATTGATTATTAAGACACTAATATTTATTTTCTGAACTTTTATTGTTAATACCGTTTCCCATACCGAGAATAATGCATTTCGATTGTTCTACTCAAGTCATATAAAATTTCTCATTTACTATCAACAACATTTTAACAGATGATAACTGTTTTACTAACTTACCATGATCAAACATCTATTCCAAGACAGCAGTATTGGAGGTAATGTTATATCAATTACATCAACATCTTTAGCGACTCTATTTAATATACGCCCTATGGGCGTTACGTTAAAGAAGCTCGTCTTTGCGTGCATTATAGTTTTAAGCATGCTATCATGCAAGCACTTAGAAGCTAATAGACAACCGACATATAATGTGGTTGTGCCAAACACTACTGTTAACACTGTAAAAGTATTCATAAAATAAATTAATATAAACAAATAAATATTAATTGTGTAAAAGCCGGTGAAAAAAAATTGCAAAAGTAGCAAAAGCGTAGAACTTTTTAATTTTGATCACTTAGTAATAATTAATGTGCAAAAATGTATATACTGAAAACAAAGCAAATAGAATGCAAGTGTGTGTTTGGCATTTTAGCAAGAGGAATATTATTTTAATTTTAATAGATGTTAATAATTCATTTTTTTTTACATATCATGTACATATATATATATTCCAGAGAGGATCTAACATTGGTTTGGTAACGGTGGAAGTTGTGTTCATTTACTAGAGGTAACTATTGCACGTTTATTAAAATTAACTCAAATTTAAATTACATGTTTTTTTTATAATACCAGGGTAATAAAACCGAGTACTTGTGTAATTTTTATTACCCGTTTAAATCCTTAGTATTTACCAATTAGCAATGACAAATATAATAATACTCACGAACAACCTTACTTATTTAGTTATTATTAAACAAACCTGACTATTCACAAGTTTGAAAAATAAAACTAAATAACATTTTTAAAAATTAAGAATGTTTCACTAATTTTTTTTCAAATTTAAGACCTAGCTTAAACATGCATACAATATATTTAATTTATTCTATGTAAAGTGGAATACCAGTAGGTCATACTTTTCTTCGTGCACTAACAAAACAAAAAGTGCAGGATAATAAATAATTTTTAGCCGATAACTATAAAATTCTACTTAGAGATTAAGAGTTACACCTATGATTAAACATTTTAAATTCACTAATCACCACCAGACACAACTTAATTCTATGATTTGATTTGTTAATGCGGCAAACAAATGTGTTTTAAATAATGTGAAGTTTACAAAACGTGTTTCACAAAACACGAGCTAGTAAAAAAATGTTATTTAAGCTATTAAACTTTTTAACAACAGCCTATAACTTTTAAATTAAAAATACGCATGACAATATAAATGAAAAATGATTAAATGATTTGTAGCGATGATTACCAATTTTGAAAATTATATTTAAAAATAAAAATTTCAACATTTTTTGCTGAAAATCACTTTACCAAGCGTAAATGATAAATTGTATAATTTCGGAATTTACCGATAAAGTGGTTGATGTCGCCGAGTTCAAAGTGAATGGTAATACATTATCGACAGTATCGATATCCTTAGATGTTCTATTTAGAATACGTCCGATTGGCGTCGTATCGAACAGACTAATGGGATTCTTGAAAATTCGATGATTTATCAGACGAAACATTTTATATGAAGCTTCGACTGTCCCCAAGTTAAGACATATGGCTGCCGCCATGGTTGCAATAGCTACCAAACACCATAACACAAATTGTTTTTTATTATTATTATTATTATTTTGGATCATTTACCAAAGGATCCAGTACATATCACTAATTTTGCATAATAATAGTAATAATAATAATAGATTATAAGTGGACGCTGCAGGTAAAGTGTGTTACGCATATAACACTCAAGAGATGGCGTTATTTACCGATGACAAAATAATAGTACTCACAAACAACCTTACTTATATGGTTATTGTTAAACAAACCTGACTAACCACATCACCAAAACCACCATATAATTTAGAATGTACACTGATAAGTCAATTTATACCTTAAGTCGGTTTCACACGACTCACACATATCTAACACGAAAAAAAATTAATTAAAAAAACCTAACATTTCTTAAAATGTTTTTTTTTTTTATTACTTACAATTTTCAGCAATTATGTTGTAAAAAAAAATATAAAAGTTTGAAGAATAAAATAAAATAACATTTTTAAAAATTAAGAATGTTAAAAACAATTTTTTTTTTAATTTAAGACCTGGCTTTAAACGTGCATACAATTTATTTAATGTAAAATGGAACACCAGTAGGTCATACTTCTTCTCATGCACTAACAAAACAAAATGTGCACAATAACAAATAATTTTAGTCGATAACTATAAATATTCTATTATAGAGATTAATTTATAATTTTAAAACACAAAACAAGGGCTAATAAAAAATTGTTATTTAAGCTGTAAAACTTAGTAACAACAACCTGTACTTTTAAATTAAATATACACATGACTGATGACAATATAAATGAAAAATTATAAAATGATTCGTAGCGATGATGCAAATTTTAAAAATTACATTTTAAATAAAAATCTCAATATTTTTTGCAGAACATCACTTTACCAAGCGTAAATGATAAATTGTATAATTTCGGAATTTACCGATACACTCATTTATATCGCCACTCTCAAAAGTAATGATAATACATTATTGACGGTGTCAATATCCTTAGACGTCGTAATTGGAATACGCCCGATTGGGGTCATCTCAAACAGACTCATGGGATTCTTAAAAATCCGCTGATTTATCAAATGAAACATTGTATTTGAAGCTTCGACTGTGCCCAAGTAAGAACATATGGCTGCCCCCATGGTTGAAAAAGCTACCCAACACCATAACACAAATCGTTTTTCCTATTATTATGTCTATTAGTACACATCACTAATTATGCATAATCATATTAATAATAATAATAATAATACATTATTAGAACCAGCCAGTAAAGTGTTATGCATACAACCCATCATAGTTTAAAACATTTTGATAACTTTATTACTTTTGTTGTCATGACGTATGAACAATTTTCTCAGAAATCAGATTACATACATAACAAGTAACTAAAATATTTAAAAACACGTGTTAAATCATCAGCTTATCTAGGAATGAATGGTGTACCAGTATAATTATTATATTATATAATTACTTGTTGCCATAGTTATTTGAATGTTTTATCTTAGATCGCAGAGCTGAGAGAGGGTAGTATTTTACAATATGTTTTTTACACTATCTTTTAAACAGCTGAACCGATTTCTTTGTGTAGCAACTCTATAGATCAGAAATTGTAACTAGGAGGGTCAAAAATTAAAAGTCGTCCATTCCTCTTTAAAATCGAGAAAACACACAAAAATTTTACAAATTTTTCAAATTGAAACTACAATGCTCTATAACTTTTTAAAAAATAATCGAAAAAGTTCCAAATTTGTATAGAAATATTTTTAAACATAATACTACCGATAAACATTAACAAACAAACAAAAATATGATAAACCCTATCCTCTAGAAGGGATAGAATTGTTTTTTTTATTTCACTTGTTCAAGCAAAGTTTTTAGGTCTGAAAATTAGACCGAAGGTAGATCTAGGATGAAACTATAACATATAATATTTTCTCAAAAATCTGTCAAACTTTTTTTTTATTAAGGAATAACCCAAAAAAAGGTAAACAATTATACTTTCCATGTTGCTATGTGTGAGTGAATCAACAGTCGATAGTTAATCAACAATTACGATACATGGGTAATTATAGCAATATATTTTTATAGACAGACAATTAACCTTAATCGTAACTGATTTTTAGTTTTACTAAAAAAATTCTTTAAACTTCTTATTTTAACAAACATAATGTACAACAGTAATATATTATAATAAATATACTATAAAACCATCACAGTCTAACCAGCATACTAAAAACCAAGCACAGTCTAAATAATGACAATCCAAACCAACCAATGTGAGTCCAAATTAAGTACAATATAATTCAGTACAATATAATTCAGTACAATAGAAAGTTAGCAAGTTTAGTTCAAAATAATTATTAAATCTGAATGTGATTTCAAAACAATTAAAAGCTTCGACGCGAATCTGGTATCCTAGTGGAATAGTAAGAATGCAGCCAGTGGCTTTTATTTTTTTTGGGGGGGGGGGCGCGGTTCCTGGACACCCCCTGACTAAAAAATAAATGTATTACACATGACACATTTGTATTTAATATACATATCAGACCCTGATTTAATTTAATTTAGTTTTGTTATAAAAAGATAAATACATAGAATATAAAGAATATATAATCAAATATTTTGAGTAAAATTCTTTAATTTAAAATAATATATTATAAATATTTACTAACGTAGTTAAGTTTTCAGTGGTCAGAATCGAATGAGGAGGGGAGGGAGGTTTGCTTAGATTGAGAGTGAAAAAGACTAGAGTAGAAAAAAAAAATTGCACACCCCCAACATTTTTGTTCAAAATACTGAATTCAGCACACTATTAACTATTAAGTACAGTATAAAGTATAGATCACTCGAAGAAGACATTTTTGTTTTACATAATTAAAATAATGAAAACTTTATTTAGGTTCTCATGTTGGCTTTTTTTTTTTGATATTATTAACTCAACATTCAAAATTTATATTTTAATTCTGACATTTTTTGAACTGTTTTTAGTGATTGTATTTAAGGTAAAAATAAAGTATTCCGTAAAAAACCGATCAAAGAACCTAGTTAAAGTTTTCTTCTTTTTAACGGTACCAACATTTTTTTGTCTATGATCATTTCGCTTTGATCTACACGTTTTTATGATTATTTTTAAAGGGTATGACGTCCTCTTAATTAACTAATAGATGATCAATAGCCGGCTCTGTACAAGACGTACATCTAATTAGTAAATGTTAACACAATACATATACATAGTATATATAACAACAATTAAATAGCAAATGAAAGCCTAAAAAACATAAAAGCAAAAATACACACAGTTAATTACAACATAAAACTAAACTACAATTATTATATTGCAACAATTACTGCTCTAAGTGCAACATAAAAAAAGTGTGCAACAGCAAAGTAGGAGCACTGAAGAATTATTTTTTAATACAGTATTTGTTGAACGCTATAAGCCAAAAAATAGTGTATTAAAAAATATATATTACATTCCCAACACAAAAAGCTTATAATATCTACAAATAACTCATCATAATCCGAATTTACCGAAAACACAGTCTGGATAGTCGATCTCAGTATAAATGGTAACGTGTTATCAATAGTGTCTATGTCCTTGGACACTCTATTCAAAATACGACCAGCGGGTGTTGTATCGAATACTCTTATCGGATTCTTGAAAATTCGGGTATTGATGAAATGGAACATTTTTTCAGCGGCTACAACGGTGCCTAACGATAAAGATATCGCTGCTGCTACCGTCGAAATAACTACCAAATCAAAATATTTTGTATACTTACAAAGTTTAAAGTTAAAGAATTATTACTACTATTTTTGAAAATAATATTAGGCTTATAATGTATATTAAGGCTTATAAGTGAACAATCTTTCTTAAATTCAGCAAAGGACAAAATTTCAGAATTAATAACTTATGCTTTTTTGATGAACAAAACTAAGTACTTTCTAGCATTATTTATATTAAAACAACAACAGCATGACATTTGTGCATTTTTTTAAACACTAACAAATGAAAGCTGCTTTAAATTGTATTGTTTTTAACTTTGTTATCATTATTATTTTATGTATTTAACAGGTTTTGGCCAAAATAGCTAAAATAAAATATGCGAAAAATGAATAATAGCTTAAAATGTATAATGTGATAAAAATAAATGTTTTCGGGTGTGCAGATGTATATATAGTATGATTTTCCTCTGGCTGTCTTCTAATCCAATTATACTCAAAATAATTTAGTGTTTTTTTATTTTTTAGTACCTAAGTAGAAAACTTAACAAATATTTGAAATTTAAAATAGCAACCTAGACATTTTAAATACATATTAATTTAAAACAAATTACTGAACTATAAGTTACCATTTGCCATAAAACAAATTAAAAATATACAATTTTGTAAACATAAAAATGTTACAAAAAATTGCAGATTTATCATTCGCAATTGGTAATAATTGAGAATGAAACAGGTAATTGTTTGCTTAATTATTTTCTGCTATTTTTATGTTGCTAAAATATTTCGCTATATTGGCTTAAACCCATAACCTGTGTTACCTATGTCCACATATTTTATAAAAAAAATACCTAAGATGTCGTTCTATATGAAAAAGACAAATAAATGTAATTATCATAATAAATAACTAGTTAAATAACATTCCATTTTTTTTTTTTTAAACAAAATATTACCTATTTTTATTTATAATATGTATACTATTTTTTTTGTAAACCTATTTATAAGTATTCAAAACTGTTTATTTTTTAGTTTAATACAGAATAATCGGCCAGTAGTTTAAAAAAAAAACACTTAATATGGATTCAATTGATCTAGTCAAGAATACGGGGATTGTCCCCTCTTTTAAATTATCTAACACAATCTAACCCTATCTTAACCCAATAATTTAGAATTAAACAAAGTAATGTTTTTAAAAAAATTTGTTTACATTATTACAATAATCAGTAATAATGGGTCATTTTATTGTAACTGACAAAAATGACAACTCCTACAAAAAATAATTTTGTTATGATTTGTCTTAATATGACAAGCATTAGCAAATGAACAAATCAATAAAGATTTATGAAAAATCAGTACATTATCAATATACATCAAAGTACATCAATCTACATCCAATATTATTGTATAATATTAGAATTGTCATTTGCCAATTTTTTGTCCTTTTGTTTAAATTTTTATCACAGATTTGATATAATAGAATTTCTACAAAATTATATTATTTTTACCATTATTATTATTATTATTATTATCAAAAAATAAAATAATTCCAATTAGAATGTTTAACTAAAATTTTTCTTAAAATCTTACCTTGACCAAAACCCAGTAATCCGTACACACCGAGGTACAAATCTCTTGTCTTGACGTTCTCTGTTCCATGAACATGAGAACTATTATCGTTAGACCACTTTGAGAGCCAAATATTTGATGATATCGAAAAGCCTTGGAAAACAATACTCAGAACAATTGTGCTTATACATAAAAGAGGACCAATCGACCTCAAATAATGTGCATAAACTTCCCATTTAACCTGAAAACACAACATTAAATTATTTTCATGAAAATATTCACAATTTTCATACTGAATACTTACACTTCCAGTTTCCGCCTTTTCTACATCAATTAGTTTGGCCTGTTGTTCTTCAACGGGTTGTATGACAGCCTTATCGGGTTTTTCCGAATCGATGGACTTTTGTCTTAAAATAATACATAAGTATTTGTAAGTAATTATACTTGCTGCTTAGTTGCTAAAATAAAATTATTAGTCACTAAGAGTCGGACAATATTTTACCTTTGCATTGAATGGACCGAAGTTGACTCGCTTCTTTGACGGACATATTTTTCTTTTAAATCTGCTGGCGCATCTTCTAATAACTTGTCAATGTCTGCCATAATAAATGTATAAATAAAAATCTATTTTAAACTAAAAAATAATAATTTAACTAACCATGTTCAGAGCCGTTATCCAAAAACTGATCTTGCATGTGTAATAGTAAGAAATCTGCGAAATCTCCTTTTTTATCTAGTAGTTCCTTATAAGTACCGGATTCAGAGATTTGGCCATCTTTTAACACAACAATCAAATCGACTTCTCTTAAGTATGTTACACTGTGAGTGACCAAAATTCGAGTCTAATTAAATTAAAAACACATCAAGATTAAAAAACAGTTTCTTAAAATGAATATTAATTGTAGAAATCTTATTTACGTTTAAGTTCTTACAAAAAATGAACACATTCATTAAGTCGTTAATATTTTGGAAGAATATAAGAGCGTTAATTTTCAACAAAAAAATGTAGATTACGACTTTTACTTATATAAATTTATTTTGAAAATTAACATGAATGCAAATTAGTTCATATGGTAAGCATTGCTAATAATTTAAGTGCACAATATTACCTTTTTACGCAATAATCCTGTCGGTCCAATGACATGCTCGAAAATATGTTTTCCAACGTGCGAATCGACCGCACTCAATGGATCATCCAAAAAATATATGTCGCTTTCTTTATAAACTGCTCTTGCCAAGCTTACTCTTTGTTTTTGTCCACCACTCAAGTTAATTCCCTATCAATCACACAATCAATGGTATAATTACTATTTTTTTTTTTTTATTATTACAGTAAGAAGCCAACATACTTTTTCACCAATTTCCGTGGCATCTCCGGCCGGAAGCATTTGGAAATCTGATCTTAAAGCACACGCGTCTATAACTCTGTTATAGTTTCTATCGCTTAAAGTTTGACCAAATAATATATTCTCTCTGAGCGACGTGTTTTGAATCCAAGCTTGTTGCGGCACATACGCTATAGATCCCTAAATTAAATGATAATTTTTTTTGTAAACATTTTTGTTTTTTTTAAATATATCGCGCTTGTTAATATTTACTTTTGTGTTGACTCGACCAGTGACTTTGTCCATTTCACCAAGGAATGCCGATACTAAGGAACTCTTGCCAGAACCCACGGTACCAACAACAGCAACTAACTGACCAGTCGAAATTCGTAAATTTATATTGGTCAATATTGGAGCTTCGTTCGCTTCGCCCCACGTAAATGTACCGTTTTCAACTACGATAGGATCCTCTAAAAATAAAAAATAAAACCAATTAAAATGGCACCATATTATAAATTTAGGTACATACTTTCATCAGCATCGTGAGTGACCGAATCGGGGTCTAGTTCTTCAGAGTTCATAAACTTATTTATTCTCTTGACTGAGACGCTAGACTACAAATTTAAATTTATAGACCAGACATTATTATAGTTATTGACCATGTTTTAAATTTGAAACTTACTTGAACAACATTGGAAACAAACATCGGTAACATAGACAAAGGAAAACGTAAAATATTGAATAAAGATAGAGAGACAAAAGCTGTTGACGCGTCAAGAACATGATTTTCATCAGACAATACGTAGACGGCAAAAGTCACCAATGAAACCTAAATGGTGACAATTTTATGAATTAGGTACAGTGATAAAATAATAATTTTATAATTAATTAAAAACCGAGTTGGGCATTATTCAAATAGTTTATATCAGACAAAGCCATAAATAAAAAAAATGTTCGTTTGTTTAATAATTTATTATTTGCTATAGGTACATTGAGTTTACAAATAACGCTATTCAAGAATAAGAAATTGGTCAAACTAACTATCTGTTGTTTAATATCTTATTTAAATTTTACCCAGTTCGGTTATAAATTCCTTACCAAAAACGGTGCACAAGCCCAAATGAAAGATGTAGCGGCATTTAAATAAGCGGCGGTGCGAAGGACTTTAATTTCCTTTCCACGAATATCCAAAATTTTTTGTTCAAAACTGGGTTCCCATGCGTACAATTTTAATACCTGTGTAAAAGAAAAACAAAATCAATAACAATTTGTCCATTAAACAAGGTAAATGCACCTCTTAAATTCTTTGTTAAATTTACCTTGATGCCAGACAAGATTTCGTTCATTAACTTCACTCTCTGATCCTTGTTTTTCATTTGTTTGATCTGAAGACTTCTCGCTTTGGCAGCGACGACGCCATTTATCGGCACTAAGACTATCATAACGAATAAGCCGGCAAGAACACTGGGGCCAAGTGATTGCCACAAAAAATATATAGCTAAAGCGATTTGAAACGGCGCCGACCATATCATATTTAAATAAGTGGTCAGATCAACAAATCTGTGTGCATCAACGGCCATTAAATTGACTATTTCACCAACGGTAAACGTTTTCCTGGCTTTGTTGGATATTCTCAATGACTAAAAAAAAACAATTGTATAGGATTCATATGAATATAAAAATATTTCTACTGTTAATAAACATTAACAGCATATAATTTATGTTAATAAAAAAAATTTGAATTTACAAGTAGGAAATATTATTATCGTCTTACCTTTCGATAAATAGCAGAAGTAAGTGCAGTTCTCACACGCATACCAACAAGGTACATACGATGGAAGTATTGCGACAATATTAACGTTTGTAAAGTTGCCGTTAACATCATTAAAAAGACATAATAATAACCTCTCCACATGGGTTCGTTTTTATTTCCGACAAAAGCTATCAAATACCTAATATCAAAAACAATTATTAGTATTAAAAATAATTAATAATCAGAACCAAACATATTTTAAGATAAATGTTTTAGTATGTAGTGTCAATTACTTAAGTACTTGAGGGCTGACAAATACTAAGCAATCATCTATTATTTTCAAAAATGAGCCAAACAAAAATGTACGACCAAACGATTTGCATAACGTAGGAAATATTGAAGCTTGTTTTTGAGATGACTGTTTAAGTTTTGAATAATCAATAGGAGTGACTTCTATACTTCCGTCTGACTTATTTTTTATGTAGGATGCTTTTGCATCCTGATCTTGAACTCTGAAAAAAAAGTTAAGATTGAAAGCACGGATGTAGAAATCTTGAGTGTTATTGCAACTTTCAAATATGCGAGCTCTCATAGGTTAAAATAAGCATTAATATAACGTCAATTTCTTTCTACTTACTTGGCTTTAATTAAAGAACGTTCCCAATATTTGTCGAATATAGGAACTACTTCCCGAGAACTGTCTTGATAGTTCATACTCCATAAGTCTTTGGCTTCGAGTGGACGCCTGTAGCCAGTCCACGCCATTGTACTAAACCATGAAAACAGTACTCGAGATGGATACGATGCTTCCATTTCTGGACATGGTTTCTGGAAATTGTTTGATTTTTATAATCATACAAAACAACTAGATTTACAATAAATATTTTTTTTTCCACTAATTTACCTCAACGGGAGGATAATCAGATAATCTGGGCTCAGCGTCTGCAAAGAAGTTCAGAATAAACTGAACTAAAATTAACGGATAATATACCATATAGCTAATATATTGATATTTTTTAATGGGCTCCTATAAATATACATAAAATCAACATATTTAAATATATCACTTTAGTTATTATTCGAAAAAAAAAACAAATTAATGACTATTGAAATTAAACTTACATCGGACAAAGCTAGTCGTATCTCTGATCGATATTGAATGGCTCCTAAAAATGCTAACATTAGCCAAAACAAGAAAATTAACCCAGAGGAACGTAGGCCTCTAGCTCGATTGGCATTTATTAACACCATAACAAAGCTCTGAAATTAAAAAATAATTATATTAAATCACCGTTACTTAAATAGTAGTTTGTGGTTGACTTATATGAAGTTTAGCTTACAAATGTGACAAGTTTAACGAGCGGAGTATAAAAATCCACTGAATAGGTCGGCTGGTCTGAAGTGTATTGAATTACTGCATACACAATATCGGCTATGGTAAGAATACATAAAAGAATAGCACCGATCTGTAAAAATAAAAATTAATAATGTATGTTTAATCAAAACTACTCACAAATTACCCAAAAAACAACAAAGTTTATAAGAACAATAGATAATATTGCTGCAAATAAAATTTAGACGAATCACCAGCAGTTGTTATCAGTGTAGAGCAAAATTTAAATAAATTAATAAATACATGTTTATTGCTGAATAAAGTTATTTGTAATTAAAAAAAGAATGGATAAATAATCTACTTTAAAATTAACTACTATTTATAGAAAACTCTATGTTAGTTATAAATTTGTTTCTCATTTTCATAAGTATTACATTTTCAAAATACTTTTTTTTGCTAAAAAAAACTTGTATTACCCAGATAACTTATTTTTTGTTTTTTTAAATTTTATTTTTCTTTAATTCAAAAAATTAACGAAAGGTTGAGTAATATCTAGGGTTTGATTTTGACTCGGCTTTATATTTACACAAACTCTTGCCTAATATTTCAAGTGACTATTTTGAATAATTAAGACATTCAAATAAGTAATAAAATAATGAATGAACAAAGTTTCATAAATAATAAACAAATTGTTTGATATAACAATAAATATCAAACGTAAAATTTTAAACAAAATAAAATTATTAAAAATAAATTATTAAAAATAAGATCCTCTTTTTAATTAATTAGTCATATAAATAAAAATTATTCAAATAATAACTCTGGTTACAATTTTGTTTGTTATTTTTGAACATTATTTTAACTTCCCAACTACCAAATTGTGTACGTAAGGTACTTAGTAGCAGGAAACACTTTCTATTTTAAATGCCTGCCAAACAATTATATTTATAAAATTCTATATTATTAATGTAGGAAACATTCAACGACGTTAAAAAATTATACTATTAAATAAATAACTTTTATCGATTGCAGGAAAAGTACACATTATTTAAGTAACAGTCTGTTTTTTTTATATTAGAGACTACAAAGCTCTTCAATATGTATTTAGACAATTCAAATGTATTCTGACTATAATTCTGTAAAATGATACATAACTAATAACTGTTTCCAATACACTTTACTGCAATGATTAAAAGGTTGTTTTTCAGAAAAAAAGCAGTAAAAAACTCCTTATTTGCTTTTTTTTTTTTATTATATTGAAAAACGTATTATTTGCTTATTACATATTAACAATAAAAATAAAAGATAGTACATACATATAGCGGAGATGTAATATAAAACAACTACTCTACAATAATTTTATCAAAAAATCAATGTAATCAAAATAACGTATTCAATTTTTTATTTTTTTATTTTATACTTATAACAATCATTATTCAGTTTAATAGATAGAATGAAGATTACCACACGGGAAATCAAAAAATGAAAAATATTGGTTAATGCGGTCAATGGATGATGTAACTGTTTGATATCTATTCTTTACGTATTTATATTATTTTGCTTTAATTTTTCTGTAAATACAAACCTATCTAAAACAACAATTCAAATTTTGATATCTTACAGAAGTAATGAATGCGCTATAATTTTAACTTAGCGTACAAATCTTATCAACAGATAGTTTTTAAGGGTTTATTATAACCAGACATTGGGGAGTTCATTCCGGAAAAAGATAAAATGGTTTTGACTTTTAACCTGCTGATAATAAACACTTACCTACTTATTAATATATTTATGATCTCATCATATAAATAATAATGTCGGAAACCATGTTAGAATGTTTATCAAAGAAAACTAGAGGAATACATAATATATCATTTAAACCAATTTTGAAATGTTATGTTGCACAACAATAATATGATGATATTTTAGTTGCTCAGCTAATTTATAGAAGACTTCTTACTTCTTACCTACTTATAAAAGCCTACAAATTTTACGTGGAAACAATTATGTTTGTTTGTTCAATTAATTCTTTCTTACGACAAGGAAATATAATGGGTAACTTAAGAGGCAAATTCTTCACACTAAAAAAAATGTCTATAGTATCTTTGATAGTTAAAGAAATTTGTATCGTAATCCTAACAAAATCAGAAAAATCTTATAACTTTTTAGATAGAACCATTAACAAACTGCAGCTTAAGTTTTAATGTCAAAAATGTAGTCAATTTTATCTACTCTTAAAAAAAAGTGCTTTTGTTTTTAATGAGAAAGTCTCCCAAGTTGAGTTTTACAAAGTCAATTTAACTCCAATTAAAAAATATTTTATAGACAAAGTCAAAATGTATTTTTTCGGAACAAAATAGCTAAAATTAACCCACACAATTCAGATCTAAGACCAAATATCATAGAAAATAATTTAATTTAAATACCGACAGACAAATTTTCAAAAAACAAGATAACAAAATGCAATTTATTGTTTTGAGTATTTTTACTACTGAAATTTACACCACTTCAGTTTTCAGTGAATAGCACAATTCAAATGTTGTGCTTATACACGATAATATTACTTCCGCTTTCGTGAACATAGTACGAAATATTATATTATTCAATCTTATCAGGGACAAACTGCACTCCCCACTTTGATCCTACTACTATTTTCGCCTGGACAGTTAACCAGTTGTTATATAATACCAATATTATGTTTCATTAAATTGTGTAATATAATGCTATTAAACACAACAATCGACTCACTAATTTCGATATATTGAGCCAGTTCCATGGTATGTCCCTGAATTTACTGCTGACTAGGTAATAGACTTCTAAAGGCGAGAATAGCCATACGAACAAACACGGCACCCAGATCAGCACCGTCCTTTCAAAACATAACGTAATATCGGGGTTGGTCGTGTTCCACGACAGATCGTTGTCCTGCAAAATAATAAAAATAAAACTAGTCAACTACCTATATAAAAATGTATTTATGTATCGGGATAATGTTTTCTGTTTTAAATCACCCTATACGCCTATTATATTCAAAAGGACAAACGTCAAAAAAATGTAACATATATATTATTTCAACGCCGACTTACCCAAAAAGGCGAACCACAAAATCTGTCAAAATCGGCACTCTCCATAGATGGATAAGCAAATCAACTAGAAATTATGAGTGTACCGCGTTCACGAAAACCGTTTCAGGTCATATAACATTACTCGGACGGACTTGTGTTCGATTACCGGCGCGGCGCAAGTGTATTTCCAACAGCGGTCAAAATACTATACGTGGGAATTCCAACGTTCAACGGATTTTAACGCGCAATCGAGCGCGTAACGTACCAAAACACAGGAACTATGCGTGCGCCGTACTGTACTGTACTGTACTTAATAACTATACTGCACAGCGATCATGCGATGTACAGTGTATTGCAAAATTAACGCGGCGGCGACCGACAAAATACAAATATATATATATATACATATATGTGTGTATGGTGCTCATTAGGCCTGCATAACACTACAAAAACGATGATACTTGATAGCGGATTTAATAATTGTAACCTCTAAAAACCGACACGAGCCCGCGGCAGTGTAGCCAACTGTTGCCTCCGGTTCGACAATCTCAACGGTTTACCGTCTCAACGCTCACGGCCCAATATTATGCCCTCTAACGGAAACGGTGATCGGCTTACTTATTAGTTATTTGCGTTGGAAATAAAATACGAATTATGATTTGACAGCTGTTGACTACACCGACTGTCGACTGATTATATTCGGTCGGGGTCTGTACAATGTAGTGTACACTCTGGTGTCGTTTATTATCGTTGTTATAGGCCATTACAAACAAAATACAAATTATCGTCATAATTATTATTATTAGAGAGTTTTTACACAGCGTAAAATTATGTAGGTACGTTTCCAGTTGGCAAGAACACTTATTATTTTTTAACACGTACGCTAGTATTGCAAAAAATAAACGGTTAGTGTTATAAACTTATATCGGTACCCTAACCGATACACCGTACGTTATGCAAAAACTCCCTTTAAATTGTGCGTAAGGCCAACGCCAAAGTCCACCACCAAGATAATTGGTTGTTTAGTGTTTACCATGTTTATTGTTATCTATAGCGTAGCATTCATTCATAATTGTAACGGTCCCGGGAAAAAATACAATTTAAACAACGAATGAATCGAAAGTGTACAAGTGACATATTTTTTTTTTTAACAAAAGTTTTTGATCTAAACAGTGTTTTTAATAAAAACCTGTTAATCTATTTGTATGTATTTTAAATGTTTGGAGGACGTATTGAAAGAAAAAATCAACACCAATTCGTTTAAGAACACATTGAAGATATCGTGTTTAATTTACTCGCTTGTAAAATGTTAGGTACATCACTCGTATAGTCGTATCTGATACCTCTCACCACTTCAACTGTAGTTTTTAACAAACGACATTTGATTTTTACGATTTTTTAAAGTTTACATTACCTACTTTTTTTCATTACTTTAATAGAAACGTTTAAAAAATATTTAATTACAAAATATAAAAAAAAACCTGTCGTAAAATATTGTTTTTTGTCATAAAACTTTTAAGGTTCTAAAGATGAAATAGGATACCTTGTAGATTAAAAAAACAATAATGGAGTACGTAAAAGGAAAGATAAAAAAATTAACTACACATAAAGGATACTCATTCTGTACCAATAGAAGTACACTACAATTTGGAGTTTTAAATTAATATTTTGTAAACAAATTGACTGTATTAAATTCCTTAATAAGAATTCGGGAGAGTTATTCTCTACAATTTTAGATATTATAAATCAATGGAAAAAATACGATTGCAACAAATCTCTACGGGATTGTTGGCTGTTATTTAAGCTATATCTTTCATATTTTGAGTGACTCATTTTGCCGCCCATAAATAATTAAATTATAACTGACTATCACACTTACATTTAAAAAACCTGACCAAAATTATTAATGTAATAACTTTTACTTCTATTTTGTTATTCGAAATATTTTATTAATTACCTAGCTAATTAATAATTAATTTTATATTTAATAATTTACAATGTAAATAATTGTATTAAACCTATTTTATTAAAAACATAAAATAAGACTTCATTTGTAAAGAAAATACATGATATATTCAAGGGGTCAGAGCCGGATTAAGAAATGGGAAAGGGTGCTATGAGGTACAGCCCAGAATCTCCTAAGAAAAAAAAGGACCAAAGAAAAATTTTGGACTGTGATTTTTTTAAATAATACAGGTACAATTAAAAGGTGAAACTAGGTGGTGTTATAATTTTGAATCTGTAAAAACATAACTTATCAATTATGACAATATTCTTAGTTGATATTGAAGAAAAAGCTCATGTATAAGAGAAGCAAAATCATCAATGAAAAAGTTTCTTAAATTTGTGTTACGTGTAGTAGTGTACGTGTATGTGTTGTAGTAAAGTTAGTGAAAAACTGTAAAATCTTTGGTTGGATTTACTGTCTATGCCTTCTTTATTCGTTACAACAATTTATACTTCATGAAAAAAATAAAATTTATTGATTATGAAAATTTGGCTAAAAATCTAGATGCAAAAATGATGGATAATTATAAAGACTGGTAAAAGGTAAAAAAACGTCATGAAAATGAAACTAATTTAAACGGAGGAAAAAAGTTTGAAGCTGATACTTTATTTATATTATAGACAAATTGATTCACGAACTTGACAGAAGACTAAATGCTTATAATCTGTTTTTTCACAATTTTATTGTTTGGTAAACTTTAAAACTGACATTAAACCAAACAATGATCCATTTTTTTAATAACGGTCTCGGTGAGAATTTAAAAACAAAAATATCAAAGACGTCGAAGGTAGGTTCAATGCTTTAACAATTATGTCTAATGAAAATTACATAACTAAAAAAACTCTCATTCGAGAATGTTTTGGTCGTTTTTATTACACATTTATACATTTCTTTGCACGCCGCCGCCGGTATTGGAATAACATAATTATAAGTACTTTATTAATTACATAATAAAATCTTAATAAGTCTCGTGTGAAATTTTCAATTTTTATACAGTATATTCTATTATGTAGATAATGAGGTTATTCAATAAATACAGTGCTGACCCATAACAACATGCCATTTTTTATAAATTAAATTATTAATATAAAAACTAAAATACATTTCGTTAAAATGTATTACAATTATGACGTTAAATAATAAGCGAAAATAGGCATTTGTAAATTTAAATTTGATAACATAAGTCTGTATGAATATTGTTATATTTATGCAAAACAATTCGGTGTTAAAAATACGAGTCTGACAGCACTTATATTAATATGCTGTTACAAATTAGATACAAAAAAATGCTAAAACCGGTAACTTTTTTTTCATTAAACATAGTTATTTGTTATCTTTTGTCTATGATTAGTTCTCTTTTAATCTTCACCGATTTTTAGTGTTTTCATGTTTAAGTATAAAATAATATAATACATATAATAGTTATTATATCAATAGTAATCATTATCAGTTAGCTATAAGCGCTTTTTTTTTTATATGAAATTACGTAACGCCGCTTGTACAGTTCAAATTCCAATTTATAATAATAAAACAAATGTTATAATCGAATTTCTACACGCAGCATACGCAAATACATTATGTGAACATTTAAATAATATACTTGATTTTATATTCTAGTATACTGTTGTCAGTGACCACTTGTAATGTATGTACAAAATTTGCATTTTATTTTGGCAACAGGTTTTAAAAAATAAGCATTCTAACCTTCGCTTATGATGTGGGATTTCTCGTTTAAAAATCCTCTTTAAAGCATCTCTATGTGTATGATTTTATACTTCTATAAAAATTAAAAATAATTTAAACCACTAAAAATGTCTTATGTCAGTAATACCTACTTTTAAAAAACTAGCAAGTTTGTTTTTTTATTTGCACAATCTCCAAACATATTAATTTTATAGGGTTTATGTAAGCCTAAGCAAACTTAACTAGATGGATATTTTTGCAGCCAACTGATAGTACAGTAATGTATAATTCATTTATTCGATTTCAGGTTATTGAAGAATTAATTATACCGTGGCATAGCAAACTGGTACCATAAGTGCATTTTTCTAAGGATTTTTTAAGTTATGTGTCCTTCTAAATGATGTGAAAAATATTGGAAACAAAATATTCAATTTGTGACTACTATTGCATTTGTACATTTACAAATGTAGTTTCTGTAAAAATATAAAAACAATACTCTTTAAATATCTGGGCACTATATCAATTGTATGAGACACTTACATTAAAACTTACACTGGGGTATAAAATATTTATAAATACAATTATGAGCATAATTTACCAATAATTAATCAAATTTATAATATTTTGCTCTAAAATCACAATGGAGTAATTTGCTAAATTGTTGAGTGTATTCAATAACCTCACAAATACTATTATATTACATTTTTTTACTGTTAAAAAATTAATTTTACTGTTAAGTCATAGTTATTAGTTATTACATTACTGTATAATTTTCTTAAGCACTACGAGAAAAACCATGTACCTAACTAGGGTTTTAAAAAAAAAAAAAAAAGTTGAATTATTTAATTTGTTTGTTACTTATGATCCCGGTGTAGATATTCTATAACATAATAAGTTTTTATTAATACCAATTATTATTTTTAATCAATATGGTAATTACAAATTACGTCATTATTAGTAAGTACTCATTATACTTTTTTTCATTTTAACTTTTTAATTAGCCCTAGGCGTGACTATGCAAACGGGGTTATCATAATACTTTTCCAATACAGGCACCCTCGTTTTATCAAATGATAACTAAAAACCCAAATGCGACCTTCCAAGTTCCACAATGTATTTTCGAAACACATTTGTAGTTTTCCTATTTTTAAAAAACATTTTAATTCTGTGGCTTGCCGATTGGGTCAATAAAGGTCGATCTCACTTTTTTATAACTTTTAGCAAACGAGCTCTATTGAAGTTGTTTGCCAAAAGGCTGGGTGTTAATTCTTTTACAGAACTATCTATATACATTTTTAAATTTTTTATGATTACGGCTCGAGCTATCTGATTAAGGCTAAAACCCTAAGTCAGCAAATTCCATTCGACTCGTGCGCGATCAACACCAATTTTCTGATACTCCTATTTACACAATAATACATGTAATAAAACTTATAATATTATTTCCGAAGACATGGGCTCTTGACAAAATGTTTAAAGAACCCTTAAAGGTACTCGAGTTTAAAGCAATGATGTGTGTAACAAAAATAACGTATCTTATTAAATAATATTTATATAAACTAGGTATTTATAATAACCATGCATGTACAATTATAGACTTAACAGAGCCATATCATATATATCATATATATAGAACGCTCTTCTAGATAACGATTTATCATTCATGCGTTATTTAGGAGCGTGCAGTAATGCAATAGTCTCTTCAGTATTTATACTTTTGTATATTTACTATTTGAATTCCCAACAGTATTAGTAGTATTCAGTTGACAAATCATTGTGTATACAAGTAGTATCATTAGTGTACACAGCAGCGGTTAAGAGGACAATAATTCAACATATTTAGCCCTTTAACTATTTATTCGAAACGTCCATGTATAACCCATATTTTATTAGTTCTCAATAAGAAGACCTTCTCGACACTAAACCAAGGAGACCAAGACGTAAAATTCACCACACAACTAACAGTCTCTATAGATTTATTTTGGTTTAAAATTGTGTTTGTGTATGAACATTTTGAAATAATAATAATAAATGTTCAATTTCTACGATGCATATAGAGAGTTCAAGATGACTTTACAACATGTGATCAACAAGACGTTACTGACAAAAGTGAAAAAAAGACAAGATGGCGAAAAATGTAAAGTGTCTTGTTGAATACATATTATATTTTCGCGAAATTATCGACACAGATTCAAATGTTTAGATTTTGCGTTTTTTTTTTTTGGGAACAAATTCATGCTAAAAACCCACTCTCCACAAATTAAGTAGCAATAGCTCTATGCCTATATACATTGTACATATCTAATAAATATGGCATAATTTGAATATAATATAATTAAAACCTAATTGTTGTGATATGTATAATATACAATTTATTTCTGTTTATTATTGAGCTAATCGTTTACTCTATTATTTATATATATATATATAATATCATCAAAATACTAATTAGTAATTAGGTATTATTGTGGATAGGTATGTGTGTAATATTATTTTACAGCTAAAATTGACGCTAGTTTTTACCTCGTAATCTAAACTTTTTTTTAATAATTTGCTGAAAATAGTAATCGAACGCCTATTATTATATCTACTCGTATCTATATTTATAAAATAATATAATATTTATGTCTATTCTTTATAATTTTTAAAAAATGTTCTATATCTATTATTTTACATTAAGACAAAGAAACCCTACAGTAATCAATGAATTATTATAATTTAACATATTATTTATCAAAATGTAAATTGATATTTATAAATAGAGGTATAGAATTTGTATACTTATTTTAATTATTTGTACGTGTATAACGCAGTATAACTTTTGTTGTAAACCTGTCATTTGTGTAAAACAAATTATTAATGGGTATTTACAAATTAGAATTTAATACTTGGTTTTACTTACTAGAAACTGTTCTAATTAAAACATTAATTTCCGTGGGATACTATAGTTTACTAGAATCTAGTCTCTATGGGTACTTTAATAACAGTCATAATAGTAACACTATATTAATCATTATCAATAGAACGCAGTATAATAGTATACAATTACTAAACTACTTATAATTTACACTATAGTCACTACGTCTCATATTTCATTTACGACCACGCCTTTCAATTCGTCTTTGACAATTAAATTGTAAATAGTTATTAAGAAAAATGAAAATTAATTACACTTATTAGTACACATATTTTGTATTTATCTATCTTTAATTACTATGATTCGAGATACAATTTAAGAACTCATAAACAGAATCTTGAAAATATATCCAAAAGAGGTTGTTTCTTACAAGTTATACATTAACATGTTGATGGTAAACAACACATAATAATAAGTATAAATGAATAACAAGGGAACTTTTTTTGAAAAATTGACTTAGCCGTGGGGGGGAGCACATGCCCTTGGTATCCCCTTACTTATAAATGTTTAATAATAATATTTTATAGCAAACCGTCGACTGTTTGGGATTTTCTCAGGACAATTATTATTATTGAAGTAGGTAGTACATTATAATAAGGAATAAGGGCATTGCATGCGGTCTGTTTTTAAGGAGTTTTGTGTAGGCAATATTTAAGACTAAAAGAGGTTTTTTTTTTACATTTTGACCAAATCAATTAATTTACCGGGTGATTTGTTGTATAAGCTTCAAAGTATTATTTTTAATTTAAATAATTTTTTCTACGAGAAAAGGTCATTTTGGTTTATTTTAGAGAAAAAATCTATAAATAGATAATAATATTATACAAGGTAAAGTATCACTTCTAAACACCATTTTTACCTGCGGGCTGTGCCGAAATCCAAAAATGGGTGTGAATTCAGAACACGAATGCTACACATGTTTAATACCTTAATGTATACGGATTAGTGCACACATAATTATGTAATTAGGATTGATTACAGAGTAAGTAGCATTGGATATAGATTTGAGAATACAAACTATAAGCAATAATATGTATAGTTATTATCTGTTATTAACTATAACAGGTACCTATTTAGGAATTATACAATTACTTTTAATTGGTTTACGATGGAGATATAATTAAATAAAAAATTGTAAAAGGTTTGTAACTTTTAAATAAGGTACTAATAAAGAGATTGTTATTAAACAATAAATTCAATGTTTTAGAATACAAATATATTATCATTGCTTAAGGGATTAAAAGCGGACAGTTTTTTAGGGGTTTTATTTAGGCATAAATTAAGAAAAAAGTGGTTTTAATAAATTTTGACCATGTCAAAATTAATTTTTTCAGGTTAATTTGTATAAGTTTTGGCGTTTAATTTTTAGCTTATACAATTTTTTCTCCGAATAAAAGTGATTTTGGCGGTACAAGGATTTAGACCAAAAAGACTGTCAAAATTACCTACGTCTACTTAGAATGATCGGATTTGAATTCTGTACAAATATTTGAACTCATGGACATTTTTACCAGTTCATTGTGGAAGTCAAATTTTGAATAACTATTCCATTAACATAAATAAATACTAAAAATTTGAGAAACTTGAGACATTAAATTAGGATTTTAACACAGTTTTTTATTGAAATATCTAAAATCGTTTTCTACATTAACATAGAAAAGAGGCCGATAAAGTCAAGTGTATTTACAGGATTAAAATGGGATCATCTTATGTAGGCGTAATTTTGTCAGGCTTTTCAGTCTTAAACGTCCAAAAACCGACCGTTTTTAATCCCCTAATATTATTGTTATTATATAATTATTTAAATATTATTTCCTGATCCTATACACATTTATCTTTTATGTTTACACGGGGCCTGGATAGTTAAACTATGTATGTTTAGTTATTGCTTGTTCAACAAGCCTTATTGAATATTGTAGTTATTTTTTACACCTTTTGTTTTTTTTTTTAGAGTCTCGTCTATCAATACAAGTATTTTATCCTTAGTGAAAGACGATGCAGATTGCAGTGTAAACTTGTAAGTTGTAATATATCCGTCAATTATATTGTTTTGAGTATAGAAATTATAAATTTCTGAATTTAATAAATGTTTGGAGTAGTTAAGTACATTTGTACTTAAGTACTCAATAAAAAGTACAAAAGTTTCACTTCGGGAACACCAGTAAATGGCCGAGAAAGCGAATGCAGTGATTTAAAAGACTCAGGTACTTTGTACTTGTACTTGCTGGACCATCACACTAGTACTTGTAATTTGTAAATTGTTGTAATTGTAATTGTAAAGTATATTTATGTATGTTTGCAGTGTCTTTTACATTTAAACTTTATTTGCTTATACTTAATATATCATAACCAAAATAATGTTATCGTTTATCTTCATAATAATATTATTTAATAACATCGAATCTAAAGTATTATATTTGACATTGAATTATATTTTAATAAATTCTTAGCTATCTTTTACTTGTAAATAAAGGTTCAATAATTTTATTATATTCTAGAGAGTAGAGGGGTTCGAAGACATCTATTGTAACTATATTATAGCTTTGTTTGATTTGAAAAAAAGTGTACTAATATAAGTGTAGTGTCTGGGTCAAGTGTAAGGGGTATGATCAGGTGTGGTATTTAAAAACAAACGTTTTTGGTGTAGATTAATCAACTGATAATTTATTTCTGTTGATAGTAGAATTGATTATAAAAATTAGTTGATAAGATGAAAATTAGTTGACACTTGTTATGAAAAAGTGTACACTTTTTGTCAAAATGAACAAACCTATTATAATTTATTCTAGATATCTAATAGTTCAACACATTTCAAACAATAAGTCACAAATCATAACTCATAAGACATTTAATACAATATCGAAATATCAATAATTATATGGACTGTCCCTTAGAATAATAGAGTATTGGCAACACAACATACACCATCGCCATGACACTTGTTATCAAATATTGCTGGCTCGTTTATGGCTGACTTCACATATGTAAAAATTTAAATTATATTATCCGAGAGATACAAATTCATCGTCTCGTCCTTTTATGAAATGAAATCTTGACGTTGGACTCCTAACTCCTCTGAATTCAGTTCATTAACATACTAGTATTTGGTGAGTATTACAATAGATACACAGATAAACATTACTCGATTCCCTGTTCTTTGGTGTACTAAAAATTGATTACTTTCTTTCTTTACTGCATATTAGTCTATTTACAGAAACTAGCACGTTTCATTTTTCTTGCAAAAAACAACACACTAACTTATCGATAAATATGTTTCTGCAACTGTCACAAAAACCAGTTTTCACAATTTTGCCACAAAATACTGCACGTTTTGACAATTGCTGAAAGAGACCACTATTTACAGTTAACCCGCACAAACCCACCCTGAAACAAGTTGTCGAATACTGCAACGTCATTTTATTTGTAAGTTAAGTTGAAATATGTTTTTAACTTTGGTAAATTGTAACATGACTTTCGCAAGGAAAATAGAACAAGCTAGTTTTATAAGTACCGTCGTTATTACGTTTATTCCTAGACTTCTTTTTTTTCGTTCGTTTAGGAATGAGTAGTTTTTTAATAGAATATTATTTTAATCAAATTTCTACATTATGTTTTATGGATATTATGAAATACATTCCTATACATTTTGCCTTGGTAAAATCATTAGCTTTTTTCGAGTTTATATCTTAACTTATTTGTTTATTATGCAGATAATATGGACAAAAATACAGCATACTCCCCTTCGTTAGCATCGAGCAGGAATCATGACGATGAGCAACAAGAAGTTGTAGATTTAGACATTCATTATTTAGATATGGTAGAGTGTCCACTAGATCCAGAACATAGGCTCAGAAGACATAGGCTGTCAAGTCATATTCTTAAGTGTAGAAAAAACTTTCCTTCTAAACAGCGATGTCCATACGGAAATTATCATTACATAGAAAAACAAGACATGACTAAACATTTGCTAGTATGTCCTGACAAGCCTCAATATATTCAAGCTGAAGCAATGCAACCCCATGCAATAGAGGCTACATTTAAAAGAACAAGAAATATTCAATATAATTATGATGTCGATAATCATGTACCTGACGAACCTTATTGGGACTAAACATTTAACAAAAGTTATTTAACGTCTAGTTTATGATGTTGCGCTTACTACAGTGGAAATATCCTTTGTAGATATTCAAAATTTGTTTTTTAATATTTTAGTTAAAGCTATTCAAAGTTAAACAATTTTAACATATTTAATAAATTCATTATAGCATAATTTATTCAGTTATAGTAGATAATATACATGTAGAATTGTGAACAATAAGCAGCTTCCTAAGTATTGTTTAAAATATTGAATTGTACTGTTAAATAATGAATTTTGATTAAGACTGTATTTAAAAAAAATGTTATGTAACAATATTACAATTAAACTTTAAGGTTATTTTGTTTACTTTTTATGTGAGATCTTCTTTATTTTAACTTTTGCAACAATTTCTGTGCAATGAGTAATAAAATAAAAAATTCCTATTATTTTTATATTATATTTTAAAATTTAGAAAGCAACATATGAAAAAAAAAATATATATAGAAATTGGCCTACGTTTAGGAACTTGGATATGTTGTTATACATGAAAATTATTAACTTATGCCACATATAGGTTGTGTTAAATAACGATACAGATCATTTTACTTGAAATCGGCACTATACTACAATGCATTATTTTAGTAAAAATGACTAAAATACTTTAGTAAAATATATTTAGCTGTAGTAATTTATTGACTTTTTTCACTGATAGTTGATCTCTACATTTTCAATAATAAGTACTAACTTTGGACAAACATAGACTTAACGTCTTATATTAATTTAACTCTATCGTTTTGACATTAAATTTTTGAGATTTATAAATATTTTGACGTTAAAAGTCATCATCGTCATTGAGATCTTCGAGTTCTGGAACACACAAACATATTTATAATTAATACAACAAAAAGGCAAATGTTAATATTTATGCTAGTATAATTTATATTATTAGATCATTAAATACAAGGTCTATTTACAGGGGAGGGGCAGCCCCTTTACCGAAATTTGCAATCTGCTTATGGATTTATAGAATGTAAATTGTAGAAACTTAATATTGTGTTATAATTATTATTAATTTTTTTTTTTGTATCAGTTACCTACTTATTTGTTTTTAAATTGACCAAATGGTTATCACGTCTTTTTGTCCAACTATTGTGGTCGTCACAATTAAACCGTACACAGAAAGTTGTACCTATCTTGAATGTTATCGGTAGCTATTGTTATTATTACTGGAAAGTCGTGATGGCGATGACAGTAGTACATTTTATACCGTTTAAAAAAAATAACACTGTGTATATTTGTTCAAGTAGGTAAATGTAAAATACATAATATTTGTGTTACAAAAGTTTTACCAAATTTTTAGGTTTAAACTTTGATTAGAATTTAGAAATAACTTAACTTCTCATTTTCTCAGTGCCTCGGTCCCCCTCCAAATAAAAAAATATTTAAATACTCTCCTGATTAAATATAATATAAAGGATATGCTCTGAAATTCCGAAATCTCTATTGCACAACATTTTTGTTAACTACTTTTTTTTCATCAATAAAATAATGACTTTTCTCTCTCGGAGGATTTGTTTTTTTTGGTTCAACTATTAGCATATTACCATCATTTTACGTACAGAGAAAGGCTTATTATTTTCAGAGTCTAATTATATTATGTTAGAACTACAATATAATATATATCATATTTTACTTTTGAGATCAAATTTAAAAATTATTTAAAATATGATTACCATCAAGAAATTCTTCCATATGTTTTTCATTCATTTCAGACGTGCTATTGCTTCTTGTCTGCAAAAAATAGTTTTAAATAATCAATATTGTATGTACTAGTGTACATTAGTATTATTCTTACTTCATCTTCCATGTCCAAAGTTGGACTTGTTCCTTCTGGAAACATTTCGTCAACAACTAATCCTGGTTCCATGATTTATAGAAGGTATGTAATGATCACAATAAATCTAACTAGAAAATTAAAGTTTTTTTTTTTTACAACAAGAAGAAATTATTTTCATTTTAATAATAAGAGCAAGTATAATATATTTTACTAGTAAAATCCTAAATGTTATTGCGACTAAATATAAAAAAAAACTAATACTCAAGATTAAAAAGCTTTTGTCTTTATACACAGGCCTTATATGTGGTGATCTAATCTAATAAGTATAAATTATATTATAAAATAAAAAAACAAACTCACTTAGAAAGAATACTTTACTAGTATTTTAGTATATACACAGATCACTTTCAATGTAAACAAAAAAGTGTCGGACTATGTTTATTACTGTATGTTATCTCTACACAACAAATAATAATAATGTAATATGTATAGATGTAACATTGTAGTATTGATTAGTATACTGAATCAATATCCTAGTGTTCATTTTTATCAGTGTCCGGGGTCTGATACTATTATCTTTAATCTTGGCCGGTAGTATCAGCTGTTATGCGTGAAACTGGCGGTTCCAAATTTGTTTATCTATGACGTTATCATTAATTTGTACTCGCACAAGAATGTGTAGCATAAAGATTTAGTTAGATAAATATCTATTTTTGTTTTTCAATTTTTGCGTTACAACCGACAACGATTGCTAGTCAGTCAAATACTTAAATCGTAGTTGACAGTTGTATTATACTGTTTTTTTAACAAAAAAAATTAAAATGGTTTATGACGAAGTTCTCAAAGATAAGTTCAAAAGAAGAAAAATTGTAAAAACAAAGAATAAACTCTCAAAATGTCTGGCGTCGTCAATACCCATTGAAATTCGAAAAGACACTTCGTTATTAAAATACTGGCGTAAAAGGTTTAGGTTATTTAGTAAATTCGATCAAGGAATTAAATTAGATCGAGGTAAGATGGTTCTTATTACAAACGAAAACATTTAGGGACGCCACATGTCCCGTATTATATGGGGTTGTCCTTTATAAGCAAAAAGTTGTGGAGCGACGTTCAGTATTGATCATGGTGGAAACCTATAGTCATTAAAAGTTTTAAAACGTTCTGTATTTTTCAAAATGCTATCTGAGATCCCTATTTCGTATAAACATTTACGGGTGGTTTAAAAGTGGGAACGCACATACATAAAATTCCTGAGAACTGTTGGGGTTCCTTGCCCTCTTTTGAAAACCCAAAGGAATATTTGTGCTGTTAGGATGGTTTTGAAAAGTATTTAGTATCCATGAGTATTATTTGTATTTAAACACTTATAACATAATATAGTGCAAATATTCCCCCGATTAATTATATTTAATAATTTTTTGAATAGTTAAATGTGCAGTGGATAAGAAGGCGAATTAAAGGTATTGTTTTTGATATCTGTACGCTGATAAATAAATGTTGACTGTCTCATTAAAACGCTGCATACTCGGGGGGGGAGGGGGTAGCTGTGTTTTTAATGATGGGTAATGTTTATTAAAAAAAAAAAGTACTTAATATTATTCGTCTATTTGATTGAATATAGAAAGCTGGTACTCAGCAACACCTGAAAAAGTTAGCCGTATGATTGCTAAAAGATGTGCATGTGATTTAATAGTGGACGGTTTTTGTGGTGCTGGAAGCAATACTATACAATTTGCACTCACTTGTAAAAATGGTAAGTAAATAATCTTTAATCATAATTAACATCAAAGTTTAGCCTTACATTTCTTTGTTTTAATTGTGTGTTAAAACTTTCATGAATTATTATATTCTATTCTATTTGCTTGGGGTTCCCGTCCGTTTCTGATGTTAGAAAGCATAATAAATATTTTTTTTTATTTCTAATGATGTACAAAATAATTCACTTGAAATTCCGCCAAACCATTCTCTGAGGTTTTTCAACCTTCTTCTTCCAATACTTCTTTTCACTTAATATTCTGTAAAGGTTATCTAAAATAAATCAAACTTTTTTCTTTTAGGCAATGATTTTTAAATATTATTTATATTTATTTACCTATAATATATACCTATAGTTTATTTATTTATTATTTTTATTAGTTATAGCAATAGATATTGATCCTGTGAAAATTGAGCTGGCACGCAACAATGCAGAGGTTTATGGAGTGTCGAATCGAATAGAATTTATTGTTGGCGATTACTACACTTTAGCTCCAACTTTGAAAGCCGATGTAGTGTTTTTAGCTCCTCCGTGGGGAGGTCCAACATATATAGCCCAAAGAATATTTAATTTGGACAACATTATGTTAGAAAACGGTGGCGGGAAACAATTATATGAAGCAACTCGCAAGATTACAGAAAATATTGCATATTTTTTACCAAGAAATATTGATGAACAACAGGTAAGTGTAAATATGTTTCAAGTTCTAAGATACAATTATAAAAAAAAATTTTAATTTTTGTAGTGTATTCAACTAGCCGGTGAGGGTAATCTGGTTGAGTTTGAAAATAATTATTTTGACAAGAGATTAAATTCCAAAACTGTTTACTATGGAAATTTAGTTACAAGCTGTGACAAATAATTTTTAATCGTTACCTTATATTTTTAGTTATGTATGTAATGAGTTTTTTTTTTATTTGTTTCCTTTTATAACTTTTAATTTGTTAAATAAAGCTTAAATACTGAAAACTACATTTAAAAACATAAGTTGCATTTATACGCATAGTTGTAGTATATTTAATGCATGTATATTTTTTTTCAAGACAAGTAACATAAATAATCATACTTAATATTGTATTAACAATAATTTTATATCTTAACATCAGTAACAATTTGGGCATTATATAAAATCAACAAAATGATATGTATATGTTAATATAAGCTGAGGTATTCTTAAAATTAATGTTTTCAATTAACATTGTTTTTAAAAAAAGATACAGTAATTTATGATTAAAAATGATTTAGCTACTGTCTTTGTTGCCTTAAATCAAACAAGCTTTGGTTACGTTTTAAAAATTACATATTATAGTAAATATTTTTGAAAAGCCATAATATATTTATGTCATAAATATTTTTGAGTATGTAACATCTAAAAGATTATTTAATTATCAATTATATGATTGGGAAGACTGTATATTTTAGAATATTATTAACAGTCCAGTTTCGCATTATAAAGTTACAGCTGTGTAATAAATATGCAGTTCTTTCATTAATCGGTAATCAGTTATAAAATGGTACATTTTTAAACTATGGTGTATTCTTACCATCACACTAAAGTGGCGTAGACGAATTAAATTATTCTGGTATACATTTTTAGAGTAATGGTATGAAAGCAACAGTTGTAATTGGATATTTTTTTATGTAATAGTTTGATAAATCTTAACTTACAAATCGTCAATTGTTTTAAATCTATAATCATCATTTATCTTGTTTATAAAACATCAAAAATTCCGTTCGTTTGAAGTAATTTTTTTTTAATGTTTTTTAAAAAAAACATTGAAACAACAACAGCGTTTTTCCTTAATTTTTTTAGCGACTAGTTTTTTTTTTTTAGGTAAACTTACATTAATCAATTAAAAAAATGATCTCAATAATTTATTCTAACGAATTTAAGTACTTGTTTAGTAAAACATAAATCGAAGGATAATTTGTAGTTGGTACCTTAAATCATTATGAGTTTTAATAAATTTACCTTATAACAACAAACTATTTCAATTAATAATAACACAAGTTCACAATTTTGATATGTAAATAGTCACGTTTTCAGTTTTACATAAATAACTGATTTTTTTTTTTTACAGGCTTCTTATACTAACTTCTTACGTTTTTTCGGGTCTGTTTTTAAATAACTCTTCAACTATATTTTCGTCGGCTAACGTTGAGATATCTCCAACTTCTCTGTCGTTGACAGCCACTTTTCTTAATACTCTTCTCATGATTTTGCCTGATCGAGTTTTTGGAAGTCCTGGAGCATGTTGAATAACGTCAGGCATTGCAAACGGCCCAATAGTTTCCCTAACTGTTGTAAAAAAAAAAAAATATACATATATATATTAAGCAATTTAAAACTTACAATTTATAGCTAATTAATAAATGTCTCTCCTTTCAAATCGTATCCAATATTTATTTTCCTATAAATAATTTGAGCTGTAATATTTTTTTTTTTGAAATGTAGCTATTTCACAAGCATACTAGTGAGGTAAGTAGGTACCTTTTTTAACTAGTTCCGAAGAAAGCTTCGGCGTAAACGACACACCGCTGTTAGGTGTAACAAAACAGTACAGACATTCTCCTTTTACGGGGTGAGGCCTCGATACGACTGCTGCTTCGGAAACGTTTGGATGTTCTGTAAGCACGGCTTCGACTTCGGCTGTGCTCATCAAATGCCCAGATACATTTAACATGTCGTCCACTCTTCCTGTCACCCACAGATATCCGTCTTCGTCGCGTCTAGCTCCTTCGCAGCAAGTGTTGTTAAATTAATAATTACAAAATCCCCATAGGGGTGTTGGATTCGCATTTTTATATTCTCACCGTCTCCCGTGCAGTAGTACCCTGGGAATTTGCTAAAATAAACCGACTGGTAACGTTCGTGGTTGCCAAACAACGTTCTCATCATTCCCGGCCAAGGTTTGTCGAACACCAGATAACCTTCGCCGACGCCCTCGATCACCTTGCCGTTTTCTTCGAGGAGAATCGGGTCGACGCCGAAAAACGGAAATGACTAAATCAAAATATAAAAAAACCGGTTAGACTTTTTAACGCTGCGGCGTTGACCGCATTTAAAGTTTGTAGACGCTGCTTACAGCCGAGCCAGGTTTCATAGGCGTGCATCCGGGAAGTGGCGTTATTACGTGACCACCGGTTTCGGTTTGCCAAAACGTGTCCGCGATAGAACATTTTTGGTTTCCAATGTTTTTGTAATACCATAACCAAGCTTCTGGGTTTATAGGTTCGCCGACTGAACCCAATACTTTTAGCGTGCTCAAGTCGTGTCTGCGAGGATTAAAATACAATATCAACAACTGGCAAAGGAAAGGCCCGATGAGAAGCCGTGGCCAAGATAGATATGGAAGAACCAGTAGAAGGGCGGGATTGGAATCACGAGCATCGGATATAGGTTGTTAGAGGTCAGAACGTACCGCGGAATGATCCTAAAGCCGATTACCCTATGAAGAAAAATTATAATATTTCATTAATGATAACATGCTTAGTTACTTTTTCACTGGTTCTTCTCCGAATTTCATTAGGGCGCGAATAGCAGTTGGGGCGGTGTAGAATTGCGTAACTTTGTATTTTTCTATTACCGACCAGTATCTTGCATTATCCGGATAAAACGGCGTTCCTTCAAACTAGAAGTAAACGGTATATCATCAAAATTGGACAACACAAGTATTTATTTTACCTATTCGTCAATAAATTGCAAGTCGTTTTTACAGTCGTGAACCGTACCTATAATTTCAGTTCCAAATAGCGGCTAAACTCTAGTGTTTACTAATAATTATTTTTCTTGTGGAAATTTAAAATCCTTGCCACTTATAAAACAACAGCTGACAACGAGCTAGCCAATTGCACTTACTATAACTGAGGTTGCTCCATTGGCTAAAGGTCCATAAACAACATACGAATGTCCGGTGATCCATCCTATATCTGCTGTACACCAATATATGTCTCCAGGATGATAGTCGAATACATATTTGAACGTTGTAGCAGCGTATATCATATATCCTCCGGTGGTATGAAGAACTCCTTTGGGTTTTCCCGTTGAACCACTGAAGATAATATAATAATAACAATATAAAGCATTATTTTGGGTATCTTTTTGGGCGCTAAAAATGGCCATGCCTAGTGTACAACATGAAGAGCGGATCTTCTGCAGACATCCAAACTGGATAACAGGCCGGTTCAACATCGTCCATTTCATCGTGCCACCAATAATCCCTTCCGTCCGTCCACGGAACCTGAAATCATATATACTTACGTGTTATACATAAATATATATATATAATATATTATGTACTCACTGCGTTTGTTAACCAATGGCCTAGATTAAATACCACGTGACCTATACAATATTAGGCTATTCCATAAAATAGATAACTCGCCTGTAAAAATTCACTGTTTACTACATGATATCCGTAGACTCGATTTGGGATAGGGTAAGTGAGCTTAAATATATTTTCGTGGGGTGCGCCGCTTTTTAGAGAAAATATGGCCTTGACGATATCTATCATAATAGAACTCATTAAAAATTGGCAAAAAATCATGCCCGGACCGGCGGCTCACCTCACCTAATATTGGTCAGGTGGTACCTGATCAATATAAATGCGATATACACTAGGCCATTTGTTAGCGATTGTAATTAATTGTACAAATAAATTTACGTCTGAATGAAGATCGATGATACCGTTTCCGTTGGTGCCGTTTGCTCCGTTCATTGATCTATTTAATCGTGTCAAATGACGAACGACTATACAAGACTGTACTTCATGACCGAAATGTTGCGATTTTTCCATTGCTACAGAACAGAAATGATTATTTAGCCGTTACCACTATTGGTAAAATAATGTAATTAGAATAATATTTCGTCCACTGTCGTAAGCACCTGTGTCGCAAAGACTTTTAATATTCAACAATTTATCGCCTCGGTAGACACTGTCCGCGGTGACTAGTACTTTACACTTGCAATCGGCCATTCGTTCTGCCAGCGAGTCGGCTGAAAATCCTGCAAACTTTATTACAATTCAGGTTATGCAAAATTGACATAAACAATCATTCAATTAAGCATGTAAATTATACGATACAGAAAATTCTATTAAATCGGCAAAATATTTGTCTAATGTCGATGGAATATAATTTTTTTTTTATTATTATTATTATTATTATTGATTCATTAAACAAAAAATATAACCCTGAAACATTGTGCGGTCAACATAACCTTTGACTAGTGAACACTTACAACAATAGAGTGAACTGCCCCAATTCTTGTGCAGGCCAACATGGCTATTACAATCTCCAATATCATGGGCATATATATAGCTACACGATCCCCTTTTGTTACGCCTTTAGATTTCAAGACATTTGCGAATCTGCATACTTCTTCCAACAACTTCTTGTACGTGATTTTGCTGTAGTCATCCGGATCGTTACCTTCCCTGAAAAGAATAATCAGTACGGTTATTGTTTAAACTGCACTACACAGAATAATTATGTTAGTTGGAGGCAAGAAAATCGGTGATGAGAAAAGAGGTGGATTTTTATTTTTAGGGAATGGACATAAAATCAGACGCAATTAATTAAATGTGTATTACGAGGAAAAGAAAGGACAATAGTAATAGCTTCAATTATGAGGTAAAATAAATGTGGAAGAAGATGACAATATTTAACATGCATTAGAAGAACACAAATCATGAGACATTTAAAGTATAGTCATTTCCAAGTAAATTAGAATAAAATGTCATAAGTTTGACACTAAAATTGTAGTTATTGTTAGAACAAAAAATATTTGGATGGCAATATGGCATAGCCTTAGATTACAAAGGTAAAAAGTTATTAAAAATAACAGGAACTGATTTAGAGAAAATGTTAAAGCAAATTTTCCTTCAAGCCAATAATGTCTTATGTTTTTAGCATAGGTATATGGCAAGTAGTTTTTGTTTCAAAAACAGAAAAGGATCTAACAGCAGTCTGCACTTTTGACATTTGTTGAGTTTATTTTAATTTAAAGTAAAAAGTCAAAAAGAATCTAATTTAGGTCGAATAACAAAACGATATGCGGCCAAGTTAGGTACTAAGCAAATAACTCAAAGCTTTCTTAACTTTTAAAATTATATTTATTTATTCTTATACAATAATATGTATAATACATCATATTATACCTCATAACATACTGTTTTTAAGTAAATTTTTATACCTTTCCCTTGGAACAGACATGATATGATCTTTAATAGCTATTGATTTTAATGCCGGTTGACGGTTGTTAATATTAACACTTGGGAATTTAGGGATATAAACTAAGCTCAAAGGTTGTTTCAAAAGGTGAGTGATCATCTAAAAAAACCGTGATTAAGTTAGGCATCATTTATCATATATTGATAGCATAGTGCACAGGTCTGATAAGTGCATTGTTTTGAGTACTTAATTAAGTTATAGATCAAAATATAATTATCTATCTATTTTATTAAAACCCACAAATCGCGAAAAAAATTTGGGAGTCAAAGATTTACATTTAGTGCTAGAGGTCATATCAAGTTTATTAAATAAATGGAATTGTAGTTAGATACTATAATGGCATTTGTTTTTGCTAAAATTTTTTTTTTTTATTGAAATAATTCGAATCCAAAAATCATAAATTAATACAGACTGAAATCTTGAACTTACAAAAATATGGTAATGTTAAATAACCAGGTTATCTACCTTGCTGATACACATCACGTTAAAATGCTTATATTTTTTTATTATTTATACTGTAATCTGTAGGTTACGACTTGTGATTATTAATGATGTCTGTTATATAATTATCTGTTTGGCTATGTAAAACAGACCACTGACACATAATGGTCATTGCCATTATTACTATGAGAACAAAATAATGATTTCAATATTACCACTAAAAATGCTTTCTTATATCAAAAGGTCATGCTTAGTTAGAAAAGAAAAAAAAATTAACACATTTATTAACAAAAGAAATAACTTCTTAGATGTTGTTTTATCTTTTCAATTATTTTTAAGTGCTATCATTTCATATATACCTAACTATATAACTAATTATTGCTTGGTACTTATACATTTTTTTAGTTTATTAAAATACCATGAAACATCTCAATTATTCAAGTACATAAATGGCCATATTATATTATTACCTGTTATTATATAATAGAGTATTAGAATTCTTATTCGACTCAAATAGGAGAGCTGGAGAGTTTTTTTTTATTCCACTAGCCGTTATCAGTTAAAACCTATTGTTAATTAATAGTTATTTAAAACAAAATTCACATAGAACAGTACAATAATAGCCTAGAAGAGCTATAAAGTACTAAAACAAAACTTAAAACTCATTAAATGGGTATGGGCATGTTGAAAGTAGGTAGCAAAATGAAATAGTAAAACGGGGAACAGAGACAATAATTATTGTCGGGGGATTTGTAAAGATCGGAGGAGATAAGATAATAAGAATGTAACCTCCACTGTGCTCTTCTAAAAGATTTCCGGATGGCGGATTAAAATCTTTCAGTCGGTTATTGGATTCTAAATTCAGTTTTCAAGGATATCCCTTGAAGACTGAAGCTACCACTCATAAAAGGGAACACTTAATTGTATGTACACGTTGTTCGTTACTTTAAAATTTTCTAAGATCTTCCAGTGCTTGAGTCGGGGTACTTAGTCCCCTCCAATTCGAAAACTGCCCAAGGATCATACTTACTTAGAAAGTTAATTGTAGTGTTTTCGCCATATTATATTACAGGTCTTGTCATCGTGTACCTCCTTTTTTACGATAAACTGTTCTTATTACTCAATCTGCATTTTACCAATTTAATTTGCGTATTTGCTATTTATCTTTTTTCAACGTTGTTAACATTGTTATACTATGTTCGTCAGTATAAATTAATATCGTTTATAATTTATAATCGTTTTTTGTTATTGTAATAATATTTCAAATGTCATTTGGTTATTGTTTGTTATCTATACGGGACAAATAAATTATCATACATCGTTTTCTATCGCGACGATTGCCTGTTTTATTATGGTTATTGATTATACACGAAAATTCTTCATTAATTCCTTTCAATCGAAAAAAAATGTTCTTAATTTTTTTAGCTACGACGCGATATTTTATTAATAAGCCCGATTTTCAGCGAATAGCTTACAATGCTAAAGCATACAATATTAGTGTATCCTGAGTATTAACACTAGTACGGTGAATAATAGGTACGTCAAGACTCTCTTTGTCCCGTTTGATATTTTCAAGTATAAATGAATTACTTATAATGCAGTTGTACCCAGTTAGGTCTACTTTAGATGAGATACTACTCATTGTATAGATTAAATTTCGAAGTAAAAATTTAGAGAATTCACAATACTGGAGATAAAATAATAGAATATAACAACACGCATTACGAATGGTTATGTGGACGTGCGTAGCGTGCAAAAAAGAGAATTAAATTAAATTTAAAGGAATGCGAAGGAAGTAATGAATGTATGATATTGAAGACGAGAAAGAGAATAATTTTATTTTTTTTTTTTTGGTAAGAATAAATTTATGGAATCATGAGTTGACCCAAATAATATGTATTAAACTGTATTAAGACTAAAATATAGGTTATTACATCATTATAGTGATCCACAGAGTAGTTGTTATAATAGGAGCCCGAATTAGTTAACATAAGGTCTGTTTTTGTTTGAAAAAAGATAGCATTTGCAACATATTGGGCGGAGTACTGATATAACAAAAAATGTTTCACTTTCTTCGATCGTTGACCAAGCTTTGCATTGTTTTTGATAAGCCAAAATGTATTTTCCCTTAAAGAAAAACTGCTACCGTTCGTTTGAACTTAAATTTCTCTAAAAATAATCTGCTATTAAAGTACCCATTTAGCGATACGCCGCGCCAGTTGCCACAAATTCAGCAATTATTATAATAATCGTTTTCAACAGTTTCTACCTTTGTCGTGTATAATGAATTATAATATAATTAAATGTCTTGACCAGTAGTTTTTAATTACTTTTTTAATAACGTTTGTTTAATTGTTTTTTTCATTTGTCTTTATGCTACATTACTAGTGCATTTATCCCACCTATATTATTTTTACACGCTTCTCTTTCTTCTTGGTCAACTCATGTCTACATCACTGTTCACTAGAAATAGTCATATCAGGGAAGGGTTAATTGTTAAACCAGTATGAGGTATTGTTTGAGTTGGTCGTTGTTTTAACAGAATTTCTATAGTGAGAAGAATTAAAAAAAATAACAGTCGTTGTTAAAAAAAAATACAAATTTCTTTGCAATAGAAACCAAGGTTTTGTGTAACAAGCACTACTAAGTGTTTGCACTTATGGAAGTACATGATAAATCATATAAGGGCTACACTTCGGGAGTATGTCTCTGAGAGACACGAGTAAATTCTCTAAAAATAAGCAAATTCTCTTAATAATCAATCTTTACTCTATTACTCATTTGTAAAATGTGATAGGCTAGGAAGTAAAGTATTGCCTTTATTCAGCACTACTTATTTACTTGTACTCTTCCTCAACAGCCAACGGCAACATATAATGGTCCGCCATTTTTATTCAATGGGCAAGAGTAATATAGTACATATTTTTATGAATAAAAATTGCCATTAACTAAAATTGTGTTTAGATCCCATTTGAATTTTTCAAATTTCCCAAATTATTGGTTTTTTTAAGTAAACGAAACAATTATTCAACATTGTCTATTAATAATTAAATTTGTTAAATTATTAATTCTTGATTAATAATAGTTTAGGTAAATTAATAAAATAAATAATAAACAATAAATTAATTAAAATGGATGAAATTGGAGGGATACATCTGTGAGTCAAAACGGCATAATATAAGGTAGATCAGTGGATAGAGCGCGAAATTTAAATCTAAGTAAACCAAAAAACCCGAATTTTTTTTTACTTAATACACTGCTCCAAGGTGTACGGATATGCATTATACAGTATAGGTTATGTACAGTGTATGTTCTTATTAATTCCATTTGTTTTCTTATGCCGATCGCAGGTTGCCTAGTTTCCTACTGCCGACCGCTGCGTACGTTGGTGATAATTTAAATTTTATTTTATCATCAAAGCGTTTTTTTTTTTTATAATTACTTACAAATAAGTAGGTATTATGTAATCAAGTTATGAAAGATCATTTCTCTTTTTTTTATATTTTCTCCGTCTTAAAAACTCGCTATTTCCTAGTTGATATTATTTCATATTATAGTCTTATGAATTGGGACCACTATGCAAATAAATATGAACGAGATTTCTAACATTTTGAAAATTTATGTGTATACAGAACCTATATTGATTCTTATTACAAAAATAACACAGAAATGTTGAAATGACATTGTTTTTCATATGAACAATAATTTGTTTTAATGACCCTTACTTAAAATAAATTATGTCAACTATAGTTATTTTAGATTTGATGTTTATGGTATTGTTTTTAGATTTATGTTTTTGGTACTTTATGAGGCCATAAAGTGAAAAAGTTTAACGTTTCCCCCTTAAAATCGATAAAAACACTCCAAAAATGTACATATTTTTCTACTTAAAAAAAAATTAAGGTAGATCTAATGTGGTCCTTTAACTTACAAAACGTTTTCAAAAATCTCTAGTCAAACTTTGCGCCTTAGATCACCCCTTCCTCGCCCGTTGGATTAAATTATAAAGTCCTTAAATCGAGCCTATGATTCGGCCTGATTTAATATAGAAATGTCTAGTTTTGTCTACGGTTAATAATGATTTATGAGACTTAATGGATTTTTTTAAAAAAATTTAACTCCTATCCTAGTCCTGGTCGTTAATAATGAATATTTATGAGGTATTTTATTGAATGGTTGTAAATTTAAATAATGTACAATGCACGTTTTGTCGATTTAACTAATGTATGCGTTAAGCCGTTAAACAAAAACAAACAAATAATACACTCAATCCATTGACCATTGGAGAAAATTAACGATATGAGACTTGCGTTATACTTTATAGTACAATTCAGGTGAAAATGTATACAGAACGGATGGTTTTCATTACTTTTAAGTAACTACAAAAACCAATATATTCCCCGTTTAGGTATAATCATTTGACGACGATGAAACTTGGTATATGATAGGTAGAGACAGACAAATTTAGTATATTAGCTACAAATGATTGAACTATAATATGCATAATTATTTTATGAAAATAATGACCGACTATAATAGTCAATTATTTATAGTTTGTTGTCAACTTTTTACTATAACGGTCAATGAGTATAATTGTCGACTTAGTGGATTATCGCACTCGACGGTCGTTTAGTAAAAATCAACTGACAGCGCGATTCGCGTATAGGTTCAATGTTCGAAAAACGTTGTATGTATAATACCAGGTGAATCTTCATTGTTATGCATTATTCTGTCGCATGTGTAGTTTTTCATGTATATTCATGAAAATAATCGTTAAATAATAGTTGAAAACTATCATAAGCGCGAGCGTTTAATTGAAGCTTGACCTGATATTAACTATTGGGTTAAGTAAAAAGCTGTTAAAAATATAGTTTTTGGCAGCATCAGTGTTTGAGAGTAATACATATCTACGAAAAGCTTAAATGTTTTCTTTTTCCAAACAAAAACAGACCTCACGATAGCTAATTCGGACTCCTTATGGCCTATTAATTCTTTTTCGAGCTGTGTAAAACGATCCCGTGGCCTTTTCCGAAGCCGGAGGAGCTACACACTCTGCACACCCTGTGAGCATATGTGCCTACATGATATTGACTACCTAACGGCATAATATTAACGGTACACATCCTACCAGTAGAACGCTATTTTGTCTCCCATCCCTTGCCGGACGTTTTTGTCGAGTAGATTGTAGCAGACGTTTGTGGTGGCGCCTTCCATCCATTTGACGCGAACAGGCCCGCGGGACACGTCGAAGTTGTACGAGTTAAAGTCGCGAACATCAAACGGCGTCTCCCAGTGAAACTGATTTGCGATTTCCGACCAAAATTCGGCGGGCGAGTCAATGGATTTCTTGTGCATGTCCCGGTACTGTTCCATGGACCGCACGTATGCCCTCTCGGACAGCGCATGATCCGGCAAGTATACGTTTTTCGACATGTTCTCGGCGTGTATTTATCGTTGTCTGATTGTAATATTAAAAACTTCGGTTTCGAAAACTAAAACAAAAAAAAAAAACGAAATAATAACAACACAAATGTACAACGATCGATACTACACAGGCACTAGGTACAAGCAAACTGACGGACGGCGGTGCCCGGACTACGCGCCACTCAACGGACAGGCGCCACGCCACTGACTACGAGCCGCGAGGAAAAGCGGACGGTCGGTCGGTCGGTTGTACGCACACACGAGCGAGCGCAACGCTGCGGGTACCGCGCAAGGGAACATGTCAATATTGCAAACATTACCAATAGCACCACCGTGCGACACCATTTCGCCCTGGAAACACCAGTACCTATCTTTAATGGTATTAGATTCACTTCAGTTCTCGCCCGTGGCAGCCAAGGTCGCGATTCTCAACCAGATCTCATCAACATTTATGTATATTTTTTTATAATTTCTAGATGTATATAAATATTTTTTTTTTTTTTGCTAGTCTAAACAAGATCATTCTTTTGTAGACTTTCAAGGACACATTTTGCACGTACAATTTTGAAAATACAACAGGTTCCTTTTTTTTCCCAAATAGGCAATAGTCAAATACATAAAAAATATATTATGTCATATTAAATAAGTATGGATGAATTTTAGCTTATCACTGTATCTTTTACATGTTATTACGCTTCCGCTCTCCAGCTTTAAAACCCCAATGTTTTCCTAATTCCACCACAGCCACTCGTTAGTATTGCCTTAATAAACCCCGATTAAAATATCTGAATTCTAAAAAAAAAAAAAAAATATCGCAAAGGAATACATTCTATGCGTATACTAATTACGCTCGTGTAAACGATTATAATTTTTAATAAACTTGATAATATTTAAAAATTGTATTATTCATAATAAGTATTAAGCGTAATATTTGATTTTTAAACCCTAGAGCATAATGATTTACCAAATTGTTTTTTTTTTAAGTAATGTTTTTTTAATCTATATTTTAATGGGATATTAAACAAATTGGTAAAATACTTTTAGGAATGGATACAGTTTTCAAGATAATCTAACCTCAGAATTTCTCTAGCACATTAATTTGTTTTTTAAATCGCCTCCAAAGTCACGTATACAACTTGCGCAACAAAAGTCATAATTTTCTAATTATCATTTCTGTTGTAGAACTAAAAATGCTAGATTATGTTTGGGACCAGTAATGAGTTCAAGAAAATAAGTAGATAAAGAACTAATTCAAAATGCATTATAGAAAATTTTACAAAGAATATCACGTAACAGCAATTTTTGCAACTTTGGTGGAGATTATAAAAATATCTAGATATGCTAGAGACATGGCATTGCTAGATTCAGCTTTAGCAAAAAATATACAAAAAGTAGTTGCAATTTAATTCTTGTTCCAAATTGGTGATTTCACTATTTTCCTACAAACGTGACTCATTGTATAATCGAATCAGTCAAAACATTGCATTATAGTTGAATATTTTTTTTTATTTACACTATTGTATTTTAATTTTTAGCTTAATTTTAAAGCCTAAATAACGGTAATTTGATATTAACTCAAAAACAACACAAGTCGCTTATGTTTATATTGAAAAGGTCAAAGAAGTACCTAACCTTATTTAAAATTTGAACTACGAATAACAGATACTAAAAATAATTTTATGAATGGGAGGAAATGCGTATAAATTTTATTTCTAGATTAATTAAGTTTTGTATGGTTAGTCATTAGTGTAAAATTGCATTTTTTTGACTTGTGTCGTTTTTGAAATGACTCATTCAATAAGTTTAGGCGAAAATATTTGGTTTTGTTAACTTTTTGTTCATTGCATTTTTTCACAAAAATTGTACATATTTTTAAAATATTAAATTTCATGAAATTTTTAAACGCTATCAACATTGATCATATTAATATTTATAATCAATGCTATTAAAAATTGCAGCACATATTCGAAAAATCACGTGATAAAAAATTATAATCTGACATCAAATGTTGAAGTTCAGGTACAAGCTATCGAAATCTAGACGGAAAACACGTTTCTGTTCACAGTGACAAACGAGTGTACGACCTTAACATTGTATGCCTTAGGCGTGATTCAATGATTATAATCAATCGTAGCCGATATTTAGATTTTTGATGCATTAAAATAGATGCAATGGACTATTGCCATTTGTCGCTAAAGAAAAACACAACTTTTATTTTTATCTTAATTGCCAATCAGTCAAGTCCCGACAATACTCGACGAAGATAGTAATAATAATATAGTTTAGTTTTTACTGCCAACCTGTAACTTATGAGTGTAGGTAAAGAAATTACATAATTTAGGACTGTTAGTTCAAACGACGAATGCACGTTATTTATTTTTTAACACTGAACATTGAATTAGCACTATCGTATTTAAACAAATGATCAAGGTCAACACATTAGTTTGAAAGTCGACGGTTTGTGTGCACAACATTTTTGAGTGCTTAATGATACGGTATACGATACAAGTCATTGTGTACGTATAATATAACTTTCAATTTCACAATTTCGTTACCACTGTACATTGTACTTCAAAAACTGTTTATACATTATTATTGCCGTTTTTATCTATCGTTTTTGCAGGTAAATAATTAATAATTAGTTAGAAACAAAAAATTTATAATTTTTTTTTTTAAGGTTTGTAGGCGAGAGTTTAATTGGCTTAATTTTTGTTACCGGGAAAATGTACTCCAAAAAAAGGCCCAAGCGGTGTGTCAAAAATTCTTTGAAAGATATAAATATTTGAAACTACTATTTTTTAAAAGACGTTTTTGGAAGCTACTTTGATTGGAATCGATGAGACAGAATTATTGGTTCCACGTTTTTTTGTTTCAATACAATGTCGAACACTCGAATCCAATCAATGTGAGTTCATATTGAACCAGATTCAAACAATTTACCGTTTAAAGTGATATTATTCAAAGTTTTTGCATGCGTTCAATCGTGTATTTTTATATAAATATAAACTTACGTTTTCATGAATAATATTTTAAATAATAATAATTTATAGATTTCTGTTGCTATCTTTTTTTTTCTTTTAATGTTCTCTATCTTTCTATTTTTTTTTTTAGCAAGAGGGAATATTTAAAATATTATTATTTCTCAGTAGATATTAAAATTGGTTAGGTTATGTTCTTGCACGTTGTACCTAAAGTATATAAATATCGAAAAAGCCTAAGTACCAGAAAAAAAAAACCTTCGAGAAATGAGCCTACTGGGATTTCCCAGTAACTCGATGGACCTATCCAAATATTTTTGTAGTCTATGCGGGTATAATTGTGTATAATGTAGCATATAACCACTTAAGCGTACAATAAAAAGGAACGAACATAATATCTATTATAAGGTACCCAATATTATCATTAAGTATACGTAAATTATAACGGCAAAATTATTACAACTTGTACCCATTACGATAACTATTAATTGTATGACGTTATTTGTTTTCCAAAACAATCAATTACAGGGAAGTGGGTTAAAGACTTGTAATTAAGTACCTAAACGAACATAGAATTACACTAATTATTCTGTTATTATTAGATGTATCTAAGTGCCTATATACTTGTCTCAGTTAAATTTAAGTATACTATGTAGACGTAGCCGGTAGCCGTATAATATGAGTACGCTGTACGAGTGCTGCCTACCTACATGTAATATATTTTATAACCAGGAAATCATTGCAAATAAAGGCTATTAAAAAAAAAAAAAAAAAAAAAAACCAGGAAATCAAAAAATTTAATTTATGCAAGCTTGGATAATTTTTTATAACACCAAGAATTTTAATGATGGTTGTATTGTATTACAATAACATTTACCATTTGCTAATGGTCTCGTAGATTTTCCAGTTTTACCACATAGGTAGCTATTAATATAGAACGGCAGCAGAACAAACATACATAGGTATAATACACAGAATATTATGGTTATACAATAGATAGACACAGGAAAAGCGCTTACACAGGTTTATGTAACCTTGCGCGCAGGGCACTAGGCCGACTCTGTGTATGTAAAGCAGAATAATAATTTAACGTGCTTAGGTACTTTGTTGCATAAATTAACTTGCCGAATTATTGTAAAATTGTATTAAAAAAAAGCAAGTGCAACGTATCCGACTGCGCAATTTCATGTAGAATTATTGAACTAAAATTTATAATATACAACTTATACAGGCAAAAATAAGCTATCTGAAAAATTGAAATTATTTAATGAATAAATACAAATACCTACCTACGTTTCTGGCCACGAATATCCTTGTTTACCGCAGCTATATTCTATATCAATTACCTAACCGGTAAATAAGGAAACCATATTTTTCAAGATCACTATTTTAATCGAACTGGATACCGCCTAAGTGAGTGTTTACTAATTAGTAATTGTAAAAGGTAAATCATTTTTATATTCTTATCTACTTATTTTCCTACATATTTTATTCCTATAAACTTTTGAATAAAGTCGTTTATGCGGTTTCTTTTAATAAAATAATTTTTTTTTCTTATAATTTTCATAAGCTCCGGTTCCAGTTACGTTTGAGTCTACGTGTAGGGTTGCCAGGAAAAATTATAGTGAACACAAGTTTTATTAGAGGATTTGAGTTTATGTCAAGTTTTAAGTAAAATCTAGAATAGTTAATTTTGGCAATGGAAGTCAATGTTGGTTAAATACCAAGCAGCACCAGTTAACGTCCGGAGCGAGATGTTTTGGAAAAAAAAAACTATTTTAAAAATTATTGTACACAACTTTAAATTTACTTATCAACTTTATACCTACATTATTCCTTGAGTGTAAGATTTAGTTGATATTATAGTCGAGTACCTAAGTTATAAGCCCTTAACAAAATTAAAGCTAATTGCGACACTACTTTGAAGTTTGAATACCATAAACATAAATATATATATATATACATTTAAATTAACTATGAAGTGGATTGATAGTTTCCAAACAAGTAAATACTTTGAATGCGCCGACTTCTTTTCCAAGTAAGTTGATACTTTATGATAAAATATTTAAATGTTTATTTTAAATTATTCGTGAAATAAGTTCGGTTCGAGCTTACTCGCGTGATAATAAGTTATCAATCGCTACTGCCGACTGCAAAACTTCCAATTCTTATAAAAAATATAACGTTTTCTTATTTTAATTTACGTGACTATCAATACTTAACCCAGGATGTTTGATTAAATAATATTTAAAGCCGACGTCATTATAACCTATACTGGTCATTCAGGAAAGATAACGACTAACGACAGCGGATTGACGCGAGCATAATAATATTATCCACAAATCTTACAATGACCGTGATCAAAATTCTAACTTTAAACGTGTTTTTTGAGATTTTTTTTAATTGTTCAAGAACTGTTCTTGTCGGTGACGTCTTCATAATTTTTTCATATAGGTAAAACATTGTTTTTTTTTTTTAGCTCACAGTTTATGGGGTTCTCAATACCAGATAAGCGTTATATCCTAATACGTCTAACTAGTTGATCATGATTCATGGCTACTGCCTACTTATAATAATAAAGACTAAGCTTAAAAAACAATATTTTTGGAAAACTTTTTCATTCGTTAGCACAAAATATGGATATTACGTATTCACATTAAAGTGGATTTTTCGCACATGAATTTATAAATAGTATATTATCTTACATATGTATACATTTTAAATACCCAAAGCCTTTTGTGCATTTTTGTAAAAACAAATTCCACATTCCGCAAAATGAACGTGTTTCGCATACAGGGATACAATAATTGATTTAGACTAAAAAACTTAGTAGGTATCACAATTACAATACAACTAACAAAATTAAGAATGTAATCAGTAGGTAAAATTATGTCCCAAAAAAGTTAAAAGATGCCAAAGGTTATCCAATTATTTACTTTATGCCGTGCTACCTTATCGGAAAGAATTTAAATGTCATACCTTACTAATTAAATAAATCTACTTTCATTAGTAGTGAAAACTAGAAAATTATAATGTCGAGTGTAATAAGAGTCATGATTTATCATTTTGATTTAAAAAAAACTCATGTATATCTACAATTGGCAAAAATGTTAAATACATACATAAAACCAAATCGGTAACATGTTTTACGATATAAAACCTGCAAACCTGTACGTCACAGTCGGGATAGCATTAAGCTATGATATCAGCATACAAATAACTTGACAAATTTAATTACATATAATATAAAAAATGTTTTTATTTGAATGTATGAGTATTCTTATTGTTTTAAAACATTTAAAAAAATATATGTATTATATGTTAACACAATTCTTAAGCAATTGAAGTAAATGTATTCTGACTAAAATAACTTGTACATACTTCATTAAAACAAAACAAAAAGTAACAACTAGAGATAAACATATATATATATATATATATATATATAACAGTAGGGGATTAATTGAGGTTATTCCCTATATTAATTTGACTGATATATATTATGAATTTAGAAGAATTTTATTAACTATGATTTTTTTTAAGAAATTCGGTATATTGTTCTTCAGTCATTAAATTTGTCAATTCATCGGGAGAAGACAACTGTAATTTAAATAGCCAACCTGTAAACAAATTTAACAATTATATACTACATATTAGCATGATGTGATATCAATAATAAATTCTTCAATTACCATCATTGTAGCACGATTGATTAATTAAAGCCGGTCTTGTTTCTAATGACGAATTAACATCAACTACTTTACCGGATACAGGACTGTAAAGTTCACTAGCGGCTTTAACGCTTTCTAAAGCACCACATTCATCTATAAGAATCAACTGAATTTTAATATTGACATAATCTGAGCTAAATTTACTAACACAACAAATGAAAACATATTTTTACCTTTTACTTTAACTTCGGTGCCCACAGTAGGCAACTCTGCATATACTACATCACCTAATGCATCCTACAATTATCAAAATATAATTAGGTCAAAAAAGTAAAAAATAGTATTGAAAAATATGTTTTTATTAATTACCTGAGCGTAATGTGAAATTCCAACTGTACCTACATTGTCTTTCACTTCGATCCATTCGTGTTTTTCTGTATATTGGCGATCTAAAACAAAAATATAAATACTCAATTATTATAATACAATCGAAACAAAGAAAATTACATCATTCCACCAAACCATTAAGAATATTCGACGTGGAAAAACGCATGAGGTTTGTTGATAACATTAGTGAGCTTTGCATTCTAGATATTGCAGCACATCTAGACAGTAAACCGATTTTTACGAATTTTGTGGATAACATGATACTATATGTGAATTTTTTTTTTACAATACACAACAAATAATAGTACGGATAGCGCGAGTAGCAAAATTAAGATATTCGATTTTAAACGATTCTCAAAACCCCGGTTATCCTTATCAATATAATGTTGCGATAAAAGTCCACCATACTGTACCATAGTTCATGGATCAGCTGTGATTCTATATAGTGTCAACACCCGATTACCATGCACTACCTTTTGTTCCACACATTTTTTATTCCATGAGACATTTGGCTTGTTCCAATCACAGATATATATAATAAACTAGATTGCTAACTGTTAAAGACCTATAAATAAACTTATCTTTATAGGTCTATGCTAACTGTACATGCCACCAATAGAGAAGATTGAAGCAGCCACTTTCCGCCATTTCGGTGAGAATTAGAACCTTATCACGCGAGAATAATATAAGTTTATAACAATTACTATATATATATATATATATATATTGATATAATTATATATACAGATGTATATTATATGCATTAATAACACACATAAATCCCACCAGAATGGCGGACCGTCGGCCTCAATTCTTATCGCTAGTTAGCGATCTAGTTTATTATATATATCTGACACTGCCAATCTATAGATAGTGTTATCTATAGATATTATCTATGCAGCTTGTGATCCATTAAATTATGTTAAAATTTAAAAGTTAATTATTATTTATTACACTAAAGCTTTGGACCGCACAGATTCCAATTTAAATTTGATTTCTATACTATGCTGGGTTACACGAAAAATAATAAATTTAATGGTTTACCACTATAGTTAAACGGACCCAATTACCGGCCATATTGCAATTATTGACTAAACATAATTCAAACCATTGGATATCAAATAAAATATTTGAAAATAAAAATATTCCAATATAACAAATCTGAACGTTTTAGCTTCGATGCGGAGCTGAGAAGGTATTGTTTTTACAATGATGTGTTTTTATTTTTGAGTCTGGACCCACGATATCTCGTAAACCACTGAACCGCGATTTCTTCGTGTAGCAACTCTATAGATCAGAAATCGTACCTGTAAGGTACTTTAACAGGCCTAATATTAAAAAAAGTCACCCCTATCCCATCAAAATCGAGAAAAACACCTAAAAAATGTACACATTTTTTACAAATCTTTTTCAATATATTAAGCAACGATGAATTGAAAAACTTTTTCTGAAACATTATGAAATGTTTGATTCGTATTATTCTATTTAAAGAACATTCAAATTGTAAATTACCTTTTCTGTACAATATGAAATGTTTGCTTTACTATAACCATTTAAAATAATAATTACCAAAAATCCTAGATACCCAACAACAAATATGTCATTATGTATAATTAACTTTATTACATAAACAAATTAGTTTTAACTATTGTCTAAAAAAAAATTGTTTTATGACTATTTTAACAATTTTATATACATCAGATATTCAAGTATTCAACAAGTTGATTCAATAGTCATTAATCAATTAGATTTGAAACACAATTAACTAAAGAAACTAAGAAAAAAAAATTGACAATACCAAATAAAAATAGTTAAACTAACTATTTAAAGAAATAAGAAATAAATAACTAAGTAAATTCTTACCAAACTCATTTGTGTTATATTATGATTACCTAATAAAATATACAAAGAAAAATCGGAAATATAAATCTAATTAAAACTATGATCTACATATAAATAACAGTAATTTTTACTTATAATTAGTTAATTTAAATAGTATAAATATCGTATGGCTATACCAGTTCTCACGCAAAAAAAAAAAAACTAAGTTAAGAATACATTTTTTTTTTATTGTAACCTACGATTATGACTGTTTTTACATTCAACACTCGTTTTACAATTTTAGATTGCCACTTTTCATAGCTTATAGATTTTGTTGTGGAATTAAATCAAATTTAAACATACATTAATTTACTCCGCGTTTTGGACCCGACCATATTATATTAAATCATACATTCATTGCGGTCAGCTATTTTCTAAACAGGTTACTACAAAAAGTATACAGCGTATTCCATCCAACATGTGCGTTCTATGGCTTGCGTATTTATTTTTACACTTTTTTTTGGTAACAATATAATTTATAAATCATCTTAAATTAGTTGTATGTATCACTTCTAATGTACTTGGTCGGTGTTTTTAGGCATGAGAGCTACACTGTTATTTACGGCAACATTAACACAATATAAAAACTTGTCTACATGCATTGTTCAAATGGTCATGGAACATTTCAACAGTTGATAAAAACTAAACACTATAACAGAGCCGTAATGGGTAAATAATTTGCACAAGAAAAATCATTGGTAAATAACGCATGACAATCATTTTGTATGTATGTATTTGTTGAATTAAAAATTTTGTAAGTACATTTTTCGCCAAATTTGTGTTTACTGCGTAATCCGATATAAAAAAAGTTTTTGTTTTTCAAAAACGTGTTAAAAAAGTCCATATTTTAACTAAAAGCGTAAAAAAAATAAAAAAGGAAAACTCTAAAATGCTCTCCTGATTAATAGTAATTTTGTATATACATTTTAAAATTAAGCCATTGATATATAATTATGAAAACCCAAACAGAAATTTAGCACTATAACATGGAGATATTATGTAGCAAACGTAACAATTCATAAAATTAATTATTTTCCATTATTATCTACTTATATGCTATATTATATCATAATTAATAAGTTTTTATTTTATACTATAATTACAAATTATAGTCAAACAAAACAAATATATATTATTTATATATATCTAAAAAAAAAAAAACACACTTAAGTTTAAATTTTGATCTTGTGAATTCAAGAAATGGTGTTTAAATAATAATTTAAAAAAATGAAAATTATGACACTTTAATCACTCACTAGTCGAGTTTAACATTACATCTTATTAACTATAGTGTATACACAGATATACTATATACATAATACATGTAAAATTTGTCAAGGTTAGTAATTAACAAAAAAAAGTAGCTAAACAAAAATTGTACAAAAAAAAAAAAAAATTTTGTTTACATATAATATTATCAAAATCACAATATTAGTAACTCAGTCTTTACCGGGTCGAAAATTACAAAAACGTAAAATGTATTAATAATTAAAAAAAAAAATAACCTATAAAAAAACATATAATCAATATTGAGCTCCTAAATATAAATAAATATGCAAATTCTAACATGTATTATAATATTTAAATACAAACAAATATCTAATATTGATGTCCAAAGTCCAAAACACATATTTATACAAATATGATAAATGCGTCTAAAAATTTCAACTAAAGGGGAAAAATGTGTTTTAAAAACAACGTATAATTTTCTGTTCAATCACAGATCAGCTTATGAAAAATGTCTATATTTTAACTATTATTTATCTCCTCTATAGCTAGAGAGTCGTCTTGATGACAGTAACGGCGACTGGGAAGGTGATCCATGGCCTTCTTCCATTTCTTCATACGTTTTGTCGCGTGCAAAATCCAGTCTAATCTGAACAGGGTTTGTTGTTGTAGTGTCAGGTATATCGCTTTTAGATTTTGTTTCTTCAATTTGAATATTGACATTTTTTGAGTCCAACTCGTTTTCATTTGGCACCGGTTCGTTTTGTCCAAATTTTATAACTATTTCTGCCGTTTTTATTTGTAGTTTTAAAAACGACGGGTCTGACTGACTCGCCTGACCAACCGCGGCTTGACTACATTCACCTTCAGGATTTTCTCCTTGAGTCTTCCCTATTTGGATGTGCCATGATGTTCCAGTGTCGTTGGGCATTACTTTTTCAGCATCTTCTTGTTCACGATTGTCGACCTCCTGGAATCTAATTGGATTATCTTCGTTGTTGAAGAATATATGAACATTACGCACACCCTTGAGATCAATACTAGTCTCATCATTTTGTTCAAGAGGCGTCTTGGACGGCACTGCCGACAAAGTATTGGTTTCTACCGAGCTACACTCGGCAACGTCAATAAGAACACTTTGATGTTTTTGAGGTTTCTCCGGTGCATTTTGGACATATATTACCCTAACACAAAAACAAAAATCCGAAAATAAATCAGTTAAGAATTATTGAAATTTACTTTATATTTTTTTAAAATTCAAAATTACCTGTTGTAAGCTTTCCATCGTTGACACAACATAAAATATGATTTACATTGTATATACATGAAAACTACTCCACCGGTAAATCCAATGCCTACAACAATCAGTTTTGTCCAAAATGGCCATTCCAACGAACCTTGTTCGACTTCGTCGAGAGTGCGATCCATCAACACGTACAGTGACCAACATACACAAGTCATAGCAATTATATGAAACAACATGGCGCAAACAAGTTTCTTACGTTCCATACCAGACATTTCTAAATGCTCCCACTGAAAGGATAATTTACGCTTTAAAATTATTTTTAAAAGTAAGGGGAAAAAAAATTATTTGATTTACCTGACTAAATGGTTTAGTTTTGGTTTGCATAATGAATTGGAATTTGCATAGTTCACAACATCGAATATTTGAAGATTTAATCCATTGCTGTAGACATACTTGATGAACAAATCGCAATGAACCCGCACAATAACACGGAGCTATTAACGGTGTGTCAATATCACCTTCACAATGGCATATTCTAAAAACATATATAAATTGCATTTTGTTTTGAACACATTTTTTTTAAAAATAAAATATGTGCTTATATTTGTATACTATCTTTCAATTTTTTATTTAGAGCTAAATTAAAAAGTACCTCCATTTACATATATATATATATATATTTTTTTTATTAAAAATAAAATTGTACAATTTGTGTATACATATAACGTGTATAGCAGACTTGTTACATTGTATAACTTACAATACAATTTTAAGATGATTTCAAACAACTTTTCTTTTAGTAAAATACATTTAAATTTTAAAGCGTGTTTAAAAATACAATATGCATTATAGTATTTTATGTTACTTTTCATATTTATTCTTACTTTAAACATTAATATAATTAAATACTAAAATAAAATAAATGATCAAATTTACAAATAGTAAATTTTATTTATTTTGAATATTTTGTTAGATGTTACAAGATATTTGAATAATTGTTCAAACATTTTAATGTAATATTTTAATGGCTTCAGTTAATAAATTTACCTGCATATGTCCAAATTAATTGAAGAAAAACTTGTATTTCTCGAGAATCCATCGTCATTTCTCATTTTCTAAAAACACAAAAAAGACAAATTAAACCTAGTAAAATTAATGGTTAATTTTTTATTTCAATTCAGTTCCATTAATTTGTTAATTTCTTGTTAATAGATAAAATAAAAATTGCATACATTTAATAAATGCGTAAATGATAAAATAAATTAAGGTACCTAGTTATATACCTTAGAAGTGCATTATTACTCTATATCATAATTTCAATGTTAATGTTGATCAGTTAAGAATTAACGTTGATAGTAATAGTCAGTTAAATGTTTGTATAGTATATACAGCGATTGGCAAATCATATTTATTATAATCATTAAAAATATTATAATAATATATAAATATATATTTATGATTTTTTTAACAATAGATATATGATATAATAGTAATGCAACATTTAACCGTTAAGGTAGAATATTATTTCAAATGAAACTATTATTTGCTAAATTTAATAGTAGCTGTTGATTGTAAATATTTTTAATTTACAACAATATACTATCTATTGCTTAATAGTTATAGTTATTAATTTACTATTACTAACCTAACCTTTATACTAATTTTATCAACGGCATATTTTTATAAAGCAGAGAAAAAAACGCTAACAAATTCTCCTCTAAAACTTATTATTTTGATATTTATATTGCAATGCAAATAAATTAAACAGATAACGTCCTCCTTTAAAACATGTGTTGATTCTACCATTAAAAATTAGATACGATGTTCAAGTTACTAGCCAATTATTGTATGATTTTGTACCATAACAAGGAGTATAATATATAAATAATATACTTTAAAAACAATGTTAATTGCAGCACATTAATAATGGAACTATGTTACCATTCACTTTCACAAAAAAAACATTAAACTTCCAAAAAAATTAGTTTAGCCTGTGGATTATTTTTACTGAATCACTTGATGTACTAATTTGTTCAAGTGCAAACTGTAAAGTCATCGTATCAGTCAATTATTGGTTTATCAAAAGTGAAGTGAAAAAAATTTAATAAATTGGCTTGTTATATAATTTATTTATATAAAACAATATGATAATCACATATACTTAAATTATATAATAAAACAATCAATTGACTGACAATATGGAAAAATCAGTTAAAAGTTAATAACCTAGGGTCCTGCAGTAAAAATAAAGGATTTAAAAAAAAAACATTGTAAGATCTATTAAACCTATAAAACAACTTTAAGCCTCCTTTTCTACTTTGTCTAATAGTGTATTGTGATCAGTTATTACTCTAACATTTTTTGAAATTGTTAAACTCGAAATGTTTAAACTATACATATACAACATTTTTTACATTATAGGATTTATATTATATTAATAAAAACAATGAGCGCGTTTAAAATTTCATTTTTACACTAAATTAATTGGTACAATCAAAATATGCTCTTAATTGCTTAAGAATTATCTAAAAAAAAAAGGTAATAATATTGTATTCAAAATATGTTTTTGCCATAAAAATTTTTAATTTAATAGGTAGTCAACTTTATAGGAAAAGCCCTCTTAGGCACGATTATCTATACAACGAAAAAGTCTTTAAGACAGGACTGTATAGAAATTATTATCAATTCATAGATCTGAATAATTTTGATTATGAAAGCAGTATAAAACTAATATGCCTATATGAAACATATTTTCTATATAGAAGTGACTTTATATAATATATAGATACAAAAATGGTACACTGAAAAGTGAAGTTTATAGTGTATTCTATGTTATGTTAAAACTACGTATTAGCATACTTCATGATTGTGAAATTGTTAATTAATAACATTAATCTAGGTATTATTATTAAGTCTTAATTTACAACAATATGTCTATAGATCAGGAAGTAAAACATTGAACATTAATATTACGCTACCGGTTTAAAAACATAATTATTAATCGACCCTTACTGGATGTTGTGTTATGGCTTGTGTATCAGTCGGTTCAGGTTTGATGGGCAGTTTTCCTTGCATGGTCGTTGCTACTGCTGGCAATTCGTGCGGTACTCGTACAGCTGATTACTGTCAAGACGATATGGTTTTCGAAGAGATAATAAAGAAAAATTAAAACTTTATAATATTATTTCAACGATTGTTGGGTTTTCCATAGCACGGGCTATAGCTACAGATTAATAGACAAAACTCAACTATTCGACAGTCACCACCAACCCGCAGGCAATGGCCCGGACGGAATTGAGAAATTTTGTTCGGTCGGCCGTCACAAAAATCATTTCTGAGCCGATTCAAAAGGAGTTTGCAAGGTACAACGTGTGCTCGCAACCAACCTTACGACAAGTGGCGAGTTCACGGCGTAGAATAGAATAGAATAACAGGTATATTATTATGGCAGATGCACGCCACGAGTCGTCGAACGTTTGTTATTTGATTTCCTAATGCCCAAGCTATGTCACACGGATGCCGTTTCGACCGTGTTACTGGCGCACAAAGAACGTCGGCTGTTCGGTGTACAACACACGGTATTGATAGATGTAATGTTGCGCACAGCGCGGCCGTCGGTACAATTATAGACCGTGTGGCGAGTGATAAGAGAGCAGCCGCACTGACGTCACACCGCACACCGTTATCACGTCTTATCACTTGTATTCATCTATGTTGTTCCGTTCGTGATTTGCATAATAATTTTAATAATAATAATATTGTACTGTTTTGTTGAACGCACGTAATTTTTTCCACAAATCGACAATCATTGTGAATGTAATAAAATTGTATAATAAATATTCATGTAGCCCGTAGGTGGACGTTGCTGGCCGCAAAATATGACAAAGCCCATTGTAGCAAGTGCACCACAATGTGTGCACTGCAAGACGGTTATAGCTATCATAGTGCATATAAAATAATACACCTTACTATATTATTTTACACTAGGGACTGTTACTTAAATGAGATATGGCGTTTGATGACCGTCATTGGGCTTTAAATGTTAGAAAAAATACTTCCCCATTTTTTCCAGATTTTATCTCACCGCCTCCGAGTCTCCCCGTTTGAAAATATAGATGTTTTTAATTGAGTGTACTTCTAGCGTAATTCTTAGCAAGACGATAGTATTTTGTCGAATATTTATAGAAGTACACACGAATCTAATATTGAATATTCGACAAGTGTATATTTGGTTTTGCGCCAGGTTATACTGGTAGTGAGCTTATTTTGGAACTTGTGTAAAATTGTATATTTTTAATACAATTAACTACATTTATAGCATTTGATAAAACAAAAAACACATTAAAATATAATTGACTGTGTAAAATATTTAAGGGAAAAAAATGGCCAAAACTAATTAATGTTTTACTTTGACCTTACAGTCGGTAGATTGAGAAGCGATAATAAATTAAAATAACAAATATATACATACGTTTTTTAATTGTATTATTCTATAGTACCTAAATATTACATAATTATAACATTAATAATCTTTATAAAATTTTTAAATCTAAAAAAACATTTAGCATAACGCTCACAAAAACGACGTAAAAAAACTACGACAAGAGCAAGTAGTTAGGTGTCAATTGTTAAAAATAAAGAAGTTCTTTTCCATCTAATAGAAGTCAACAAAATCGAATATTATACAAAGCTTTACAAAAAAATAAAAGTATAATTTTACTTTTAAAACCCATTTACTAAATGACCGCTTGATGCGTTAGCTTGCAGGGTCTATATATTATTATATTTATAAGTTTATATTGAGAATTTCGCTATTATTCGTAAAAAGAAAAATAATGACTGTTTTGGTTTATTTTCAGCCTAATTCAACATTTGTAAAAGTTTAGGTATTTCGTTGTATTCGTAAAAATAAGGAACCAATTAGGTCCATATTTCTAAAACTGTGATTAAATTTGGCATTTATAATTAATTCTGATTGATTTTCTCAATGTTTACAATAGAAAAATAAAAAACGTTTTCCAATTAAATGCATGAAAAGGTACCCTTCATAGTTAATTGATTTTCAACTCTAGCCGCAGAGACTCATATCGAATCGTTTTTCGCGAAAGTGGCTTTATAATATTATTTTGTCATTTATTTTATTAATACGTTCAAAACAGTGACTGCTGATAAAATCTTCCTCGGACATAATATTATTTATTATTTTGTAATTGCGTCGATGAATCATTGGACATTGACCTTGTCACCTTGGCGGTAACGGTTATTAACCTACATTATGAATTATGTATAATTATTTTTCGTTGTTAAAAATGTCAACACTAATAATAGTTGATTGTAACGTATTAATTAACTGTATTGAAGGTTTTTTACACTTTCAATTTTTCAAATTAACCTCTTACTGGATATTATAAAATATATAGTAGCGTTGTATGTAATATATTACGCAGTAGTAAAGAAATAAAAGTCATTCGTGCAATTTGTAGTTTATTTAATGAATCAACATTAATAGGGGCTAAAAATAGAAAAATACATTTTGAAGTCAAACATAAAAATGTTAGCAACGAGTATTTATTCCTAGTTGTTTTTTTCTAGCCTAGACCTGTCTGTTTAGGTCGGTTTGGACAACTCTTAATCTACAAGAGACAAGAGTTGCCATCCTGGGGAAGTAGGGGCGGTGCGGTGGTTTCCTGTTGCCTTACACAACCTAGTTGTTAATCACAGTAATTATAAATTATATTAAATAACAACTTATGATAACTGTAATTTCCGGTTGCGACACTGAGTCAGGTCTAACCGATGACGAACTTGGAAGCACTGATGGAACCATAATTGAAAAATGGCTCTTCTGGAGTCTTTTTCTTTACTTACATCTTATCTATGTTGTTCGGCGTTTCTTCTTCTCCACCGTGGCGTTGAAGAAACGTCTCGACATCACACCTTCGTCCAATTGGGAAAAATACTCCAGTAATGTAATATTTTGTTTAAAATGTTAATAATTATGTAATTAATAAAAAAAAAAAAAATGTATAGCTTGTTTGTTATTTGTTCGTTTTTATGAAAAATATAAGAATCTTTTTTACTTGACAAATTTAGACGTTTTATATTATAGGTTCGATGATTTTTTTTTAATACTTTATTTATGCAAATTATTATTTTATTAACTTTGACGTAGATCTCGGCATTAACTTGTTGTACTAAGATAAAACTTTTACACGTAGGTACGAGTATAGTTGGTTAATACATTGTTTTATCTTGGGAGACTTTCACAGAGCAATAATAATCTTAAGCTTAAAAATTATAATTTCGTTGTGACCGAAAGGGATGCTGGATAATTTTAAATAATTGAAAAATTTAAAGCACATTATCTAGTAGGTATAGTTTGAAAATTAGAATAGTTTTTTGATAAGTGTTGAATACTATTTTGACACGATTATACCGAAAGTGCATAGAAAGAGCCGTACACATTGTGTTAAATAAAATGTAGATTAAACAATATTTTCTTTGAGTATAATACAGAAACTTATGCAGTAAAAAAATTTTTCTATCATTTTTTTTAGACCAATAAAAACAATTTTTTAAAAATTGTAAAATTTCGACAAAATGATTTTACATCTTATTGTGACAAAGTTAAAAATTTTATATTAAAATTGACTGAATATTAATTTTTAAATGACATTATTGAAACGATAAGCTAATAGTTATAAGAAATGAAACGTTGTGTATTCATACATAGATGTTGGTAGTTCAACATTTTTCAAATAGATTTACTAATCATAGACAAGTTTCTAATTTCTTTCATCGAGATGGAAACATGGAATCGAGCATTACAAAGTAAGTTAGTGTAGTTAGCTAGTCATAAAATCGAGAATCGAAATGGATGATACCTAAGTTGTTGATGATAATAAATTGTTATTTGTTTATCTACCTTGATGTTTTCTTCATATTTTTGATAAGAACCATAGTGGCCGCGTGCGCTGTGCATAATCAAATGTGCAACCGTGCAGTGTGTCTCATGTAAGATGTAGGCTGTAGCCTGTAACTGTTTGAATTTTGAATTTTAATATGTAAATTGTAACTTATGTAAGAGTTTTATGAGTATTAGTTGCTAGCTAATAGCTGTTAGAATTCTTGACTTTTATAGTTGACTACGACGATGTTCAAATTAAAAACCACGATATTCGTTAAATCGTTATTAATTATAAGAACTTAATTTTTAGACTTTTTAAATTAAATTTAAACAAGGAACGATAAAAATTGGATATTGAAATCATTTATTGTGCTCTTGAACACGGCAAACAAAAATCATGAGTGTTAATATGGTGCAGCATTTTGAGTATACATGCAAATTCATTACAGCTTTTTCGCTCGATAATCATTTCATATTCTCCACGGATGCTGGACTTTTAATAGCCGTCAGTATTATTCTGATGATGAATTAATTTTATTAGGTATAAAGTTCTAAAGAAATTTATCGAACAATGTGTTACAGGAATTGCAGTCTGATATTTTCAGATCGTCAGCGGATTACAAAGTGCTACGTACATGGTTGAGTTTCTCCAATGTCAAACCTTTTGAAGACAAAAATTTCAAACGTATTCGATTTCAAAGACCAGTATTTTGCTGTGAAAACAATTTAACATCGATTAAAAATCATCAAAAGTAATGTAAATATTGTATTATAAATAAAGTTTCAATTAAATTATTCATAACAAAATGAAATATTTATACTTAAAATATTGTATAAGTCCCATGATGCTTATTATTTCAATAATAGTATTAATAATAAAAAAAAAAGGATGGTATTTAGTAATTTATTGCTTATGTCATGTGGACGGACATTTATGTCAACTGATTGTTTGTAATGTTAACAAATAACATTGCAGATAATTATATCTTTTTGTATTAATAGAAACATAATTTTTTTTGTTATTATTTACAGTTGGAATGTAATTTATTTGACCAACAGTGGCAGTATTGTTTTTTTGGACAAGCAAAATGGTAAATGGATTGAAAAATTAAGTGAAATTCCACAAAAATGGTTTTTGCATTTATCAAAAGATGCGGATGGAGTTTGTAATTTGAAAAAAAACTACACAAAAGATAACAGAATTCTTATGTATTGCCGTGAAAGAGAGAAAAACCTACACATTAAAAGTAACAGTTTAATAAATAATAAAAAGTATATTGACTATTGAATCATAATAATATGTACATGGGTTTATTCACTTAAAGATTTTGTCAACACTCATTTACTTAAAAAAGTTGACGGAAACAATTATTATGGTACAATATGTTGCCATGTAAACAACACTTTAACATTTTGGTCAAGTTTTTATGAAAAATCGACATTTTTAGAAACGTTTGATTTTTACACATCATCTATAAAATACATTAAATGGTTTCGAATATCTAATGATTTGTGTAAGTAAAATACGGTACAAACGGAAATGTTTGTATTGTGTTAAAAATAGATCCACTGTAGCTTTATTAATACAACATATAAAAGTCTATCTTATTTTATGTTTTAGCATGGCTATTGGTATTTTTAAATAACGGTCAAGTATATGTTCACGAGTTTGTTGTTTATCCCACCGTACACCGTACATTTGTTTTATGGTCAGATGAAGATTTTAGCATTGTAAAACATATTTTGATTGAACAGTATCCCGATGGTCAATGTTTAATACTTCTGACTAAAATGGCATTTGTTTTGATCATTTTATACTCATTGACTGAACAAAAGATAGTGACAATCAAAAAGGAAATGATTCAAAAAACTTCTACCATACCTGGTAAATAAAAATAATAAAAGACATATTTAAAATGTATACATTTTTGTATGATTATTACCTTAATTAATAATAAACTTTAATATATTTCAGGTCTAACTTTTTTGGCTAAGAAAGATATGTTAATTTTGGTAACTGACAGTGGACAATTTGTTAGTATGTGCTTAACTGTATCGGATAATAACGTGACTTACAGTATGAAGCCATTAAACAATAATTTCATAGAACAAGTGGAAAATTTCACATGTACATCAGTAGTATTTTCTCAAAATAAATGTACTTGTGTGCTTGCTTTTGAGTAATTGCCTTAATTCCTTAGTTGTTAGTATACTTTATAGATATTAAAAAAAAAAAAATGTTTTTATCATTTCAGGAGTAATTTGCCTAGATATAGTAAAAATGATGGTCACATAAAAAACAAATTACTATTTTGTATGATTCCTGAAGACCTAGTTGAACTAGAACAAAAAATTTTATCAGTTACCAATGGATCATACATTAATGTTATTGATTGTATCGAGACATTGAGGTGTGTGTAAAAGCTAAAATTCATGGACATAATGTAGATTGTGATATTAATAAAAATAATGTAATTGTTTAGAGTTAACAGAATGAATGATAGTTCTAAAGAAGAATTACAGTTAGATCGAAAGGCGCTTGATACACACTCAGTAGAATTTCTTAAATTAATGTATTGGAAATTTGCTTTCAAGAATAAAAAGACCAACTACGAAGAAAACCTTCTTAGCGAGTTACAAATTTTGATTCATGTCCGTTTTTTAACTGACCGCTTGATTGATAACAAAACCAGTACCACAAATGCCGAACGATATTACATACGAGTAATGTTTATAGAATACCTAAAAAAATTACCAGTCGACTATGAAAGTGTTAGGACAGATGCGGCCAACATCGTTAGCTCTCTCGCCGAAGCAAAACACACACACTTCTGTTGCACTTGTCAACATATCATTTTATCTCTTACCGATTTCAGAATGTTTAGTTGTGAAAAAAATCATACAGAACTCAGGTGCCCGGTTACATTAGAGTCACTCGGTATGCCATATTTAGTATGTTCCATGTGTTTTTCAATGGCTAATATAAAATCAAGTAAGCATATTTCACTAACATGATATATTATATGTAAAATTAAACATTACATTTTATTTATCAATGTTTATTTAGGTAATCAGAAATGTGTATGGTGTTTTGGAAAATATATACAGAATGAATTACTTTATTACATGTAAAATAAATGATAATACAAATGTGTTTAATGTATGCAGGCGTGTAAATATTATTGGAAATGTAAAAATTTAATAAAATACACCTTTTTGAGTATTATAACTGTCATTTAAAACTATTTTTATATTTTATGAATATTATATAAGTTTATATTTTGACATTTAAAGTATACTACAAGGCACAAGCATAGTGGCTAGTGCCTAGTGGCCAATTTTATCCAAACGTTTGGCTAATTAGGTTTGTCCTAGTTAATTAAAACTATCTTTAACTCCTTTATACAAGAGGCCAGTTAGGTAGCATGGTAAAATTTAGAATAGATAGTAAGAGAATGCTAGCTATGTTTTTTTTTAAATTATTGTTTTATTTTTATGTAATTAAAGTAGTAAAAGTTTTGGTGTTAGTTTATAAGAAGGAAAATATTAATCCATAGCAGGGACACAATTTCAAATATTGAAAGGATAACATTCACTTTTATATAATATATTAATAATACATTATTTTCTAGTAATCACTAGAAATAATTTAGAATAAATAAATCGAATTATATATGAATATTTAATTATTTATAATCATTTATGAAGGGGTTTGTTCAAAATGTAGGGAATTATTATGAGAAAAAAAAACTGTTTCCCTAAAGTATTTTTTAATTCTGATGCATTATACTTTTATAAATTTGTTAATAACAGTTGTTCGACCAACACAAAGGGATTTAATTAAATGAACCTTTTCATATAATAATGAGTTGCAAAAGAGCGATATAAACCAAAACTACTTGGCTAACGTATTTGATTAATTCAAATATATTTGTATAGAAATATAAAAATCATTAATTCTTTAAGTACTATTCAAAAGTAAGTAAACTAAAGGTTTAACACAAATGTATTGGTTTATAAGCAAACCTATTGATTACTTGGCAACGCTAGTACTGGGGTTATCACTTATCATTGTTATCACTACTGATAAGCCATTTCCAATATTTTCAAAACACGTCTGTCCAAGTTTTGTTATTTTTTCGGGTAAGCTTCTTATCAAATTTAGCCAAATGCCAAGTTTCAACGTAATAGCAAATAAGTTTTAACAATTAAAATATGTTGTGTGTGTAATTGGTAAATAATATATATAACTGAATAAAATGTGATTTTTAATAATAGTGTCATAGTCAACGGTATAGGATAGTATGACGATGTACTTAGTCAGTTAAAATTGTACTGTATTTTTTTTAGTGGTTTTAATATTCCTACTCGGTTGTTCCGGTTCTTTAAAATGCGTTTTATCATGTTTTCGTTCAATAGTATAAAATTAATTTTACTATTATTAGTAACATTTTGCCTGTCACAAGAATTTAAAGGATTCGATGATACTATATTGTATAAGATTAGATGGCCTGGCAAGGAATTAGACGGTTTAGCTACGGTAATGTTACACAATTCAACATTTTTTTTTTGTGAGCTGAATTAACATTTTAAGGCTGAATTAACATTTTTAAACGTCAAGTAGCAAGTAGTTTTATAGGCCATTGCTAAGCAAAAGTGCCACATTTTTTTTTTTTTTTTTAGTTAAGGCACTTTTGCTTAGGAGGGCAGTATACTTATCTACTATTACTAGTACTTTTTATTGTTCTCATCTAAAAGCATTTAGTATTTTAATGTTATGCCAAACATCTTACAAAATTTTACTATATTAGTTTATTGTAATTTGGGGGAAAAAATTAAATGATTTTATCTTAGCAGGGACAAGAAGAAAATACATTAAAGGTGAAAACTGCTCTCGGTGAATCTTATCAATGCATTCTACCTCAACAAGACGAAGAAAGCAAAGAATCCAAGTCTCCTTATAGTGGACCAAGTCCACTTGAATTATTGGCTCCATTATTCTCCAAGCAAGCTTGTTCATATAGGGTTAGAATAATATTATTATATTTTAAGATGCACTAAGAGTGGTTTAAAATTATTTTAATTATTGTTATTTTATTATAGGTGGATACTTACTGGATATATGAAGTATGTCACGGGCGACATGTACGACAGTATCACAGTGATCGAGAAGAAAAATCGAAAAAGGAACAAGAATACTTTTTAGGCAAATGGACAATTTTTGATGGTCTTAAGTTAGGTAATATTTTGCTGACAATATTTTTTTTAACCTTCGAGTACTCGTGTGGCGGCAATATAGTTAAATGCGGCACTGCGTGCAGGAGGCTATTCTCCAGACAGCGTGGCGAGTACAGGCAACTAGTTATTTGTTACACACACACACACGTGCCATTACATCACTGCAAAACGATAATTATCCTAAGTTATCCTACAGTATTAAGAGAAAGTCAAAGGTTTGGCGAATAGTTAGGTTTAGTAAATAACTGCTACTGTGTGGTAGTGTGACACGCATGCGCAGTTGTAATATCCAGAACACTTTTAAATGTCTATAACTTTTAATTCAATTAAGCGCAATGATTTTTGTTCCAAATTAAAAAAGTACTATCAATTAAAGAAAAAAAAGGTGCCCGGTAAAATAGATTTTTACAAAAAAGATAAGTTGTTGCTGCGTGTGATGTTATATTTATTTATTTGTTATCTAATTTTAATTGCAGAAGAAGACTTAAAGCGATTAGCAAACCTTAACTATCCAGGTCCTACACAAACGAGGAAGGTCGAAGGAGTCAATTTACCGTTTTTCCAAATTAACATGACCGATGGCACAGTTTGTGATCTGAGTGGACGACCAAGACACACAAACGTTTTATACGTGTGTTATCCTCAAAGTAAACATAACTTGTTTTCAGTAAAAGAAACCTCAACATGTCAATATGAAGTGATCGTCTTGACATCCTTGCTGTGTTCACATCCTTGGTATAAGTTAGTAGCGTATTCTAAGTTTATGTTTAAAACATTAAATATTATTCGTATTATTGTTAAGTATTTAATTATTTATAAAATTTAATTAATAGACCGCCAAATAGTGATGAATTAAATATTGATTGTTTGCCAATTGAAGACTCGCCACGCAAACCACACAATTTAAAAGTAATTGAGGCTGATGCACACAGAACGAGAAAACGTTTACGACTGCGAACTGTAAGTTGATTAAATATTTTTATTTCAAGTATAATTATTTTAAAAGTAGATTTTTGATTTAAAATCACACACAAACACATGCACACAATGTTTGTATTTTGTATATTTATTCAACTATTATTATTTTTTAAGGATCCTCTCAAAAAAATGGATAATGTTATAGTAGCTGTTACAATAGATAAGGTGTATTATTTTAGTTTTAGTTAATGGTTATGGAATTATAATCCAATAATATAGCTTTGGCATTTGAATCTCTTTAGTTTAAAGTAATTTGCTTATTTATTTTTTTGCGTCCTTGGTGGCTATAATTTTAAGCAGCACATTATAATTCTTTCTGTAATATAATACATTTTGGTGTCTTATTAATTTTTTTTTTCTTTTATTATTATATTAGAACGGGGAACAAATAAGAGTTAAGCTACAGCAAGTTTCACCTGAGAATAGCGCAAAAGAGAGAGTGACGATGAAAGAATCAGTTACTTCGGATAGAAAGGCAACTAATGAAATCAATGAATTTTTGAATGGAGAACTATGTCTAGATGGGGTGTGTTGCAATACAACAAATAACACATTAATTCTGATTGGTAATGTTGTATGTATGTATACATATTTATATTTTTTTTTTTTTTTTTTACAGGGTTCTGGATGGTGGAAATATGAAATTTGTCACAAGAAGTATGTGCAACAAGTGCACAAAGAAAAAGGAAAACCGGACATTATAATTAACTTAGGAGAATTTGATTTAGAAGAACACATCGAGTGGTTGGAGCGCAATCCAGAAAAAAAAGTAATAAGTGGAAATGTCAAAAATTACGTCTCGCATTACTATTCAAGGGGAAGTGTTTGTGAGTCAACTGGTGAACGACGAGAGACCGAGGTAAAAAAATTATTGTTCTCTAAACCACATGTTTAAAATGGATTTTTTTTTAATGATGACTGGAAAATATTTTAAATTTGTATGTGTTGTACTACTATATTTTATAGTATAATATAATTAATAGTCTAAATAATTAATCGTTTTTTAACTCTATGTCATTTGCACTTGCTTTAAAGAGTCAAAACTTGAAAGCCTAAAAGATGACAAAAATGTTATAATTTAACTAATATTTAGTTTTAATTAAATTTTTCAAGTTATAGCTTTCTTAAAAAAAAACTTTTTTAATGTAATGATCATAAAGTAATTTTTCTGAAATAGCATATTTTATATTTATAAAAAAAAAGCTGTACTATATTATAATGGCACGTTTTTATCATTGTTTTTTTCAGGTACGATTTAAATGTGTTAATAAACGTAAATTGGAAAATCAAGTAGCAATGTATTTAATGGAACCAAAAACTTGTAAATACATTCTAACCGTGGAATCATTAGCAATATGTGATTTCCTAGTACATGCAGACGAAAATGGTATGCTACGACCCTTGGATAAGAATGAAATTGAGGATAACATTACTACTTTAAATAAAAAAGAAAACAATGATGGCATAAAGCTTGTTGTTCATAAAAAAAAAGATGAAGTTGAAAGTCCGACCACTGAAAATAATGAGTCTAAAGACGCAAATCAAAAACAAAATTTGAATAAAAAACCAAAAACCGAACTTTAAAAATTTGTATAATATAAATTATGTAAATAGTTTTTGTAGGCTGTTGCTTTTGATTGTTTGTTGGTTTACATTTATTTATTGTATTCAGTTTCCGAAAAAAATGAAACTTATAAAATCTAATTTTTTTGTGAAAATAAACAATTTACTGAATATTAAAAATATGTTGTTTTTTCCGAATCCTTTTATTATTTTTATTGATTGAATGTTGGTATAATAGCATTACTACTTTTGCATTTAGTGTTATTTCTTTACGAGCAAAATTAATTAATAATTATAATAATGGGAAAAACACTTAACCCAATAAAAAGCTTAAAGGAATTTGTCAAAGTTGGTGCTACTGGATGTGCTCATTGATAAGTGATAACATTGAAACTCGAGTATAATATGATAAGGGTCAAATGCATCTCAAGACTCAAATCACAATTTTTTTTATCGTTTACTAAGAACTATTAAGATTCTGTATCCATATAAAATATTTTTTCAAGTCTAGAGAATAGGTTTTAAAATTAAAAATGAAGCCCATTGTCGATTACGAAGTTGCCGGAACTTGCGACCCTACACCACTTAAATTATTGACGTCAGATCCTGAATATGAAAAATACCACACCACTTGGTTAGAAAACAAATGGTATCCTTTTATGGGTTTTATTTCGGGCGCAGGATGTTTTATATACGGCAACGCTATGGCCAGAAGACCGTTTTATGCAGGTCTGTAAAGTAGTCGGTCAACATGGTAATCCAAACAGTTGTAATACAAATTTTCTTTTTTAGGAATTCATAAGACGTTAGGCGTTGGTATTTTGGCTGCTTACGGTGCCTACCTTTTCAAACAGTACAAAACGGACTATTTGGCTGACAAGGAAGCAATGTACAGACATTACATTCAATTACACCCTGAACAGTTTCCAACACCCGGTATGTTATTACTAATAGTTACTTTGTAACATTCTATCTAACTTAATACGCATGTACGTCACTATAATAACTACACATTTTGAATCAGTAAGTTCTACGGATTTTTTACTTTAAATTCTATATCGGGATATAAATTAGGATACCGGTTCATGTGAATCTAATCCATATTTTGTATAATGAAATTTAAGCTTACCTTGGTTCATTAATTAATTTCAACTTAAAACATAACTAGCAGTTTTATGGTTTTATTTGTGACATTCTAATAAGCTATAATTATAAACATTTCTGTTTTAGAACGCAAGAAGGTTGGCGAGATGTTCAAGGAATGGGTTCCAGTACGTTAAAATAGTCATACTCATTGTTTAATTTCTAAAAATTGAACTGGCCTTAAAAGCAGATGTTGTTAAAATTTAACAAGTATATTATACATAAAAAAAAAGTAAATACGAGACTTGTAGAGTGATTTTGTTTAGTTTTCAGCTGTATAAATTTGAATAAAAAATACTAAAATATATTTCTATAGAAACATGACTTTGTTATCAAATTTTGTTTGTGTTTTTTTTTTCCCGTTTAATATTTAGTAATTATGGGTATCGACTACTACGCAGTATTAAATTTAAAAAGACATTGTACCCAAGAGGAAGTGTGTAAGGCGTATGTTTCTTCGACAACATTTATGTTTTCGTGCTAAATGATTAATTTAACTATTAGATTTGGTAAACATATTGGTAAATATTCCGTGGCGAATAAACAAAATGATCCTGGATTAAGACTATTATGTGAAGCGTATGAAGTACTCTCCAACTCTTTACGACGCACTCTCTTTGATCAATACGGAGAAGAAGGTCTAAAATTTGGAGTACACTCTGATAGTTTGAACATTGATCCATGGAAATTTCATGGGAATGTTATGACTACATATATGTATAAATATTACATACTTTACATATACTCCTCGTTAGTTGTCAAAAGATAAAAATTACACTTTTTTCTTTCCAGTGAATATTGTGCTTCTTATAAAAATTTAGCTACTTGTTGGCAAATCAAACCCAAAGAATATCCAACGGAAAAGTATAATGCTTCAAAATATAATGTCGACGTAGTAAAGCTCCCTCTAAAGTTGACCTTAAACGAAGTAGGTTGTGTTTAATGTACACAGAGTACCTATAGTATTAGGCCGTTTTACAAATGCGAGTTTTTATAAGCGGTGTATGAAAATATACATTACTCAAATTCAACATTTATGTTCATCATAATTTATACACTCGGTTTGTTAGTTCTAAACTCGTATGCCGCATATGTAATATCGCTTACCATACACAATCAATGTGAAACGGGCTTTACAATTTACCTCTATAGATTTACAATGGTTCAGTAAAGATGGTCGTAGTAAAAAGACATCACATCATAGTCGAAAATAAAGACGTAGACGAAACAAAAACGATAAAAGTAAAAGTACCGAGAGGCATTGTTACAGGTGGATCGATTGTCACCGAAGTGATGCATACTGAAACAGAATTACACAATGTTAAAAGTAAGATTTATATAGTTGTGAATAATTTAAAAATGGATACGTTTTGGGGTTCATTCCAACGTTTTGAGTGTTTAGTGGTTAATTTTTTATGTATATTATGCAGGTGTTCCTTGATACTGTTTTTCCATAAAGCGTATAAAATAGATAGGTTTTTTTTATTACACTTTATTACTTCTTACCATTGTCTGTGAGCTTATCAATTAAAAAATAATACAATTATATAATATGTTATATTTATTAGCAACATACATATTCAAAACAGAAGAAATACCACACAAGTATTTTAAAAGAGAAAATTTAAATTTGATTTTATGTAAAGAGTTGACGCTAAAAGAAGCAATTTGTGGTATCAAAATCAATGTCAAAACGTTAGATCACAAAGTATTAAGAGTGAATATAACACAAGTCATCACGTAAGAAAACTAGATAAAATTGAATTGCAATTTCTAAGCTAATTATGAAAAATTACAGACCAGATTATACAAAAATTATCCACGGAGAAGGCATGCCAGATGCAAACGATTTCAGCAAATATGGTGATATAATAATTAAGTTTCAGATTAATTATCCAATATATGGACCTACAATGGATAAAGAAGTCTGTGAAATATTAAAACCATTAAAAAAAAGCAGTAACACTATGATTTTAGAAGATAAAAAAAATGTATGTGCTAAGATAACAAAGTTTAATAGCTAAGTTATTACATAAACTTACAATAAAATATTACAGATATAATTACAGACGTTAGTTTTTTTTTTAACAACTTGTTGGATCACCATTATCATCAAATTTTACTCTTTTATTCTGCAATCCTGCCTCTTGCGATCTTCGTTTTTTGTTATCAGAATCCCAAAGAGCATGTCCAACAAATCTACTAGTGGCTTCTTTATCTAATTTTGGCATATTCTTTTTGTTCAAGGCTACTTTGGCCGTCTGCATAACAGCCTTGATTCGATCTAGTTCACTTTTGACGTTGTGATTAGTTGGATCAGTGCCCTCACATCGCAAGTACATCCAATATAAACCATTTAGAGCAAAAGTGATCGACAGATCATGTTTGATTTTTTCCTCTACAGTAAGGGAAGAATAATCCACACTTAATCGTGATTCAAGAACATTCTGAATTTCAACAATTGAATGGTCCAAATTTTTAATAGATTGTACCAAGTTTTCATCTTTTAATAAATCTTCATCTAAATCTAAGGTTAGGTTAGCCATAATGTAATAAGTCCTGAAAATAAAAAATTTAATTAACTAATATCAATACCTACTAATTGTCAACGATTAACAGTTTATTACCATATAAACTATTTTTTAAATCATTATACCATCTTAAAATATAAAGCACTGGTATTAACTACTTGGTAGTTAAAAAATTCCAAATAGTTTAGTGAATATTTGAAAACTGCTTAGTTTTAAAATGTTTTTGTTGGTTCATATAACTATAGGAATTTAAATATTATCAAAAGAATATGTATATAATATATTAATGTGCCTTTAAAAACACGTTTTTTAAAAGTATTGAAAATTGAACCAGTTAAATTTTTTTCCTTTAAAAAATATTTTTTTTAACACCTAGGTATTGAAAGATTTAAATCAACAATAAAGGTTTTTCCTTTGATAGAGACAAAAAACTTACATAATTTACTGTTTCCAATGATTTTGCAACATGCACTAATATTATTGTTAAAATAATAACTATGTTATTTGTCATAAGTTCTAATAAGTTTAAATATATTATACACTATCGTATACTGTTTGTATTTTATATTTACCACAGATGTGCAAAATACATAAATAAGATTATACAAATATATGTACATATCGCGGTCTAATGTTTTTAGATTTTCTAACGTTTGCGGTAGCTAGTATACAATTTAAATAGCAGAATATCGTCTTCGGTATAATTTTACCGTAGCATCGACGAGCGATGGGTAAAATAGTTGTACATGTTAATTTAAGTCACTAGAATACTAACGTCTTTCCTTGGAGCACCTAAATTACACGAACCAAACGTAGTTAAAATCTTCAGCAACTCGTATTCATTGTAATAACTATTTAATTCAATAATATGCATTCACGTCGGTCGACCAAGTGTATAAATATTGTATATTTTGTGTCGAACACGGATCGCGGGTTGTCACATGTCGATTATCGATAGGATGGCATATCAAAATTGACAAATTGTTATCACACGCCCATCATTAACAATTTGATAACGAATGCAGTGCTATCACCGTATGCATATTTTTGATTATTTGTACTGAACACTGTTGGACAGTCTGCGTGGAATTAGTCATCGTAGATAAGAACAAATTAATTAAATGTTAATAATAATAATAAAAAAAAAAATTAAAATAATTACTGAAATAGAACGCTGGTGTGCATTAATGGCCTCGTCCTGTAGGCATATTCACCCCGTGCAACGTGAATCCCGTTTCGGTATCCATTACGAATGTTTCTAAACACAAAAGTCCGGTAAGTAAGTCTGGTCGTTTGGACAGTGCGACTTGGCGTGCTTGTTTATGTTTGTGTAACCGATGCGTTTCGACAAACAGAAACACGAATTGTGATTGTTTTTTTTACAAGCCATTCAAATGACATTATTTTATGGTGTTTCTTTTGACCGCAGGGTCTCATGTGTGTAATCCTCGTATTGTCGCCTTTGAAAAGATTTTGAGCAAAAGACAAAATGACCGCCGATCACTTTTGCCTGAAATGGAACAACTACCCATTGAACATGGTCACCGAACTGGACAGTCTCCGCACCAGTGAAGACCTAGTAGACGTTACTTTGTCGTGTGACGGACAACTGTTCAAGGCGCATAAAGTTGTCCTGTCTATGTGCAGCTCGTATTTTCGAAATGTATTCAAGGTAAGCAAAATTATATTTATCGTTATAGGTACAGTATAACTTTTATGATGTAAATATTTGTTTAATTATTTTAACGTAATAGCATTGTATAATTGGATTACAATTATTGATAAAGCATAATATTCACAAGACATTCTAGGTTACAACAATTTATACGTCTTATAATATTTAAAAATTAAATCCGTAAGGAACATTTTTGTATATATAATATCTAAATTTATATTCAGATAACCTGAGCAAAAATGTTAGTTAATTAATTCCTTTAAAAATCTAGAACTATTTAAATTGTACAGTAAAAAACTTTAGTTGTAAATGTATAATCAGAATTTAAATATATATATATATATATATAATGTTGTTTTGTGTTTATTATGCTTTATTATAATCTTCCTAATCATTAATTGATTAAATGGTAAATGTAATCATAGGATAATCCATGCAAGCATCCAGTTGTAATATTAAAAGACGTAAACCAAGATGATGTCAAAGCGTTGCTCAATTTTGTATACCAAGGCACGGTTTATATATCAGAAAAGAAGTTGGCATCTTTTTTACGCACTGCTGAACTATTGCAAATTAGAGGCCTTGCTGGAGCAGCTTCAACTATCAATACTGATTTAGTATATATTTTCAACTTTTATCATTACATTTTTTAATTAATATCTAATAACTACATTATTTTTTAGGAGTCAACTAGAACTAGTTTAGAAAAAAATTCTGTACCTCCTCTTCAACAAATATCCACTAATAATAATAAGATTGAAAAACAAGATACATGTTCACCGACTGCAACTATTAAAACCGAGTCACCAAAGTCACCTAACGGTAAAGTATCTGCCAAGCGAAAAAAAGGCCTTCCAGTAAAGTTACAAAAAAATTCTGAAGATGGCACAGAGTTTATGGTAAACATTTTTAATATTTTGAATACTTTTGTACGTGTCTGTTAAGTGTGATCGTTTATAGGACGAGACTACAACTTGTAGTGAAACTGATATTCTAAGTCGACTTAAAGTTGACGAGATAGATGATAGCGGTAATGGAGACGGTGATGGGTATATAGATGACGATGGATCAAAAGACGGTTTCAGCGACGATCGATATGGTCAAGGGGCAGAAATAGGAGACGAGTATGAAGATGTTGAACTGGATAAAGAAGAAGACACCTCTCAATCTAACACAGCATTCGAGAAGTCTTTAATCGCTTCTCGAATGTTAAACGATCCCAAAGGTATAGGTTTGAAGGAATTTATTTTTATCCAGTTTTTTAAAATATTTTTTTAACTTGTTTAAGATATCCGCATGAGTAATTCAAGTGGAATAGACTTCGCCATTGCTCCAGCTCCTTCAACTGTTTCTGAACAATCATTATCATCTGCAGGTAATTTTTTTTTTTTTTAAGAGTGTTTAGCTTTATATAATATAGCGTACTTAATTGTCATAGTATTTGGAGAATATAAGTTTCCGATTTTGGAAATTAAATATCTTTGACGGCTTATGAGCCACGCAGGCGCTGCACATGTTTTTGCAGGATCCCACCTGGCCCAGTGTGGGGATTGCCCCCATTGTGGACAGACGTACAACAACCAGTCGTCGCTGAAGTATCATGTGCGTTTAATGCATTCGGACTTAACGCGCCGGCTGTGTTGTTATCTATGCCCCAGTTCATTTGTGTATCGCGAGGCGTACAAAACGCACATGCGACAAGAGCATAATGTCAGATTGTAACGGGTGGCGACCGGGTGAAATAAATTTTCTGTAAGTGGACTTTAAAAGGGTTGTTGGTCGGTCGGAGCATGGTGTATTGTTTGTTACGGGGGAAGTCTCGAGCACTAAAATAATTCAACCAAATTATGTACAAAATTTCAATAATTAACAATCCTAAAACGATAACCTGATTAATCATTTTCATGTAATATAATACTATTGATTTTTAATACTGTGGTAGCATATAATATTTTATTAACTTCGGCTTGATGTTAATTCTCTAACCAATATTATTAGAACTGTGATACGTGCAAGGACTATCCACTAAGAACTATTCAAATCCAAATTTTCAACCTTTTTTTTTTCTTTCTTTATATAACTATATCACTGTATAGTATATATATACAAATAGTGTGTATAGTATGTATAAAAAATATACTATTGTGTATATTTAAACAAAAGAAACGAGTCTCAAATATATGGTCTTAGTTTAAAGCATAGAATTTTTTCCACTAGGCAAAATAGTTATTGCTGCAGTACAATTTTTAGCATGGTATTATTGAACAGAAAGTGAAAGGTTTAAGAACAATATTGAAAAGGTTTTGTTGAATTACATTAGTAATTTCAATAAACGGCAATGCTTGTGTTGGTTTAAGTACATATATAATAGGAGGTAATATAATGGCTACTTTTTTAATAAACCGGGGAATAAATACAACTTTTTTTCAAATTGAAAAAACCATAATAAATTATCATTTTGTTTAGAAAATGTGTTGGTATGCCGCAAATTTTTCTGTTTATTTTGTGTACCCACTGTAAGTGAAAATAAATGCCATTGACCTTTTTGTGGGTATATAATATTACATAATTGTTTGCTTTAAATTAAGTTATTGTTTTGTCATACCTGTTTTGTGTGATAAAACACGTTAAAAAAAAACAGTCTGATTCTAATTGCATATTATTTGATTTTTTTCAAATGTTATTATGTTTTATAATATTTATTTGAATTTTTTATCGAAAGTTTACTAGTATTATAAATTGTTATGATATGCATGACTAATTTAAAAATTACGCGCATGGAATATAAACATTATTTATATATTTTTCAATATAATTAAAAATCAGTATATTTATCAACTAATTATTTCAATAATGAAGGTCATAATAAATATGATAAAATAAACAACTTATAATTAATGATCAAAATCCATGCATTTACGTATATTACAATAATGCTGTTTTCGCTGAATGTATAAATAAAAATTATTTAGTAGTTAAATTATATCGCATAAAACACTTTGCCTTTTTTGTTTGCTCATTGATTCTAGGTTGGTTATAATCGTGAAACTATACTCAAATTTGTTGAAAACTCAATATTTATTCAAGTCACTTGTTCATATATTTGCTCAATGCAAATTTGTGGATTTCATATACATTAAACCAGTATGGCACGATTAAATAGTATGTAAAAAATTGTTTTCAAGTAGATAACACTTGATACGATTGTATTAGTAATTGGGAAACTTGAGAAGGTGAATCCGTTTGCGCAACTTTGAATACAACAATTAAATAATTTAAATTTTAATTAACAACTATTTGAATCTTTAATAAAATTAAGTATTCAATTTTGAATTTTTTAATCCAAATTACAATCTTACCTTTATGTCTGGTTGGCTGAATGAAAGATCCCCAAACACTTTGTCTAACGTTAAGGAATGTACAAACAATCTGGCATTTTGCTATTGCTTACCGATTTGAATTTGAATTCAAACCTCATATACTTTTAGGTGTTAAATGTTACTCAGTAAATAATTATAAAAGAAACTTTAAGAGACAAATATGTAAAGAAAAAAGAGAGGGGTAAATTGATTTTCTGCGCAAAAATATAAGCCACAATGGAAGATATAAAACAATAAATAAATCTAAGTTTAAATTTAATTAGAAAACGTTGTCATTTGATAGGTGATAATTTGTTAAGTAGTTGTACGTTAATGTCAAATTATCATGAAATTTATCCAAATTTTATCGACACAGAACAGAATTAACAGCTTAAATTAAAAAATTATTTTTAACAGCTTATCGTTATTAATAAAGAATTTAATAATAAATTTAAGTTAACTTGGTACTGATCTAGTAATTAAATAATTCTTTATAGGAAGTTGAAGCTTATCGCTCCCAAGTTTTCTATAGTTATGCCTTTGTAAATGATTCAGATGATTAGGTATAATTTGGGCCTGTTGTATTGGATGCACTATAGAATCAAATATTAGTATAGTAAACAAATATTATACACTCAACAAATACTAAAAAAGTATGATTTTTTCAACTGTGTATTTCTATTTAGATACACATTATTTGTGCTGCAGCCAATGCTTTGTTAATAGGTGGCTTAATTTTCTAAACATTTTTTTTTTTAAATGAATATCCAAAATGACTTGTAAACAAATTGAAATGCAGCTTAAAGTTGGGATTATGATTCTTTTATTGTACTCTACTATCATGTTTATGAATGATGAGTGATGTCAGTGGCTGCTAGGTCTATTCTCGAGTGTAGTGTTTGCTATACTTGTTTATGAAAACCGTGTAGTGTGGTACAATTTAGGAAACATGATCGATTTTGGATTATTGATGTTTAAACGTCCTGTCCGTTTGTTCAACTATTTTTGACAATTGTGTAAATATTTATTTTAAAAGTTAAATTTTTTTCTTTATGGAATTAAAAAAATTAACATTTAATTTTTACTAAAATTAAATAAAATACCTGATAAATAATTAAATATTAAACGTTTTCGTATAGACTATGGTTTAATATTGGGATTTTAAAATTTTTTTTAGTACAGCTGTTAAAGCTATACTTAGAATATAAACTGTTAAAAACCCCATTGTTTTTAGCAAAAAAAAAAAAACGCAATTTTGATGGAATTTATTATGTGATAGATTTTTTTAAAATCAAAACTTTTTTACACGTTATTCCTTTAACATCTTCACAATCGTCTAAATAATATATTTGAGCAAGTTTTAAAATGAAAATTTCGTTTTTCGAGAATTTAAAGTTTACACTTTTTCGAAATAATTTATATTCACACCTCATAACAGAACGCGCAATGAACAGTTAAAATTTCAGTTAGGTTTTACATTTAAACGTACTTAAGAAAAATACTTCAAAACTGGGGAAATCCAATGGCCAAAAAACTGATATTTTTAAAAATATTTGAACAACCGGCCTTTGACGATTTGATTGACCAGCTTGTATTAATTAAAAACGATTGCTTGCTTTGAAAGTATTTAATTATCCGTTTAGTAATTTAAGTACAAATCGGATATTTTTGTATTTAATATATTCACAAAAAACGAGTCTCTTGCTTCATGTAATTTTGATTTTTGATAACTGAATCTATTATGTAATCGGAGGAGCTGGGCCTAAGATTTTCAACTATTTTGTTGTTAAGAAGAATCGCATTTAAATCTGTCACGATTTCTCCCTTCAACCCTATGTTGAGATAGTCACTAAGAAACAGAGTGGGCGAAAATAAGGCCAGCAAATTTTTTATATTTACCAAAAAATATATATGGGATTTATGCACACCCAAAACAACTTAACCGGGCCGTGTCTAGTTAAAAATAAACCGGGATTTTTGACAATTTTGATACCTAGAGAGGGTTAGGGTAAAAACAATAGTATGCCACACTCGCAACAATATGAGTACTGACTTTCGAGTCTAAGTACGGTGAAAACAAAAATGCATTGTACAGAAGAAATACATGACTTGTCCATATAGTTGAAGGGGGGGGGGGGTCAGTGGATAAAGGTGTTAACCGACATTTTTGAAATTGTTCAGGAACGCTACTTTTGTAACTAAATACAAAAAAAGCTATGGAACTTTTTTGTTCCATTCAACATTTTATGAAATAACTTGTAAGAGGAAAAATATCGGTCTAGGGATGATATGTCATACTATAACTTGAACATGTTAACATAATATGTACCCTACCACCTTCGTGCACTACGACTAATGGTAAATAATTATGCTAAACCCTTTCCCGACTGATATGTAATGTATATTATTATAACACTTTTATTCGTGCAATGAAATGGGAAAAAATGTCAAAATGTCAGTGTTAACACCTTTACCCCTTCACTGTTATTATAATAATATTGTATACGTGTGTGTACCTGTGTACGGCGAGGGCCTCGAAGATATTTTGGCAGATCTATAAGTAATAAAAAAAAAAGTATAGAAATCTGTGGGTTCCTCGGGAATAATGCGATTCAACTTGTTTGTACAATATAAACTCGACGACTGATTGGCGTTGAATGAAAAATATTATGCATTACCAGTGAATTCCGTGGATGACTTTTAAAATCCCACACATTTTTCACGTGTCTTTTATAGTAGATAAGCGCATTTTTTACTTGCAGTTGCTGCTGTTATTATTGCCTCGTATCTGTCTTGTCGCGCTTGCCGGTGAATCGTTATTAATTAATTGTTATTGATAAGTCGGGTACATCAGTCAGGAGTGTATAATACCACGGTCTTGTGTAAATATAATATTGTTACATTGTAAAAAATATAATAATTAAACAACAGTATTTACTATCCACATATCCACTTATTTTCAGGATTGTGCACATCATTGTTACCCACTCTAATAATTGTTTGCCGCGTCTTCCTATCATTCTGATTGATGATTTTTTTATGATTTTTTAAAAAAAATGTTTGAATACTAATCGATTTTGGGGTTTTATCGTTAGTATTCAAAGAACGTTTTCAATCCTAACCAATCGAACGGTACACATAGGAAGAACAAGGTTTTGATTGTGTTTTCCTTTCTAAATTCTATTTCGTTTGGATAATCTAGATTTGATTTCAACTGAGTTGGCAACAAGATTACGTTTCATTGATGCTCGTCGTAGTTCTACATAACGATACATTTTGATGGTTTTTAATTTTGCCCAATTTTTTCCTTGTTGTTTGAAAATATGTTGTACATATAGCATTGAATATTACGGGCAAATGTTGTTGTTGAATGAGTTGTAAAACCATTTGAGTTGTTGTTTTTGTCCTCTGTCCACGATATTTTTCATTTGCAATGAATTTTATAGCGTAAAGTTTGAAACAACAACGGAACTGCCTAAGTTGCAATGTCGCACGGTCCATTATTTAACATACACATAATATTTTTTTGTGCGCATTGATGATGATTTATATAGATTAATAATATTAATTTATTTTTATTGCATGTACTTTTACAGACCGCCTCGGCCGACGACCTTGTCCTTTGTGTCAAAAAGTGATCTCTAACAAATCCAACCTATTGAAACACATGCGTATCAGGCACAGCGATGAATACAATCCAGCCGGCTGCAGTGTTTGCGGCAAAGTGTTTAAAAACAAATATAGCTTACGTGCTCATATCAACATCTACCACAAAGATCATTCAAACAACACCACCGGTATGGGAGGCGGAGGTAACCAAAACACAGCCGCCGCTTATCAGGTGTACAGTAACAATTCGGCGGTCACTAATCAACTCCAACAGCAACAGCAGCAGCTGCAGCAGCAGCAGCAACAGCAACAACAGCAACAACAAAATCAACTGCATCAGCAACAACAGCAAGTGGCTAACAACACCAATTCTTATTTGACCGGCTCGTCGTCGGTGTCTTGTTTTAATCAATCGCCGACTTCAGCCAACACGGCCGGTGGGGGCTACATCATACAGCAGCAACCGTCGACTTCTCCGTTCCTCAATAAAATATCATTGGATCTCCCGTCACCGTATCAGTTGACTAATCAGGCTACGGCCGGCCCCCCCCTATCGCCACTCTAACATCCACTTTTTCCACCCGCCCCAACAGTCGGCGAACTGTACGATGTCGACTTATTCATCTAAAGACTTGCATTTAAAGTCTAAAATTTTCTTTTAAATTCCTAATTACATTTTTATTTTTATTTTTATGGGGAGAAATGGGTTGGCTAGACGTTTATTTATTTTCTCTTTATTTTTAAAATAACAATTGTCACTCAATTTTTGACAGTCTTCTTTATTACTTTACATAATAATAATATGTATCGGACTTTGCGATCGGTTGAAACATCTAAATCGAAAAAAACAATACCATACTTATTCAAATAATTTTAAATTAAATGTACTATGCTTTATTTTAGTTTAGATTTTATCAATGTGCCAATAACATAAATGCAAATAAAATTTAAAAAAATCAAATAGCGTGTGTTTGATAATGACACGTAATTGCTTTATTTAGGCAGCAGCCATGTGTTAAGGCCAAATGAGTCAAAGACTGAAATATATTTCGTATAAACATAAATCATATTATTTTAATTTTTATTATTATTATTATTATAAAGATGACTGTTGTAGTATTTCATATAGATTGTAAGCGTCAAAGATAAATTATATTCGACAATTGTATAATTGTTATTTTCCAACAGTCGAGTCAAAGAGATAATACCTATGTGCAAAGTTATTGTTTCGCCAACGATACCTACCCATTGTATAGACTTAATCATAGACGTATCATGTAATAAAATCATTAGTATTTTTACCAAAGAATATTTTATTAAATAACAATAATTGTCGGTTAACAATGGAACGGTTGCGACTGAAAAACAATAAACGTTTTTATTTTTTTCATTTATTTAAAGGGCATATACACAGTTTATTGACGTTTTATGTTTGTTTCTAAATTGGTATTGAAAGAAAAAACAATGTAAGTCGTACATCATCTTTTAATTTACTATAGTTTTAAACGATTCATTTTTCGTTGCCCGATAAAACTATTGTTACGGGTCTTTTTTGTATTATTAATTAGGGTTTTATTTTATATAGATTTTTATCATTCATTAATGGTATATTATTTTAATTTTTATTTGTAATTTTTTTTTTTTTGTATCTTATAGGCAAACCTAGTATTTTCTTTTTTCGGGTTCCAAAGTGTGTATGACTGATGTAGTTTATAGTTTATATTTTTAATAAACATAATATTATGTTATACATATATATATTATATGTAGATATATTATTTTTTCAAACAGAATGAGTCAACTGAGGTTTTATTTGATATGTCATATGTATATTTAACATGTTTATGTATGATCATTAAAATTTGTAATGAAAAATCAAATATATATTTTATGTAAGATAATAAGTAATTTATTATTATTTCGACTGCTAATAATTTATTCGTGATTTTTCAAAATTATTTTTAACGAGAAAAAATTCAAAATACATGTAAAATGTATTATTTCAATAATAATATTGATAATTATTGATATTACATTCATGTCAATGTGTATCTACCATTGTAATTTTTCCCTGTTGATTGCCGAGTCTCTCAGCCTGAAATAATTTATAATCCTGAGTAAAATATATTCTATTTTCCTATATTCTCTAGGAAATTAAGGAAACTATTTATTAATAACAATATATTAATCGGAAAAAAAAAAAACAAACATTGGTAACTATTTAGTAAAAAAATACACACAGAGAACGTATTCAACAATTAATAGTGTACCTCTAATGTAATAGTTTCTAATATTAAATTACACAAACTCTTGCAGTAAAACACTAATAACCTGAACTTGAAAAATAGAATGCAGCATCACTCGGTTGATTACCAGGAGGTTCTAGTTCACTTGAATCGCAATCTATTTGGCTAGAACTTGGCTGAAAATTGGGTGAATTACTTGGTGCATCGTTATTGGCTGCCACTAGTACATTGTTTCCTTGTTGTAGGGTATTGGTATTGGAAGTTGGCCTATTCGGAAGACTACCAGGTGCGAAATTCGAAAAGGAATTGGGTCCTGGTTCGCCATAACCACTGTCGTCATTGGAGGTTTGACTATTTCCTACATTGTCCGGTGCAAAATTGGAAAAGGAATTGGGCCCAGGTTCGCCATAACCACCGTCGTTATTGAAAGGTCCATAGGTGGGTTTTCCTGGTGCTAGCGAATTGGCATTAGAACTCTGACTATTCGGTACATTGCCAGGAGCAAAATTCGAAAAGGAATTAGGCCCAGGTTCGCCATAACCCACATCGTTATTGGCTGGTCCGTGTACATTTTTTCCTTGTTCCAGAGTATTGGTATTAGAGCCCTGACTATTTGGTACATTACCAGGTGCAAAATTCGAAAAAGAATTGGGTCCAGGCTTGCCATTGTTGTTTGATGGTCCGTACACTTTTTTCCCTTGTCCTAGTGAACTGGTACTAGGATTCTGCCCGTTTAGTAAATTGCCAGGAGCAAAATTCGAAAAGGAATTGGGCCCAGGTTCGCCATAACCACCACCGTCGTTATTAGATGGTCCATATGCGTTTTTTCTTTGTTCCTGTGAATTGGCATTAGAGCTCTGGCTATTCGGAATATTGCCAGGTGCAAAATTCGAAAAGGAATTGGGTCCAGGTTCGCCATAACCATCATTGTTACTGGAGGATTGTCCGTATACTCTTTTTCCTTGTTCTATTGAATTAGTGTCAGAGCTCTGACTATTTGGTACATTACCAGGTGCAAAATTCGAAAAAGAATTGGGTCCAGGCTTGCCATTGTTGTTTGATGGTCCGTACACTTTTTTCCCTTGTCCTAGTGAACTGGTACTAGGATTCTGCCCGTTTAGTAAATTGCCAGGAGCAAAATTCGAAAAGGAATTGGGCCCAGGTTCGCCATAACCACCACCGTCGTTATTAGATGGTCCATATGCGTTTTTTCTTTGTTCCTGTGAATTGGCATTAGAGCTCTGGCTATTCGGAATATTGCCAGGTGCAAAATTCGAAAAGGAATTGGGTCCAGGTTCGCCATACTCTGAATTTGAGCCAGGCTTTCCATAACCGCCATTATTGTTCGATAGTCTGCTTACACTTTTTCCTTGTCCTGGTGAATTATTATTAGATATCTGAATACTTAGCACACTGGCCGGTACAAAACTCGTGAAAGAATTCGGGCTAGCCTCACTACCGCTACCAATATTGTTGTTCAATGGCTCGTATGAGTTGCTGGGTTGTCCTGGCATATTTGAATTTTTATATCGGTCCTTCGGTACAAGAGTAGAGTATTTTTTTGTATTTCTTAAGCTGTTATCGGCAGCTCTGTCCGACGGTTGAGCACTTGTCAAAATCATATTGAACCACTGGTTAGGTAAACGGCCTGAGACCTTACCTATGACGGGTGTGCTATGTTCCTGGCTATATCTCACATTCGTCGGCGAGCTTGGGATGTTTCGATAATTAGATCCAATATTTTTAGAGAATTGTTGCGGTATCGATTGGTCTTTGTTATTCGAATCAAAGGATGCAGTTAGCCGTTGTTGGTTGTACGCTTTTAATGTGTTTGTCGAAGCGCCGGGATTGTTATCTGAAGTTTGACCCCATCTGTTATTTCCATAGTTTTGCCCGTTACCCGGAATCGCTGATTGTGACGATTTTGACTGACCATAACTGTCTGTGAGTGACGAGGAACCACCACCACCACTTGATTTTCCATAGTTTTGACTGTCTTCGGGGAATACAATTGATCCACCAGCTTCTCTATATTTTTGATCACGGCCGTTGTTGCTGGCCACGGGACTCTGGTTAAAACCAACAGAGTTTCCTTGATTTCCTCCTGTAAAATTCACTCAATTAAATTGCTTAAATTAACAAGTGTTTTTCTTTATATGCGCGTAACATGTAATAATACCTACCATTAACTCCGGTTGAATATTCGCTTGAACCTAATAGGAAATTAGCACTTTTAAAGTTTTTAACGTTTGATTGTGACGGGTTAGCAACACTTTCAACGGTACCTCTGTCGAACGAGTTGCGTTGTGTATTTCCTTCTGTACTGCTGTTATTGGTTTTAGTGAAATTTCTATGATTTTTGTCGATTGAATTATAAGCAGGTCCAACGTCTACAGGTGGACCACTAAAGGATTGTTGCTTGCCAAAATTATTTTCTTCGGGTCTTTGGTTTTGTGCATAACCATTGTTGAGACCGGCCAGAGGAGAAAATCTACTTTGAGGCGAACCATTCGATAATGAATTATAGTTGTTTCCCGAAAAGTCTGACGGACCGTTATTGTAATTTGTATTTATTTTTTCCCCAAAATTGCTTTCTACCGAAGCGCCAGAACTACTATATTCTCCACTGTTGCCTGCTGAATTTTTCCTATTCGGATTTAAACCATTCGATTCGCTGTTGGCCGAGTTTGACGATGCATAATCATAGGATCTTTCTACCGAGGCGGTCGGTTCGAATTTGCCTTGGCCCAATAATCCTGAGCCACAGTTATTGCCAAGACCACTAGGCGCATTAAAACCGTTTCTTGGACTTTGAGGCTCGCCGAATACTTGTTTTGGAGGCAAGTACATACGAGATAAATCTGAAAGTATACAATAACATATTGGTTATGTCTTACACAAATTCAAAGTATTTAATCTAAAAATAGTAAAAAAAATTACTATCCCAATTTACTTTGGTAAATTATTCCTTAAAAATTCTTTGCGTTTATTTCTCAATTTAATGTTTAACTTAATAACACTATAAGCTTAAATTTTATCAACTTTGAATTAAAAAGTAAGCACAAACAATTTTTCACATTAAAATATGATTAAAATTTTAATTTTTAATTTAAAATTGTATTTTTAAATATGATTTTAATTTTGAATTCTCTATTGTCTCTTTGAATAAACTAAGAACTCTTGCCAACTCACTGGCAATGTACGACGACAAACACTATAGTTGGCAACCCTGTACTATTATTTTTGTTTATTACAGGAATCAGGATGCTATAATTATGATTTGTGTATAGTATTTGTTTTGAAGTTATAAGTTTAAAAAAAACTGGTATTAAAAATAATTATCTTTAAATCTTTTATGGTTTTAAAACGAAAAGTACGTTTATAGTTTATACTAGAAATGTTCTACTAAGAATAAATATAATTAGTTAACTAATATCACTCACCTATGACTTGTGTCGACTGTCTTTCTTTTCTTTGAACTCCATTTTGAATAAATCCTGTAGTATTATTTGTTTTTAAATCGAAATCACATTTAAAAAGTCCAACCTTGTAAACAAGTAATATCTGTAAAATATATTAGAAAATTAAACAAATATCATATTTTATTTATTACATATTATATGATCTACACATATGGTAAGTTTATTAGTAATTAGTATAATAATGATTAATACCAACATCCCTTTTACTAGTTATTACACACAATATTATTGTAAAACAAAAAAAATAAAAACAAGAAAATTGAAATCAGACTTTAAGATGATTTTGTACGCATCTTGAATAGTCTTTATTGTTTGATATTTTCCATCTAAAAATCCCCTCCCTCCTAAATTAAATTTTAACAAAGCTAATTTAACATCTTACTATTTTTTTTTTAAGGCCAGACAGTGGAAAATTATAGGTTTAAACCGTATAATATGCACATAGTATTATGGCAAAATCGCGAGGCGTGAACCAACAATTACCTACAGCCACCTATATAAATTCAGGTACTTCCAAGTCGTTAAATTTAATATTACAGAAGTCACATTTATTTATTTTTTACCTGCTATTAAAATTTTGTTTCAGCGTTATTAAAGATAGACATGGCTTGAGTGTTTAATAATAATATGAAATACTCGAATGTTTAAACGTGGAATTTGTAACACTCCAAAACGATGATTTTGTATTGCCACAGTGGTTAGTTTACATTAACAAATACTGTTAGCTTTAGGCTCTAAAGTTCTGAACGATTAAACAAAAAAATATGAAAAATATTCAAGTATTATGTTGTTACCTTTTTTTCAGAAAATTAAAAGTTATACTTTTTAGTTTACAATTTTATGTTAAAAACGTTCAACTATTATTTTTTGCTAAATTAATATAAAAAATAATAATTTAGGACAGGTATAACCTAAATGGTACCAACGCTGTTGAACAATAGTGTTAGTAAACGGTGTGTTCTTACATATTTACATGAGATAATTATTATTCGCACCCGCATCCGCTATAGACTATAGTCAATGGCCACGTGAGTGTGCCCAAAATTTAAATGTTTATTTTTCATTTAAACAAACGTTTCTAATCCAAAACAAACCACCTCCATCACTCGGGCTGTAGTAAATTCCTCATGCGATATTCCATCTTAATCTAAATGTCAGATCTCAAGATCTAAAGCTTCACCTAAAATTGACGTTTGTCAAGTACACTTGCATAGGCTTAATAAATGTGTCGTGAAAGCTTTATAATTATTATGGATTTTAAAAGTGAGCAATAATCGACAACATTTGTTTAAGGTAGATATTTTAATTGTGCAAACTTTTCATTGATAAAAATGACTATGTGATTAAAAATCTGACCGGTAGGCTCACGTTATTATTATATAGTAAATAATTATTAATTAGATATATTGTATTTTATTGAATTAATATGAGAGTTTGTTAATATATAAGTTTACGAATGTCACTATAGATCAGAACTGTCGTCTCCTCCACAAGTTTAGGCTTTTGGAGACAATCATTATCGTATTGTATTTCATATAAATTATTTTTTTGTAAATGTTTCTTTCTCTATAAATGCAATAACTAATATTATTGTTATTAATCATTCTGAAAAGTACCCACAAATTGTCCAAACTACTTTAGATGAATCTGATTCATTGTTGACTAGTATGTTGTGTACAATATATTTTCCAGTTTCCCCAGTGAGTTTCCCAATGTACGCCGCGTTGGCCAACATATCTTAGGCCCAACACTTCTGGTCAGGCTGAACTAACCCGGGAAAAATCTTAAGATTTTGGGCGATCGTAACGACCTATTAAAAATCAACATATGTAGGTACTCACGGTTGTCAAGACGGTGATGCGGTTAAGCAAATCCATTGCGTCCAGACGCTGTGCGAACACTCACCGGTCGCCAAACGTTACTCACACTTGCGCGTCGCGTCGTCTGCGGGCGCATCGCTAGTTTTTATACATACGCTATCCCCAAAATGTATTCTTCGTCGTATAGTCGCTTTGCAAAATTCCCTTTCCGTTTTGCAACCACGACGACGTCGGCGGAAAACCTCTGGCGGACCGCGCGCGGCCGTAGGAGGAACTCCGTTCGCCTTGAACCGCGCGCCGCTTTCGCTATGTATACAGTGTAATATATATATATATATAAAATATACAATAATAATAATAACAATAATAATGTAATATATGTGCGCATATGTAATATCGTATAATATCTATATACTCGCGATGGTAATAATGTTGTATACACACACACACACATTTTGTATTCTATACCATTGCGTTTCGCCGTGCCCGTCATAAAAATATGTGTATCTAGAGTAACGCTGTGTGTCGTCAGTGCGCGTTTGTTGTTGGGTTTTTTTTTTTACAGCTCTGTAATCTGCTCGATCCGAAAGACAATGCGCACACGATGCGAATACATTTTATCTTAGCCGCACCACGAATCGGCGGGGCCCAACCCATTGAAAGTTGAAACCCACCGAGTTTTTAATGGGCAGGACCCGGTGATAAAAACCCAACGGGCAAACGAGTTAGCAAATTTTACACTTTAAGTCATCAAAACAAAAAAACATAACAACTTAGACAATATTAACGAAATATGTCATGTTGAAATAAAGAAAATAAGTGAATGTGTCAAACGTTCTGTGTGCCAAACAAATATTTGTTCAGGAAACGCTAAAAACATTACAAAATAATCAATAATGATTATGTGTAAAAATATATGTTGTATATTTTTATAGATTAGTTGAGTTCCATTATTATGTTTGTCGTTTCATATTGGTTAAAAATGAAATATTTTTTAATGACAGTTCCAAGTGTTAATATTAATATTCCAAGTACCAAACGGTGTGGTAATTATTCCAAGTAACAATATTTTTATTGTAACAAGCAGAGAATCGTTCTGTATAATATAAATAAAACACAATTACAACTTTACCATACTTTCTTCGTTTAAAAATGTAATACAAGTTAAACAATACATTTTTATAAGTGTCCCAAATTTAAAAATAAATTAACAAACCGAATTATAATTTTAAAAAAACTCATGTTGTTTTACTTTTTAAAGTTTTTTCCTAGGATTGTTATACTTTTATACGTTAAAAAAAAAAATCATAATTTTTTCATTTAACATAATATGATATTAATAATTAATGCAAAAAATAATAATATGTATACTATGAATGGACAGCCAATTCGTCTAGAAACTATCATATCGCGATGGCAGCGTTGGGCATTCAAGTCCTGTTAAGCTTGTCGTTTGAAATATATTATAATAAGCATATTTTTGCTTATAAGTAAAACCATAATTTCAAACAAGTATATGCGTTGAAAGGAGAAAAAATCAGTAAAACCCAATTGCCTATTATTTTTTTATAAGTCTTAAACATAAAAAATAAAAACTAAACTATTAAATTTTCAATTATTGTCGTTTGAATTTTTAACTTTCAACAATCGCCTTATGGCTGTAAATACTTCAGTTAAAGATCAACTATATTCGTTCGGTTTTCTTAAAGACAGTAGCTCAGGCCTCAGTTCCCATTAAACAGCAATATTAACCCCTGTCTATTAACACTGTCACCGATACCTAATCAGACCTCATTATTACACTCATTAGTCATTGCACACATTATTTTTTTTTATATATTACGGATAAGCGGTTCTTATCTACCTAATTTAAATACAGTGACAAATATACTAGTCTTGGTAATAACAAAAGAATGTCGACACAACAGTTTGAAGAGAAATGGCAATCTTTACTAAGTCGTAGCAAACGAAAAGACTAATGAAAATGAAAAATTTAAACGCTAAAATGTTTCAACATTTGTTGTCTACATATTTATGGAATTAAAAACATAGGTTCTCATTTGAAATAACGAAGTCCATAGTTGTTTTTCGTATAAGGTATGAAGATATTCCAAGTATTGACAACTAAAGTAAAATATGTACCTGTAGGTATAGGAAAAAAATAATTTACAAAATATTCATATTTCACAAGAAAATTACCGTCTTACATCAGATGGATCACCCTGTAAAAAATACATATACATATATTCCTTAGAAGGGAATCTTTATTATTATTTTGTATCTGTGTTCTGCTGTTTTAGGTAAAGAAGAATTAAAAAAAAAATCTAAAGTCAAGCCTTTATTTCTAAGTTGCCATGTGTGAGTTGAACAGTCAACAGTCAACATGTATTGGGACATATTTGCATTAATATTTAATTGTTAACGATTTTGTTGAAATGTGTAAAACGATTGTACTATTCTGGAAAACAATAGTTAATTTTTAAAAGAAACACACACGGGGCCAAAAAAGACTTCTTGTCGCAAAAATCAAATTTTAATTGTTTTTGGTTATATCAAACGCTGAACATTTTGACACCAAACCAAAATTCTCCTATCATGAAAATTGGTCCTAGCTAAAGTCCTTAAAATAAAGTGCCCTTGAGCAGATAACATAAGTGTTCTGATGTATCTACTCGGGGAAGTATTTACATGAAGAAATGGAGATTCCTAACCTAACCTAATAAAAAGTCTGCCATTTAAATTTTGTAGCCATTTTGCAATGAATTTTGGTTTTCACTATTATTGTTCAATCTCAAAGTCACCTTTTTGCATTTTGCCATAAACTATTAAAAAGTATCAGCGCATAAAAATAGAATAATATTATGTTAAATGTATATTATGTAAGGGGACTTTGGTTGCATAATAATCAGTCCCCTCAGTTATTGTGTTTATTTACACATAATATATAGGTGTATATTAAGAAAACGTGTACCGAGTTCACTCACGATAAGGTGATTTTCTTTTGATGATATATTGTAAAATCTCCGTTTTTATTTGAATGTATAATATTCGTTGTGTACAAAATATGTGATAAACAAAAAGAGAGAGAAATTATATACTTTTTTCCCCTTTCATTTGTTCATTTTCATTGCGGACTCACGAATCATGTTTTTTTTATAGAAGAAGAAGAAGACGTGTTGTCAAGTTGACATTTTTGATAAATTATGTTAGTTTAGACTTTTTGTGCGCTCCCAACAGTTGTATCATCACTATAAACACCAATTGTTTGTTTTATGTCTATAGTATTAATTGTACGACTGAAGGATCTTTCTTGAAATGTATTTATCTCGTTGACAATGTGAATTAGTTTTATTAACTATATATGTATATATTTGATTTACTCATTCAATCGAAGTTCCCTCTCTGCGATTACAATATACAATAATATGTTAACGAACACAATAGATGGGCCACTTATCAACTCGTGTCACTGTGCACCTGTCAAATATATATATATATATATTATTTGTACGATTAGGAGGTAGGCACTTAAGTACATTAAGTAATTGGTAAGAAACAATGAATTGAGGCACAAATTATTTGGCCACTTATCAAACCGAGTCGCTACTATGAGAGCAATATTTGAAACAGCGCAGCTTTTCCTAACGGTGGCACTTTTGGTGGTAACTGAACAAGTCGCCGGCTTGGTGTCGGACTTAAGTCACGGTTATTGGACCAACACCACAAACTGTCGTAACCTCCCGGATTACTTCACCGTGAACAAAGTGATCCAGAAAAACTTGCACGAAGACGGGACTTGGGTTAGAGCAGAATACTTCAACATGGCCGTACACTGTGGAACTCACCTGGACGCGCCGTACCACGCTTACAGTCGCGGCTGGAAGCTGGGTGAAATACCGCTGGAACGGTTCATCGTAGAAGGTAATATTATCTTTAGTTTTTAATCCATTAGTCATCTTAGCCCTAGTAGTTGTGTATACAACCAAACCTAACCTAACCAAACCTAATCAAACCTAACCAAACCTAACCTAACCTAACCAACCTAACCAAACCTAACCTAACCTAACCAAACCTAACCAAACCTAACCTAACTTAAACGGTAACGGCATAAATTCAGCTAGCTGTATAATAGCAATAATATGTCATTACAATATTATGTAGCCAGAAATAGGCAAAAACCAGTGTTTTCAACAAAAAAAAAAAGTTACAAAAAAATAGTTTTTGTAATTGAAAATAAACACATGTATATTGCTATTCGCAGGTGTACATATCAACGTCAGCAAAGAAGTCAATGGAAATGCAGATTTCGTTTTGACAGTCGATCATTTGGAAGCATGGGAAAAATTGAACGGTCCGATTCCTTCTAGGTCTGTTGTTTTGGTTAACTTTGGATGGGCGCACAGGTTTGGTGATCGTTTGGCAACCTACAACAGCACAGATCGGTCGGCGGAACGGTAAGGGAAATAGGAATATACCTAAGTATGACATAAACACCATTATGGATCCCTTAGATAGCATATCATTTAGGGCAAACCTGTCCGGTTGCTGAGCACCCTCCAATAATCCAATTGAACGATCTCACTTTGTATTTTAAATTTAAAGAAAAGGAGGTTGACCGAATAAGATAATCGCTGATATTTGACTTTATGGTCAAACTGTAAAACATTAATGATCACATCATTTACTCTACACTGGACGACAATGTTGAATTACTAGGATTTTTTAGTTATTTTACTTTAGAGTAGGTAATATTGCTGATATTATTTTAATTTAATATTTTATCAAGTATGTTCGTAAAAAAAAAAAAATAGACAGATTATTGATTTACTAGTCGCCATTTGATGGATAAGTACAGGGTGATCCACTTATCGTGAACCACTCAATATCTCATAGGGTTTAATAAGAAATTAAAATGTTTTTTTTTCATATTGTTTTTATACAATGTGATCTAAATTTTTCACAATTTTTTGTTTGTTTTTACCCCCTACCAACTAGGTTTTTTGATAGCAACTTTTAAAGTTAGCATGGGAGTGCAAGTGCGGTTGGGAAATGCGCGCAGATAAAAATAAAAATACACTCCACCTTTCCTCCTGCCCTAAACTTGAAACTTCAATAACTTCAAAAATAGTCATCCGAAACTGGTTATCGACCTGTCAACATTTTTAATACATTATTCTCGATTTAAAAAGTGAATAAAATGTTTACGTTACCGTTTAAGGTTCAAAAGTTGCTATCAAAAAAAACTGAGTTGGGGGGGGGGGGGTAAAAACAAAAAAAAAATTGTGAAAAATTGAGATCACATTGTATAAAAAGTGCATCACTCTGTATATATAAACAAATTCGTCAGCAAAACACACACAAAGTTTAACTGATCCTTAAGTGTTCAACAACTGGACTAGTAACCTAACCTAACCTAAACTAACCTAACCTAACCAAACCTAACTAAACCTAACCTAACCTAACCAAACCTAACCAAACCTAACCTAACCCTAGTATCTATTGTTTGCCTTGTAAATAATCGTTTGTCTCGACTTTTATTACTCTGTAATTCAGTTTTCCTGGCATATCAGCACCAGCAGCTCAGTGGATTGTCAACACCGGTAAAGTCTACGGGGTCGGAGTGGATGGCCCAAGTGTCGATCCGGGAAGATCGAAAGATTTCGAAGTACACAGAACTATTACCAAAGCGAATATGTACATTTTAGAAAACGTAGCTCTAAACGGTACACGGTTGCCTTCCAGGGGATTTAAACTAATTGCACAACCGTTTAAGTTCTTAGACGGCACCGGAGGACCTTGTAGGATTTTAGCTTTCACCGAATAATTATTATTGTAACACTTATAGTAGATGTCACGGTGACAATACCTCTGACAAAAAATAGACAAAAAATATATATATTTTTTTGAATTTCATTTATATATTAGGTACTCAAACGTGAATCGTCTTGTTGTTGTATTTCGTTATCTAAAGTGTGGTATTAAAATGTATTGTCATAATCTTATTAATATTATTATTTTCCCTCAAACGACTCGTTTTTATCAAAAGTTTATACAAATAATTATAAAATAGTTTTACAATTTATTTACCCGTTAATTAATCTCTTCGAGGTGCTCAAAGCCAATTGATTTTATTTATTTGTTTTTTACTTACAGCAACTAGGTTTTTGTTAAAAAGACGTTTATCTCTCTTCCTTTATTCATTTTATCTTTATCTTGTAACAAGTAGTAGTGAGCTATTCAAATTGGAAATAATATGACACAGTCGAAATTTGTTGAAATCACTTTTGTTGTCAACTGGCTAACTGCCTATATATTATGTTGCCCCTTAACAAAATATATAGCCACAGCTATTAAGAGATTATTTGGGTAACATAGCAATATTATCTTGGAAATATTTTCATAATCAAATGTCAACAAATACAGTGTGTTTACAGAAACCAATAACTGTGGCATAGTACAATTCACAAATATTTTGATATTTTTTTTAATGTGTAATAAAGTAGTTACTCGGAAATGACTCTTACACTAATATGTGGGCTACGTCGAAGATGTATACGCGGTCTCTATAATCTTCAAGTTAATGCCAAAAACCTTAATAAAAACACTTAACAAACTATTTTACCACGCTGTTTTTATATTCTTAAGCACCATTAAAATATTAAAAGAACTCCGCACTACCAATTTATTAATATTTTCAATTGTTACAGCACCTTGTGAAATCCTTCTTTTTTCAGACACACTTAAAGTGTGACTGGCGTACATTTCTCACCTGAGTCACAGTGTAAACAATATTAACAATAGATTGAAATCTCCAACAAATTGAAAAATTAAAACAAAACGACATTATAATGCTCTGGGTTGCACAACATTTTATTGGTTTCATAAATCTTCAATGGGCCAACTTGCTTATGAAACCAATAAAGATTTGTTATAACCAGCAAAAGTATGACAAATTTATAGCTGTAGCTGTGGATCAATTATAATATTATACTCTAACAATGATATCTGTTTAGTAACGACAATAACTGTATACCTAAAAAGGGCACAACACATAACTACTTAATCTGATGCAAAATATTGAACAAACATAATATTATGCAAACCCATCGGTTATGGTTTTTAATAAGGAGTGCGAGATAGAGGAACGAGTGCAAGTAAAAAAGTAACTATCCAAATGTTAAATTATTCTTAATTAAAAAAAAAAAATACATACAAAGTCACGGTGCCGTTTAAGTTTTAAAAGCTGATGGATCTCTCTATGGAAAACACTGACAAGATAAGTATTTGGCAATTTCTTAACACTGTAATATATCATAAACAAAAAATAGCGGATCGCCCTGTAAGGTCAAAGTGTAAGTAACCTACCGTTAATCTATAAAGTCAATATCTGAATATGATATGTGTACTTATCACAATTATAGAAACGGTTTTTTTTGAAATTAAATTTAATGGCAGTTTAGAGATAAACCGCAGATGAGGTTAAAATGTCAGTAATTTGTTTTCACACAAACCGCAGTCGGCGTTTGGCTATTATTTGAGTAACAGTACGTATACCTGGCTAGAAGCAAGCGGCTATAGAGACGACATGCGCGGGTCGTACGAGTTATACGTTTTGATTGTGACATTGACACTGGTCGCGAACCACGCCGGCAGTGTCGTACTGGACCTTGGCCACGGGTACCGGCATAACGTGACAAGCTGTTGGGTGCCTGGGGTGTATTTCAACGTTTTCGACGTCGTGGAAAACGGTGACCCCGACAACGGCACCTGGTACACCGCGGAACAGTTTTCCACACCCGAACACTGTGGAACTCACATGGACGCTCCCTATCACTTTTATAAACAAGGTTGGAAGCTGGGCGATATCCCGTTGGAACGGTTCGTCGTAGAAGGTAAGATAGTAGTGAATAAATAGTCTAAAATATTCAATCAGCCGATTTCACGAACAATTGTCAAGTATTTGACTTATTGTTAATTATACTTAACAATTATAGTTAGTGAAAATTGGGTTTCATCGAGATTTGTTAGCCTTAACGCATTGTAAAAACTAATCACCCGAAATAGGCTTTTTAAAAAGTTAATCGGCATGTTAAAATGTATTGTAGTACTTAAAAGTAATATTTATATTATTATAGTTGAGAAATTGTTTTATAATTTTTGTTGATTGAATAAACTAGTAGTATACAATAATAAATTACACATTTAATGAGGAACTTCTTTATATTGAGTATTTAGAAAAGTAACTTCGATAACCCTTTATAAGGTAAGCAGAAGTTATTTTACGTAGGTGGATTAGGTAAAAAGGAATGGAACAGGCTCACATATATTATAATATGTTCAAATATCATAATTTATTGTATTTTGTAATTTAGATAATATTATTGTGTCTTGCCTGTCCTGAGTATAACAATGGAAATAATTCTTATCGCTACCTTCTTTTTCTTTTAGGCCTTCAAAGTATAAAAAATGATTTTAACGACCTCGATGACAAACTATTTTTAGAAAAGTATAAACTATCTAAACCATGTGTTAAAAAAAATGATATATAAATTATTTATTTAAAGTATAAACCGAGAAACGTTAAAAGAAAGTAAAACAAAATGCCAAATAGTAACAAACTGACAAATTAAATAACACAATCACTTATCAGTTATCACATACTTAATAACCAATGAGAACGTTGGAATCGAGGTAACCGCTTTGGTAACCTAACAAACGTTTTGTTAACTTAACCAATAGAATATAATAATAATAATATTTTTATGATAAACTTACATAATTTAACCGGATGTTAAATTTAGACGAATATTGTTAACTAACATTAGATTAAGAGTGTATATTTTAATTGTAGTCGACGAAACCGGCTGAATATGTTTTTTTTTTTTAATTTTTCAATTTTCAAGTAAATTCAGTGAAAATGCGGTCGTATGATAAATTGAAATATTTTTTTTTCCCACGACCGACTGCAATTTTTAAGCACACTCATTACACGTTTTTAAATATAATCCCAGATTTGTAGCAACTACTATAGTTTTATCTTAATCCGTGTGAATAAGTCTCGAGACTGGTTTATGACGAATTGCTATATATTTTTTTTTTTTTTATCTGTTTTTACACAGGCGTGCACGTTAACGTTACTCACCAAGTGAATGGGAATCCCGACTTCATGTTGAACGTGGATCACTTGAGAAAATGGGAACAAGTCAACGGCGCGTTCCCTAACAAGTCGGTTGTATTGATAAACTTTGGTTGGTCGGACAAGTTTGGCGATCGACTTGAGTACTACAAAAGTAGCACAAGTTCGGACAGACGGTAGGAAAACATGACAACTCAGGACTTCCAAAGACTTGAGTACATATATATATATATATATATGTGTGCACACATTAGTAGTGGAGATTTAAAAAAATACAGGTTACCAAAAAAACCATAGATACTATTTTTTAAGTCTTCAAAAAAAAAAAAAAATCCTAAATTATTAAGTAAATGTCTAAAAAAAAAAAAGTGGTTTAAAAACAACACTGAAAATCGATGGAATGTTTTATTTTTTAAGTTTCATGAACGTTTTTGTTCGGTTTTGAGTGTTGGCCTTAAAATAACTTTTCCGCCAAACGTTTTTAATTTAAATACATCACTTGTGTATTTTTAGATTTTTTGAAATTCCAATTTTTCTGGTCCCATTTCTATGTTTAATTAATGTTTTATCATTTTAGTAGTACCTACTCTTAGAAATAGCTTAGCATTCTGCATTAGTACATCAAATTTATAATCACCCATTTATTATTTATCCATCTGTTTTTTTAATGAAATATTATTTATAATTCCATTTTTATCTTTATTACTGTTTATCAATTATGAATTATCGCGTTGAACTTTTTACTCTCTAGTCTATTAGCAAATTCCATACTGAAAACAATATGTCTTAATACGATTAAAAAACAACGTTTATTTCCTTATTTTTGTAGTACCACCAAATTATTATTTTGCATAGCTCCAAGGTTTGACAGATATAATTTAAACAAATAAGTCTTCTGTAAATGGCCTTGTACGCACTTTCACTATAATTTATATAAATTTTTCAGATATTTTTAAATCTATTCAATTCTATCGTCTAATCAAACCAATAGTAAATATAGGTATTAGGGTAAAAAAATACTTGGAAATTATTTAAATAACTGTTTACTACAAATTTAAATTCAAATGCAATATTATATTTTTATTTGATCAAATACCAAAAAGGTAATTTAAAAAAAAAATTTTATTTGGACAGATTTATATTTAAAAAAAAAAAATAACAAAAATACTGTTTAAATTTGAACTATAGATCATTTTTATTGAAGTAAAAAAATGAAAATATTCGAAATTTGTTTTAAACAAAAGTTCAAATAATAAAATAAAAACCAAATTTAATTAGAAAAGCTCTTCTGGGGGAAAAGGTATTTTTTGTTGGTTTGTAATTATATTGGTATTAATTTGGTATTAATTGGACTATTTTTGAAAAAAGTAACATCAATTTTAAGTCGAGAAATACAATACAATATTGAATGTACAATTTCTGATCGTTTCGGATGGGAAGGAGTCAACTTTTTTAATTTTCTGCCCAATAAAGTACCTTTCAGGTATGATTTCTAATCTATAGATTTCAGCATAGGCGCAACTAAACCTATATATATTTTGGGGGTTGCTAAAATTTTATTAACCTGACTAAACATGGTAATTATTATCCAGTTATGAGAAAATCCTTAATCACAAAAAAATATACTTATATTTTATTACTAAACCATCCTCATCCCTTTACAACAGCTTTTATCTCTAATCCCTTATCTTATCAGATAAATCTCTTATCGCTCTTATCTTATCAGACAAATTATCAGAAATTTTCGTTAGGTTTTTTAACTGTCGATTTTTCCAGTTGCGTGCCAAAGTAAAGACATAAAATGTCAAAACAAATAAATGGAAAATTTTCCAACATAGTGGAATATTATTGATATTTTTCAGATTTCCCGGATTGTCTGCCGAAGCGGCTCAATGGATCGTCGATTCCGGTAAATTCGTCGGCTTAGGAGTGGACGGTCCAAGTACGGATGCCGGGATTTCTTCTACTTACCCAGTTCACAAAATACTTTCCAAAGCCAACATGTACAGTCTGGAAAACGTAGCTCTCAACGGCACCTCATTGCCGGCCAGAGGATTTAAACTAGTCGTACAACCGATTAAGATATTGGACGGCACCGGCGGGCCTTGCAGGATATTAGCATTCACGGAAAACAAATTCGAATGAATTTTTTTATGTTAAAAACCGGTTATAATTATCGCCAGAAATACTCAGCTGTACAATGACTTTAGTAAGTCAGATTAAAACTCTATTATGAGTAAACTGTATCTAGGTACTTTGATTTGAAAACGAAACGCTATCGAATAAAACGTTTGGTGCCTTATACATGCATATGCAATAGAAAAATATTAATATAATATATATATCAGTACAAAAACAACGAAAGACCGTATTGTTTAGTCCGTACAAACGATTATTAATTAAATACTTATGCAAATTCGCACAGAGTAGTTTAAATCAGAGTGAACACTCTGTGGCCGCCATTTTGTTATTTATCCTAAAATTATACCTATACACAACTCATGTACACAGAGATAACACTGTACTGACTGATAACAAACGACAAGATGGCCGCCATGTTTATTAGTGAGTGTTCACGCTCTGCTTTGGTTACTAAAGTGTATATTATAAATAATTAATAATAACAATAACATACTATGTGTTTTATTGTATTTAAATCGCCTTTTAGATCTAATTTTCGATTAACCGTCCATGCACTAAAAAACTATGAATCAAATGAGAGACATTGTACTATAATATATCACATTTAATCCGATCCAAGGCGCTGTCACATCAAAAAGGTACCCAAGACCACGTCATAACCCAACTACAGTGATATACTATACTATATTATATTTTTATAATAGAAAATGAAAATATTCACATCTTGCTGGCTAATTTATCGCGAGCATGCCCAAGAACGTGACAGACATGTTCGTGCTCGCTTATTATGCGAAGCGACGATGATAATATTAAACAACATAACATTACAATACTGTGTTTGAAAACGTATAAAAGCACACGATTAACATAGCATAATATAAGTTTAAAGAAAATAAATATCATCACCGCGTGTAGAGCCCAACGCTGCCATTAAAAAAAAAAAAATGTATACATAAATTAAAATATGTAAAACTTTGCTAACCAACAACGTCGCATCGTTTCGTGTATTAATTGAAATCCTTTGTTTGTTAAAAAGTTCAAGGTCGACTTAAAAAAAAACCCATTTGTAACGATAATAATACAAAACAACAATTGCTTCACTTACTTGTGGAAATCATCATCATCATCGCTATAAAGCGAATAACCCTGAAAGTAACACTTCACTTCAAGAGAAAGTCGATGGTTTTTATCTGAAAATATGTTTATCACGGGTTTATTGAGTGTCAAGATGGGTGGTTTGACCAGAATGGAGGATTATGCAAAATTCAACAAATGTTTCAACTATTCCAATACCTTTTTCGAGGTGTGAAAAGTTATTTAAAAAAACCTCATTTAAAGTACTTTAAAAATAAGTGCTTCTCATGATAGTATATAACTGTCGAGCAACTGACTATTAAAAGAAAAAAAAGGGTAAATTGTTATTTATTACAACCAATTTTTTACATAATTCAACATTTGAAATGTGAAAAGTTAATGTTATACAATTTTACCTTCTACTCTGAGTGGGTAAGATTTTTTAGGTATATTTTTTAAGAACCTGTTTGTGCCAATATGAATAACCAGTGGTTAACCATAGTGGTTAACCAGAGGGATGTTAATCAGAGTGGTTAACCAGAGGGACGTGGGAGGCTGAATTAAAACGTTTAGCCCCTTGATCTAGTCAGACACCTCCAATCCAGTTATTGTGGATATTAAGTTATTATACTAATACAATTATTGTTACTCGTTAGATCGGCCTATCCTTGTGTAAATAAAAATATGTCCTTCTAAAGACATACCTTAGAATTATACAAAAAAAAAAAAAGAGATGGCCAAGTAGGCAAGTCTTACTCTGATGGCGATGAGAAGGTTGAGCGGTGTACAAGTAACAGGTATATTCTATATAATGTCATCGATGACGCGGTTTGTTCTCCAATAATAGAATAATATAGATTAACGCGCCTAATATAAAATTTTTTTAATAGCGTATTTGTGTTTCACACGACGACCTTGGTCTGAGAAATGAAATGCGTTTTGGATCTGCTCGGTCACGACTAGTGTCTACTATTTTATAGTCACAATTGTAACACAAAATAATAATAATATTGATCAGGTACGCGTCGCGATTTTTTCTTAATTAATTATGCCAATTTATTTCACTCCCAACACTTTCCAATCGTGTAAAACACACGACAATCGTGTAATGTTATTTTTTAATTAACTCATCACGAGGATATGTATTTTTTTTTTTTTTTTTTAAATTGTGTTTATTAACTTTCTCCGTCGCCGTGTTGAGCTAGCAAACGTTTGTCAACATATTAGCTCACACAAGCTTATTGTTGGGGGATTGGCCTTAAATCTGTTTAAATGAGAATCTTTATGAAAAAAAAAATGACTACATATTATGTAATATTAAAAAAGCCAGTACAGTGGGGTCGGGGCATAGTGGGGACGGAGAGGTCACGGGTGTCTACAGATTTTATTATAACTGAAAGTGATAAAATCACTTTTAAATAAACGCTTCGATGCAGTGGCGTAGACAGGAATTTTTTATGGGGGGGGGGGGTTCATGGTTGGAAAAAAGAACTCATTAAATTTATTTCACTTATAACGAAATTTGTATTTTCCTTGGTTTTTTTGGCAAATTCATCTCGATAATAGCTTAGAAGAACTAAGCCATTCAGACGATCCCGTTTAAAATAAGTTAGATGATTAAAATGCAAATAAAAATGTTTAAATGATTACCTACAATTTACCTCTTTCATGGTATTTCTAAGGTATGTTTTTACTCTTTTTGAACAATTGTAATTTTTATATTGATAACTGATATGTGATAACAATTAAAACAACTATCGGTATTGTAAAATTTAAGTATTAAGCTAAATAAAATGTCAGGGGGGGGGGGTTAAACCCCCTAACCAGTTATAGCGGTTAAGAAGATATCGTGGGACCAGCAATAATGTACTTAAAATTTAATATTTAGTCTTGTGCAGGGTGGATACGATAAGGGTTGATCGTCTGTCTATAAAAATGTACTGTCATAGTTACCCATATATCGTAATTAATAATTAACTTAGAAACTGACTACGGCCAAAGTGTAAATTTACCCTATTTTTGGGGTTATTCCTTAATAAAAAAAAAAATTTGACTACAGATTTTTGAGAAAATTGTATATGTTATAGTGTTCCGTTTTAGATCTACCTTTGGTTTAAAATTTTCAGATCTAAATCTCTAAAACTTTGCTTGAAAAAGCGAAACAAACAAAAAAAATTCTATCCCTTCTAAGGGAAAGGGTTTATGATATTTTTTTAATGTTTATCGATAGTACTACGTTTGAAGAACAATTCATATAATACATTTGGAACATTTTCGACTATTTTTAAAAAAGTTATAGAGCATCGTAATTTTAAGTTGAAAAATTTGTAACATTTTTTTAGGTGTTTTTCTCGATTTTGATGGGGAAGGGGTGACTTTTTTAAATTTTTGGCCCGATTAGGTACTTTCTGGAGATGATTTCTGATCTATAGAGTTGCTACACAAAAAATAATAAAAACACAACATTGTAAAAAACAATACCTTCTCAGCTCCGCGTCGAAGCTAAAAAATATAAGATTTCTTTCCACACACAGAAAAATTCACTTTAACCCCGTTTTTTCAAATTAATTCACACGGTCGAATTAAAACCACTTTTTTGCCTATACTAAACTCCTTAAAGACAGACCGCATGCAATAAATTAAAACAGTACTTTCTTCTCAGCTCTCATAATTTGATATATATATATATATATATTTATATATACTGTGATTTGAAAGATAAAATAAAAAACCATTTGATTATTATGCTGCAATTAATAAGATACACCTATATTCGTATATATATGTAATTATATTATAAAATTTGTTTCAAAGTTAATAATTAGAAAAAAAAAATTATCTTTAATTACACAAGTTATGTACAAAATGATTACGATACATGTTATCGTGTTGTAATGTTGTTATTATTATTATACATACAAATCGGGCGAATCAATCAACTTAACCGATCGAAATGACGAACTTGAGTAATATAATATATTGTTTTATATAGACACAATAAACACACAAACGGTAGTCAAGCGGCGTTTATTACCGCCGTTTGTCTTGTACAATTGTTACAAAAACTCTAATTATTAAATAAATGAACTACTAGTATATAAAATAATGGTAATTTTGTTTTATTAAAAGTTTCAAAACGCTGTAATTCCAACCAAATGGTCCGAAAAGAAATATACAAAAATTCATTTTACATTATCATATTGTACAATTGATTATATTTAAAACTTTTTACATCGTAAAGTATAATAACCTCATTGACGATTCTTATCGTATTATATCTATGTTCATTAGATTCTTTGTTGCGTAAAAATAGTCAAGTGGACGGGGACGTACAAGGCGTATGTAAATAAAAAAAAATGTAATTAAATATTTTTCATATTATTATTATTATTTTTAAACTTATTTTGTTGTCACTTGTTTATAGTAGAGAGAGAGAGTGAGACGATAAGACGTTGGAAATCTTCTAGAACTTTATCCTCCGCCCACAAGACGAAAATACTTAAAAATCTAAATCTAGTCTACGAGGAAGAAAAATTAATCATAAACCAACATTAACACCGAATTTTCCCAATTAAAAAAAAAATAATGTTAAATCATCAAATCGTGTATTTTCAAACACGAAGGTAATAATAGTAAAAGCGTTGGTTAAAATCATCGGCAGTTGCCTTTTAATTTCTCAAGACTAACGCGTCTCATTGAATGAATTTTTTTTTTTTTTATTAAAAATGTTTCGCTTACAATTATTATTATGGAAAGTAAAACACGTATTATACATTCGAGAGTAAAATATTATTTAAAACGGTCGACAAAAACGATAACGACCAGTGGACGACGTGCGACGGCTTATTTGTACACGTGTAATGTTTTTGGAAATTACATAAAAGGTAAAAAAAAAAAATCTAACTCGCTAACGCAATAAAAGATCACAGAATGTGTAAAACAAAATATATATATAAAACGATGAAATGCCGACGTACATATCTAAAATCACGTAGATTAAAAAAAAAAAAAATTATAATAATAATAATAAAATTTGTACAAATAATATGATTAAATTCGTAATTTTTTTTAATTTCAAAAAGCTTGGGGACAAATTAATCGGTTTAGAGAAACTTTAATAAGGAGAGGGTAAATCACAGGATGACGCTCTTGTACGATTCAGTCGATGATTTACCCGGAAAAAAAAAAATGAATAAACCAATTACACGGTGTTTCGAGCACCGCCAAAAAAGAAATAATAATAATGACTTATTACTATAGGTATATATTATAGGATAACACCTCGATTGTAAATAATAATAAAATATAGAGATCAGCCGGTAATATGTTGGATTTGTAGTTCTTAATAAATTGTAAACGCGTCAATGTCTTTTTTTCTTTTTATACAATATTAATGCATCAACATTATTATAATATATATATGTATAAAGTAATTACAGGGAAATATAATAATGATTTTTTTTTTGCGTTAAATAAACAGCAGTTTAATTTTAAACGTAACCGATTGATAATCGTATTCTATCATCGACATTGATGATGTACGTACATTTATTATTTAAGCGTTATATCAAACATGAAAAAAAAAAAAGCACAAACATCATATACCGATTTTGTGTTAACGAAAATTTCATTAGTTTCGAAAGACTTGTAATGATGTTTGTTTCGCGTTTTCTTTTTTTTTATACTAATTAATTATATTATAATATGGTTTTTTTAAAGTAACAAAAAATCCTATAGCCTAATATTATAAACAAAGCTGTTCAGTTTTTTGATATTGATAATATCTGTATTTATATTTTAGAGGATCCGACGACGGGTTACATCGATTATTGAGATAATTATTATTATTATTATTACATTGTTGTGTTTTTTAATACGTATCATCATTTTATTTTATTTTTAAGTTGTTCCTATAGTAGTTTTGTTAAAATTTAAATTAAGTAATATATTGTTGGTTTTTTTTTTTTTTACATACAAAATTCTTAAATATATATATATTTATATATGTATCTTAATTTAAAAAAAAAAAAAAAAATAGGCTAGTTTATTTACATAATTTCAAAATGTAAGTTTTTTTATGACGGCGCATATGGTTGGCGATTTGTCCAGTGCTTTAGCCTGTGTTTTGGGGCTCACGCAGGCGGAATCATTGGACTGGAGACGCTTCCGAAACAAATAAAAATAAAAAGTTCTTACATATTTTCTAAAGTGTTTACAAAAAAAAAAAATATTTAATATTATATCGCTACGTATGAATAATAATAACAGTGTAATGCAGTTGTGATGAATATATTGAAAAAAAAAAAAAGATTAAAGAACAGCAAAATATAAATGTCCAGCACACGCCCTCCCTTTCAAAGGATTTTTACTCCACAGAGTACTAACTAACGTGTTTAATTAAATTAAGTTACGATACAATTTTACATGAAAATGTGTATAAAATTGATGTGTTTGTAAATGTATGTGTTAGCCATGACCCGTGGTTAAAGAGGAATATTTCTTAACAATATTATATTAATTGGTCTCTTATCAAGATAGTTTCCAAAAAAGTAATTCCACAAATCTACACATCGGCAGTCACTTAGGTGTGTGTGTGATTATCTTTGTCTTAACGTATCACTCGAATTGTTATTACCGTCGGGACGCGAGAGTTATTGTTTTTAATTTGAAAATTCAAAATAATAAGACCCGTTTTCTTTGGTTTTTTTTTTACTTTGAATGAATTTTTAAGACGGTAAAATAGAGAGCTCCTATATATACTTGTTGTGTTATCGGTGGTGTGCGATTTACGCGTGCTGAGCGCGAGAGAGAATTATTAAGTGTGTCATTCGAAATGTAATATTTTAATTTGTTTTACGAACGATATAAAATAAATAATAATAATAAAAAAAAAAAATAATAATAATAATAATAAACTGAATACTACACAGTTTTTTCATTGAGAAACCGAGTAATTGCAAAATGTTAGCTTGGGTTACATGTTGAATAATATACGACATGGGAATTTGTTAATATTTAGGTTGGATGGCGATTGCGTCTGGTCACAGATACTGACTTGGTTTGCAGTGGTTGCGTAGTGGACGGCGAATCCGGCGTCGCCATGGCTGAACTTCTGGTTTGAGTTCTGACCGGTCGAGCGGACCCGGGGTCCGCGCTGTAACGTAATCTCGACTGTAACGGTTGTATGACGCCACCGCCTGAAAAAAAAAACCGTACAAGTCACCGGGTTTGTCGCACAACTTCAAAACGTAATATGATATATGTCCACCACGCACCTGCACAGTTATCCATAGGTACGAGCGGAACTTTAGATAAAAAATTCTTGATGCCGCTTTGATCGGCTTGAGCGCGGCTGCCTAACGGTACGACGTTAGTCGCGGGAGAGCCGCCGTCTTGCATGGCCCGTCTGTCTTGGTGCGAAGCGTTTTTTTGATCGTCGGATCCACTATATCTAGCGCCGTTGGCACCCTGTGTAAACGATCCGAAAAAAAACATTATATTCATTTAATTTTATATCGTTATTAAAATTAATAACCGAACAGTGCACTTACAAATTTAAGCATGTTCCAGTCGAAAATGTAGTCGTACGTAAAGCCTTGACGATGGAACAATTGCCTGAATAATTGTCTTAGATAGGAAAAATCAGGTTTTTCGGTAAACCTCAATGCGCGGCAGTATAACAAGTACGTTAAAAACTCGTCTAAAAAAAAACCAAAAAATTTTCATTTAGTAGTTGATATAAAACAATAAACACGTATCAACGCTTCCTTACGAAAACTAACACTATTCTTTTTACACACAACAAAACGCGTTTGTCTTTGTAAAAAAATTTAAAGCAAATATTTATTCCAAAAAATTACTATTTAGTGTAGTCGACCTACGGTTGGTATTTTACAATTTAATTAAGAATACACGTTTTCAAAAATAATAACATATTTACTCGGATAGCCTTTGCACAAGTCTTCGAACGATGTGACGATTTTCTTTTCGCTAATGCGCTCGTATTTTTGACGCTTTGTCGCAGCTTTTAAACCTTGCCACGGCAACGAGCCGCGATTGAAGTACATCAGTACGTAACCAAGAGATTCGAGATCGTCCCGTCGACTTTGCTCTACACACACAAACAAAGTCAATATCGATTAAAAAATGTGCACGCAAAATTATTAAATGTAAACGTCACGAGACGACCGATTTTCGTACCTATGCCTAAGTGCGTATTTATGGAAGCGTAACGGGCGGTGCCGGTGAGATTTTTGTTTTCGCGATACATTATGTGTTCGTTGGTCCTGCTGTCGCAATACTTCTTGGCCAAGCCGAAATCGATAATGTACACCAGATTACCCCGTTTGCCCAAGCCCATTAAAAAGTTATCCGGCTTGATGTCCCTGTGGATGAAGTTTTTGCTATGGATGTACTCTATTCTGTCCAACTGAAACCGACAACAACAACAATAACGGTTAATCCGAGCGATTCAAAGCGCGAGCCCACGATTATTATTTACCAATTGATCGGCCAACAGCAGCACGGTTTTAATTGAAAACCTCCTAGAGCAAAAATTGAATAAGTCTTCTAGCGACGGCCCCAGCAGCTCCATTACCATGACGTTGTAGTCGCCTTCCGATCCGCACCACTTTATGACTGGTATTCCGGCTGGAAAACATTTGGCAATTGTATTATGTAACGATACCTTTTAAAAAGCAAATATATATTGAAATAACGACGTGATAAACGTACGTGCTTTGGATAGCATTTTGTAAATTTTCGATTCTATATGAAGTTGGGGATGCCTCGTTTTGATACATTCTAATTTTATGGCTACTTCTTCTCCAGTAGAAATATTTGTACCTTTAGGGAGTCAATCAAATTATTATTACACATTAAACATTATTGTACAAGTATAAACACAATAGTTTTGTCGAGCAACTAAAGTTAGACCGATCTAGATGATTTTTATTAAAAACTCGAATGATTTGTTAATAATATTTTCGAAATGAAACGTATACAATTAACAGAAATTGCAATTTGTATATTTAAAATTATGTCTGACAATAATTCAATTTACATATATAAATTTATATATATATACGATTATAGAATTATTAAGCTTTGAAATAAATTTTATATATTAGATTATTAATGACACGAGACGTGTTATTTTACGTTTGTTTGTGGTAAAGTGGCCATACAAACATTGTCGCAACGAGTAAGATAAGAATAATTTTTATTTTTTAACGTCATAATTTTACAGTATCAATATTGTAAACAATATTTGCGTCCACAGTTCAAACAGCGATAATTCCCTAATAGGGTATTTGTTTTATTTTATTATATAACTAAATATTATTCTATAATTATTATGAAAAAAAAACATATTTTTAAGTTATCGTCGTTTTATTTGTTGCCGTAGGTATGGTTTAGATAAAAAATAAACACATACTTATAAAGTGAGATTATGATTGAATTTTTAATCGCTGTGTATTACAAATAATTAGTAAAAATAGTATAAACGACTAGTCGTACACCTAGTTTTTATTAATAATAGTTAGCTTTGATATTTAAGATAGCTTCACAGCTAACTTGATGTAAATAAGTTGTACAAATTATAACCTATGTACATTATTGGTTAACTATATAGTTATATTAATTAATTAATTAATATCGCTATACTATTATTTTTTTATTTTTGTAATAGGTTATTTTTCATGTAAAGCCAATCACGATAATATTAATAATACCATTGCCGTTAACATGAACAAATTATTTAAAAATATATATAAAAAGTAAGATTCATGTTTTTAATTACACAACGTAGTAATACACTTTGGCACTGAACCCGTATGTGAACTGAAGCGATCGCTTTAAGTACAAACAAGTTGGATGAAAAATTAAATGGACAAACAAGCTGGTATGGCCCAAAAGGCCATATTGAAAAGAAACTAAATGTCGACTGCAGGATGTAGGTCGTTGTTTAATGTTTAAACTGTACAAGTACGAGAATCGGCGTCCGTACAGTGGCCCATACAGTTTGGACGAAAAACCATACGCAACGTATTAATGTTTCGCTCGATGTACGGTAAATTGTTCAAGGTACTACAAACGCGTCTCGAGCGTTAAAATGTTTCTAGCGGTATTTAGACTATACGCGTTCATAGCGCAATCGTACCAGCGCTAAGTACGATAATTATCGCTAACAGGTGGGCAAGTACAACGGCTATTGAGTAATGTTCGATTTAAGTTAATAAAATAAAACTTTATAAAATTCCAGTGTCGTGCGAGGTAATTAGTTTCTCACTTGTCTGGACCGATACAATAAGTGTATTTTGGGATACACAGATCTGTGTTATCTTGACCACGATGGTGTTGTATGAAAACGTCCAGATTGTGAGAAACGCAAACGGGACGCGAACGGGAACGAGGAAAAACAAAGGTGGTCGATTTGGCGGCCGTTGTTACACGATATTCAAGTACAATTATTACAGTTTATGTGTGCATTTGCAAACTCACCCAAGTAGATATCGCCGAACGATCCGCTACCGATCTTTCGCCCGAGCCGGTATTTATTGCCTACCCTGAGTTCCATCGCTAGATGATCATCTATTGCTGCACCCTAGCAAGCGACGCGCCGGACGAGCGTACGCAATGGAGGATCCGTGTCTCTCTCAGTCAGCAGCAGCAGCACGCGAACGTGATAAAAATCGTCATTGTCCAGTCGATCCAGCACGGCGACAGTGAATCGCGGCGGCCATGTTGATTGTTGATTATTTGTTGACTTCTCTTCCTTCCTCTTTGTGTGACAAAGGAGCTGCGGAGAAGGAGGAACGGTCTCGCTCTGGCCCGCGACGTTTCTCTCTCTCACTCCGGTCGCCCCGTTATCACCACCGTCGGGGCAGCAGCTGTTTACAGGTAGTGGGCCGCCACTAAACCAAACAACCAACGTTTATACCTACCCGACGACGTAAAATTTGTGGCTTACGTAAAACTGTGTAAATAATAATTAACAACGCGGACTTTGGACCGTAATTTACAACAACAACGACGACGACGTTAATGCCGTACGTCGGTAATTAATTATAATATGATTTTTATTCTTGTCCAGCGCGTGTGTTTATCACACAGTTCTCGACAGATAACGCGTGATAACGTAGGGGGCGACCATTTTGTTTTTTAATTTTAACAAAAAACCCGGTTAAAAAATTGTTTGTAAAAAACAACCTGAAAAAACTCGCACAAATATTACTTGTGCGTGTAGTTATATAAAAAAAATATATATATATTACTTCAATGGGATTCGACAGTTGTCGATTGTTTAGTGTATTATCAGTCGAGTATTATTTTTTTTAAAGTTCTTAGGCCATCGGTGGCCCAAGGTGTAATACTCTATCTATAAATACATAATTTATATTGGAAATAACTGTTGGGCAACAGTTTACATAAGGATTATATAATATATTGCTATACACTAGTATAATCTTAATTAATAATCTCGTCTTACAAACCTAGGTACTATGTGGTTACCTATGTGGTTATTGTTTAGACCGCTGTTGCCGCTGTATGGCTTCGATCAGCTGTTTTGTTTGTGATAACAGTCAAGAGGACAAATTGATAAGAGGTTAAATGACAAGAACATTACAATTCCACTGATAACACAATATTACATGTTATTGCGGCTTGAAAAAAAAAAAGAAAGAAATTAACTTGCAATTCGGTTTGCAAACTAAAGTTGTTTTTACTTTTTAATATTAATCAAATTCACCGCCGGATTGAAAGATGTTACCGAAGAATTCGCTATGGAGATTTTTGGCCACCAGAGGACACTTGGTGAGAAACCTAAACAGGTAAATAACATCAGCTATTCTCTATCTCTCTATTGATAAAAAAAATTAATATTTATATTATATGGCAATTTGTGCACTTTTCTTGGTAAAATTGTTGTTTTTTAATTTTTTTTAGCCTTAACAAAACGACCATCTTGGCTGGTCGTGGTTACTCGAAGAAGTCCGAGTCTGATTTCGACGTAGAACTGAACAAACCCGTCAAGTACACAGCCAGTGCTGCGTACCAATGGAAAGCTGAGAATTCTCGGGTCGGCAGCAAGGCGGAATTCGGTCCGTGGTACGAAGCACATCTGGTGAGCGCCAGCGTAGCAGTGTTCTTAATTTATTTTTGCGTACTGCGAGAAGAAAACGATATCGACCAGTTTTTGGAACGACCGTTAGCAGAAATGGGAATAAAAAAAGACTAGATCTCTAATCTAATCTAGGTAATTAAGATTCAGTTTGGATTGTCTTAGCTATGTTTTAATGTGTTTGTAATAAACGTGTATATATTATATTTTAATTTTTGTTCATTTACAAAAAATACTAAGTTTGATAAGTGTTTTTTTTTCTTTTTGTCAAGTGTTCAATATAATAATGAAGTTGGAATTGTTTGAAAAAAACACAAAAGCGTGTACTCATTTAGGACCTAACCTTGGTTTTCGGTTTTCAATGGTAAAAATTACATAATAATAAAAATTATCGTGTTTCAACGAGAGTAATTTTAAATATTTAATAAAATTGAGTCTAACCTAGCTGTAAATGGAACGATCGAGTTTAGTGCAGGCATTGTGTTGTGCATAATAATAATATAAAAGCCCTTATTAATGTCACACATTTGAATTGTTTTATTCCTAAGTAAGTTTTATTCCTAATTAAGTATATACTTTATATGGGTTTAGAGACACCGATCGTTTTGTTAATCACTGCAATGTATTTTTATTAGCCGACGATAATGAATATTTATATAATAATATTATTGCACACTTGTAGGTTTACTTTGATATGTAAAACTATGTTAGGATAGGTCGGGCGAATGTTGTTTATTATACTCTAATTTTAAACATACATACAATAGGGTCAAGAACATAATATTGTACTTGTTTACACTTACTCAGCTATTCTAGATTTCTTTGGACTTCCTTACTTGTATGTTTGCATCGATTGGCAAATTTCTTAAGTAGGCATATCTAAGTAGTGAAACTATGTCGATACAACATTATTTTTCGAAATCCAATATTTAGGCGTTTACTGTTTTGTAATTAATACAACTTTATACCTTTGCCTGTTTTTTTTTTGTAAACATATTTCTATTTATAAAATTACCAAAATATGCGCTATAATAGACTTTTGAAACTTAAACGGGTACTTGGGTAGGTATATATTTTTTATTGACTTTTTAGATTTACAAAAGAAATTGCTGAACTGAAGTTTAAAATTTTTGACTGCGGGAAGAGTGGAGTGTAGTCAAACCACGGTTACCCCACTTACCAAGTTACCAAACTTACCACGGTTACCACACATACCACGGTCACCATATTCATAGAAATAAAATAACATAACTAAAAATAGCTGGAAAGTAGAAACTTAATTTACAATTTATGGGTTTTACCGAAAAAATTTTCCTAAGAAAATTATTAGTTTTGATAAGAACATTTGTTTGGTTAACAAAAAATATGTACATGATTTCAATTTGGAAAAAAAAAAACATAATTTTGACCGTAAGTCGGCCATTTTGAATTTGGATCATATTTTTTATTTTTTTTTAGACGTCCTCTTTTGTACTCTAAAAGTCTCTAATAAACAACTTTTTGATTGGATTAGTATTTTTGGACAAAAATCGATTAGTATTTTAAAATGGGACTGCTAGGTTGGAATTTTGAGTTTTACACAAAAAAAAATAAAGACATTCGCCTGTATTAACAAAAAGTTGTATAGATATATTATTATGGCCATTAGTAGGAGTCACACGGTGTTGTAACAAAAAAAAAAAATGGTTCCTTCTTTGAAGACCTTGTCCGTGGACGGAAATGACCGTTTGTTTCCGGTTTGTGTTCCGTTCGCCTTATTGAATTTATTATTATAGAAGGTATATATTTCTTTTGAATAATAATATTGCTGCACAGCGCTTATAATATGTACAAAAAAAAAAGAAAAAACACTAGCAATTGGTGAATTTTTTCTACTTCTGATATTTTTTTATACTCGCTGTAGGTATTCACTTGCAGTATGCTTTAGTCTTAATTTTTTCTTCTACTTCTTTATACATACCACCCGTGGGTTTTAAAGCCAAACACAACCATGACCATGTTGTGTGTGTGTGTGTGTAATAAACAATTAGCCGTGTGTAGATATTATTTTTGATTGTCAAGGTTTGTTGGGATGTTTAAGATGTTGTTTTTTTTTTAATCGTTGCCTTATAATAATAATAATAATAATAATAATGACGGTTTTCGTCACTTTTCCCGGAAGTACTATATACTTACCTGTGGCCGCAGGTTAGATTAGACGGACGAGATGGGCTTCTTTAAACGTTTCCAGTAATAATAATTACGGTTTTTTAATTGGTACACAGTTGCCGTTGTTGTTTTTTTTTTCACCAACAAAATAAGACATCTCCAATGCAGCTCGATTTTGCTTGTGTTCCACGCCATTGATTGCACTGGTGTAATTGACCTTTATGATGATTTTTACCCATTGTATGTGTTATTATTGTTATTGTAATTACCAAAAAAAAAAAAGTAAGATACTCGATATAAGACACTGGTTTTCTCAGTCAAAATATAGCAACTTAAAACCTTTGTAACACTGAACTACATATATACATGTGGAAAGCGCATAGTGAAAATAAATTGGCGTCATACGGATTCCGCCATTTTGAGTCCTGTCATGGATCAAACGGTGTAACCTAACCATTTATTCCATGATAAAAATCTGATAACGTCACATTATCTTTTATCGTCAGTTAAAAAAAATGATATCAACAATATGAAGTCAGAAACCATCATCGAAAATCACTAAACAAAGTTAGATACGGTAAGTAAAATAAGAAAACGGATTCAAAATGGCGGCCTTCGAGGCGGGTCACTTTTATTATATGGAAAATATGCATTATGCGCCTTCCATGTAAATGCAGTTCAGTGCTTTGTAAACATATTTCTGTTTAAAAAATTATTAAAATATGCGCTATAGACTTTTGAAACTCAAACGGGTACTTGGGTAGGTATATAATATTTTATTGACTTTTTAGATTAACAAAAGAAATTGCTGAACTGAAGTTTAAACTTTTTGACTACAGGAAGAGTGGAGTGTAGTCATAGATATGTTTATCTGCGCTAATCACTCCACCTCAATGGTCACAGTTTTAAACTTAACCAACTTTAACTATCCAAACTGATTATAGACAGGTCAACATTTTTAGAAAACTATATTTCCTTATCTAAAAAGATAATTAAATAAATTTTATTAAGTTAAGAGCATTCTCACTTCATGTAGACACATCAATACATGGATATGTCCTGCAATCTAGTATCTTTAACGTCTTATCTTTGATCTAACCTAACCTAACCTCACCGTGTATACACAATTTATGGGATTTAATAGATTCATTTTTTGCGTGGATAAGAAAAAATAAACGTTGAGGTAAATGATTGAGTCTGTACCCAAATTTACAGGACACCACTCTGAATATATTTTTATGGGACTGATCAAGCTACAGGATAAAGCAATGCACACGACTATTTGAAAGAGGAAATTGTAGCAAAGAAGAAGAAAATGTCCTTCGACCTGGTACGAAAAAAGGAATAAGCCAAACAGCATAAACAAACAAAAAAAAACTAGCTCAGAATATAAAAAAAACACACACACAATATCCAAGCATGAGGTAAGTCCAAGGTAGAGGAAATAATAAGGTATGTAAAACTGATATTAAATCACAGTTGGACAAACCGGTTCAAGGAGGGTAGTTTTGACTACTTTCGGCTAGGAGATTCGTTTTTCTAAAACTGATTTTTGATCAATAGGTTAAAAAAAAATTACACTTGCAACAAAAAAAAAAACATATTTTTCTCGTTCGGCACCGCGTCAGAACTAAAATGTTATTACTAATAATAATAATAATAGCTCTGTGGAAAAAATATATGCAAAATAAACTGTGTGTTCATTTACCCGTAGGACCACGACTAAAACGATTGGTTCTGGGTTGGATGTGTTTATGTTGTGTGTGTTCACGAGTCACACGAAATGTGCAAAATCAATTTCATACTTTATGATAAAAATCAAAAATCATCGGATTGTTATGTAGGTACCTATGTATAGGAGGTAAAGATAGTGTTGAGAAGAAAAAAATCTTACAGAGAGAGACCTTCGAGAAAAATTGTAAAAAAAAAAAACAATATATATGTTAATATTATGTTATGTTCATCTTACTATCTTACTACACAAACTGCAATGTGTAAAATATGACAAAATAAAATATTTTCAACCGGTGGTGCAACAGTAATTAGAGTTATTGACATTTTATGTCTTTACTTTGGCACACGACCAGGAAAAAATCGATAGGAAAACCCCTAACGAAAATATCAGATGTTTATCTGATAAGATAAGAGAGACAAGAGATAGGATACAATAATAATGGCACAAGGTAATCCCGTAAACCGGCCTAGTCCAGCTAGAGGATATTTTATTCGATACACCCCATTGTTAAACTAAAACATATCATACAAAACACCCAATCGATTATGTGTAATTAGTGGGGAAAAAAAATATATTTGTATATAATACAAACATGGCCAATCCAAAGTCCGTGCATCGAGTCAAGGCTGTTATTATGATATTTCTTTTTTGGGAGAAAAAGGTTACTTTGACAATACTCAGTTGTGTATTATTAGTATAATTTATAACTACCATTAACAAGGTTAAGTTAGGTTAGGTTAAAAAAAAAGACCTAGCCGGTACATATCTGTTTATATATCTGTTACTAACAATCGAATAATCCGCATGTATATTTCAAAAGTACTAGAAAAACTCATTTTGGCGTATAATTAGAACATATTTTAGTTTTTACTATTTTATTTGCATTTTTTTTTCTACCAAACGTTAATGACCCATTACGTCATGGGCTTGAGAAAAATTAACAAGTTTTTTTACACTATAATATGTATCTCTTATTGTGTATTTTTTATGTTCTTTTATTTGTTTGTCAGTCGGTTTTTCAATACTTCCTCTTCCTGAACCAACAAGTAGAGTCCGTTTTTATCACTGTAATGTACTTTTTTCGGTTAGGTTAGGTTAGGTTAGCACCAAGTTCTAAACTACTATAAGTTCCAAGTTTTAAAAATATATATAAAATGTTTTAATGCCAACAACCTTGTTGTGTTGAAGTCTGGTCGTCGCATTCATTCATCCATAGCATTCATATCTAAGTATATGTTGTAATATTGTTTTTGAGATTTTTTTTTTTTTTTTTTAATAGGGTTTGTAAACTCTACAATTTGTGTTATCTTACAACAAACGAGTGTCCATAGTAGAAACGGGTGTTTACTTTTTTTGTAAAATTATCGACAGGTCATGTACATAAAAATTTACATTTAAGTACGAGTCAAAACAAAAAAAACGTGACCAATCGACTCGTTAGAGATTAGGTATGTCCGTTCTGGCCGTCTGTTTTTTTTTTCAAAAGATGCAATGAACTTGAATTATTGTTCCAACTTAGTGTATACTTAACAACTTGGTAACGACAGCTGTTGCTGTTAAATTGCCATTGATCTACTTTAACGTGAAATGAGGGGGCTTCTAGTTTTAAAAACTAGCTAAAAGACATTTTGAAAAAGAGTGTGTTTTTTTTTTCTTTAAGTGGCCACACTGTTAATTAAATTCCGTATGCAAAACTGTTATCACAGATTAGATAAAACGTATCTTTGCTATTATTGAATTTGAAATAAAGATTATACCTAAGTCTTACTGTGTTGGGGAAATCTTGGTCGGTTTTAAAATAGCACATCTATCAAGTTGTTTGTGAACATTTTCGAAAATTGCTTTTGGCTGGTAAAAAAGAGCTTAATTTTCGGTTAAACTAGCTATGTGGACACTGGAGCTATCTGAATATATTATACTTGTACTTAATACGAAAAGTTTAGGTATTAAACGGGTACAGTATGTATTTTATATACATAATATTGTGTCTACACAGCGCATACCTAAAGATAGAAAGAATATTAAATAGCAAATGGATACAAATTCACTACGAAGGCGATATTGTGTTTGTAAATATGTCATTAGCGGTTTTTTTTCTCAATAAAAAATAAATTATTGACGGCGGATTTTTGCAAACAATTCGACATGTTGTAACTATATAAGAACTATTAATAGTTGGTGTAGTACATATTAGTTAATAGGTAAATGCCAAGGTCGACACTATTTACTCTAATTGTTTATCATTTACAATCAAATTCTGCGCACATAAAGACAATTTTCTCGATATTTATAATTATTAACGTACTTAACAACAATATATTGTCAATAATGTCGTTGTTGACTGTTGTGTAACAATATTACTCTGTACACTCTATATGGAATTGTCCATATTATTAAGAACACATGCAAATGCATAATATTGTCATTTTGGGCTTTTTATGAATATGGCCTGATAAAGATATTTTACAAATTTAGCCAGTGCTGGTTATTCGATTCAAATGAAAGTAAATTATTTTTATTTTTTCTGGTATTATGTCAACTAACTCATAATTTGATTCTGTATGAATAATGCATGAATGGATACCTGCATTAGGTACAGATGTTTTTGAAGAAATTAGGAAAGCGATATTGGTATTCAAAAAAAAAACCTGGTTCTCACTGCGATATTTACAACTGGAGAAAAACATGTACAGTTATAAATTATTATTTATTGTGTATTATTATTATAATGTACACCAAAAATGTTATTCTTGGCCGCGGATAAAATATTAAAATATGGCTGTAGTAGGTGTACATAAATAAACATATATACCTATGTATGTATATGTAAGCTTATTTATACCTTTGGTCTATAAAAAAAAAAAGATATTGAAAAGTAATCCGCCAGATCTTCCTTGTAGATAAATATTTGTATTTTACATATGATTATTATACAAAAATTACCAGACTAGGCATGTTTATACGTTATTTATTTATAAATATATATAAGATTATTAACAAGCCCCGTGGGTGTTCGATATTGGATATTATGATTTTTTTAAAATTTAATATCGATTTTCTTATTTAGTCACAAGGAATACCAAAAAAAAAAAAACACAATTGAAATAGACACCAGAAGAAGGCACACTTGAGACGGGACTACATAAGTAAGTAAAAGGAAACATTATAATATTATAATTACACATACACTTGTGTTTTTTAACTTTTCTCAAGTTGTGATCGTTGATTTATTTACATAACTTTTCAACTCACTTACATATTATTTAGGAAATATCATTTGATATTGTATTATAACGATAATTTTACTTCCACAAGACTGTATTGCTTTTTTGGGGGGGCACTCGATGTGTACCACCAGAGATGCTTGGCCAATAATAATTGCCACAGGTCAAATAGGTAGTGAAATAATTAGTCTAAATTTAGATAATACTTTTTTCCTGCCAAGTGATAAAATATGTTTTCGTATTCGTTGTAATAACAAATAATATATATGTACACAATTTTGCAATCATTACTTTTAAATCTTTAAAAGTGTAAATCGAACAAGCCAACAGCTCAGATCATACACTTTTAAATATTTTAAATAATTTTTAAATGTACATGTATATTTATTTTTTAGCGCGTTTAACTCTAAAATCCAGTTTAATATTAGTATTTAATTGTTTTTAAAACGTTTTAATTATAGGACCTAACCTAACCTAGAAGGATTTCACTTCCCTATCCACCCCTCCATTGGCGCTCATTAAGCTTACCATGTATAAAACTGCATGTGCACCCACCGAAGGCAAGGTAAGGGTAGGTATGTACAATTTCAAAGGTTTACTTTTACAATACTATATTTGAGTGATATAATGCATTACATAGTACATGGTTCAAGTTAATAATATGTTTTTTTTTTGTTTTAAATGTATATTCATTTTGGTTGATAAAAGTTTGCTCGGTAGGTATAATTTTATCTAACCCAATGCATGTGCTTTTATAAAACCCCTGTGCCCCGCCTGTCCCTTCCACCAGTTGCCCCGATGAACATGAACACTGTTGAATAAACCCATTGGCGATTAACCTAACCTAACCTAACCAAACCTAACCTAACCTAGCTACTTATAGCGATCGCTATCGTACAAGTTTATTGAGCAATTTTTAAATTTATCCTAGATAAGTATTTTTAGTTAAACTATAATGTATATATATATATATATATATTTATAGAATAAACAGTGCGGCATAATATATTAAGTTAAACGAACCGTTTCGGTAGTATTACAATAAGAAATATTTACATTATCGTTTATGTGTAAAACTAAAACATCTTAATATCCGCCTACGCATTAGCAGAAGAATCGCGTATTACGGTTACACTTACTTTACATTGTTTAATGTATAATATTATAAATTGTAATTATCGTCAAACGTGTGTTTCATACAAATTGAAATACACTACACTTCTTGTGTGTTGTGCAGTCAGTAGATGAATACAACGTAATACTTAACATTCTGACGGTTAAATTTACCCATAACACTACCTACTATTAAATAAAAATATAGGATAATAAAATAAAATAATAATAACAGTGTTTTCATAAAATATCATTGTACTACAATATGTATGATGAACGTTATAGTTTATTGAGCGCCTTTAAAAAAATACACATAATATTTTTATCATCCTATTTTTCATATTAGCCCAAATTAAGTATTAAAATGTTTAATATATAAGCTGAAGACATTTGTACCTTCCTCCATGGTCATGTGTACCTTGTATAGTTGTATGCTCTGTCCTATTATATTGTCTAACAGGTATCAATGGAAAAGCTGAAAAGGTAGGTATTATTTCAATGATTTCACAATAATATTATTATGCGAAAAATCCACGCTAATTAAAATCGAATAATAAAAACTTTCTAATCGAGTTAATAATTTTTATAAAAAAACAACACACGAGTGTGTGGTGTTACGACTAAAATAAATAACTTGGACAAATCTTGGGCTACTTTATTTTTGCTTAATTATCTAATACATTAATTGTCCAACCCTGTCGATATTCTTTTGATCCCGTTCTATGTCTGTTATTTTTTATTTTTTATGAAGAACGTTTTGTTCTATGGTTTTACGTTTACTTTGATAGATCTAGGTATTATAAAACTGTGAATTGCAATTTATCATCAGCAGTTAAATCTCGTGAAATTCGTTTCAAAATTGGCGTGTCATCGATTAATCGACACATAATAGTAAGTATGTATGTTCAATATATACCTCGTCTATTTTCCAAGTCACCGATGACTGATAAAAATTAATATTAAACCCACTCGTTTCACATTTGCTAATCTAACAAAAAAAAGGTAAATAGGTATATTATTATTTTCATTTAAACATAAAAACCCGTTTCGACGGTCGTTAATCGTTATCATCAAAGTGATAAAAGCGTAGCCGTAGTGCTACGGAATAACCAGAAGGGAAACTTTTACCGAGACCGACGAGTGTCGGACATTTTGTTTTTGCGGATTACCGTACAACAATTACAGTAGGTACAATTATTATCACGCTTAACCGCAAAAACAATATGACGGTCGGCCTTTATCAAAACCGGTGTAGTTTTTTTACACAGTTTCCCTTCTGGTTATTCTGCGGTAGGTACACACGGGCCAGCGGTGTTTCACGTTTTGGGGAAATCGTGCCAGTGTCGGCTGAAAGATGGTTAAAAATGCAAGTCTCTAATCTTGTCTTAACACAATTATCGTTGTTAAAGTGTTATTACATAAAAAATACCGGATGTTCGAAAACAATGCGATTAAAAGTCATTAAAAGTTCACTCTAAGAATAGTGTAAAGTTTTGTGGTTTTTTTCTTCTGTGTACGTTATTTTTAATACATTTTTTTATACATATAATGAGACCAACAAGTAGAAATTATTTTACTAGTTGTCAGTAATAATATTGTTACCTGTTTATTTTTTTCCCCACAATAAATCATGATATTAAACGTTCAACGTCGTTTTGAAATCAAACCAAAGACCAGCAGTCGGATCGTGCAAACAAAGTCAATTAAAAGGTAATTTTTCACCTACTTATATATATATATATTTTTTTTTTAATATAAAATAACAACAATAATTTGTAAACCGTGTTAGAAATAGAATAATTTTTCAACCCGTCGTTTAATTTTGAGTAAAAACATGAGTTGAGTTTTTATGAAATTTTTGCAATCGAACCGGTTATCATAAAATTAAAAACTTATTTAATAATCGCTTGTTTTTAAGTGTACTTTAACGCTTCATTTTTAACTTAATCAACACTGTAATACTCTAATCGAATTTTTAATGTGCGGGTGATTTTACAACTACAAATGTTTTAAAAAAAAAAAACTGTGTAATTGTTTATGCGGGTCTTAGCTTTCAAGGTTTTAAAAGTTGTCCTGTTTTTTTTATTGCGAAAAAACAGTATAAAATTATTTTATAGGTCTTTCTTAAATTAAAACATTAAAAAAAAAAATGTATACAAAATAAAATATCGTATAGGTATTCCACAAATTACCGTTGAAATTTGTTTTTAGTAATTGTAATTGTGGTATTTCTGAACTCGCATTTAGATGTCGTCGGCTGGTGGTAATGTTATGGAATTATTTTTCTTTTTTTTTAAATATTTCAGACGGTGTAAGGTTATACTTTATCTTGAAGCTATGTCTTAAAATTTCTACTCCAGAAAACGGCACCATAAAAACGGTATTTAGCAGCTGGTATGAGTGTTGTGGCCGTTGTTTTTTTTTATTAGCTCAACCTTATCAACAGCAACGACCGAGTATGGATATAGATACAAACGTGCATTAGTCTTTTATAATATGAATTATTATAAGACTTTGATACTATATTATGCGTCTTGAATGTCGTTGATAAAATAATTATAATTGTAATGTATGGAGCAAAAAAAAAATGTAGGTATAACGAGTGTGACACATTGACGAGGGGATTAGACGAGTAAAACATAAGCGTGAACTTAAAACAAAGTACTAAAAATACAAACGGTAAAAGATGACGCACGCATTTCAGTCCCAATTGTTAAATGTATTTTGCAAATTGCATAGTGTCAACATTATAGCAATCGATTAGTTGACACAAATCCAAAATAAAAAACGCGCTATTATCGTTATTTTATTGTTGAGACTAAAGGTGTACCTATTACCGGGTCTGAATTATTTGAAAAGTACAAACCTATTCTTTACATATTGTGTAATGCACAGTGTAGTATTGGGTAGCGAATGTCCAACTCGTGTGTTGGACATTCGCTACCCAATACCCTAGGTCAGGTTTGGTTAAGTTTGGTTAGGTTAGTTTTAGTTAGGTTAGGTCAGGTTTGGTTAGGTTAGGTTAATCCCCAATTGGTTTCATTCAACAGTGTTCATGCTCATTGGGGCAACTGGTGGATGGGACAGGCCCACAGGGGTTTTATAACAGCACATGCATTGGGTTAGATAAAATTATACATACCCAGCAAACTTTTATTAACCAAAATGAATACATTTAAAACAAAAAAATCATATTATCTTAAACTATGTATTGTATTATATCACTCAAATATTGTATTGTAATAGTAAACCTTTGAAATTGTACATACCCGTCCTTACCTTCCCTTCGGTGGGTCCACCTGTAGTTGTATTATATGGTAAACTTAATGGGCGCCACTAGTGGGGAGGATAGGAAAATGAAATCTTTTTAGACTCCTTCAAGCGTTCAACAAAACTTAGCAACCAATCAGGCGTAGCCCTTAGATAACGTTTTTTAATTTTTACCAAAATTCTACACAAAAGCTCAACGAATTTTTAAACGGTCTAAACTTCCCAGCCCCTTCTAGTTGTGCGATCTGTTTAAATGTAAGTAATTTATTAATTTTTATTGTTGTCAGAAAATCTCTGTATTACACTAAATTCACAGCCGCAAAGTATGCTTTGTTATCCTAAGATTGGGTTAGGTTAGATGTTTGTGTAAAGGTAGGACCTGTATTTGTTTTATATATACATCCGGTCGTTGACACGGTTATGATATTATGCGAATCGACGTGCAATTTATCGATTAATAAAATATATGTATCGAAATAACCTTGTATAAGGTTATAATATAGTTTGTGTGTTTAAAAATAGTGTTGTTCGCGACAATTTTAATTATTATCTATTTGTTAAAAAAAATTCAATTTTTTTAAATACCTACATTAACAATAACAATATGCAGTCACTTAAGAACTAGGAAGTGAACAGGTGTAAAGTGTCTTTTTTTATTCAGGACAATTAATCTAATAAACGAAAACTCCTTAAGCTATAACGGTGATCGAGAAGAACCGTATTGATATTAATCTATTATTAAACATTATTAGAACGCGCGCATTATTGTTACTATTTTACAATAGATTATATTTTTAAGTATACTATTGAAAAAATGAATGATAAACCAATAGACGTTTCTTATTCTTACCTTCACATTTATAGAATAGTGTCACGTCATCATTTTTTTTTTTTTTTTTATAAAACAGAAAACACATTAGTGGCAGGGGAGTGGAACCGACACTAAATTTTAATAGGTACCTACCATAACGGCGATGTTGGCGATCTAAAATTTATACGAAAATTATTTTGAATTTGCATTGTTTTCAAGGCTTCTCAATGAAGTTTTCTGATATTCTGATAACCTATAAACTGTGAAAATGCCATGTTTTTGTTGAAAAAAAATTATTGTACATCCTGTAATTATTGTCTGTGCTAGTCGACCTTCATCCTACGTTTTCAGTGGCGTACATAAGGTGGTGATGGGAGGGAGGGAAAGATCTGATCTTTAACCCTCGGATTTAAAAAAAAAAATTGTTACAAAAACGAATACAAGTATTGTTTTGATTTTGTTGGTTACGATACGGTTAGGTTTTCTGACGTTTAGGATTCTCCACTGTACATTTTCTACTTATTTCAGTGAACCTTTTTTTTTTGGAGGAAGAGAAGGGGGTTTCTTTCTTCGGGCTAGGCCGACATTTGTTACACACTCGCGGGCTGATTTCTCTTCGCCTTTGTCAACCCAGTCTCTTATTTTTTTTTTACGGTTTTAAGAGTTTTAATTGTATTAAAAAAATGCTAGATCATTCGAGTCTCGTACGGATCTACCTTTGATGGCCTTTGCTGTGTCAGTGCCACTGCCATCGAGGAGTCGGTCATCTTTGTGTGTTACCTGAGGCACGTAGTCCCTTGACCTTGGCGCGCATTCTCCCTCTTCGGCGACCGGTTCGCCCCCCCTCTGCCTGGACCGCCGACCACACTTGCCGAATAGTCGGTTTGCGCACATGCTGTACGTATGCGTGCCTAAGTGTCAACCGAACCCGGACTCGAGAGTGTACTGCATATCTTGTGCCCGTTGTGTACCTATCTCTTTGGTCTCTTCGCCGCCGACCGTGTGTGCTATTTCTCGATAAGATCGTGTGAAATTCAAATATATATTTATACATATTATATATATTTTTAAACAATTTTCGATAGCTGCTTCAACTGAAAAACGGTAAGTTCCTCGTCCAATAATTTTTATAATATTCGGTATTGTCGAGTAATTTTTTTGAGCCTTAGATTTCCCAGAAGAACTTTTATTTCTCTCGTATGATGTAGTTTGTTTCAAACCTAACCTAACCTAACTAAACCTAACCAAACCTAACCTAACTAAACCTAACCAAACCTAACCAATCCTAACCTGACTAAACCTAACCTAACCAAACCTAACCTAACTCAACCTACCCCTAATGATATTGAACATCTTATTGTTCACCTTTGTACAAAAAAAAATCAGACATTACATTTTTTTTATCTATTTAAATTACCGTTAATGAGTAAATCTTTTTTTTTTGAACAGAAACGGGTTTAATAGTTTTGACGTGAAGCTAAAAAGGTATTCTTTTAAAAAAAATGTTAAAAACCAAATAACAATGGTTTTAAACAATAAAAAAAAACAGGTTGTTGCGTTTAAAAACGTTAATATTTTAATAAATATATATCAACTAAACAAAATCTGTATAAAAACAATTTTGCTTCGAAGCTGAGAGTGGTACTCGTATTTTTTTTTCTGTCAATTTAACTATTAGGTTTTTTTGTTTCGTTATTCTTGTTAATTAATTTCCAACTCCGAATAAAGTCGTTTCATCAACTCGGCCACCGCGTTAGAGCGTTCTTATTTTCGTCTGGCTCTTCTTCGATTGCGTTGAATATTATGATTTGAGTATTACATAATTGATTTTGTCCTAAAAACAATGTGTAGTTTGTCTGTAATATTGTAAAAATATCCAGAAAAGCCGAGTACAGCAGGCACAAAACGACCGTTTGGCAATAAAAACAAAAACATGCAAATTTTAGCTTAAACAAGTAACATCTGGCGTACGACCGAAAAGCTAAGACTTAATACAACAGCTTCATTGTAGTAATTAATTGTAATATTTTACAAAAAAAAAACACATTTCACTCGCGTACAAGTGTACTATAATTTTAAAAAAAAATAGATCAACAAGTACATATTTTGAATTCCCCTAAAAAGCTGTGTGAGCGCGCCTGATGTTTTTTAAAAACATTTTTTTTTATTGTTATTGCGGTGTGAAACAATCGACGGGCACCTGTGTGGATGCGAATTTGTACAATAATAATATAATTATAATATCATGGGCGATTATCGTTAGAAAACGTTATTTTTTTTTTCATTCGAAAGTTAATTGTGATGTTTTGTTTGAACATATTCATATGCAATTGTATTCCACAGGTTTCTAGCCGGGTGTTATTTATATATGCAAGCAGTCGCGACCAGATCGGTATTGATAATAATATTATTACTGTTTATCTCTCTCTCTCTCTCTCTCTCCTCGTCGACGGTTAAGTGTGATTTGTTTTTTTGCCAAACGAATCGCGAAGAAAGTAGTTTTCTCACGGTGTTTTGCAGTTAACGTTGGTGATAACATTGTTATTATTATTTATTATTATTAATTAAAATATAGCGTTATTTGGAGCGGCACACAATCCGGTGTACCTACTTTGCCTATACGGAACGCCTTTTAAGTAAACCGCGACGGTATTGAATTTATATTTAATTTTTCCAATACAATCCGCCGCCGTGTGCGAAACGTGCGAAGGTCAGCAGCTATGGGACGTTTGTTGTATACAAAATATAACATGTACAATACAATATAATATTAGATTAGAAGAGTGGTCGGTTTTGGCGGTACGTGTAAGCCGGGCGATTAAGAAAGAAAAAAAAATGTTTTTTTTTTTTTTAAATTTAATTTTATATCATCGCGCACTTATCGTATCTGTTCGGTTTACCCTGCAGGCTTTACAACATAATAATATAAAACAAGGAATAGTGGGAATAATATCCCCCCCTTGGAATAATTGTTTTACAAAAAGCGACCAGGTAGAGTGAGTGGTGTGTGTAGTGCACGAATCGACGGTAAAACACTGTCTTAAAAAACAAACAGAGTATTCAATAACACATTATGCTAATCGTACATTTTATACTTAGTAATTTATTACTATTATTATTATTATTATTATTATTATTACTATACTTAGCGTGCCGGTCCGTTGTTGTTTAGTGCGTCTTATTTTAATCGCTAAAACAAGATTTTCGCGTTAAGATTAAGTTGAACACGGTAAACAAAAAAACAAAAAAATGTATTACTTTTTTTTAGACAAAAATTAAATTATTTAATTCGTTTGGGGTCCGCCCGAAGAAAGAGGTGAGAATTAAGACGAAAAAGCCCCCAAAGTGTGTACAAATAAAGACTAAAACGCCAAGTGCCTTTCTGAAGTGTCTACCATTTCAAGTTTTTTTTTTTTTGATATAAAAATCAACATATTTTTCTATGGAGGTTAAAAAGCTGATTTTTTTGTTTTATTTTTAATATTTTGTTATAAGCGTTTATGTGTTAAATTTTTTTATAGTTTTTTTTTCTAATAAATATAACTAATTTTCTAATAGCTAAATAAAAAATCAGCCTTTTAGCTCATCATAGAGGAAATATTAAACTTCGCATAAAAAAAAGAAAACTTGAAATCCGTCCCTATATTTTTTTACCTTAAAATTAGTCGGGGTACTTAAAATGATTACTAAATTAAGTTTTGTCATATATTGCCTATCCTTTGCCCCTTAGCATAAATAGCGATTTCCGGTCCCTGAACTGCCTCAAAATCGAACGTGTCACATTTAACTATTTTTGATGAATTAATATTCCAAGATAACTTGGGAAAAATTCCCACCAAAACTTAAAAAAAACATTCTGGTCTTCCATTCTGTGATTCGAAAAAAAAATTCCCCTAGAATCGTGACAAGTAATTTGCCTTTTTAAGGAAGTAAAATAGTTGGAAAATAACTAATTTTTTTTTTGTTAATATTTCACTGGAATGCAGTTTATCAATCTTGGTTACATATACATCTATAACGACTGGATAGACTACTCTCAATACTTGTAATGTAGTATGAGGTCTCTTGTAAAATGTGCGAATTTCTTCTCTTTATCTAACAGTGAATGTTTACAAATAAAGCTGCTCTGATAAAATGTTTTCATACCATACAACGTAAACACAATCGAATTTTTTCATAGGATAATTTTTTTTTAGCTTTTTTATGCACTCAAAGATAAGTGATGATTTATGATCCATGAACATGGCTTCTGCCTCTTTGTTGACAATTTACAGTAATACATTATTAGCAAATATTGAGTTGAGTTTACAATACAAAAACACAGGATATTGAGGGACTTAGCCATTCGCAGGTTCAGTAGCTCACAACAATATTTAAAAAAATGTATTTTTACTTTTTTTAAATTGATTTTACAATAATAATAAAGACAAAATGGTTTATACAATTATTTAAAATTTTCACCAAGTAAGAAATAGTTTTTATCAGGTTAAATGTCAAACTAATAAAAGTCTTGTAATATTATTAAAAAATTGTATCATTTTCTACAATGTCGCGCAGGGTAGGTATAGAAAAAAGTAGCTTATATTTTATTCATTATTTTTTAGTGTTATTTCCTCTTTCCACCGTTTGTTTTTTGTACTTGTGCGATTTGAATTTCAATCCGATTAAGGTTGGTGTTTGGCGATTTTTATTATTTTCATTTGTTACAATAGTATTTTAATTAAACAAATGCAGTTTTATTTCAAACGTCTATAACGGTACACAATATGGTATTGTATAGAAAAATAAACAGAATTCAGTAAATGTTTATTATTACCATTATATCGATTATTTCCTTAGGATTTAAACTGGTCGATATTTTCGACATTCCAATGTAATAATTATGTGTGTTGTATCGCCTCTCTGGTTTTTTTGTTCTCAATGGAAACTTACCTGTACAGGTAATGTTGGAAGTATTCTTGCACCTACTGCGCGTGTGACCCAAAGAAATCCAATACACCAACACCAGTACCTTCTTAATGTTATCGGATTCCTCGGTATACGGTTTCCATTCCAATGTGTTTAATCAGACACGGGAATGGTATTTTTTTTTATTACAAAACGGCATTTTGTTTTTACTGAAAACCAGAGAGATAAGCCATCGCACACGGCCTGCACACAGCCCGTTTAAGTAGAATCCCACAGATTGTCCACAAGTGATTTGGGATTTAGTAAACAACAACATAACAATACGGTTTTTGAGTAAACCACTCTTGTTTTTCTGGAACTATTAAAATATATAATATCTTAATCTGCTTTGTTCCGCGAAGTCATTAAACCGGTATTATTGCCGGAAACTAATTATCAGGTTTTAGACATCAGTGACAAACCTTTAAATCACTAGCAATTTAAACTCATTGGTTTCATAATACTATTGCCAAGTGTCGGAATTTGATCAGAAACAATACAGAAGTCTGTTTTAACTTAAGTATTGGCCTCTTTAATACTGTATACCATATTCTGGTATACATTCAGAACATTTTCTTTCTTACTTGGGTGCAAAATAACGTTTATCAAACAATTATGTTTGTATGCTGGTTGTGTCTGTTTGAGAAATAGCTGTTATAATATTTTGTAAAAATAAATTATCTATAATTAATAGTCCTGAAATGTTGGAACATTTTTCAAGGGTTATAAACTACGTTAATAGCTACGGTTAACATTGAATTGTTAATTTTGAAAAATCATCGGAGCATGATTATTATTATTTTCGCTAATTTTTATTTAATTGTTTTCAAGTCAAATTTCCGTCTTGGCGGAAAAGATTTTTAAGTACGTTTAATCGTTTCGACGTCAAAACTGTTTTTTTTTTAATATAATTATTTGGAATTAAACAGCCGGATGTGTTATGCCTTAAAAAAAAAACCCAATTATATATTTTAAAATTATTAGTCGACATAAATGAATATTAAATAAACACAATTTGTTTTAAATATTTATTGTTTCTATTTGTTTTTTATTATCATAGTGATGTAGTAGCTAAGTGAAATGATAATAAGCTTGGCGTGCGTTCATTTTATCGGTACTTTCTATTGCGTTATAAAATAAAAAAATCAACATTAATTTAAATATGGAAATTTGAGATTCTATACATTATTTTGTGCGCAAAATAAAAAAAACCATTCGGCATGACACAATTGTTGATGTGTTAATACCTGTAGACTCTCCTAATGTTTAGTATCATCGTATACAGGGTGATTCATTGAGAATAGACACTAGTTTTCTCTTAAAAATATTGCTATTTTTTAGTTTTCCCTTATGAAGACGACACTCGCCGGCTTGTGTTATCTTAAATTTTTTAAATTTAATAACTGCAAAAGTAATCCTCCAAAACCGGTTATCGAGCAGTGAAAATGTTCAGAAAATTATTCATAATTAAATATGTACATTATATTATGTTACCGTTTGGACACTTAATAAAAGGCTCTGCAAATAACGAAAAAGGTATAAATATTTAGTAGCTCTATAATAATGTTGCAAAATGACATAAGCGAACATGTTTAATTATTTTAGAGAAAACAATCGAGTGTGTCATTCTTATAATGAACCGTACCGGTTTATGATCGCTTCGACCACCGTTGGGGATTGTATTAAAATAAATGCCACTCGCCTCTTACCTAAGCGTTCGAATTCTTAAACACTGGTCCTGCCACCGTTTACATTAAATACAGCTTAGGATAACATTAGTCGGTTTTTACCTTGTCGTCTAACTTAACGGTCGGCCTTAACGGTCCTACTAATAGATTTAACGTCGGACGAAAATGCCTTCGGTCACCTAACCATAATAATAATTAATAGTAATATTGTTGACTATATCTTGTAAAAATGATAACATGTTATGTCTTTTACACGTTTTAGATCCGTATCGATGTCTCTGAACACCGGGTGAGACGTGCTGCGACTCCGGGGCAAACGTCAATTCGGCGGATACAAAAAAAACATGAACAATCATTTAAGTTACAAGATGGAGGGGGACAAGTCGACAAACTACAGCGATGAGTTTTACAAGAACGTCAAGCTGATCGGGTTCGTGAAAACCGATTCGGAGACAATACCCGGATACAAAAACGAAGGATTCCAATGGGGCTCGTCCGACGACCTGTCCGGATATCCTCCGGCTTACACCACCCAAAGCGACATGGTTCCCAGTAAGTCGAGTTACACTACATGTTATTGTATATTATTTCTGGTGTTAACATCCCTTTTTATCCCCTGTGATAAAGTGACCACCAAAGTTAATCATATCAAAATAGTTATATACTCTCGAGGTGTAAACAACTAGCGTTCCAAGCGGACAACATTTTCAACACATAAATTATTGATTATAACCACGATTTAAAATAACAACACAGAATAAACAGAAGGAAAGAGTTAGAGTTTAACAAAAAACGGCCAGACATATTGAGATTTATTAGCCAGTAAAGGCTCGGATATTTCCTTTTTTAAAAATTGTTTTGTGATTCGTGGCTACAGTATTTGTCGAGTGAACAATTTAGCCGGAATGAACGAAAAACAAGAATTTCCCTACTTATCTACCAGCACTGTCCGATTTATCGATCATTTTCAAGATGTCTGACATGATTTATCTCGTCCGTGTAAAAATTGTATAGTTTCTTATCTATGTATTCTGTGATGATAACGCATTACGATTGGTTGTTGTCTTAAATCACGGACAGGAGCGCTGGTAGTTAATCGTAACGGATGTTTATTGGATCACATATTGATCATATGACCGTTGGGCATCCATAGTATAATCTTAAATCGTTTGTTCATACTTAACCGAAATCGATAAATGAGGTACCGTTTAAAAGGTTAAGTTTGCCGCTTCCTAATTGTTGCACGTTGTATTATCTGTTCACAAATTGTAGTTGAAAAATGAAAATTGACATGAGCACAGCTCGCGCCATCTAGCTGTCGCAGTCTCAGTTTTATTTTGTTTTTTAATAACCTTACCGTGTTCGTGTAATTGACTTCCTAATAATTATTATTGTCGTCCGATACAACGATTATTAGTACATATTACAATTAGTTTCTCGTTTACAAATTAGCTGTTATATAACAAGCAACGTGCCATATCGTTATAGGTTACATATCGTTATTGGAAATTGCCGAAGCCCTAGCACTACCTTGATGTTTAACATGTTTAATGTAATTAATTAGACAGGTGTTTTGGATTACCTAAGAGGTGGTGTTTTTCACCAAACGAGCGTAGGTAACCGATAAAAATCGCAAATATTTGTTAAGAAAATAAGTTTCAAAAAATACAAAGTAGCAACAAAAAAACTGCAGAATTGTTTGTTTTAATGGACTTTGATATTTAAACACTACACATCAGGTTTGGATGAATTACCAAACAAGTATTAATAGCTAATCTCGAATTTCAACAGACTTGAATAATGGTGTTCAGTTAAAAATTACACAAAACACAATTTTTTCTTATTCATTGCCGAATGTTCTTCGACATTTATTTAAAATATTACACAATGAAGTATGCTAATAATATTAACACTTATGGGCCATGCCGTTTAGAGCAGCTGTAATGTAAAAGAAACTACTGATGACACACTTAATGTATAGGTAACATTTGTACATAATACTGTCAAATGAGTCTTCTTGACCAACAGTTCACCGCGCCTTGGTCGAGTCATTTAATTTACACCAGTATTGTATCATTTCATCGAATAATAGGTACAACTTCTAATAAGTAATAACGGTATCGAACTGGAAGTAGCAAGGGGTAAACGAAGAGAGGTGTTTGACGGAGAGAGATTTACAATTTTTTTTTAATGATTTGCGAATCAAGTTCCTTGAATCTAATAGCAGACGGGCAGACCCTATCTTTGCACATGATAAGAGTAATGAACTCTGTAATACCAAGACGTCATCTATTATGCATGACAAATAAGTAGAAAATATTTGCAACGTTTATGCATAGAGATTCGAGTACAATGTGTAATATCCAATCGAGATGGGTATCTCGAGATTAATTATAAAAAAATATATATATTATGTTGACAAGAGCGTTAGTGGATCCCGAAAGAAATAAATGATTTTATTCCGTACTCGACAGTTTCAGGATCGATATCTTCATATTCTGTTCTGTGGAAAAAAAATCTTATTGTAATGATTAGTAAAAATTCTATGAACTTTAGTCGAGTCACCCGTGTACGAACTAATAGCCTTGTTACAATAGTTATGTTGAAATAATAGCAAATTCAAATCTTATAATATTATATTATTCTTCAGTTAATGCCCTAATCCCTTATAAATGCGGTCAGCTAACTAATGCTCCTTCTTCGAAAATCCCTATCCTTCACTAATGTTTTTTGTATAACCTTCACCCTTCTCAGGACTTGATTCACAGCATCTTTACGCTTTTTCTTCGCTCTGTCTCTATCTTTCAATCCCTCGACAGTATAATATGCTTCCTTTATGGGGTTTACAAGTTAATTTTTAGTGCCACGAGTTTGTCATTACAGATTAGATGATACTTGTAAGTTGGTTCTAAGAAATCGATAACTTCACCGTTGTTATGGAGATTTCTTTAGAACTCATTGCGTCGTTCGGTAAAATGTTGGACTAGTTTTTGCATACAAAACTTGCTTACACGTGCAGATAAGTATAATATACTTTAATGGGTCTAAATCGAAAACAACTTAATGGAAAACTAATTAACGTATACTCTGACGTTTTCTTATTAACGAACGCGTATTATATGCAACCAATTAACACCCGTTGTCAAGGAGATCTTTTAAGGACTCCAAAAGTTTAATGGCACCGACAAGTTGTGAAGGTAATAGGAAAATAACGGTAACTTGCCGGTGCTACGGGGAACCTTATAAGGAGGTATAGGATACCTTACATAGTAGTCGAACGACAAATTCTAGAATTTGTCGTCGTTTTTAATTTAAATAATACTACACGAGATCAAATAAGTCGAGACAACATGTTTGCCTTAACGTACAACGAGATGCGGAAAGATTCACCTGTAATAAATTTTGTTTTTATTATTAAGCAAGCTTGACATTTATAGTTAGTACGCTTTGGTGTAACGTATTATTCGCAAACGATAATATAGTCTTACTCGATTTGACCATGATTTTTGAAGAAAAAAAAAATACAATAAAAAACTTAATCTCAATCCTAGGTCAGCGCAGACGTCTAATTAATATTAATTACGAATTCGGGAGACAACAAGCTATTATAATATTTTTAAGAGCTACCGACTAAGCGACTTGTCACGTCTCGAGTTCGGTGTATACAGTGTTTTAATCAACGAAGAATAATATCTATTGTGTCTGGCATATTCTGTACTTGGACGCATATTGTTCAACATTGGATGAATTTTATCGAAGGCTTGTCTGTGTATGCACGAGGGGTTAACGGCCTGAAGACGTTATCTTTGCTATATCCGAGTGGGTATTGCGTCAATCTATTGGTGAGAAAAAAAGTGTACATTATAAAATTGTAAAATTACATTGTACATACATTGTAAAATTATTACATGAATTTGCATTTGCCCAAATTGCAAACCTTTGAACGAAACGCTAAATGTGTTGCGATAATGATGAGACAGCATGTATGCCAGATATACAATATGATAAGCAGCTCATTCGATTTTCCAATGGGGGAGCACACCGGTGTCGTCGTTTCGAGATGATTATCAGACTTGGTTATTTTTTAAAATAATTATCGTTCCGCTTGTAATGTACCTATAACTGATTGTTTTCAGTATATTACAATGGTAATCTACCGGGTTAATTTAGTATAGGATAAATATCCTGGGTATTTACCCGGTATTTCGGTTATTTAAAAAAAATATACAGCAATCGACTAAATTTTTTATTAAGTTTATTGTAATCATTATTAATATTTTAAAAGCTATAGAATGTACATTTCAACTAAAAAAAGTAAAAGTGTTCTAAAAATATATAACTATTAAATAGTAGGAATTGGTCATGCTTTTGCTAAAAGTATGACCTTTTGAAATTACTACTAATTATGTGTGCCGATGTTGCAGATTTAAAACTGCAGTGTGCAGCTCTTTTATCATGCATACTTACTTAGAATAAGACATTACTGGGAAACTGAAGTTGTTGTTTTGAATTTTGAATTTAAGTTTTTATTAAAATGTTGTCACATTCTTTAAGTAATAAGGAAATAAAGATTGTGTGAGTGGACACGTTTAGTATACTACTTGGGTGACTTCGTGGAAAAGGTAAATACATTTTATTTGCTTTGAACCTAATAAAAAACAGATTTTCAATGTTAAATTTACAATGACCTGCTCTTTCCGGTGACAATTATTATTCGATATCGCGTTTCGAGTTAGTTAAATCATGGGATAATTTTTATTATTTTAAAGACATAATTTTCAAAAAACATAAAATCACATTTACATATTTTGTGTTTGCGGAATATTTAAAATAAAATAAAAAAGATAATTGTTTTATATTTTGTATAACGTCGTGTTCGACAAGCCGTTGAAACGCGATTCTGTTTTTATGAATTAATAGGGTTTACTATTCAAATAAAACCGAAAAAGTTTACTCAAGTGGATATAGTAGGTCTCTATAATGTAATAGTAACTAAATAATTTTAAGATTTTATTGATTTTTGTCGAAAATTTGGAAGATGTCTACGTAAACCGAAATGATCAATTCCAAAAGCAAGGTGTTAGTATGAATTTAACAGCTTCCGTTCTATGGCAAGTACATATGAGGTTCAAAATATATGTATGCCCCTCGACGCAAAATAATAAAAACTAGCTATAATTATCACTTTTAAGGAAACCGTTGAAAAAAACTATGATAATTTGTATAGACTAACTAAGACGGGAGGCCCAAAAAAAGCCATTTTTGTTTACCACTTAAAAAAAACTAATTATTATTATTACTTGACATTTTTTCGTTTTTAAAATGTTGTATAGATTTCTAAACATTTCAATAGTAACTAATTAAAAAAAAAAAAAAGTTGTTTAAATTTTTTTTTTAGTAAATAGTTTGCATATAAATTAGACAATCACGTTCTGCAAAGTCTAAAAATTTCTACGCGTTAAACTTTTACTTTTTTTTCAACTAAAATTGAGTCATTCATCTTTGTACTTTACCCTTGTATGTATAAAAAAGATTTATTATAAAGAAGAAGCAACAAATATGTATTTAAAAAAAAAAAAAATACCTAATATTCTTTAGAAAATCAACAGCACGTTAAATCCAACCAAATAATATTGGCAAAATTATTTAAGATATTTTGAAAAGCTATTCAACTATCTTTGAAGGGTTATGAGCTTTTTTTTTTTACTTGAATCGATAATGTTATAAGTTAATTATTTCTTACAAATACACTATCAGCCGATTTCATCAACATTTGTTAAGGATTTAACTTATTGTTAATTATACTTAACAATTAGTTGGTGAAAATTGGGTTTCATCGAGATTTGTTAGCCTTCTTAACACGTTGTTAAAACGATTGTTAAGTTAATATGTCGAAATCAGCTTCTTTAAAAAATAAATTGGCATGTTAAAATACCATAGATCTATTTATACATTACTAATTGAGATTTGATTATAAAATTATAATATTATTACTTATCACATTTTGTGATAACCAATGAGAACGTTGGTATCAAGGTAACCGCTTTGGTAACCCAACTAGCATTTTGTTAACAAAACAAATTTGAATTTAACAATAATGTGAAACTTACTTAATTTAACGAGATGTTAAATTTAAACGAATTGTTAACCAGCATTGTGTTAAGAGTGTATTTAACACAATAGTTGGTGAAACCGGCTGATTAAGTATAAATAATTACGACCAGGACGTATTGTTTTAATTATTGTGTAACACTTGAAATGTGCACAGCGATTTTCTGATACTTTTGTGTGGACTTTTATATTTTTTATTTAGTTTCATCGATTCTTTCCAATTCTACAAAATAATTCATTACCTAATAAATAATAATTAATATTTTTCTTCCAGAAAAAGAACCAGATAACGACTCGACAGTATTGCCCATCTGTCTCGATACAGTGCACCGGTGTTGCACGAAAAAAGTACTCTACAAACGACTTCCTATTCTCCGGTGGTTGCCTAAGTACACGCTCAAAGACCAAGGCGTATCCGACCTCGTCGCTGGAATAACAGTCGGGCTAACCGTCATACCGCAAGCCATAGCGTTTGCCAACGTAGCCGGCTTACCTCCACAAGTGAGTTACCGTACTGGAAATTTATACATAAAAAAGTCTTATATATTTTTTTAAGAAAGTCGTCGCGGAAATACAAATAACATTTTTTAATCGTATATAATTTATTAGCATATTGTGTTTACTATTGCGCATATAGATTGCGCTTGAATCAATAACAAAACACATTATTTTACTTTATATTATATATGCATATTTTTTTTTTATTACCCGAGTGAGTGGATATAAATGTATTCATGTATATTATTTTATGTAAAAGGTCATTAAAAAAAAATCCGATTTGCGACAGTGTCAGATTATTATAGGATTGTGGTGTTAGGTTTTTGTGTGTAAAAAATCGGAGCTTAGTCTGTTTCGATTTAAATTAATTAAAAACGGCATAAACGGCACAACGGCTTGTCGGACCAACCTAAAAGATTCGAACAAAACAAAAAAAAAAATCTCGAGACAAACTAATTATGTATACTTAACGATATTTCAAGGTGGTCTGTGAAAATATGTGTTTACAATACATGTACAACAATACTTGATGGGTCATTTGTTTCTAATTAAATCTCTGTCCGTGTACACATGTACGGTTCGCGGCATAAATCAAAATTATTGTAAAATATTATGCGTTTATATTTTCGGTATAACCGTCTAGAAACCGTCTCGGAGTTAAGTGGTGCCATTCGCTTTTCCTATTTCGCCAAAAACCGCCGTGTCATATATTTTTGTCTGCGGTGGTCGTCTATTGTGTGTGTGTGAGAGAAGAAGAAATTGCAAATCACAGCATCCGGTTGACATTTGAATGGCGTTGTGTTTTTTGTGTGGACAAAAAAATATTACTGTCGCCAATTGAATTTCGTTCGGCATAGACAAACGGGGCCGGCCACCCGCCGCGTTAATGACTGACATCCTACCTGGCTGGTTAAAAAATAATAATTACAATAAAAAAAAAGTAGACAAGATGATTGTTTTTTCGCGGTTTGCATATAACGTAATAATAACCTAACCGAGGGAATTTACGCGTTTGCGGTCGTCACATTTGTGTGTTTTCTTCAAGTTCGAGGATTTCTGGTTACGCTATAAGGTTGCCGCATTTATATATTGTGTCGTAATTTACATTATAATGGCCAGCTTGTATCTTGTCAACGCACACCATTATAATATTATCTATTATGACCCGACCTTAACATTGCACTACTCGACCGCAGCACTCCCACGGTCTGTACAGGGTGATTCACAAAGGATAAGACACTAAAATAAAATAATTCTGTACCTACCGTTGTGGCAAAAGCCAGTAACTGCAAAAAATGTATGTTTTTCGGTTAAACACGGTACTACTGCAGTTTACAGTAACTAGACATTTGATTGTGTCTAAAAATAATAAATGTAGCTCTGTTAGTTAAGCTGATATCTTTATTTTAAAGTAAAAATGTCAATATTGCGGCAAAACATGTAATCCAACTTATTATTATTATTGAGGTACTTGCAGTTTGACGATAAAGCGAATTTTATAAAATTATATTACTTTTTTAACGTTGTCTGTTAATGTACAATATAATATTGGATTATTATTTTTTATATATTTTTGATTAAAAAAAAAAATGTTCGAAAATAATCATGTCATTCCATGTTATGTGCAATACCGGCGATAAAGAAAAATGGCAAAATATGTTGGGTTTAATTATTTTTCCAAAATTTACTTAAAAAATATAAAACAAATTTTAAACTACAAAAGTGCGTGAAAATGTGTTAAAATATATAAATATCAACTGTAAGATACCACAATTAAAAATAATAATAAATATAATACAGGTGAATTTAATAAAAAGATAGTCTTCCTGTAAATTAATTTTTTGCAGTCAACAGCTTTTACCACAATTGTACAGAATTGCAATTTTGCAGTTTTTCTTTTTGGAGACCTTTTAGCTTATGTTGTTCTACAATATTAGACATTACTCGATTTTCTATTTGCCTCCAGACCTTAATAGTTTTTTTAAATTTAAATTGTAACGTATATATTTAATTAACATTTTGACTGGTCGACAGCCATTTTTTGGATAATTACTTTAATAATTAAGGCGTGAGGAGAGGAGTGTGGTAGAGCAATAAGCGCAGATAAAAATAATAATACCTGACTCCACCATTCCTTCCATTTTTAATTTTAAACTCTAATTACTTTAAAAGAGATTATCCACAATTGGTTGTCGACCGGTCAAATTTTGGCAAATTATTTTTAATTTAAAAACTAAATTAAATATATACGTTACCGTTTAAGCTTCAAAAGTTGGCGGAGCTCTGGAAATACTTGGGAAAAAAGGGAAACCTTTGGTAATTTTATAACATTGTAAAATGGCATAAACAAAAATTTGTTCAAGAGGAAACGCTACAAAACTGCAGTTATCCTAAGAGATAGGTGTCGAGTGTGTTATCCTGTGATATAAATCAATTTGTACATCCGGCGAGTTGATCGTAGACTACCGTAGTCCTGTTGTTTATTATAATCTAGTGTATCTAGTGTTTAAAATATAAATTTAAAAAAACGCTTTTAATGAACGAATACCTACTGCCATTTCAGATCGGACTGTACTCGTCGTTTATGGCGTGTTTCGTGTACACGATTTTCGGCAGTTGTAAAGATCCGGCCATCGGTCCTACCGCCATAATGGCAATCATGACCAGAGAGAACATACACGGCATGGGACCCGAATTCGCCGTGCTGTTGACTTTCATAACCGGTATCATTCAGCTCATCATGGGATTTGCCCAGTTAGGTAATTAAAAAAAAATATAGGTATATATGTTCACAGCTCGCAGCCATTCGCCGCTATACGGATGAAAGTGATAATGTGATAACTGGACGCGCTTGAAATAATATATATTAATAATGATTATCGTGTACATAATATTATAATATGTGTTATGTACACCACCTAAAGTGTGAGTCACGACGAGTCTGTCCACAAAAAAAAAAAATCCTAGTTATTTTCTCCGCTCAACGGAAAAAAACATTGAATCATTGATATGTTATCTCTTATCTCCAACCTCTTATCACATATCTTATCACTTCCTTCTTCTCTCTTGTCTCTTATCACTAACTGAAAGTAAAAATCGAACAACGAAAATTGTGACATGAAATTTTTTGTATCCAGCCCAATAACATATCCATGTTAAATTATCAATATATGTCTGTCAAATCCTCGTGCGGCGAGCCCAGGTTACGTTAAGGTTCTCCACGCCTATATACAGGGTGAACGGTTAACTTTGACCCAGCCAATATACGTCTATCTCTTATGTGTCGAAACCACCATATGACCTTAAGAGTTTTTTGAGTTGAACCAAAAAAATAACGCGACCTTTGCTTTTTTCTCAAGGTTTTCTAATTGATTTTATATCCGGCCCGGTTTCGGCTGGCTTTACTTCCGCTGCGGCCATTGTCATTGCCACGTCTCAGATGAAAGACTTGCTGGGCATTAACATCAAATCGAGCTCGTTCATTGGCGTTTGGGATCAACTGGCCACGCACATCAAAGAGATCAGCATTGGCGACGGAACGCTCGGCATAACTTGCATGATAGTCTTGTTGCTGTTGCGGGTGAGTCGCATAAGATGTACAATATAATACACATGATCTTACCTCTGGAGGTACCTATGGACATGACGATAACCAAAACGAGAGATAGGGGGGGGGGGCGGGTGAAATGGGTTGGTAACTTCAACTTAATGGGGCGAGCGCACCTGCTGAATTTTCTAAATGAAATGAACGATTTTAACCGTCTCACATTAAACCGTTAAAAAAGTTGAAAAACATTTTTTTCAAATGATTATTTCTATGTACAGTTCTGTTCACTTGCACTTGCCACATTAAATTGCAGCTACCCCACTTCACCCTATAGTCGTCTCTCTCTCTGTTTGTATACATAGGGATTACACTAGATGATTAGAAACTAGTCAGTACGGTCACACACAATAATTGAATCGTGCCAAATTTTAAACAAATTTCTAAAAAACCATTGTAAATCATAGGAATCATTTATTCAATAAAAGGAGGAATAAGTCACCTTTTTTTTTCTTTTTTACAAAAATTATATTTTTTTCACATCAAAAGGTACAAGTCAACGCTTTAGCCTACAAAGTATGCTTACAAAAATCGTTTGCAAAAAGTTATAATCGAATGTGTTAATATTGTTGTTCACTAAAAATTATTTACACAATTATTACTGTTTGTATTCGTTCAACCTAACCTAACCCTCCGTAGGGACTAGGAAAGTCCATAGACTTCAAGTGCCAAAATAAAAAAAATTAGGTATATCAAATGTTTTTTTAATGCAAAAAGAAAGAATTTGTTTTTAAAACGTTTGTTGAGCAGAAAAAAACGGTTTTTTCTGTTTTCTCAACATTTTAGATCTGTTGGCAATTATTTCCTTTCTCGAATAAGCGATTCGTATACATATATATGTATATATACAGGGTGTTTCAAAAATAATGGTGAGGTTTCAATCGGCTGTGGGTTGTGAAGTATTGGACCTACAGGGCTCTGGTAGGGCTTGAATGAAAGAGGGAGTTGTCAAGTTTTGAATGACTGCCACTAGATGTTTCACAGTCGTAACTGAACTACATCTAGTGGGGCAGTCATTCGAAACTCGGAAACTCCCTCTTTCGTTCAAGCCCTAACCACCAGAGCGCTGTAGGGTGCAATACAGCCGTTTGAAACCCCGTCATTCTTTTTTAAACACCCCGTATTATATAATAATAGCTGGTGGAAAACGAATTTTCCAGAAAATGAAAGACATACAGATCGGACCTCGGGACACCAAGGAGAAGACGACGGCACAGCGAATGTTAATGTCGACCATATGGCTGATTTCGACCGCCAGGAACATCATAGTGGTGGTATTTTGCGCCATGTTGGGTTACATGTACGAAAAGCACGGGCGTTTGCCGTTTAAGCTTTCCAGTAAGTCGGCGCCCGTACTTGGGCACATGTCACAGATGGCTTAAGAAAATACCCAAGTGGCTCTTACTCTTGTTCACAGGTCGAGTGGAACCGGGCCTGCCCGACTTCCAGCCGCCGGCTTTCGAGACGACCGCCAAAAACGAGACCTACAACTTTATCGACATGGCGTCGAAATTGGGTTCGGGCATATTGGTCGTGCCGTTACTGTCGATTTTGGAAAACATATCTCTGGCCAAGTTTTTCGGTAAGGCGGTAAACAATATTGAAATTTTAGTCTAAACAGCTATACTTAAGCATGTTGAGCCAAATCGGCTAACAGAACGACCGGTGGTTAGTATACCGACATTTTTAATGCGTAAAGTGTTGGCAATATTTACTACAACAAAATGTTGGTCCCTACGAAATGTTATTGTTAGTACTCTTAAGAGAGCAACACTTTTATATTTTGTAAAACGATTGGGACGGTGCTAAGTAGGTTAAGTTAGACGAGTCTTGGGCTTTTTATTCGCGCCAACTCTAACACGCTGCAAACCAGTTTTCGACTTAAGGTCAGTTAAAGTTCGGTTAGGTTTCGCCTACGATTCCAAAGTGTGGAAAAAAAAAATGAAAATCTACTTATTCGCTCCGCTCCGCGAACAAAAATCGAATCATGGATATGTTATCTCTTATCATTTATCAGTTATCCTTTATCGCGTCACCTATCTCTTATCACTTAACTTTTTTCTCTTATCGCTAACTGACAGTGTAAGTGCAACGCGAAAATGGTAACTTATCCGTGTTAAAGTTAGATCAGAGATATTAAGCTTGGTTATTTTTATTCTCGCCAACGCCAACACGCTGCGAGCCAGTTTTTGACCTAAAACTTCACAGTGATCGTACTGGATCTATTGTGCACGGGCGTGTAGTGGGTATGCATTAACGCATACAATCGGATATTGTAGGTATTATGTTCACAAGTGAAATTTGTCATTTATAATATTACTATTACTATTGTTGTTGTTGTTTCAGCCGACGGCAAAACCGTGGACGCCACTCAGGAGATGCTCGCCCTGGGCGCTTGCAATCTCATATCGTCCTTCGTCGGCTCAATGCCCGTGTCCGGCGCTTTGTCCCGGGGTGCCGTCAACAACGCCAGCGGAGTCAAGACGACTTTCGGCGGGATCTACACGGGTACTAGACACGTTTTCTTAATTACTATTACCGTTATTGTTAACTCGAAGCGCTTTGCACAATGCAAAATCAAATTTCACAACGTTGCCGCCGGCCTAACCTAACCTAATCTAGGTGGTTGCAGTCGGTAGAGCACCCCCGGTAAAACCTACCGGTTATATAGTACTGCCTGCCAATTTTTTATACTTTGGATGATTATTATATTTTGATTTCCAAGTGCACAACCACAAGTCGATCATGGGGATAGGAGAACCCGTTATTTTTTATGGATTAGGTAATTTTGACATTTTCATGTCTTAGCTCTGGCACATAACCGGAAAAACTGTTACCAAAAACTTGTCACGAAAAAACTGTTACGCTGTTATCTGATAAGAGATAAGAGATATTAGAGATAAGATATTAGATCGGGGGCATATATGGTGTATTCACAACGCATTCAAAGTAGAACTGAAAAATAAATTCAATAATTGAAGAGGTCATATTCGTATGAATGGTTTTAGGCCAGATATTATGAAAACACTAAAATATTAGCCAGAAACTTGATATGTTTACTAGCAACCTTAGATACTAGATTGTTACTGCTTGTTCATATACTATTTCATTATCTATAATTCCACCACTACTCCAAATTTATTCGATACTTCAACGAGACATAAAAATGCTCTTTCTGTGCAAATTCTCATTCGTATAAAACAATTATTCGAAAAATTATTCTAACGAAAAATTGTTTTCCTATTGTATACCTACTGGTTTTTTATATTTTGTAAATTTAGTATATAATATTATATTCGTAGACGAAATAATGTTTTAAAATACAATAACATAAAAATAGCACACTATTTAAATATTATGTTTGAATATTATTCGAATAGTTGAATTTAAAATTATTCTAATAATTTTTCATACGACTGATTGAAAGTTTTCCTGACTGGTCCATTGTGTCTTGTAAAATATTGGGAAACATCGCTAGACCGAGTAAAACTGGTTCTGCGGAGCTATGTTTTAATTAGATGAATATAAACATCAAGGACGATATTATTGTCGTCTTGTAAAAACAAAAAAACAAAAAAAATCAACTATCAATAAGGACCACCGTTCTTTAATAAAATTAAAACAATAGTTTTAGCTTTGGATTGAATTGTTGTCAAAAATTGCCTTTACCGAACCCCTATTAATAAAATACGGTGTACAACCTATTCGTTTCGATGAGATAGGATTTTTAATTTAATACACATTTCATGTCGTGGAAAATCATAAGTTTTATTAAATTTCAATATAAAATGTTTTAATGTAAATTGCTTAGGTATTATTATAGGTCAAATAATTCACAATCAATACATGTTATTTACATTGTGGTGTGGTTCGCTTTACTGTTTGAACGCCTACAAATCAATTTCTGTAACAGTAAATTCAAACCAACCTCTAGAAATCGTGTACAGTATAGTAGCTAAACTCCAATTTGTAATTAATAATAGAAAATAAAAATACATCTGTGGCGAATCTAAGAATAAAAAACGAGGGAGGGGGAGGGGTTAGAAGAAAAAAAAATCCCTTCAAATACATACATACATGTAAAAAAAAATACAATATATTTTAATGTATCGTTGACTTTGCAAGTGATATACATTAAGTCACACAATTAAGATATGTCTTAACCAGTCTAAAGATTACAACATTTTAGACCAGCAGAAACCATCTCCATCCCCATCCGCAACCACAGGAGACATTTTATCTCTAATCTCTTATCAATAATCTCTTATCTCTCTTATCTTATCAGGTAAATCGTCTGATATTTTCGTTAGGTTTTTTTCCTGTCGATTTTTCCGGTTGTGTACCAAAGTAAAGACATAAAATGTCAAAACTCCTTAAAAACTGAAACTACAAAACCCTGACTTAATGTATTTCATATGTAAGCCAACCATATTGTGCTGTAAACATAAAAATGCATACTTTTAACAACAGGTTTGCCCCCGTAGCCACCTCCCTCTCTGCCCGTATCCTTCCCCTTAACATGGCGCATACTCCTATGAACCGTGTGCAATTTTTATTTTTTACAGGCATAATCGTGATTGTGGCATTGCAGTTTTTCACACCTTACTTTGTGTACATACCCAAAGCAGCCCTGGCCGCAGTCATCATTGCCGCCGTTGTGTTTATGGTCGAGCTGCACGTGGTCAAACCGATGTGGCGCACAAAAAGTACACGGAAAATACACCTGTCTATAATTTTATACTGACAATTTGTTTCCCCTCCCCCATTTTCAGAAATAGATCTTATACCCGCTTTCGCCACGTTCCTGTGCTCGCTGTTGATCCGGTTGGAAGTGGGCATCGTGGTCGGTATTGCCATCAACGTGATAATTCTACTGTACACTCTGGCCAGGCCTAGGGTTCACGTGGAAAAACGAAAGGTACGTTGAAAGGCAGACATTAAATCCATTTTATCAATTTACTATTTATTTTTTTTTTTAATCCAACTTAAATTAGGAAATTATTAAGCCAAAACATGGCCACAAAAGTACCCATAAACCTAAGTGTATACTGTACATGCACACGCTTTGTAACGTACATTTTTTATTGATCAAACTAGATTAGAAAAATATGTTCAATTAGATAAAAAAAAAAATTGGTGGTTCATACTTTTATTCTGTTGGATAACATTTTATTGGAACCTAAATAAAAGGTTGAAAAAATTATCTTACAGATGTAGCGGTTTAAACAAAAAAATAATAAGGTATAATCATAAAAAATCTATTTTTACAATAATAATCCCTTATATTTATCTTTTATTTTTTATCCTTTATTTTAAACAGAAAATAATTGAGTAATTCTAATTAACAATAGTTATCAATAAGCTCAAAGTACTGAACAAAAAAAATAGGAATAATACAAACAACTCTCTGCTGGCACTTGACATTTGTCTAGGTTTTTCACAGAAATTACTAGGGAATGCAAATATGACATTCGGGGGGAAACCCCTTAACAATTATAACTAAAAATAAAAGGATTATTTAAAATAATAATAATTCAATAATAAAAGGATTTTTAAAAAAAATAAAAGCATGTCACATTATAGAAAATAGGTATAAATATTTTTGTAATTTTTTTAAGACTCATTTTTGTTGTTTAAATATGGTGTCAGAGAAATAATTTTACTCTGTGCTACTTTTGCTACAAGATTAAAATTTTTTTCGTCCATTTTGATATTTGTTGTTATTTATCTAATAGAGCATTGCTCATGAGAGTGCTGCTTGGGGTGGGGCACGTGCTCTGGTCTTTTTATTCCGTTTTGAATTTTGGCATAGAAAATCGAGTACAGAAAAAATAAATTTTAAACAAGGTCCACCTTAGTCATTATACATGTGTATAATACATATACTACATGCATACACACCGGAAGGACGGTGGGTGGTATTAACCGCAACAATTGAACTCGCGCGACAAACCCCGCGTGTGATTAATTTTTAACAACTTTTTTTTAAATTTTTTTCAGAACGATTTTGGACACGAGTACTTGGTGATAACGCCCGACCGCAGTCTGGTGTTCCCTTCTGTGGAATATGTAAGGTCGGTGGTGACAAAAGCCGGACTCAAGCAAGGTCTGAGCTCCATACCGGTCGTGATCGACTGCAGGCACATACAAGGAGCCGATTTTACCGCAGCCAACGTAATATTATATACCTAACCTGACCTGACCTAACCTGACCTGACCTAACCTTACCTGACCTAACCTAACCTGACCTGACCTAACCTAACCTTACCTGACCTAACCTAACCGTGTGTGTTTGTGCAGGGAGTCAAGTCGTTGATCGACGATTTCGTCAGGAGAAATCAGCCCCTGGTGTTCTACAAAGTCAAACCCAGTGTGATATCCATTTTCCAAGGGGTCAGGCCGGCCGAGTTCAACTGTTGCGGTACCGAACAACAGTTGCACGACATGTTAAAAGGTATACAGTTCCATCATAACAATATATGGCATCTGCCCTAAATTATTTCGCACCCCCTTCTCTCCCCGTTTGTGCTCTGAAATTTGCCCCTCAAAGTCCAGGGCCTGTACCTAAATATGGTGTTTCATAAACATATGATAAACGAAATGACTTTTGACTTTCTAGTAAGGGTTTAAAATTATTTTATACTGATTTGCGCTATAAACAACAAGTTTTTACATTGCGCTCGACTGTGTTACTTTTTAAATTTTTTTTGCTCAAGATAAATCATTTTTAAAAGTAATTATAACAAAAGTGGATTTTGACCAGTCAACATTTTCAGCAAATTATTCTTAATAAAATGGCCATGTTGGAAAACAAATTTAAAAAGTAAAACAGTTAAAAGCAATAAAAACCGTGCTAAAAAATACAGCAAATAGGCAAACCAGTATGAATATGAATACAGCGATGGCTTTGATAGTATTTATTAAAATCTCTACATTCGCATAGCAAAATAGAGCTGAATAAATTATCCATCTATGCACAAGAGTGAGAATTTTTTTTTTTTGGTAGGCAGAATATTTTATTTTTGTAGACATTTTTAAAGTCACGGCTTTTGGTGGTTTATTTTATTGCATTTTCAATTAAATTAATAGACTGAGTTGGCGAAAAACGCTTAAGCACAAATAAAAAGTCCTCCTCTATTTATTGTGAAAATCTTAAAACAATTCGAAGACACTTTGATTAGTTTAAGCTTAAAATTAAGACTTCATATCACATTCATCATATACATATTAAATTAAAAATACAACTTTTTTTGCGCTGTAAAACGGTCTTAAACTAGTTATGAACGTTTTTTGTGTAATTATAACAATTAATCGTAAATGAATTTAAAATGGAAAACGGGGTTTCTATCTTTAAATGTTTTTCTTTTAAAAAAAATGTAATCTCTAAGTAAGGATTTTTTTTGGCGTTTTTCACAATTATACCATTGAAAACGCAAGTTTCTTTTAACAATAATATACATTGCCGTTTGGACTTAGTGTTTTTGAGTGAATATAAATTAAACACGAAACCTAACAGGGTGGGCTGGATCAAAGTCTGCTTAAAAAAAGGTGTTTTTGGATTTGAAATGTTCCCTATCCCTCCAATAAAAGTACCTACAAGTCGCTCTTGGTAATAATAATTTATCAATAACGATTAATGATTAAAAAAACTCCACATCAGCAGAATATAATTATAATATTACTCAGTCGGTCGACCGATTGTGCAACGTTGTTTTTTTTTTACATACATCACATCACACGTGCAAGTGCATAGTTTTATTTTTTTTTTCTGACGTAGCATAGACTAAAAATATTATATTTTATATTATTAAAATAAAAATTGATTATTATTCTTGTATTTTAATGATTTTCGTGCAACTAACAAACGACGTCATTCGCGAAAAAAAACCGTAAAAAAATCCATTAAAATAAAATTTTAATTACACACACAATATATAATAATTAATTAATTATTTATCGCTCGAGGCCATTATTTTCCTATCGAAAACCACAAAATATGTTATTCTTTCAAACAAAATTAAACGGCTTACAAAAGATAAAAAAAAAAAAAAAATACTTGCACTTTGATTTTAAAACGTTATCATATTTTAACAACACAACGTTTTGTTTAGAAAAACGCTGGTCGAATATTTTTTTAAAAATTTTTTATTTGCGTTTAAACTGTTTTTTTAATTATTTTTTTACTTGTGTTTTAGGTTATTATTTCAATAGGGTACCGCCAATGTAAAATCCTATTCATCTGATAAACAATGATCGACGACAACCGTTAAATTGTGGCCCACCAACCAAAAAAAAAGCACAAAATTAACTGTACAAATTATATTACTTGTAAAATTGAATTTACTTTTTTTTCTTTTTTCTTTAGTATATATTATACAAAAAAAAAAGCAAATTAAAATACATTAATTTTTAGATTATTTTGTAAGATTGAAAATATTATATTGTTATCAATCGTTCTTACAACGATCGCAGCTATTTATATATTATAATTTTATATTAAGTTAAACTTAAGGTAATTTCGATTAAACTTTATTTTTATGTATATAATTAATACCTATTTTGTACAGTTTTTTTTCTATTCGGAACTGAAGTCCTACGTTAACAGTGTGTGTGTTTTACTAATATAATATTTATATATTTATGGACTCGCAGGAATATATGTATTATATTAATATATATATATATATATATATATATATATTATTTATAATTATTAATATAACATTTTGCAATCAAAATATTTGTATTTTAATTTTTTCAATTATTTTATTTACAGCACTCCGAGGAAATGTGAAAATAATAATACAATGGTCGTAGATAGATGATTATATATTTTTTTGAAATTGAAGTCACACGATTATAAACTTCTACAATATTGTGATAACATTATGTCACAACTCATAGGAGACAATTTTGGTTGATTATAAAAATAAGAGTAAGATGTATAAGTATATGTATTTTTTTTTTACTTAAACAATTATGCAATTGAAAGTATTTAAAAGAAACCCCAATCTAGAATTCGAGTAAATAGATATCCCTCAAAAAAAAAAAATATATATATAATATAGTAAGATAATTTAGACCGATAAATTGGATACAATAAAATTTCAATAATTTATTTCGCAAAAGAAACTTAACAGTTGTTTGCGCTTAATAAGTGCACTAAAAACATTTATAGAAGAATAATATATGATAATATAATATTATATTATGACTACGATGAGTAATAGTTATATATAACAGCTATAAAAGTGCATTATTTGGTTTTAGAGTTTAAAAATATGTTATTTTTTAAACAAGCATTGAATATCAATATAATCAACTAAATTAATAATTTCATAAAAAAAAAAAAATAGTTTAATAATAGTATCACACAAATGGCAAATATAATAATTATTTCCATTGCTATGGTCGCGAGCCAAGCGTATTTCAATAGACTTAAACTTAAGACTGATGTATTTAATCTCTACTGTTTGATTTTTTGTTTTGTTTTTTCTGGGCTAATATATGTGTACTAACTAGATCCGTTTAATATATCTCATTTTATATTTTAATGAAGAGTAGGTGTTTTTATGATTACCGTGTTAAGTAAGTACAGTATGTATGCTAATCATCTGTTATGCGTTTGTTCCATATCTGACCTCGTTCAATGTATATAATAATTATATTACAATATTATGATTTACAACGACAAAAAAAAATTAAACCCAACACTCGAGTTACTCTTTTTGCGCAATAGATCAAAAACTCTAACACTAACCGAATGATCGATGATTATTAGTTGATTTATTTTATCGAAACGGCAGCACGATAAAACTAAAATTATTACTATATATTGAGATAGGCGCGCTTAATAATACAATATATATATATATATATCTATATTATAATTATAAGACTTTTGCTGGGCGAAAGTCGCTTAAACATTTAAGTACGGTATTTTTTAGCAGCGTTTGTTAACCTTAACCTGGACCTAACCAAAGCCTAAACCTAACTCGAGGCGCCTAGTTTGAAAACCAGCTTAAGAATTTTTGAAAATTTTCACAAAACAACAAATAGTATTTCTTTAGATAGAACCAACCGAGATTTTCAGACAAACGCAGTTTGAATTAGTTTACATTCTTTATTCAATAACAGTTTTGTCATAACATGTAATACATTGTTGTCAAAATGTTTTTGGGCTGGTTTTGAAACTAGACGCCTCACTTAACCTAAACCTAAACTAAACCTAAACCTTAACCTAACCTAACCTAACCAAACCTAAACCTAACCTAACCTTAACTTAACCTTAACCTAACCTAACCGAGAAGGATCGTATGTGACATTTCAATACATGTCGCCGTACTCGCTTTGTAAGTTTGCCAACAGTTCTTGCATGCAATCGTTGCTCAAGCACATAAACTTCTGCACTTCTGCCGCGTTCGCCGGACGACAGTGCGGCACGTCGCCTTCGTTCATCAACGAGTATCTCAGTTCTTGCATTTTCTGAAATCGGAGAGAATTGGGACGAAAATATTGAGAGAACTCACAGTAAGTACGGTGTCAACAAAAAAAATTCTACAAAAATATCTCTCATAATTTACTTTTCTGTTTTCGCACGACGCTTGTTGATGGTCCACGCAACGTTCCGGATAGTCTTGGCCAATGACACAACCGACTTCGTTCTGGACTTCTTTGGGACACTTCCACGGTTCGTACAAGTAACGGCCGGGCAATTTTCTCAGCTCCGGTACGTATCGCCTAATGCACACGATTATTCGATTACCGTGTAATACTAGACACGTTATTAAAATATATAAAAAAAACCGTGTCAGGTACCTTATGTACTCGCCCGTTGGGTCCAATCGCATACCGTAGCTGACGGGGCACACGCACAGAGGACAGTCCAACAGCTGTTCAAAAGTGGAACTAGAAACCCAAATCCAATTGCCCGAGCAAACGGCCCAATCGGCGTCCAGTAAGTACTTCAGAAAATGCTTCATGCCCTCGGTCCAGCTGATCCAGAGATCTCCTCTGGTCAAAAAACAAGCCACCGCGTTCCTGACCACGTGATGGGTCCATCCTTCCTGTATTAGCATTTTTTAAAAAAAAATTGTTTAATATAAATTATACCAAAATATCACTGGGCCATGCATACACGCTATTATTTATTTATTTATTCGTCTAGAGCGGTTGCCACTTGTCCAAACGGTGCCAGCGGTCGTTAAATAAATGTTTTATTTATAAGAAACGTGTTTTTTTAACACAGATATGACTGTACGGTTTACATTGACATTGTACATCATAATATTTTGTGCTTATCTGTGGTAATAAATTCAGTCCAACGCACGCTTGCCCGCCGCTTCGATATAATAAACCCGATTTTGCTCAATTTTACAGTGGAATTATTTTAGTACACGATTTGACAAACCTAGGCGAAAGAGGGGATATTTTCGCTATTTTGAACAAGATTATACAGGGTGTTCCAGCGTAAAGGGTAAGTAATAAGTGATTGAACATCTGGGGGACTCTCAAATAAGCCCCCCGTTTTCATTTTTTCGATAAGTGAAAAATTGAAGATTTCGACAGTTAATTAAAAAAAATAATGACTTAAAAAAAAAAAAAATTATTCCCTGTTATTCAGTGCAAAAAGCTCACCTTAAAAGAGAGGTCACATCATTTTCAGTCCCTTTCGGCCCCTAACTCAAAAAATGATAAGAGAAAAATGAATAGAGACCAGAAATAAATGATAAATGCTAAGACATAATTGATAAGAGATAAAAGAAAAGATATAATTGCTAAGAGGTTATTTTATGAGAGATTAGAGATAAATGATAAGAGATAAGTGCTAAATAATAAGAGATTAGAGATAAATAATTAGAAACAAGTGATAAGAGATAAATGATAAGAGAAGAGTTAGGGGCTGAAAAAGACTGAAAATTATGTGACCCCTCTTTTAAGGTGAGCTTTTTGCACTGAATAACATGGAATATTTTTTTAGGTCATTATTTTTTTACTTAACTGTCGAAACCTTCAATTTTTGACTTATCGAAAAAATGAAAACTGGGGCTTATTTGGGGGTCCCCCACATGTTCAATCACCTATTACTTACCTTTAATGCTGGAACACCCTGTATAATGTTAATTGAAATTAGCGGCCCCAAAATTGTGTTTACCATTTATTTTTGGGGGGAAATTTAGCTGAAAGTGCTGGCAAATACCTGCATTAACTGTCTCATGCCGGCGTCGATGAACGGATAACCGGTCTGGCCGTTTATCCAGCAGTCCAAAAGCTTTCTGTTGTCGCCTTGGTCCAAGTCGTTCCACTTGATGGCTATACAAGCGGGATTTCCGTCGACCTTGTTGAAATTGTCGTTGTTCACCGACATGACGTAGAAGTAATCGCGCCAGATCAGCTGGCTGGTGGCGCTGTACTGGGGCAGCAGGTTTGTTTCGAAAGACTTTGTGAACAGCTTGGACAGCTCCCAGTAGAATCTGCCGGACAATAGCGAAATCAGTGGATCCTTTAAGAAGGGAGACCCAGGTTTTTTTTAACACTCTCTTACTTCCTGATCGATAGACATCCCAAACGCAGAGCGGCGCTCATGCTGGTCGGCGGCGCCAACAGGTCCGGATTCACTTGGTTCGGCAGGTAAAACCCCTTGACGAACGCTTCCTTTTCGAATTCCAGACGGTTCTGCAGTTGTTCCAGAGCCTTTGTTTCGCCGCCGTACCAACGGTTATGCGGATTAGACAAGCCAGCGGTTTCCGGACGTATGTTGAAGTACTCCGGAGTTAGATCTTTTAGTTCCTGTGGGTATATACAAAAAAAACTCCAATTATTATCAACGGAAAAACATTTAATCGTTGATATGTTATCTCTTATCGCGTATCTTTTATCACTTAACTTTTATCTCTTATCTCCACAAATGTCTGGTATAATAAACTATTAATTGCCAGCTAGCGATAAGAATTGAAGTCGACGTTCGCTATTTTACCTGTGATTCTGTGTTATCACATTAACTTGTAATTGTTATAAACATATATTCATCTGATAAGGTTTTAATTCTCTCCCACAAAGATGGCGGAAAACGGTAAATTAATTTATATCTATAATTGGTGGCATGTACACTTAGCAACACAGTGTTGCCAACTCCAGGGATTTATATCTATATTTAGAGAATTTGAATTTTGTCTAAGGATATTCTTAGTGATTTTCTAGAATTTTTTTTCCTAATTTCTTTATATATGATAAAATACAATGTTAGCTACGATTTTTTTTTATTTCTTATAACAAAAAGGTCATATATTATACCTACTAAATGAAACCGGCAGTTATCAATTATTAATCATCAGATCCTAATATGTACGGTATTTTTATCACTGGTGATTTCCATCGTGTGTGGTAAGTTCGTCCAAATGATAAAAAAAAATATTTAGGGATATTTTATTTTCTTATCTAGGGATTTTTCGCAAACTTTCTGGGGAATTCGACTTGGTCTAATAGTTAGCGACACTGCAGTTAGAAACCTAGTTTGTTATATATGTATACAGATATTATATCTGTGCTTATCTCGCTGCAAATCAGTTTTCGATTTAAGGTTAGTTTAAGATAGGTTAGGTTTTGCCTACGATTCTAAAATGTAAAAAAAAGAAAAGAAAATCTAGTTATTTTCTCCGCTCCACGGAAAAACGTTGAATCATGGTTATGTTATCTCTTATCATTTATCAGTTATCACTTATCTCTTATCACTTAACTTTTGTTTCTTATCTCCAACTGTAAGTTAAAGTTTAATGCAAAAATAGCGACATGAAATTTCTTGTATCCAGTTCATGGTTAACATAATATCCATATGTTAAAAAAAATATTACCAACCTTGTTGAATTCGTCCAGTATGTTCGCCGGGAGAGTCTGGAAATTTACCGACATCCAATCGACGTTGGGCACGGGTCTCGGGGGTTGACCGATTTTGTTTGCAATGATCTAACACCACACATAGAACACATTGGTCGATTGCGCTTTTAATCGAAGGCGTTTACTTACTTGGAAACTCTCATAAGTCAACGGCGGCACGCCTCCGTTTGTTTGGATTATCAGCTTCGGGTCCCATAACGTGTGCGAAACCTTCTCCACCCATTCCACATTGTTTTCCTCGCAAAACGCCTTGACCGATTGGTCTCGACTCTTCCAAATCGGTTCGCAGTCCTGATATATTATATTATACAACATTATGCGTATATATTACAGTAGTCTAATCGTTTTGTCCAATGTGTTCACCTGTTCGAATGTTATCAAGTCCAGACCGATCTCTTGTTGTATGCGCTTGAAAATTGCAACGGGATCACCTTGCAAAACGTACAAACGTCCACCACGCACCTTTAAGTTTTCGTCGAGATCCTTCAGGCTTTCCAACAGGAAACGCATACGGTTGTATCCGGTTAGCTCGGGATCTACAAATAAGGTGGAAACAAAATATACTTATTATAATCGTGACAATTTGATTGTTATCAGACGCGCCGCCATCAAAATATTGTAGTGTTGGAATTGGGGGGGGGGAGGGACTTGTTATCAATTTATTATAAACTTGTATGATAAACAATAATGATAACAACATAGTTTTGAGTAAAATCAATGACAGGTTTTGTAAAAAAATCCAAATTGTGTCGCTACCAATTATAATAAATTATACTTGTACTTTGTTTGACATCTTAAATATTTGAGATTATCCGCGGAATTGGTCGTTTAAAAAAAAAAACAAAACCAGTGTCGTCGGTGAGGTAAATAACTTTACCATCAAAATTATAAATAGCCAAGTGTAACGTCCAAGTACGGTCTAATGTAAGTATTTTTTTTTATGTTTGTTGTTATATTATAACGTTTTTTTTACCTTCGTTGATGATGTCGAATATGAAAACAACGATGAGCTTGCTGCTCCTTTTTGACGCTTCCAACAAAGACGGATTGTCGTGTAACCGCAACCCATGTCTATACCAGTGCACGCCGACCGTCATGTTTACAACGCTAATGGTACTCTGCAAGACATATTTTTATTGTTAATAATTTACACAAAATTGTGCTCCAGTTAAAACCATATTATAATAGTTGGAGTTTGATCTACTTTGATATGATCTCGGCCCCTAATTACTGAACTAATAATCGCATAGAACAGTTTAACGTTTAAATTAAGATTTTTCTAAAAAAAAAAAAAAATACCTAAATAACCTAACTTCTTAATAAATAGGGAGTCGGGCGTCGTCCCATTTAAGCAACAAGCTAATAAATGATAAAATCAGCAAAACGATTGGATAACAAAAAAAATATAGGATACAATTATTATACAAGTGAGAAATCAAAAATGGTAAACGCTCTAATTGTGTGTATACTTAAGTCGACTACTTTATGTGATCATAAAATTATATATGAATACATACAGGGTGATTCGTTAAGGTTGAGACATTCAATTCATATGACTTGAAATAATTGCTATATTAGACAATATTCAAACTTTTGAAACTTAAACGGTACCTAACATATCCAATTTGCTAAAAATGTCGAATGAAGCAGTTTTGAATAAACATTTTTAAAAGTTAATAAACTTTAAAAATAATTATTTGAAACTGGATGTCGACAAGTCAACCAGGGAACTCTGGAAAAAAAAACTGAAAATTTTGAATATTGTCTAATGTAATAAATTAACACCAAGCTAAAGCGTCTCTCAAACGTTGACATTTTTTAATTTCAATAAGATTGTACTAGAAAAGTTTTCATTTGTAATTATGTAAATATCACAACAAATATATTGCAATTGAAGGGCACAGTGGAAGAAGGGTAGTAGTCCATTTATGAAAATTGTTTTTTTCAATATATGCCATCAATTTTGTTTATTCGTGTTAATAGATTGTTTAAATAAATACATTTTTTAGAAGAACAGCACTTAATGTGATTACATACAAGGACTAATACCCTTCTTCCCCTGTGCCCTTCAATTATTGAGATTTAAAGAACAATATATTTTATAGAAAATTAAGAGAAAAATTCAATTTTCTATCTTTTGGGTTATCAAAAATAAAAAATCATATAACTGGACTTATATAACAATTGTGCGCTAAGTATAATATATTTACCTGGATTTATGTGGATCGATTCACGACCGGCCACAAGAACGCTGTTTGGACAGATGCGATTGCAAGGCCGGCGGTAACGGTCTTATATATTATAGCAAACGGGAGCGACCGGGGTAGACCGGGAGTGTTCCTGGAGAGGAGAGAACCGAACAAGGACACGCGGTGAACAATGTGTCACGTGTCCCGAGGGATGAGAGTGGGAGAGCCGTGGGATGATCACGTGTAACACACAGGACAACACTTGTAGTTATACAACACCCGGCAACAATGTATTTTTTAGAAGCAAAAAAAAAAAAATGTTACTCAAAACATACTTGTTCAATGGCCATGACAAAAACCATCATATTAAAAAGTTTAAGCCTAAATTTAAGTACTAATTTACCAATATAAAAGGTACTGTTGTGTCATTGATGAAGTCCGTATTTGTTTGGTGTTTAATATGTACATTAAAATTGTTGAAACTTGTCCAAAATAAAAATGCCAAAAATTTAAACCTGAAAATCATTAAAGCGTAATGTGCGGTTTTTCTACAACAATTTTCAACACACGAATCGGTTGAGGTAACATTTTCTTACATTAAAAAAAAAAAATTGTTTTTATTAGATTTCTATCAAATACATAATAAGAATATTATGTAGAAAATGTAACACACGCACACAAAAATTATGTAAATAAAGCAAGGCGTTTTTGTGAAACAAATGAATAAACTGAAAAAAAAACTATTATTTTCTCTTGTTTATTTTCATTAAAATTTTGGCCTGTACTTACAATTAATGCCCTAACAAAACAGGATTCTCTCCACCCCCACCACCCCTATCATCAAAGGTAGACTCCAATACGGATCGAGGGTGTACTTTGGTTTTGTTTGCAAAAGTTTACTTGTACTGTATTGGCTTTGGAGTAGTGTTTTTCCTTTTTAAGTAAAATATTGAAGAAAAAAAAAATAGTTTCTCTCGGTTCAAGATAGAAATAAATTATTATATAACTTTTGTATTTCCTTGTAACTTTGTTAAACTTTGTTTGTTTCAACTTATAAGATTAGACAATATTCAAATTTTTATCTTTTTTTAGAGCTCTATAGCAACTTTACTCAAACGACAAGGCCATACATATTTAATTAACTTTTTAGATTAAAAATACTTTGCTGAACAGTCTAAACTGGTCGACAACCAGTTTGATAAATTATTTTAAAATCGAATGACTTTAAAACTATTTATTATCGACCGTTCGACGTTTTTATTAGCAAATTATTCTTAATATTTAAAAATTCAATAACAGAATATAAGTTTCAAAAGTCGATAAAGCTCTGGAAAACACCAAAATAGTATAAAAAAAAATTGAATACTGTCTAATATTGTTTTATAGCGTAAACAGTTATGTTTTAAAAAGAAAAACTACAAAATTGCAATATTTTTAAGGAGATTTGAGTGTCTTAACCTTAACGAATCACCCTGTCTGTATGTAATTTGATGATCACATAAAATAGTCGATTAAACACACCATTAGAGCGGTTGCGGTTACTTATTTTTTTGATTTCTCACTTGTATAATGATATAATAGTTGCATCTTATATATATATATGTATTTTTTTATCCTATTAGTTTGCTGATTTTACCATTGTTAGCTTGCCCCTCGAGGGTGTTTTATTGGTGACATTTATCTTTTATTTTTTTCGGACAAAAATCCTAGATCACACGAAAATGAGCAGCTACGGTGTAGATACGTATATATTATTATTAGGTATTATTGTTTTGGTCTATTTACAATTGATTCGAAGCGACCCAGCCTTGAAATTAGTACTCATTAAATCTGTATTATGCGGTATTTGATTAATAATATACAAAAATAAACTAGAATTATCTGTACACAATAATATGGACGTTGTTCGAATAATTGTGAATTCACTGTGGAAAGACTAAAAAAAAAAAAAAAAAATGTCAATTCCATAACGGGGATCAATTAAATAGCCATAAAATCGCAATGCAATCAAACACAATATAATTATTATTCTTATTATTGTTTTTTTTTTTGTAATGAAGTTACAACGTTCAACAGTTGTGTTTACGTTTTGCGGCTATATCGTATATTTTTAAGAGACAATAAGACTATATTGTGTAGTCACTAAGCTGTTAAAAAAACTGTTTAAACGACTATTATTACAATATATTTTTGGCCTAAACGTTTTGAGAGATGATAACAAAATACAATGCGGGTGACACGTTAACGTTGTAGTTGTATTTTTATTGGCACACTAATAAGTATTACAATATTTTTTAATATATATATTTTATATATGTAAGTATTGCATGCAAATTTACATAATTAGCTAACTTGCGGTTTTGGTGATATTAGCAAACTAACAGCTGATTGATGAAAATTGAAAAATTCAAAGGCAAATATTTGTTTATAAAAATGTTTGTGAGGAAAAGCTGTTAATTATTAAAAAAAAAAAAAAAACAATCATACCTATTTTGTGTTTTCGGTAATGAATAAAAAATACAAATCAAATTATATAGTTCAATTTTTATACTTTAGCACTTGCAACACGTTTGACATATTCACTCTCTTCATTTATGGAATTCAAAACGTATGTTGTCATATTTCGATAAAACAAAGTCCATACTTTTTTCCAGTATTTCAAAATAAAGCAAGGATTTTTTTAAGTATTGAATGATATTGAAAAAAAAATGGACGAGTGTCTTTCATCAGACGGATTAGTCTGTATACATAATATGAATCGCTTATTAACGAAAGAAAATCAGTAAAAAAACACAAAGAGCTGTTTTGAACAAATCTAGAACAATGCAATAAACCCTTTTTTTCTTTTTGCATGTTTCTTATGGTGTTTTTTGCTTCTTTAGATTTTTAGGTATTTATTTTATGCCATTTTTTAGGTCGCTTAATCCCTTTCTTGAAAATAAAAGAAAAAACTTTGGTGGCAAAGAAATAGCTGTTAAAAGCGTCGAAACTTATTAAAAAATGTTTTATTTGCAAAATAATACATCCCTGAATGGTGAAATTAATAAAAAAAAAAACACATCTGTTAGGAACAGCTCTATTATTGACACATTTATTTATTACAATATAAACCTAATTATTAGACTAATATAATATTACACTAGATTTATTCTCAGAAAAATATGTGCGATTTATTTTAGTAAAACAATTTTATTTTTTAAGTCAAATAAATCAAACGATTGAACCATTGTAGTTGTTGAGAGTGTAAGGCGAAGACGAAGAAGAAATCAAACGACTGATGTCAGATGTGTGTTTATACAGGTAATCAATTGAACGTTATACACTCATTTTCACAATTTTATAGTTTTTTTTTTTTTTGAAAACATTTTTGTATATTATGTTTTTGTACAATATTATAATACGAGTAGCTACTAAATATATTTACCTTTTTTTTAGTATTTTGTCCAGAGCTCTATCGATTTTTGAATCTCAAATATATATTTAATTAAGAATAATTTGCTGGGTGATAACCAGTTTTTGAAAATTACTTTTAAAGTTGTCAGAGTTTAACATTTAGGACGGGCGGAGTCAAGTATATATTATATATACAAAAAATATATATATTTTTTTAAATAGTAGCGTTTATAAATAGTAAATGATATGATGGAATAATGAATAAGGCGTGAACAAAGACTTGAGAGGAAATCTCCCATTAGAGTTCCCTGTATATTATAATTATTTTGCACGCTATACTCAACCTGTAGTCCTAAGTTTTAAACTTGAATAATTTTCAAAAAACTGGTTGTCGACTAGTCCAAAACGTTCGGCAAATTATTTAAAAAATTATTTTAAATATATCAGATTACCGTTTGAGTTTTTCAAAAATCGATGGAGCTCTGGAAAATAGCAAAAAAAAAAAAAAACAAGAAAAAAATGTAAATAACATTTTATCATATTGCCTAATAACATAAAAACAAAGTTATTAGTTATTACTATACTTATTACTTTCTGAGAAAATGAACGTCTCACGTTGAATTGATCAACCGATGACTTTATTTAAACAAAATAATCTAATATCGAAATAAATTAATGAAATATTTTAGTATTATCATTACTCTCTCAATAAAAAAATTGGTATTTTTCACAAAAACTCAATTAAGTTTTGTTTAGTTTAGTTTTATTATTATTTTAGGTCGATTAAAAACATATTATAGTTGTCAGCGCCAATACACACACCATGAAAGACATTAATAGGATTTTCTTTTAAATGTTTTCTATTTACCGTTTGATAATTAATAGTGTACTACATAATATTATTACCTACTATTATACAAAATAATATTATTATTATTATGCACTTGAGGAGTGTGGGAATGGTGTAGTAACGACCGGGATCTCTGAGAGTTTCTTACAATTCATATTTTGTTATCTATAATAAGATTAAGATCCAACATACCTGTTGACATTTCGATGATAAGCAGCTCATCATCGGGCAACAAGGTCTCCGCCGTTAATTGTTGGCCTTTAGCGTCCATCCGAAGGCTGTACATATTGTTGTTTTCGGATTATAATATTGTTATTATTTTTTTTTTGTATAGTTTCACTGATTTTCTCCTTCACTGTTGTCAGTCCGACATGATAATAATAATAATTTAATATTTTCTACGCGTTTGTGTGTGTGTGTGTGTATGTGTGCAAGACGAACCGTACCGAACTAATGTGTTATTGATTTTTAATTGTGATTTATTTTAATTTTTTATTTTCCCGAATCAAAGTGCGAGGTCAATACTATTATTAATAACATTTATTATGAATGAAAATGCTGCTATGGCGGCGGTCCGGTTAGGCACGCGCGCGCGTTTCAAAGGCGGTTGATTTTTTATTTAAAATATATATTTTTTTACACATTTTTTTTTAAGCACTGCAACAAAAGCCCGGCAACGACCGAGTATAGGGTCTGCTAATAGTATACCATTATTATTTTCACGGCTTGTGTGTAGAACGATTCAACGAGACAACACACTCGGTCGGTGTCTGTCTGAGAACTACTACTAATAACAAACCTTTCTAGTCTAGTCGTTCGGCCTTGGCCACACACCGTCGACCGATGCTGTTTTGTAAAGGTGTTAATAATATAATATGCATATTAATATAGTATTATAACAATATAATATAAGTAGGTATGGGTAACGATTTTGCCATTGGGATATAGTTTAAACTGGATTGTTGTGCCCCCCGTCGACTGGTATAGTTACTGTAGAATTTTTTTTACTAAAAAAACTACTATAAAACAACGCGTTGCTTGTGTATAATATTAATTTAAATATATATATATATATCAAACTATGTTGTTTGGGGAATTAGTTATGAAGTAGGCATATAATTAGTTATTACGCATGATAGTACAGTACGGTCGCTTGGCAAATAACCAGGGTTTTTTTTTTAGTAATAATCGAGTAAAAAAAACAAAAAATTAAATTATAATGATTATAATAATAATGTTTGTATGGTTTGATATTAATAATAGCCGAAAGGTGATTAAATAATATGTTTTGTTTACTATTTGTAATAGTATTATATTGTGCACTGTGCGATTGGAGTAGGTACTTTAGATTTTTCAAAATAATTCAATTTTTTTTGTTTTGCATTTTCTTGAAGTATATTTATTTTATTTAAGAAATTTTCTAATGCGTTTAACCTAACCTAACCTGACCTAACCTTACATAACCTAACCTAACTGTAAGGTTTGCTATTGACACCACAATAGATGATTAAATAATATGTTTTATTTTCCATTTGAATAGTGTTATATTGTGCACTATGGAATTCAAGGTACTCAGATTTTCAAAATAATTCAATTTTTTTGCTTTGCATTTTCTTGAAGTATATTTATTTGAAAATGTATTTATTTTATTTAGGAAATTTTCTAATGCGTTTAACCTAACCTAACCTAATCTAACCTAACATAACCAAACCTAACCTAAACTCAGTGTTAAACTTTAAACTTGGGTTTTCTCAAAACTTGTTTTTGTAAGACAATAAACAAGCGCTTTTTCTGCATAAAGTACTTACATAAATTTTCGGAGGCCGCCATTGTATTTAATTTGATAAGAAAAAGCATCGATTAAGCACAGTGGTTTATTTTAAAAGTTATAATGTTAAAGTGGACTGTTCAACGTTCGAGCATTTATAATTTGGTCCAGACTTTTCTATATTGGAAATGTATGTAATACTTAAACTTGCAATATAGTGTAAAAACTTGGTATTTCATTTTTCAAACAATGTAAATCATTATACAACAGTTTAAATGTGGCCAAAATGATAACCAAAACGTTTGAGAAACGCACAAAGTGCCAGGTTTTTTTTTTATAAAATTAAAATTCTAGTTTTTATACACATCAAAAATCGTATGGAGATGTATTTTTTTTTAAGCAAGATCTTTTTTGGATGTATTAAGATTTTATGTGCTGTATATATTATTGAAATTCTATTTTTTTAAACAAAATACTTGATGGGCAAATAAAACTCGTTTACGCGTAGGACGGTCATAATATTTTTAACTATTTTATTATATCTTAAATGAAGTGTTATTATGACAACTTGTTTTTTTTTTTATTTATTTCTAACCGGATCTCTTTCCCATAATTGTTTTTTAATCGACAAACTGGGGTTTAATGATTTTCGAATTTGGAAAATTAAAACAAATAAAAATATTGCAATTTAAAAATATCCATCCAATTTTTTACAGTTTTTCTTTGAGGAAATTTATATATGTTTTTGTAAAATATTATAAAAAATAACCAAATATTTACCTTGTTATTTTGAAAAAAAAAATGTTTAAATTAAATAAAAACAAAACAGCAAATTTGTGTTGATTTGAGTTCAATATTTTATGGACAATATTTTTCTTATACAGGATGATCAATTTGTTATTACTTTCTGGCAAGGTTGATCACCCTGTATAATCTGTACTAGAAATTTTTTTTTTTTTAAATTACTTACAAAGCAAAATACTAAAACCGAATTATTTGTTAAATTCTCGTCGATTTCGATTCGTTCAGATGTACTTAAACTTTCTTTTGACATTTCTTTTTTTTTTTTGAATTTGTCTATTCATAACACACATCTGTATAAGATTAATAATCGATAAAAAAACTCACCATTTTTTTTTTCAACCGACATTGTAGTCTTTTAGACGGCTTTAAATGTATGATTAAAAATTATATTTTTTCTGACTAGAGTGATAGTTTGAAAGGTACTATTAGAGTTTTAGAACGTCCGAGTCTACAATTTTAAGACATTAAACTTTTATAAACTTATAGATAATATATATATTTTTTTTATTTACATACATAAAAGCAAAACAAAATGTAAAACATTAATGGTATTGCGATTACCACAGATGACCTTAAAAAAAAATAAAATAAAAAATGTTAATTATTGAAAACATTTTGTATGATATATTTTCTTCGATTTTGGAAAAAAAAAATTATATTCGAGATTAATATTTTGCCTCTGTTTATTTATATATAAATGTATATTATATTATCCGACCTTAAAAAAAGAGTAAATAAAAAAAATTGAGTTTTACAAAACAAGTAGTGAAGAGAGTTTTGTTCGAAAATCTATTTCGAATTTGTAAATATCATTGTGTATTATTCACTTGAACTTGTACATAATATTATATCAAACTCAAACATTCAAAAACTGCTTCGCAGGGACATTTTTCAAATCGATTAAGATGGTTGTATGCGGTTTGCATTTAAGGAGTTGTGTACAAGCAATATTTAAGAAAGAAAAAAAAAGGTTTTACTAAATTTCGACTATGTCAATTATATTACCGGTTAATTTGTAAATAAGCTTCGAGGTATTGTATTTAGTTTAATTAACTGAATTTCTAAGTATTATTATTATAAGTAATATTTTACTCATTTTTTCCAGTAAACGCCATTTTAGTTTATTTAAGACCAAAAAACGTTAGCATTGGAAATTGCTCATTTTTGCTGTGTATACCTTTTTATGCTAAAAGTATTATCATTCAAAAATAGATTGCACACACAAAAGCTAATCACACTAATGAAACGAATGAAAATGATAAATTAATAAATGTATAATAATATATTTATACCTATATTACAATTGAGAAAAGCTCAAATCAATGTTTCATGGCAAGGTAATATTATTTTTTTTATTCATTGACTACTTATTAAGGATTTAGAAATAATTTTGTTTCCCCTTTACATCCACACATTGAACTAATTATTTTTCCAACTTGAATATTTAAATTAACTTATTTAAATTATTGCCGTCACAAAAAAAAAACAAATAAACACAATTATTACTCTATTTAATTACTGCTGTGTGTGTTTATACATACTAAACATGACTCTATGGTTATAATATGCGGTTAACGAGATCTATAAAAATGCAAATGAAATAGCAATTAAATAGTAATATTTTTTAACAACCTATTACAAAAATACTGTGTCCCGTAGATTATAGGTAGTGTCGATCACGATAAATTTTACAGCTTTTTAACAACTTTAGTTAGATAAAGTATGTTTTTACTGGCGATAATCGAATTTATACCACGTGCAATGCAATAGTGAAGTGTACAGAAAGACTGTAACCAGTGTGACCACACAAAAGGGACAAAAAAGGCCTCGTTGTTAAGCGGTTGGTATTCAATCGGCCGATTTTACCAACATTTGTTAATTAAATTTAACAATTAGTAAATATTTTTTAGCCTTAGCACGTTAAGTTAATAACGACCGTTAAGTTAATTAGCCGAAATAAGCTTGTTAACAAATTAATTGGCATGCTAAAGTGCCATTGATCAAATTATACATCACTAATTGCAATTTAAATATAAAACTATTATATTATCACTTATCAGTTTTCAAATTTCGTGATAACCAATGAGAACGTTTAAAACAAGGTAACCGCTTTGGTAACCCAACTAACATTTTATTAATTTAAAACTAGAATTTAATTAAAATAATGGTATGATGAAACTTACTTAATTTAACCAGATGTTAAATTTAAATTAATTGTTAACTAACATTTTGTTAAGAGTGTATTAATAATAGTTGGTGAAACCGGCTGAATATATGATAAATTAAGTTGTTACACCTTATCTTAAAATATTATTGTTATTTTTTTCAAGTTACTGTTATCATTGATAACAGGGTACTAGTGAAGGTATCAGGTTTTTGCAATATCATATTTATTTATAATTATCAATAAAAGCTAATTTATCTATCTGTTGTGAATATTGTAATTTATAAAAAACACATTTAGTTAAAAAATTATTAATGCTTGAGTGGGCTATTGTATATTTACAGATTTAGTTTTTACCAACTGTAAACACACTGACTTGGGCATTGAGTTGTTATTCGATAATCACTTGGATTAGTTTTGGATAATCACTTGTAAAATTATTCAAGTTTGATAACGCTCTGAAAAATACTATAAAGGTAAAAATGTATTAATTTTATAATATTGTAAAATAACTTAAACGAAAAAATGTTTTCCAAAATGGTTAACTATAGAATTTCGATTATTTTTAAGAAAAAACCAGTTGGTTGTTCTCAATGGATCATCATGTATTACAACTATTAAAGCTAGTTGTACTTTTCCTATATTAAACTTAACGGCTAAAAATAAGTTTTAATTTATAATAATACTACTACGAATGTAAGGAAACGAGTTAGGTCTATTTTAAACAGTAATATTATATTATGAGAAATAAAATGTAACGTGCTAATACATATCAGTCAATATATATATATATATATTTTAAAGTTTAGCACCTTTGAAAATAATGAACTCAACTAAATCAAATACATTATGCTTTTTACCTGATAATTCAATACCTGAGAAAATCAGAAAAGTCATACTTAGCCTTAACTAACCTAACCTTACGTTAGATTTATCTTTTGATTATGACAAGTAGTGAGGTCTGTTGGCTCAAAAACTTCCATAGATTTTATGTAAATCTGACAAGTCTAAACACAGTGGTACAAGCTGTACATTTGAAATGCAGCTAGCAGAGCGTGTGGTATTCATTTAATTTGTTAAATATTGACTATTGTTAAACATTTTAGCTTAACCAGTACTGTAGAAGCTCTACAGATAATGTAAATATGCTGAAAATTCAATAAAACCGTCGTCTTGTTTTATGATAGTCAAGTGCGGATATAAATTTATCACCTGCAAAATGTTTGACTTGAGATGTTAATATGATGTAATTTGACTATGTCTGTCCTCGTGTAATATTCGAAACACTCGAACCCCTTTGAATCTATTGTTGTTGTGTACAAAACAAACATTATTTTAAGAGTTTAAATGGTCACAACTTTCTCCGCAATATCCGAGCAAGGAATATGTTATATAGATAAAAACAATTATTACTGCAAATTTCTAATAAATTATGAACAGTAGCAGATTTCAGGAAAATGGTACCGTTAATAACTATTTCGGTTGAATTGTCGTTTTAACTGTGTAAACATACTTGTTTTTTAATAAAATTATACACCAAAATTATAATATAAAATATAACAATAATAATAGCGAAAAGACAATATTGTCCATTGACTAATTTTTTTATTGTCTTTTACATTATGATTGTCTTCTAGATAAATATTCAATGGGGTTTTTCCTGGTCTTGAAAGGCAAATTAGAATAGCTGAACTATTTCAACTTGATAGTATAAATTTATGCCATGAGATTTGTTTTGCGTTGAGTTACACACTCTCCACCATTTTTTTTTTAAGAAGTATGAAATATTTACTATAAGATAACGGTGTATGATTGTTAGAACTACTTCATTGGAGTGATAATGGTTTATTCGATTGTTTTATTATGCAAATAGCAAGTAAAAAAAAAGAGAGAAAGAATTAAACAATTGTATTAAAAATCCGTCACTTTTAAATGCATAGTAATAATGGAAAACCCAAAGGAATTAATGAAATATACGTTTAGAATATTATTATTATAATACACGGACACGACAAATGTTACATAAATACATTAAAAAAAAAACAACAACAAAAAAATATATATATATATATAACTAACGAATGTATACATACAACAATATACATATTATATTATTATATAAAAAAAAAAATGTTAAATTTAAAACCTTAGATATAACTAAAACAATACTGATGGGTCGCGTTCGCTATCCTCCGAGATAAAAAATAAATTAATAAATAAAAATAATTTATAAGTTTAATACAAAAAGTAGTATCACTTATAATAATAATAGGTAACAATAATTAAAAAAACGATTTTGTACACCGTACACACAATATACGTTATGCAACCAAACGTTGACGATTTACAAAATTAAAATATTCTCTAAATAAAGTTAACGATCTCATATGTAAGTGAAATTAAAAAAAAACTACTTACATTAGACGACTTAAATACCTAAGGACGTTTCCGGAGGAAGTATCACGCTTTTTGTTCGCATATATTTTTCACGTTCAGCTCGTTCAGTCTGATCGTCGTCGAATGATCCGAATCGTTGAGATTAGTCGGGATCGAACCTGAAAACATATGGAATGTAATAAAAATGAAAAACTTGAACCCTAAGCGATAATATCAACTCATTTTTGGACTAGGGCAAAAAAATATAATTTACACTTCAAGCAGATTATCAATTGTAACTTTATCACACGAAGTACCACTGATAATACCTTATCAGTACCCATAGTTTGATAAGGTTTGTTTTCATTCAAAGTGGTCACACTGTCGCCCGTCATTTTGGTTACCTCGTCACCGAGTATAGGACGTTATGTGTATATTTTGACGTTACAGTTGTATTTTTAGTTTTAGCTATCAATTTTCACTTTCAAGAGATGGTACACTTACCCGTGTTGGTTTTGGTCACCGTTGTGTCTTGAGCGGTTATCATGCAAACGATTTTCGTGCCCAGAGTGGATTCCAGCACTTGCGCCACCGCCGGTTTGGCGTTGACCAGTTCCAGGAGACATTGCTGAGATTTCAGTTCGTTGATCAAAGATTTCATTCCCTTCGAAACGGACAAACAAGCACCACACACGATTAGTAAGTAGAGAGATACAACGAGGATTTGTTTTCACCGAGGCTGTGGTAAGAAACTATATAACTACTTACTTGCGCCGCGGTGTAGTCGGTCTTGTCAAAGTATACACAATCCACGAGGACGATTTTGGGCCTTTCGCCATAGTTGACCGACGACAGCTCGGCTATTATTGTCTGTCGCATGTAGTCCACGGCCGGAAACAAAAGTCCGCTGCTGGGTCTGATGATCCAACGACCGTGTCCCGACGAATTCTAAACCGGCCAAACACGGAATAATAGAATTAAATTGGTAAAAATTAGGTAAAAAATTGAATAGGTAATAGTTCGGTATAATATAGCAATAGAGATTTTATCACAGATTAAATAAAACCAGATAGTACCGCAGTATAAAAAAATCGAAAAATGTAAACAAACTTTAATAATCTCGGGTCAGTGTGACCAAAAAATGGAGGGAAAATAATCCTTTTGTATTACAGTGTGGCCAAAGAAAGTTTATCAAACATCTGTAATATTATCAGTTTTGTTGTGTAATGTTACCATCAGGCATGATTTATCAACACACACACTCACACATATATATATATATATATTATCAACTCGACTTATAATTAATGTTATAAGCAAAATTTCATGTGATAAGGTTCTAAAGATGGCGGTAAATGGTAACTTAAATTATCTCTATTGGTATATATTTGTGTTTATCAACTACTTGTTATCTGTAGTTCTTATCAGTTTACATTATTATTGTAAATAGTGTGTACAATATTTTCAGCACTATAATTTGGCCCTACTGAATTAGGTTTAAACCAATTAAAAATCGTTATTTGAAAATATATTGATTTACTATGGAGTGCAGTGTGCACTATCAGGTTTTATTTAATCTGTGCTTTTATTATGTTCGGTGCACAGCTGAGAAGGTATTGATTTAAATTGTATGTATGGACACAAGATACATTTAAAACGGCTATTTACTTCTTCATAATATGCTGCAAGTCTACATAGTTCAGAAATTGTATCTAAAAAATACTTTCATGGGCAAAAAATTAAAAATATTACCTCCTTCCCTTTCAAAATCGAGAAAACGCCCAAAAAATGTACATATTTTTCAATTTAAAATTACGGTGTATAACCAAACCCTTTCCCCCAGTAGGGGTAGATACCTTTATTTTTTTTATTTTTTAATAGTAGTTTTAGGACTTAAAGTATGTTAATTGAACTGGTGATAGATCTAGAGCGGGGCTATAACTTAAACAATTTATTGTGAGAAAATAATAATGTAATACAAGTATTAAAATGATCACCCTGTATATCTGACGACAAAAAAAAATTAAATAGCAACAGGCGACAATATTAAATTGTAAAAGATGTATTTTAGATGTTTTTTCGGTTTTCCATTAATAAACGATTATATGTTGACTCTAATTTTCGAGCAAATTGTATAGGTATGTCTTATAGCCTCATTCTAGATCTGACTTGAAACTACACCCAGAAAAAAAAGTGAAATAAAGAAAAAGTTCCAGGATGACACAAAAAAAAAACACACCGTTATACCTTGTCAGCTTCGCATCATAATAATCACAAAACTTTATTATTATTTTTTTTTTTTGGTAAAACAAAACGTAATAAAAAACTCATTTCCTTTTTCATATTACTTATTCAATTCAGTTATGTAATCCTAACCACTTTGTGCATGTCATAACATACACAAAGGCCATTGTTTTCAATAATAACAATTATAATATGAATATTATGAATTATAGTAAAATGCAAAGAAAACTTCACTTCAACCGCACTTTAATGTTGCGTAATAAAATTCGCTTTTCATTCGTTACTTAACAATCAGACTAGTGTAGTCATAGGTACATGCGTTTATACAGTAATATACTTACGGTTTGTTTTTCAATGGAAATGGACGGTCTTGCGTTGCGATAGAGCAAGCTCAAAAGATCAAAACAAATTCCAATCAGCAGTCCCATTTCCACGTCGAAGACAAGGCAAGCGACAAACGCGGTAGCAAATGAGAATAAGTCACGTCCTGTTGACGAGGGCACAATTTATATTATGAGTTTTAATATACATTTCATTTCATTTTTTTTTTAATAACAACCGTTTACCACACTACACGATTGCTCTTGTAATTATTTACATAATTAGTGACATATTAACACGTTTTTTTTTTTGTAGTAATGGCTGTCTATTAAAAAGTTGTCGAACCGTTGTAAAGACTACCAGAAATATACATAAGTAAGTTCCTTGTGTCGACGAGAGTATTATATCCGAATGGAAAGAAGTTTTACCGCGTTCAAGGTAAACGAGCAATTGGAAGTGTACAAATAATAAAAATACATTTGTCATAATTACAATATAAAATAGGTATATAAGTTGGATGTGTTCCAGACAAACGAGGAAACGATAAAAATCATTTAGCCATTAACGCAATACGATTATTTACTTTTCTAATCATCATACCTATTAAAAATATAATGTTTTTCCGGTTAAGACTATTAGTGTTTAATTTAAGACATCCGACACGATACTGTTGTTAGTTAAAGTCGTATGAGCTATCTACATTAAATGTTTTTATTATGTATATTGTATATTGTATATAATATATATATATATATATTATACTCACTGTTTGTGTGCCACATAGACTTCATCATATCGATTCTGAACATGGACGAAATGGCGCAAATGAGAACAGCCGACAAACTGGACTTAGGTATGTAATAGAGAGCCGGCGTCAAGTAAGTCAACGAGAACATGGCCAAAACACCTAGAAATTAATACCGAGTAAAGTTAAATCTGAAGACAATTTAACTGGAAGTTTACTTAAGTATAGCCACTAAAGTACAAAGTCAAGGGATTTCAGGTAATATTGACTAATATCACAGATTAAATAAAACCGGATAGTGCACTCGGTAGTAAAAAAATAGATTTTCAAAAAAAAATTTTTGATTGGTTTAAACCTAATGCAGTAGGGCCAAATTATAGTACCGAAAATATTCAACACACTATTTACAATAATAACGTTAACTGATAAGAATTACTGTTAAGTGATAACAAGTAGTTGATAAACAATGGTCGATGGCATAGAAACTTTGCAGCCACATATACAGTATGGCCAGTGTTTATATTGTGTTGTCAATATTTCATTGTGATAAAAATAATATTAATACTCCTTATAGTAATATACCTTGTATACTAATTAAACCTTATGGCTCATTATCACAATGAAATATTGGTAGCATAATGTAAACATTGACCACACTACATAATATGGCCGCCAAGCTTCGTTTGTGAGAATACGTCTAAATGCATTGTCGGCTATCTAGTAATATATAAATATCTATGGTCGACGGTGATAACATTACAGATGTTTGATAAAATTTCTTTGGCCACACTGTATAATGGGAGAATTATTTTTTCCCCATATTTTGGTCACACTGATCTGCGATTATTAAAGTTTGTGTACATTTTTCGATCCATCTTTTTAGAGTGCACTATCTGGTTTTATATTTTAATAATCTGTGCTGATATTAAAACGGTACTCACTGGTAAATATCGAACTGAACGGCGTCCGGACACCGGTGGTGTTATTTAGAGCCGACCTGGACATACTTCCGGCCACAGGCATGGCACCGGCAAACGAGCCGAATATATTGCAGAATCCCAACGCTATCATTTCTTGAGATGCGTTGACGATGTTGCCTCCGCCTGAAATCGCACGGAAACACTGCCGTTAGTAGATTTTAGAGGACCGGATTTTTGAACCGCAGGGTGTAGGGGGTGTAGGAAGTGGTTGGGGGTGGGGTGGAGGTATGTAAAAGCCAAAAGGCTTTCGGTAAACGCCGAACAAACCGCACTCACTGAAAGCTTTGGCGACCGAAATCGTGCTCAAGATGGATACCAGAGGAACGACAATGACGCCGGGCCAGAGCTTTGTCAGAGCTTCGACGAACGTGAACTTTTCGTCTTCGTCTTCGTAGTCCAGAAACGGAAACCGGAAACGCGGTATACCGTTGACGATGGTACCTGAAACGAATGAGCTCTGTATTTAGTTATTCGACATGCGATTCAAAACCAAAGGTGTCGAATGTCACAGAATAAACAGAAAGGAATCTTAGAGTTTATCAGACATAATTGAGATTTAGTCAGTGATGCCAGAACTTAGATAATATTTCCCGTTTTTTTCTGCGATTCGAGGCTACACTGTTCATTTATTAAATGTCGCACACCGATAACAAATATGTCGTCGCCGTTTTCTCCGCCATTTTGTCGAGTGAACAGTTTAGCCGGAATGAACGAAAAAACGAGAATTTCCCTACACCTACCCATAAAGAGCCAATGTGAAAATTGTACAGTTTCTATTCGGTTTATTCTGTTCGGTAATATTTTTATTATCTACCATTATATTTGGTCTTACCGGTCAACGCCAATGGCGAACGGCCGTCTTCGATCAAGAAGTAAGCTATCGTGGCCGACACGAGCACCACCATCACGTTGCTGCCGGTGGTCAGGGTGAACAGAATTCCGGAGTATACTTTGGCTTTGACTCCTTTGGAATCGACTTTGACCGATTTCAGGAACTGCAAACAAAATCGAAAAAATTCAATACACATAATATAGTTGGAAAGACTCGGGATTTGATGGGCGACGTAGTAAATTCTCAAAACTAATCCATTTCAATCACCTTCAAACAAACGAGTACGACGATACATATGACACCCATCGCCGTGTCGGCCAGTTTGATTTCTTCGATTTTCTCCAACAGTTTTATCCACATATCAATGCAGTTTTTCGCTCCGTAAGACACACCGAACAGGCCTTTGAGCTGAGACGAAGCCATTATGATGGCCGCCGCCGACGTGAATCCACCGGTGACCGGAAGCGATACGAACTCGACGACAAATCCTGTAGAAATTAAATAATAACAATTTCTGAAAGTCTGAAAAGGTAGAAAGCCGTTTATTTTCGCTGTACCCAAATGAAAGAGTCCGCACATGAGTTCGACCAAACCGGACACGAAGCACAAGATGACCGCGGTCGTGGGCAAGGCTGGATTGACGTAATTGAACGTGAGCAGAGCGACAATCGAAGTGGGTCCGATGGTGATTTGCCGGACCGATCCGAATATTATGTACATGACTCCGCCAAAACAAGCGGAATACAATCCAAACTGATAAAAAAAACCAATTTTCACTATCTATAATGCGATTCCAACGGGACAAATCCACCAGGATCAACCGCAGACTACATGAAAGCATATAGCTCAGTCGGCCGAAAACAGCTGCTGCATGAATTGGCATAAATTATTGTTCAAATTTAAATGATAACTGAATGTAGATAATAATTTCTTTTCTGTGATAATCTGTGATAATCTTATGAAATTTCACACTTGAATCTGCGGTCACACTGATTTCATTTCTTTCGCTACAGTTGCAGCCACGCGATGCAAATCATACGGCTTATCAGTTATAATGATATCACACAGAATTTACCTATTGATCATTATAGTTTGATCAAGATTATGTTGTGCCGGTTTTAAGAACCTATGAAAATATGTATATTTATTTTTATTCAAAGTGGTTACACTTTGTTACTGTCAGGATTTTTTTGTATTTCTCGAATCAGGGACAAAGGAGCCGAATCTTAGGATTCCAGATGGACAATGTCCGTCATTCGCATTGGTTACGACCGATTTGCTTAGGTATAATTAACTCAATCTACAAAGAACTGCTACTCCAAGATGGTCGCTGGAGACGCTTGTATCGCCTTATTTTTCTTTTTAAATTATATTATTACACTTTCTTATAAACTCGGGGGCGGGGGAATGTGCTCGGGGTTCAAATTGTCAACGTTGCACTCACCTGAGGGTCTAGGCCGGCCAAAGACGCGTAAGCTATGGCTTGGGGCATTAACGTCAGTGCCACTGTGATGCCGGCCGTGGCGTCGCATACCAAGTCCGAAGTTTTGTAATTCGGCATCCAAGTCAGTATGGGCAAGTATGTGGCTAACCACCCGCCGGTGGTGTTGCCGCAAGTCTTTTTGTGCGCCATGTTATCGCCGTAGTCCTGCTAGCACAGCGGTAATTATGAATTCATGTATGATATCTGCAAACGAAACATGTGATAATTGAAAACCGAAAAAATATATCCATTACAGTGGAGCCGAGTGGTAGTGGAGGTAGGTAGCATATAGGGGTAGGTCACAGGTCTACAGGAATAATTATTATTACTGAGGTGCTCAGATGCCAAACCGATTTACTCCACTTTTTTTCAAATTGCGAATAACAGCGTGGTTGGATTAAAAAAGTGTATAATTTTCAGTGGCCAAGATAAATAACTCCGTAGTTGAGTTTTTCACCACTAGAGTGCGCTAAGAAAATTGGCAATTGTACTTACACACATTGTTCAATCAAATAACTTTAACGGCGTGTCCTGAAAAATGTGTAATTTTCCCCTTTTTTTGGGGGGGAATTTTAATAAATTATAATAATTTTTGAACCCAGAAAAGAACACACAAAAAAAAAAGGCAATACAGAAAAATTTTCACCTCTTCTGGAAGAAAGCATTTTTATGCTTTGTCAATGCACTTTTAAGATTTGAGTGATGTAAATAATAAAAACATATTAAAAAATAAAAATACCTTCTCAGCTACACGTCGGAGCTAACCACACGAACACATAATGAAACCAATAGAGTAAAACTACTGAATAGAAATGAATATACAATAATATACAATATACCGAACGACTTGTGCATAAGTAATGTAAAGTAATACAACTTAATTATAAAAAAAATCACCACACACACAAATCTTCGAGAAATAATTAAAAACCATACGTGTTTTTGAATAAATGTGTTTCCAACAACATTAATATATTATTATATTTTGTGACGAACGTCTTACGAATTAAGCCAGTTGTACACAAGAACTGTGTACATACACTTTGAGAAGTCACACATTCTTGTAAAACTCGAGTGTGTGTGTTAAAAGCATGCAAATTATTAAGCTATTACATATTATACTATTCTATTATAGACCGTTCAAATGAGCCCATGTTGTTTACCGGGCAATTATATTAGGTGTTCCAAATTCAAGAATTAGTCAAACGCATATTTCAGTTATTATTTTAAAACTATATACATTGTGTGTCACAACTGCCAATTATTAAACCGAACAGATTAAAATAATTAAACCTTCTTCCTAAAAATAACTACTGTGTATACATTATTTTATAATCTTAATTGTATTCGATTGGGGAAAAAAGTACTACAGTTAACTTATTATGAGGGCACTGTGTACAGTAGTACTTAAACGAGCGGGTTCTTTAACCCCTTCTGTCCTCTTGTCTACTTTAAGAGACATGCCTTGTTTGCAGAATTGCAATGTCTTGCAGAAAATATTCTTATGGATACCTCTTATTGTCTACTGAGTTTTAAAAATTTCAATTTTAGATTGTTCTAAAAGGCGCAAATATGTGCAACCTAATTTGAAAATAATCGGTTTCAAGTGTCTCAAACGAACAGAAATATTATGTTTAGGACTGAAAGAGATATATATTCATGAATATCCCATACTGAAGTTTGTCGTCGACACAGGGGCGGATTTAGGAACGATAAAGGGGGAGGGGATAAGCAATAGTGATAAAGTCAAGGTTTAAATGGTAAAAAATAAAAACAATATTTTAATACAATATTTGAGGGAAAAAATACAATTTGAATGCATACAATTTACAGTTGTCGAGTAAGGGAGGGGCTTAAGCTAGCTTTAGAGCTCTCCCCTTGTATCCCCCACTGGTTTGCCACTGTACACTTACATGTTATGGATTATCATAAAAGTAATATTACAAAGTGGATTACATTTTTTTAGTTTTAAATTTAATTTGTGACTATTCTGATCTAATATTTGGCCACCACATTTGGCACAGAAAAATTTGACTTTAAACAGAAATCTAAAATTTACCACGCTTAAGCTGCATAAAATATCTTCGTTAACGTTAACCTATTTATTTTTGTTTCAATATCAGCTATATCCAATACTATAGAATATAATTATTAACTAGGTGGTATCGCAGACTTAAAATTTCAACTTACATATTTTTTAATAATTATTTTAATTGCGTACAATATCCAATTAAAATAATCGGACAGCGTTGTGCATCTTAAAAAATATCATAATATTGTATTCTGATTCGATTTACCCGCATGTTAGAAAAACTAAGATGTTTTCTCGACAAGTGGACACTCGTGAGAGGAATTCAGTGTTCATACCGATTGGGTTGAATTCTTGACTTCAATATTTATAATATTATATACAACACGATGTATAGCGGTAAAATGACAAATTATAACAAGAAAATAAAAACTTATCCAAACATAGTGTACACTTTGGAGGGTTTCACTTTTAGCGGTTAATCCTCCCAATTTCTTATAATATATTATGTTAAACGCAAGCCGAAACTATACACACTTTGGTTAGAACAGAAATTTAGCAGCCAGAATTTATGTACATTTTTTTTCAACAAAACAATACTAATATATCGCACACGTGTTTCAATAGTGACACCGCCTAGTCAAAAAGTAAACAAAATTTTCAAAAAAAAAAATTTGATTTTTATTATAACTTGCCCGGCAATTATTGCCACGGTGATGGCTCAAAAGACACATGTGAGAATTGTAATCAACCTAAGATTTAAAAAAAAACACAAATCCTCAGATAAAATAGATATTATAACGAAACGAACTTGACCGCCTCCCCCTTGTTTTTTTTTTTTTTTTTTACAAATAAATTAAAACAATCAATGATTGACAAAACATTTTACACTGTACATATTATCCAATTTGTCAGCTGATTTTCAACTATAAATACTCGAGATACAAAGTATAAATGCATACAATACTATTGCGCATAATATAAACACTTTGGGTAAGATAACAAAATACCTAAATATTTTCTTTAATTACATCAGCAGCTAGAGACTTTATTAGCACTTAACACCTAATAGCTAAAAAAATCGTTTGATGATAATAGATTAGCAGGTATTTATTATAACCGAACGTTGAACTCATTTTTTGAACTATTGGCTTACAAGATTATCAGTTTTATCTGTTTACTATTTTTCAATCGTCAATCGAGCAAAAATCAATCTATACAGTTTTTACAACACAAAATGCAAGTGGCAAAGGTAAACCGCCAAAGCAGATAGGTACAAAGGTACATATCCGTTTTTGTTATTCAATTTGTAACAAAGGTTTAAGGCTAAATCTGTAAGACATCTAAGAACATATTATGAAGTCAGGTTTGGCCATTGACTGGGAAAAAGTACTATTGCAACTGAAAAAAAATGTTGTTACCTCGCCCAGATATGATTAATTTGTCTAGAAATATTAAACAAAGTGGTACACAATTTAATTAGCATTTTTTTTTTTTTTTAGATAATAATTTCCAACTCATTCCGATCGGTAAGTATACACACTTGTCACTGTTGGTTGATAGCAATGCAAACAACACAAATGTAAGATTATAATTTGCAAGGTTAATATTACTATAAAAAAAAAAAAAAAACAAAGGCCGTGGAGTTTGTACTCTGGATTATTTTACATCTTTACCACCACGGCCGCGCTTACAAGATATGACTTTTAATTTCAAATCCAAAACGCACTTTTGTCTTTTTACTATTTCGATTATTAATTAACGTCCACTTAAAAAATTACCAATACAATAATAATAAAACAATACATTTTTTTTTTCGTTTTCCATAATAGAACAATTACAGAAGCATTTTTATAATATTAGACTATGTGTCAAGGTAAAAAGTACAAATAACTAGAGAAGAAAAAAAAAACAAATGTTCCATTGTCAAAATAGATTTATTTTTTCTTAATGATAATCTAATTGTTTTTCTTTTGTTTTTTTTTAGCTATACTATGTATACCAAGTCCTAGGTTATGGCTGCAATGCAATTTGTTGTTATTGTCGTGAACTTTGTACTTTCGATACGAATTACAATAATAATAATATAATCAATGGTTTTTTTTTTTTTGAATGGCGACCGTGAATGGAGTTTTCTATTTTATGGAAAAACAATAATATGTAATCCAAGGTCGAGACACGTACCGTCGAAAATTGCTCATCATCAAACATCAGCAGCTATTGGCAGCCAAAAATTATGGTATTAATGTTTGTCTTATTATTTTTTTTTTTTTTCAAAGAACTTTAGTATTATATAATAGAAGGCTTTGGGTTACGCAATACGGAACACTCAACAGTACATCTAAAAGATTTTTTAAAAAGCAAGTGGTGCAGAGACATATTTGTTTAAAAAACAAATTTATAAGATCAGTGGGCCGCCATTCTGTTTTCAAGCCAACCGAGCTAATGTTCACACACTGAATTTTATTTATCAAACAAATAACAATAATCGAGTCCACTCCGGTCTGAGTCTTGAGTGCCTACTACTACTACTACTTAAAGACCACTATAAGTCATCACTACCGCTTAATAATAATATGTCGAAGATTATACAGCACATTTTTCAAACTCCTTGACACACACGCCGATACAAACACAACAATGCAAACACGAATACGGTTTTTTGCATATTATTCTAAATTAAACGAGTTTATCTTAATAAAAACAATATCTCCGAGTTCTAAATCAGTCAGTCAGTCTTGAGACGGTGTCAACGACCTTGCTCGGGTGTGCTCGATAATAACATACAGCTATACTCCCTATGTATGATTTTTGTAAATCATCATTCTGCTCTTGACTGAATAAAACAAGAGTCAAAATAGTCAAAATAGGTAGAAGTATAGGTGCAAGAAAAAAGATTTTGTTTTTTTTTCCTATATGTAAATAATGCAATGTCGCTTTCAAGGATGATCATCATCGCACAGCACAACAGGTGCACATATACACTTTGTTATTAATTACCACCGTGTGATGATTTAAATTTTTTCACGTTTATCATCTGCACCGAGTCGTACTGAGTTATTATGACTGTATATATATACGCTATGACTTATGTATAACATAAATTCTGCACATAGTGCAATAATAATTCTGCACTGTGAAATGATTAAAGTCAATTACACTCGGTGAGTGAGTAACCGAGTTCAACTGGTTAACAATATGCCTATTAAGTAATATTTTAAGGTATATAATATTGTTGTATGTGTGCTAGCTATAGCATCAATATAGCGGTCATACTTTTGACTGTCTTCTTTTGAAATAAACGAGTCGACCGGTCAAACGCGATACAAAATGCAAACATTTAGATCCAATAAATGTACAATGGATTGGTACAATAAGGTTAGAGGTGGGGTAGAAATTTGGAAATAATTACACAAAAATATAATGTCTGGCTAGTTAAATAATAATTGATAATTTTTTTTTGATAAACGTTTTCGTTAATTGTTTCTTACATAATCGATGACGTCCCAATTTTTTTGATTTATAATAATAATTACCCTTTGCGTACGTTGACTTTAATGTTTAAAAAAAAAATGTTGTAATCGGGTTTTGATTATCAAACAAATGTATTACGCTTGATATGCATAAACGATAGTGGCCACCTATTATTAAACAATATTTTTATTATCATATTAAACTTGTATATTATGAAAATTACTTGTAAAGATTTCGCAACGAGAACCTAATTGCATGGGTTTTATAGGACTCCTATCGTCGGTGTTTCGGAATTATTAAGTAGGTCCTCTTAAACAACTTCTCAACTGGGCAAAAAAATGGTAGGTTTTTTTTGTTGATATTTTCAATGAGTTGAAATGGAAAAATTCTAATTTCGAATAGGAGAGTTTGTTTTGTTTACATGCATTGCATACATTTGGTTGGGCCATCTGCTTCTATTGAGGATTTTTTTCTATCATAAAATTTGTATTTAATTGAAATTTACAACGATGAAAGTACATAACACACACGATTGCTACTTATTGAGATAACAACTGTATTTTTTTAAAACTGCCATGTGCTCACCTTGTGTAAGCTCAAAGCTGTACAACTTAGCTTGTGACTAGACCCAAAAATAGGGGGGGGGGGGTAAAAGTAATTATCATTTTTTTTTTCAACAACAATAGCTGTTTTCGCTAACAGTTTTTTTTATCCGTATTGGTCAAGAAACACGTCCAAGGAAACAGTGGAATGAATTCTTCTTATACGTACATGTGTACTTACAGGAAACGTGGCCTTTTTGTTTGTGTTGAAAATAATGTTTGTTTTCTTTTTGCTTTTGGTTTCCAAACAGTAGGCACGAGATTGAGCAGAGTTTTCAAAGTATAATAAAATATCAATCACAAAACGTTTAACGGTGTTTTTTTTGTTTGTTTTAACCGGTTGTTAAAAAAAAAAGGCGATAACGATAAAAAAAACAGTTAAAAAAAAAACCACTTCCGACCGGTCGGCATCAGCAGCCCTGTGCAGCTGTGGACTAGACGGGACTGTTGTGTGAAATGTGATGGAAAAATTGGCCGGCTCGCCGAACTAGCTTAGACAATATTGATGTGATAATAATTTGCCGGGAGTGGGAACACACGCAGTCTAGTGTCTAGTGTGTCTTCTTATAAACCTTGAGATTAAGGCACCACGATTGTCAATGAGTATAGTAGTATGTATAGTATAGTTTAATAGTATTGGCCAGACGGTTAAGTGATAGGGTAATAAGTAAAATTAAATCGGTCACTAGGAATTTTAAGTAAAATTCATATGTATTATGATGTCCTTGTTGCAGCAGTTGTATGTGGGAGTGTTATTAAAATATCCTATCTTCTTCTAATCCTACTATTACTCGCTTGTGTTGTTGTAATATGAAAATTTCACGGTACCTTTAGTGTTGATTCTGCGACGATTGTGTCTTCTTTTCTAGAGTAGATTTGATTAAACACTATGAATCAATTGTATTCTTTTTGTACCTTCCTGTGCCGTGCTAAGCTACTGGCGTTAAGCGCCTATCTATTGATACACGTGTTCAGGCTGGAAGACAAACGATAAGTTATAAGCACTAATTACGTTACCCTTAATTTTCTCTGATACTATATGATGACGAATGTGTACAACTCGCTTGCTGAAATAGCCGAGACAGTATAACTATTGTCCACAAGGTAAATCAGGTGCGATGCCAGCAGTTAAGCTCAACAACAGTTATCAAGGCACCGCACTTTGCAAAGAAAGCGGCCAAGACTTCCGGTTGGTCTTCTATCTGAATCGGACTTGATATTACTAGATAAACCAGTGACGATTCCAGCAGTTAAGCTCAACAGTTATCAAGGCACCGCACTTTGCAAAGAAAGCGGCCAAGACTTCCGGTTGGTCTTCTATCTGTACGTCGAACGTGGTAACTTATCCAAGTTAAATAGAAAACTTCTTAGCTGAACACAAACTTCACGAGTATCAGATATTGTTAAAGAAATAATAAAAAAATAGATGTAGAAATAACTAATAACCTTTTATTTTAGATAAAAAATATATTACACACACACGCTGGTATTAAGCAAAGAAATACATGATGTTTATGAAAAAGTATGAAAGAAACGATTAAAAAGAGTTTAGAGAGATGATACACTATGAGAAGAGTGAAAGGAGAAAACTGAACAACTGATGGTGTTATCCTGTTGCATGTGTCTTTTATATGTTGTGGCAGGAAAGGATACCTTTCGTTGGTTGGAATTATAAAAGCTGTGATTGGTCGTGGACAATACATTTGGAATAATTAAGTGGCATTATAAAAGCTGTGATTGGTTGTGGATGCTAATGAATGGTTATAATTGGAGATTTTCAAGAGGGAATATCAGTGTGTGTGTGTGTGTTTAACGTTTATATTGAAATAATAATAATATAATTTTTAAATACTAAAGTTAAAATTAAATTTGTGATAGTACACTTGAAAAGATAAGTTTAAGTATTTCAAAGCGAGTGGAAGATGCTTTCATCAAGGCCTTTCGAAAACGTCCCTTACAATTATTACAATCATTATTATCATCGGTCAAACCGTGTATAGTATAGGTACTGTTATTATCATTATCATATAGTTGCATACCGGATCTGTTTTTTTGTTTGTTTAAATACCCGGTTATCCTCCAACAACTTCCTCGTTTCGAGCAAAACGAATACAAGTTGTTTCATTCGGTGTTTTCTATTTATTTTACATTTATTGGAGTTGCTTCTCTTTTACAATATGAGTATAAATGTGAAAAAAACAAAATACATATACAGAGTAAAAGGGTTCGGTCCTAAGTATTACACTTGAACAGCTCAAAAAAAACGGCTATCGACCAGCAACCAATTCAATATTCTTTTTTTACTATTATTTAAAATGTTTAGTCGAGAACAAAAAGCTACACTTACCCGTTAGGCAGGTACTTGTTGCATATTATTATAATATGATAACGTTGTCGGTTTGCACAGTTAATTTGTTCGGTGTGTGTGTGTGATTTTTATATTGTACACTTAAAGTCTGTGTGATTTATGTTAACAAGTCTGACACCATGTGGCGTTACACATAATATATATGTATACAGTTGTAAGTCGAACAAGAACACAATGATAGCAATGATTTTTGTCATACAACACAATAGTGTTATGTGACGGTGTTTTTTTATGTATACAAAAACATAATTATTATATTATTATATATTTGAAATTCACGGTTAGTGGTCGCCATCCGGTAGGCATATTTCACGGTCACAGATTTTTGCTTTTCGGTACAATTTTCGGTTTTCAACGGCATTACTGCAATATTTAATTTTCCGTTATTGGGTGCTTTTATTTTTGTCCAAATTTAATATTCATACACAATTGTATTTATTTATTCATTTATTGAAACACACGCCCGGTGGCATTGAGTACAGCTATATATTATAATACACATTTGACACGTAAGCAATAATAATTACACTAATTATATTAAATAATAAGTTTGCACATTCAAAAATTAAACTAATATCATATTTATGTACAAATTAAACAATAATGGTGAGATGTGGCCACCTTGAGGTATTGTCCACGTTCAACAATACATGTAAAGGACTAGATGTACTTCTTTTAGTAGCCACTTATCTTGTTTGTTATCATGGAATACTACTCGTATATCTGTTATCAATCTCTGTAGCGAATGCTTATGATAACAGCAGGTTGATAACAGATAGGATGAGTTGAGTATTAGTTTAGTAAATTATGATTATATTAAATTGTTAAGTCTATTAAGTTTATTTATGATTAATCGTTAATTAGTAATAATATACTTTAATCGTCGTTTATTTGTTACAGGTTTGTATATATATATATATAGTAAATTAAGGCATGTATGTACATAATAAAATAAAACAAATTTCTTACAGATCAACACAATTTGTCTATTATAAATTATAAAGCAACCTTATTTATACATTTATAAATCATTCCAGTACTTCTTTATTGGTTACTCTGTCCATCCAACTTATCCTGAACATTCTCCTATAACACCACATTTCAAACGCCTCAAGCCTTCTTAGTTCTTCCATTGTTATTGTCCAGGTTTTACACCCCCACAGGGTTATACTCCATACATATTATGTCTTAAATCGATTTTTTCTTGCTTTTTAGACTATTGTTTCTTGATGTAAATATAGTTTTCTTGTTGCTAAAAGCTATTTTGGCTTGACAGATACGTTTTATCATTGCTGATTGCACTTCCCAGGTATGTAAATTCGTCTACTGCATTTTCTATGTATTTTCAAATTAAAAAAAAAGTGGCAATACTGTTAAACAATGCCAATTCTTTGGCCCTCTTACAAAGAAAACATGTACCTACACTGCTCGAGTTGTATAATAAAAAAAAAAGAAAAATGAAACTAGAAATTAGTAAATGAACTAATATTATAACATAAGAAATAATTTAAACGAGTCGTTTATCAAAATATGTAAAAATTAATTGAAATGTTTTGTCGGAGGTCATCAATGTTGGACATTTTCGTAGGCAACCGAAATTTCTTGTCGTTGAAAAGCGTTTTTAGAAGAATTCAAAATTGGTAAGAAAACTCGAGGCGATCGAAGGTAATATTATTTATATTGTAATAATTATAGTAACATTACAATTTAAAAAATGTATTTCATTTTTTATGTGTCAATAAAACATTAATAATATAGCCAAACCACTCAATGTTAAACGCGATAACGACATCCACGTGGACTGCGTTCCATAAGAATAACAATAAGATGTTCATATTGTAATCTTGGCGATTTACGTGACGACCGCAGTGTGTGCATCATTGAACCCAAAAGAGAGTTTTTAAAAAAAATGTGTTATTCTTATCTGTTTAAGACGTTTACACGAAAATCCCGTCCCTATCGACAGCAGCTGTAGCTGTCTCAAAGCTAGAAAAAAAATTGTACAAACTGCTAAAAAACCGATTGGAAAATCGTTTACACGACAATTATATGGTATTAATTATTATGAGTTACTATAGACAAATTATATTGATTATTATTATGAAATTATTGTACTAAACAGATAACTCCCCTCTTTAGAAGATTCTTTTTTTTTTTTTTTTAAACAAGCTATCGCATCTCAGCCACTCCACTCATTCACACCGTCGTTAAGTGTATATATCACAATAGTATTGTCTAATATTGTACATGTATTATTATTTATTTACAATACAATACAGATATTGCCAAGAAAACCGTCATAAATAGCAGTACAACATTGATAACTGCTTGGTTATCATCTTACTGGTCAGACTCATAATGAATTCCAAATTTCTGTAGGTCAATCAAGGTTCATCGCATTGTGCGTTAAAATGCGGCACATCAAACAAATTAATATTATTATATTATCATAAGATCCAATCGTTAAAAATAACGGGCAAAATTCTTTGGCCTTTTCCTCGGTGAATAAAGAAATAATTACCAACGTCCAAACCAAAGAACAAAGTTCAAATAAACACCGCGTTATCATATTGTGTTGGATATTTTTCAAACAATTTTCCATACACAATATATATACCTATATTATATTTGGAATATCATTAAATTGTATCGACAACCAAAAAAAGGAATTATACATCATTATAAGACATGTAACAATTTGTATTGTAGACCTTACTATCAACGCAAGAGCTGACTACAAAGCGAGTGAAAGTGATAACTCTTTCAAAACTTATATCCTGTATATGAGTCAGATCCTTCATGTCTTACACTAGACTTGGAAAAATAAAGTAGAAGAAAGGTTTTTACTCTAAAAAAAGGAAACCACTACTCAGAAAAAAAAACCCTTGGGGTACTCAGTCCATGTACTTAGTGGCGATCAGATGATGTCTATACCAGTTTTTATTTTAACAATTTTTGTAATCGTCTCACAGATGCAAATGTTTGTTTGTGTTAATCTCCAAACTCTAGATAATGTTATTTTACATTAATATGTTTGCAAACGTCCAACTTTGTTACACACGTGTCTACGTGCACATTACAATAAGATGTTCCATCTGAAATCTAAATAAAAAAACATTGTTTTTTTTTATCAACATTTTTTTTTAATCATCATATTTATCGCCACAGATATATAATTATTATTAATAGCGACTAGAAAATGTATTATGAATAATATCTTCTCTGATATTTATAACACAAACAATAATAATAAAATAAATTCAACTGAATCGTAAATAGTCATATATAAACGTCGTGTGAAGTCTATTGTCAATGATTTTTTTCCTTATATATAAACACTTAGCGGTAACATTACTCCAATGATAATGCATTTTTTTTTATTGATAATGTTATTTTTAAATAAAAAATAATAAAAAAACATTGTTTACCTGTTTTAGGATCGCCTTAAAAATAAACAAGAGGCAACAACTGAATTAAGCAATAATACTAAACACTATAATACAATAATAATAGTTAATAATAGTTAATACTCCTACAAGTATGCAGCTGCTACAATAGGTATGTACGTACATTTATTATCAATAAACTAATACAACTGATAAGATAATAGCTTTCTTTACAATACGACGTTAAATATTTTGGTATTGACGAATTCAAATTCAACCTACGCAGGTATTTCCAAGTGATATATAATGGCAATAATGGGTATTATATAATTAAAACACACTTGATGTATTTGAATTTCATCAGTAAATCAGATAAAATCCTATTTTAGTTTCCCCCTTGTTAATAGGTATATAATTACTATTTCACTTCAAATATATACAAACTGTAAAATGTAATAGAGTAATACATTTTTCTATTGCAAATAATAATTTAAATTTTCAGCTATCATACCTTAATTCTTATTACATAAGCCATCATATCATTTCTTATCACATAAGTTGTCATATCATTTCTTATCACATAAGCTGTCATATCAATATCACTAATAACACAATGTAAATCCACAATCTTTCCAATTCCAAAAGAGTATTCCAAGGGTCACCCTTCCTTCTTCAATAATTTTATATTCCCTCTACCCCTTCTAAATTTTAGTCCAGATACGCCCTCACTTAATCCATGCATTAACCAAACCTCTTAAATAAGGCACAATTTTCCACATAGTTCATAATATAGTTTAAACAAGTCCCTGGTATTGTTGATTTCAGAACAATGTACAATTTAGCATAATTTTCTAAAGACTAAAAGCACAGTTATACTTGTCAGACGTTTCAACGCTTATTTAAATGCTAAAAAATCTTAAAAGCTTGCCAATGTCCATAAGCCTTAACGTTTAAGTAAAAAAAAAAAAAAAAACTGTTTAATCAGCAAATTTTCTACGGTTCAGGTGGGTCAGGCGTTTATGAACGAGGAAGTTAATCTACAAAGTAGTCATTGCTTAGTATGCAAATATTGATAGTATCAGCTGTTAGAAAAAATAATACGAACGCAGCATAATATAATCAATTATCTTTATTAAATTCATACAGTTAGTTTGCTGTTTAGAGTTTTGCAATATTTTAAGATGTACACTAATTTGCGACTATGGGTAATTGAAAAAAAAATGACAATAATTAATATTTTATAAGCGTACCTAATCGACTATGACACCGCACGGGTGTGTCTCTTAGACCTACGTGTAAAAACGCATAATAATAATCGATACAAAAACATTTACAACCTGATTGACAAACGATAAAGGTAAAATAGCATTGTCACGGTCTAGCATTGAACGTTGCTTACATAGTAAAAAAATCAAATCAAATCAAGCACTGTAAACTTATTCGGTACAGTCTAAAACCACATTTGAATGTAACAAACTGTCAATGTGTAAACGTAGACAATATTATTTAAACACAAACATTATTGATTGGATTAGCCTAAAAAAACTAATTCATTTTGTGTCCACCTTAAAATTAGATGAATTTTTGTGCAAATATTGCCTATCCTTTGCCCCTTAATATATAGCCCTTCATGTTCCCCAAAATTAAATACACATATAATAGGAATTTCGGTTTATAGACCTATGGAACCACAATATGTACAACACCAAAGGTAGGTATGAAAAACTATTCAAGTATTTCAATCTCATCAGCTATAAAAAAAAAAAATATCTAATTAAAAATATAATATGCGAGTGCGTTATTATTATAATAATAATAATGTATACTTATTACACGTTGGTTTTGACAATACATTTTCGATTCGATTGAAACAAGTCGTATGACGTCAATAACAACATAAAAATATAAATACAATATAATATCGCTTATAATGCGTTTGATGTACAACCGACGAATATATATATGTACACAGGTAAGTATTTTCTTTATGATGAAAACAAAACCCTTATAACGTCTAGTAATTAGTTTTGATGAACATGACACATGTCAATTTGGTTTTTTATGAATTTCAATTACACTACTCTAAAAACGTTTTTATCCACTTCATATCGTTATGCATAGTAATATGTCATGTACATAATACAATGCTTATGATGTGTGCAATTAAAAAAAAAAAACAATTTTTGTTCTATATTATAGCTTCGATTCAAATTTTGTTTTTTTTTTCCAGAAGACACAAAAATCTATTTTTCTAGGTAGGTACATATTTTTTTTTTTTTAAAGAAAACTTTATAATTTTCCCTAATTTATAACTATTTAACGGGTTGTTTAGATTTTGTTTTATGCTTTGTAATTGAGTTGTTGGCTATTTAAGCAAACAACACATTTGTTACCTTATTTGTAGCTATTAGCAGAATCGTCGGCGGTTATGTTGTCAAAAAGAAACATGTTATTATTATAATAATAGTGTTTTTTTTTACTACTTTATACAGGTCATACATATACAAGCCCAATGCCATGACTAGGCATATAGCATACTAACCTACCGTCTAAGTATCTTTTTTGATCTTTATCGTTTGTTTGAATAATTTATTAATAACCATTCTATATTTGTCTCGTTATAATAATAGGACTATTGTCTGTGCTTTGTGGCCTCAATTTGCTCTATTTCAAAGCACTGCTAAATCCATAACATTTAATTGGAGCCGAGTGATTGGGGGAGGGTTGCTAGTTTTTGCATGGACCTAATAAGTCCCAGACCTTCTTAATTGGGTCTATAAAAAAGTATTATATTATATACTGTATTTATATATTTTTAATTATAAGTAATTGGCAGATATGCTTGGTATATATATATTTTTTTACATTAACATATATCCAGAACGATTTGGTTTCTGATAAATATTATAATATTGCCTTTACAGAAATATTATCTGAAATGGGCACTTGCTTTGTACTTGGAAATAGCAAAGTACTTTTGTGTACAAAACTAGAGCCTGAAATAAGCGTATAAGTCGAAAAAACAATTAAATGCCAAAATAGATGCATCTTTCCTGTGATAATTAAAAATGTTTACAATTTATAACTTGATGTTTCAAGTTTTTGTAAAAAACTTGCCTATACATTGCGCCTTATACATGCAAGTGTAAAAACAACATTACTATATTATATTACATTTAATATAATAAAGAAATTCTATACATCACTTTGTGGTGAGCTAAGGCTTTTAAAATATTCGTACTGTATTGCTTTACATTTCAACATATATATAACATACAAATTGATAATTTTAGAGCCAATATTGATTTTTTTTTTAAACATAACTTGCCTACTTTTTTATTTTTGTTTAAAGGAATATAGATTATGGTTGGAATACAAAATCACTATTTATATATACTATATTTGTGTATGTTTTGACTATCGCACAAACTATATATGAGATGACTTACCTAAAAAAAAATTTAATTAAATAAAAAAAAACCCAACTGTAAAAAACTCCAATAAAACAAAACATTTGGTCGATACACTTAAACGTCTTTAAAATATGATAAAATTCCAAATTTGAATGTTCCAATCCTTCATCGATCAGATATGTATGGAGTAATGACTATCCCTTCCATCCCTCCTAAAATTGTCATAGTTTAATTTATTTTGCACATTTATATTAACATCACAAGGCCAGGTAGAGCCTAGATTTATATAAGAATTGCGTTGTACTCAGTATTGCAATAATAGTATTGTAATGTACACATTAAAAAGAAGCAAAACAGCTATGCAAATAACTCAACAAAGGCAACCATCAAAATACGTTTAGACTTTACTGTTATGGTCGACATAAGCCCATCAAAAATTTGCAAAGAATTCACTTAGAAAAAAAGTTTTACAAGCTGATTGTATAGGTTTGCCTGTAAACTCTATCATTTTTGGTAATAGTGACCACCTTCCAACCAAGACAGTAAGTCAATTTTTTATACATTCTGTTAAGTTTTAGAATAATTGTTTAGATATCTAGAAGATCTATAGCTTGCGTGGGGATCTAACAAGATATTCTAAACAAAGAAACATTGTTTTTGCATCTCAGTTCAGCTTAGCCGATATATTTGACTGTCTATTATTAATTTTGCATGTAAAAATGAACTTATTATATATATTAATATCATTTGCCATGGTGAACGTTTTGGTAGCTACAGGTGATTATTTTAACTAGACAGTTTTTATAAATCTATAAAAAAAAAATTGAATATTTAACTGATTTTACAGATAATTATGTAGAGCAGGTTATCAAGTTGAGTGAGTAAACATACTCTTTTTTCTTATACATAATAATTTTTCAGTCTTACTATAATAATTACTGTAAAATTTTTTACAGACCAACAGATTGGCGTTGTAGAAGGTTAAAAATATTATATATATTCAAATACAATGTTTTCGACATCACATGCAAATCTACTAATACAAATTTTAGTTTGTTAGAAATGTAAATTACCAAGAGTGTTAACACAGACACACATTAACACAAATATTGCTTAAGTTCTTTCTGGCTTTTTTTTTTTTTTATAGCTAAACTCATTATTTGATTATGTTTCTTAGGTTCTTTGCCGTTTGTTATTACCGGCGCTGTTCTTTCCAAAGACTTTAATATGGGTAATTATAATTGTATAGAAAATAAAATAATAACAATAATAATGATAAAGCGGGCTATTATAGATGAAAACAATTTAAGTTGAAATATATTATACAAGTTGCAGTCAGTGCTTGACTTGGGGGGGGGGGGCGCAGGTGGACTGAGTACGTCAACTAATTTTTTGGATATTCTAGCGTACCCCTACTTCTTTTTTAAATGGGAACGCATGGGTTGTTATTTAGTCTTACCTATATTTATAAAGTTGCTCAACCTAAAATGTTTGTGTTAAATACATATAATTCTTACAAAATGTTCTAATATTTACAAAATGTATTGAAACCGGGTGATTACAAAAGAATAAGTCGGTTTCAAATATCTGTATTTTCTAAACGGTACATGCTACAGAGCTGCTCTACCTCTTAAAATGACACCTATAACCTCAAGTTTTTTTTATAAAAAAAATCATAAATGTTCAATGTGTCCTCCTTTTAAGTAACCCGAACAATGTCAAGTCGGTATGCAAATTTCTCCCACACTCTGTGGAGCATGTCAGTAGTTGTGTCAAGCACTGGTTGCAGTACATAATAACTAAGTAAATTCAACAATAATGTGAATCTGCTTCAATTCAGCAGCCATTTTATGAACATAGTCTCCATTAAATTTATTAAAAATAAATCCAAACACATCCCTCACCGAATTCACAAAACGAATTATTAGTCCACTACATTTGTTTTATGTTATTTTCAGTGGAACTAGCTGTAATGTTTGCAATACCGGGTAATAATTTTTTTAACACACTAGGGAAATGTTTCCACATAGTTGTACAAAATGGTTTTTCAAAATGTACAAAATGCGTTTATTTTTAATTTCAGACGCCCAAGACAAAGACGTGGAAGGTTACTTAAAGCGACGTAAGTATTAGCTAAGTAAACAATTAACTTAATTATTTTGAGAATAACCGTACAGTTAAACACATTGATTTCTATCATAACAAATGGTGTACATTAAAATTGATTTTGTTGTTTAAATTTTTAGCGAAAATCGACTACCAAAGAATTGCGCTTGAAAAAATAAACGCTTTTGCATGTAAATATAAAATTAAATTTAACTTTTTTATACAACTGTACAATTTTACTTCAATTATAGAATTTTCACAAGCTACAAATAGTGAATTCAGTGAACCAGAGTTCTTGTGAGGTTACTTAACTTGCGTTATAGCTATTCGAGTTAATTTATCTATAAAAAAAAAAAAATAAACCTTTAAATACAGAAACTGTAAAGCTAAACTACATCATCATCACATTCTCAGGACGGTTGTATTTAATTTAGTGAAAGAAAACCGGCTTTTCATTGCACTTTGTTTGCACTTTATTTCATACTTAATTTATTTATTCTATTGTAATACTTGCTTATAAACTACATTTGTCATCTTAAACAAAAAGTCAAGACATTATTTTTCATTGATTTATTCGCTTAAATATTCTAAATTATAGGATGACTATTAACAATAAAAAAAAAAAATGATTTTTTAACTGTTTAATTATTTTATATTTTGCTCACAGCACCCCGTGCAGATAAAATACCAAAAGGTAATCACAATTTATGAAATTTTTGTAGGTATGGCTTGGTAAATTGCCAATGTACAAGTTCAGACACCTAACCTAAAAAAGGGGGGGAGGCAAAAACTTAAGTCTTTACAAATCTGGAACTTGTTCGTGTTTACGGTACCTAAAAATAAATGTTTTTTTTTTTTTTAATTGGAAGGGTAATAAAGAGGTTAACATTGCAAATGTTGACTAAACATAGTATCTCTCAGGTACTTTGTTTACTTTTAGGTGTTGTACAAAAATACATACAAGTACATTGGCAACGTTTATAGTTCATTGAAATGTAATGCAACTCTATCATGCGAGTAAGTCGTTAATTATTTTATATATTCTTTTTTTTTCTTAGGCCACTCTGAAGACGCTAAACTAACAGATCTGGCCGATGCAAGGAGAGACCTGACTATAAAGTCTATGAAAACTTTAATCTGTGGTGTATTAGGTAAATATCATTTTGTTTTACTGATATATGTATATGTATCAATATTTGTAATATAGATATATATAACATGTATATTAACAGTGATAATTTGAACTATACTAGTTTTATTAACTTATAAAAACATGACTTTCCCAATAACCATTACAATAAAAACAAGTATATTAATTTACAGACATTCATTATTATCAGGGCTTACACAGTTTAGTTTTAGACCTGTACTAGTGGAATTAACTTTTAAAAAAAACTACTTTCCTAATGATTGTAGTTAAATAATTATCAAAAAAAAAAAACCAAATATATTATTTTAAAGACATTCATTATAATCAGGGTTTAACACAGTTAAATTTTTTAAACAGTATAGAGACTTATATATATACTTGATTTGACTCTGTTCCTAACATACATTCAGTAGGAACTTTATGTTTGGACTATGCCATTTCAATAATTTAGTTGTTTTTAGAATACCTTGTTTTTGTTTTAATTTTCATTAATTTTAAACAATTTTATGATATACTTGAAAATTTCCTATTATATCAAAACTCGAGTAAAAGTTTGTACATATAATAATATTTAGTCATCACCAACAACAATACTATTCTTTTTATACAAAACCAACTACTATGTTATACTTAACAAGACAGATCTTCAATTACAAGATTTTGTTTTATTTTAAAAGTTTCTAATAAAATTAACTACGAAACAACTTAAGGGTTTTCTTTTTTGTGGATGATTATTAGGTTATGATATGCAAATGATGTTCGGTTAGGTTAGGTTAAGTTGTTCTTATTTAAAAAAAAAAGTCTTTTAATGGCAAAATAATGACACTGTTTTTCCATAACTTTATTGTACACTTATAGCTGTGTCTTGCAAATGAAGAAAAGTAGTAACAAATGAGCTAAACTTGATAACTTTTTTTTTTCTTTAGACGGGGATAATCAAAATTTCACAGATTTTCGTGGTATTTGCCGTTTATTAGCATTATACAGAAGCGTTAAACACCCAGAATCATTTATAGTGGCTGCTGATGTCGACGAGGATGAAAATTGCATCGTAGTAGATAAAAACGGGATTTCCACCAAATACTATTACATTGCAGACGAAATTTGGGAGTTTATCGCCGACGGCACTTCTTTTCGCGGTAGGTTACTTTCCAATCAAATGAAGGAAGAGACAACAAAGTTAAAGAATCATATAAGGGCATAACTTTTTTTAAAGTACTATTATTATTGTTATTATTATATTTTTGCGTACCTTGCAATAAAAAAGTTTTCAATAAATTTCATGTATTCAAAAATAAACAACTTTTAATTACCATTCAGAAAATATTTGTTGTTAATGTATTGTTATGATAAATATGAATGGTGATAAGAGGATATCAATAATCCCTGGATTGATAAGAGAATCAGCTGATAAGAGACAAGTGATAAGAGGAAATCGATAATCTTCAGTACAATAAAACTATTTTTTAAAACTGGAACTTAAATATATAAATATAAATGTATTTAAATATAACACTATAAGTACACATAGTGTTGTATTTGTTACTTGTCCTGAGTATATGGGTAATATTATAAAGGTGGCATTAATATTTGGAGGTGGAACCACATTGGAGCCGTGTAAAAAAGGCAAAAAGTTTTAATATTCAACAGAACGAGAAACATCCCTCCTATCCTAATATATTATGATACCGGCTATAGTATACGGGTTTTAAAATAAAAATCCATTGTCCAAAATTAAGAAATTTAGAAGCATTTAGCAATGGCAACATTTAAAAAAAAACACCAACATGTCACAAATAACAGGTAACAAGTATTTAATACATCTTTTCCCGTCAGCCCCATAATTAAAAAAATAATGTTACTGTAACAAAGTAATAGTAAAGACAGAAAGTCTTATAATGGTCTTTGACAACCAAACTAAAGGGGAAAATTTTAGGAAAATAAAAAAAGCTGTTTAAATTTTCAAGACGATTAAACACAGTGTAGAATTTATTTTATTTTTAATCTGGCTATGAAAATGTAGGCAATACATTTTATTCAACTGTAAATATTTAGTAGTTAATACATGTTTGTCACTGCAAATAATTATTACTTTTGTAACTAAACGTTTATTTGCGTGGAAACTGAAAATTAAATGGAAAAAAAAAAGTGTTTAGTAAAAAAGTATAATTAAAAATGTGTTAAAATAAAAAACTACACCGGCAAAAAATAAGTATATTAAAAAGGGGTTTTGAACCGAGCAAAAAAACGTTAGTTGTGGTTCCATTAGAAGTGCTTTAAGTATTAACAAACACTTATATATTGTGCTTGAAATCGCAATTCTGACATTAAAACCGGAACATATGTGCTAGGAATCAACTGATTCGGTATTCTATCAATTATTTGATATCTGCTCGAAATTTTTGACCCACTGAAAGTAACTTTCAGATTAGATTTCTAAAACAATACCACCGAAGCTAAAAATAAATAATTGGTTTTCAATACTCGAATATGACTAAAATCTAAATCGTAGGAAAACGATCATTTTTTTACAATAATTATTATTCAGTAAGAATTGCAATATGGTCTGACAATGACCCTCGTTTCAATAGTATTTTATTATACACACTGTGTACATGAGTCATATGTACGATTTTCATAAAATATTTTGTCATGTAACATTATTATTTACTTATTACTTTATTTTTACAATTATTTCATTCTGAAATAATTATAATAATTAACTGAAAAATGATTTCAAAATTGTGCCACGATCGATGCCTTGAAAATGTTTTGAACAATTTAAATATTATTTTTTCAAAACTTAAATCGTAGTATTCTTAGGAACACGAAACGTTTGAATTAGAATGAGTGGTTATTATATTATATTTCGACCGTGGCTATAAAAAAGTAGATTTAGATTAAAGATAGTATTTATCTTTAATCCGTATACACCTGAATATATTTAAGAGGGCGTCGCACCGGTGATTTTCAGTGGTAAAGACATGTTTAAGCAGACTGAAAATGACTCGCTTGGTTTTAGTTTTAGAGTAAAAGCGCCCGTTATAAAATGAAAAACAATTTTTTGAAAAGTTACAGTCATTTAAAAATGTTAAAATAGTCGTTATTTCTAAACTATGTATTGAGCGTTATACTTGGAATAATGAAAAAAAAAAACGCACCGTCTTGCCCTCCGGAATATTGTTCTCTTATCATTCAGTGTGCTGAAAAAAACATTTTTAAATCTCTTTCAACGATGCTGCGATAGTCCGAAAAATAAATTAACTACCAAAATCCAGAGTCCTGGTTATTGAACTAATAATTGCACATCACAGTTTAACCTTTAAATTGAGATTTTGTGAAAAATTGCCTATACTTTACTCCTTAAAAATAGGCGATGCGACGCCCTCTTAAAGTTTCAACTACTGTACATAGAAAAACACCAAATTTCCACATAGTACACATTGGTCGGTTTTACAATCACTTAGCTTAGCTACAACTTTTGAACAGTCGTTTTTAATAGTAATAGTAAACCACCACATCCGACCGAGATAGTAAGTCAATTTTTTTAATATATATTTGTCAAGTTTACTAATTTATATATTTTCCATTCGAAATTTAACCGGTAAGTCAGTTCCATTTAATCGCAAGTTTATAATGCACAATTTGTATACGTAATCAACAGTTATAGTATATGTTATTTTATAGGGCTAAAAGTATAAAAAAAAAAATGTAGCTCTATTAAATCAAAACTAAAAAAAAACGTTATTTTTTTAACCTAAAAAACGAAACGTTATAAAAACGGACGTTGTAAAAATTAAATAAATAGGGTCCAAAATTTAAAATGGCCGACTTACGGTCAAAAACATGTTTTTTTTAAAATGGAAACCATTTTTTTTTTTTGTTAGCATTACAAATTTAAATTTGCGCTCTATTTACCCACGGCTCGTGCCGGTGTTAGTTTTATTATTTCATTTATTTTTAATTTTCTTTTATAAATACACAATATTTATTATTATTATTGTTTTCAGAAAAATGGCGGAATCACCGTTGTGCTGCGGTTGTATGACCTATCGAGTTGCCACTCGGACTGTATCCCTTTTGTCATTAGTAAGTATTAATAATAAATGAAACAATAATTATTAATCACATACTTACTCAAAACCAGCACTCAAATGGCATGTGTTTCGTTCCTAATATTTTCATCCGACAGAATAAAATTTCAATTGGAAATTCTTAAAAACTCGGCCAGGGTTAGCACAAAACATATACCTATATTACAAAATCTTGATAAATCATAAACGTCTCCAAAATTACATATTTTCTACAACTTGATGTTTTTTAAAAATTATTACATTTACAAGGAAAAAATCTAATAATTATTCGGATCTATCTTATTTAGAAGCTGGTTTCAATCAAATGATTTGTATTCGTCTAAATCAAGTGTTAACGTTGAGTAGCTAAATAACATTGTGTATACCACATATTGGTGTTGGATTGGCTGAATGACGATTCCAATAAGAACAACAATTCAGGGTACAAAAATGAATCCTACATATTATATTTCAAATTGAAAAGCATGTTGATTTCAAAATTATTTTTCACACACATTATCGTGTGCTAAATTCCAAAATCGTTAAATTGTTCGTGTGGTTGTGATGTGGTTTAGAGAATTGTTTTGTGTGGGATATTATTTATATGATATTCACAACGATACGAAACTTAAAAAAATAAGACACTGAAAACAATACTAACGCATTTAAGGTAAATAAGAAGCAACAAAAAAAAAAATTGTACCAACTGTGTGTTGTTTGCATACTGTGTCGTTTATTATAATATACACTAGCACGTTACATAAAGCGAAAATTCAAAGCATAAAATAAAACCTGGCACATTATCAATAGGAAACCTAAATTTAAAACCGAATATTTAGTTTATCAGTGTTCAGCTAATGTTTAAACCTTTATTTTTGATACCAGTTTGAAAACATTTTCTAACATGAAGTTTACACAGTAATCTGATACTTGATGAATATTATCATCTAAGACTATAAAGTGATTTAATAAAATGCTTTAATGTTTGTGTATACAAAAAAATAGATTTGGAATTTACCAAACAATTATATTTAAAATATATGTAGGATTAATTTTTGTACCTACCCTGAATTGTTTTTATATAAATCATCATCACCAAACCTAATCCAATACCAATATGTGGATGGCCAGTCAGAATTAAGAATTCAAACAGAATTGAGGGTCTCATATTATAATCATTAACTGTATCCATAAACAAAAAAAAATTGTATTATATTGTTTAACATAATATAATTATGTCTACGTTTATTACGATTTTTATACATATCGTACAATATGCTAAAAAGTATATGAAACTAATGTAAACATATTTTTTATGCGCAAGTGTTATTAAAACCAATAACTTTGAAAAATGATCTGAACTTTTAATGTACACATTAAAACGAAAAAAGCTATGTAAATAAATAATAACAACATAGAAAGCCGTCAAATTAGATTTTAACGTTTAGGTCGGCAAAAGCCCATCCAAAATTTGAAAGAAAATAAAGTTTTACAAGCTGACTGAATAGTTTGCTCATAAACTCTACAATTGTTTAATTTATTTTCAGTAATAGTAACCAGCTTCCGACTAAGATAGTAAGTACATTTTTAATGCATTTTGTTAATAATATACTAATTAATTATTTTTGTTTACAAGTCACATAAGATAATATATGAAATAAAGAAACAGTGTTCTAGCATATCAGCCTTAGCTTAGCGGATGAATAAATATTAATTGTCATTCATTATTTTTGCAGATAAAAATGAAATTTTTATATATTTCAATAACATATTTTGCTTCGGTGCACGTTTTGGTAGCCTTAGGTGATTATTTAATTTTTACACTTGCACAAGACAGTTTTTTTAAATCTATAAAAAAAAACATCAATATTTAACTTATATTACAGATATGACAGATTTTTTTTTATATTTATTACAGATGACTATCGAAAGCAGATCGTCATAACAAGTCAGTAAACATTTTTTTATAGAAAATAATTTGTTGTGTTATTCTATACACTTATGTATATAATTTTTTACAGCCCAACATATGTTTTATACAAGAGGTGAAATTTATTCAATATTGAAATACTAAAATATAAATTATATAAAGTAGTTTTTAGTTTTTTTTTTCATAGATAAACCCATTTTTTGTTTTTTCTAGCTGATTTGCCAAGAGTCATTGAAAACGTTGTTCTTTCTAAAAAACTCAATATGGGTAATTATAATAAAAAAAATAATAGTATTAATAGAGCGGTGCTATTATATGAAAACAGTTTAAGTTGAAATATACGATATTGATTGCAACAAAATATTATTATTAAGCAAATTTATCGGTGATGTTGAATGTTAAATTTTACTTTAAAATTTTAAAAAAACACTACTAATGTTGCTTATTATTTGTTTTTAGAATAAAAAAATGAATCCAATGTCATAAAATGATTTGATGTTATTTTTTCAGTGGAATTGGCTTTGATCTTTGCCGTACCGGGTAATATTTTCTCAACGCTCTGTGGACTTGTTTCCACATAGTTGTTTGATATTTATTAAGTAAAAAAATTGGTTTTCTTTCAATTTCAGATGTCCAATACAACCACGTCAAAGATTACATAGAGAAACGTAAATATTCTCAGTAGTAAAGTATTGTTTATTTTGAGATTTACCATAGAGTTACACAATATTATTGATTTCTATCACAATATCATATCATGTACATATTAAAATTGATTTTGTTTAAAATTTTTCAGAAATGATTGACTATCAAATAATTGCGCGAGAAAAAATATGGGATTTAACAAGTAGGTAAATTTAACTCTTCCAGACAATCACTACATTTGATTGATATAATATAGTTATCAATGTACTATTACTAAATGTTTTATAATTTTGTTACAGAAATCCTTCCAACTAGAATGTTCACATTGGGTAATCGCAATGGTTTTTGAGGTTTTTTTTTTGTTGAGAAAAAGCTCTTCAAAATGTGTATGAATGTTGTGGCGGGTGTTTCCCCTTGCCAGAATTTTCCTTAACAAGTTTAGTCTCTCTGCCAGGCTCAATAAAGGGAAATAAAAAAAGTCCCAAGCTTTGCAAATGTTTTCATTTATTATACAAATTTGGAACTCGGTCGACAAAATTTCCCAAAGTCACAGTAACTTTAAGTGGAAAAATATGTTTATACTTTAGCGGTTTTACTCGATTTTTAAGGGCTGAAATTTAAAAATGTTGGCAAAATAAAATACCTTTATACCAATATGGTAGATTGTACAAACGTGTAACAATATTGTGGTTCTTTTAAATGTAATGCAACTCTATCGGCGAGTAATTATTTTGTTTTGGTTTTTTTTTTAAGGGAAATATCGTGAAGTTGATCTAACAGATCTGGGAGATCAAAGAAGACGCATAACTTTAGAAGCAATAAAGACATTAATCCGTAATGTAATAGGTAAATATTCAGATCAACTTTTTTACCTTTTTGTACTTACACTAATTTGCAGCAATAGTTCTAAACAATTGATGTGTAGAGTTCACCGTGTCCATTTCTATATTTTTCTTACTATTTATTCCACACGCTTGTAGTTGTGTCTTGCAAACGAAGAAAAGCAATATCGAATGAGCTCTAAATTTAATTATCTTTGTTTTTCAGGAGGTCGTAATACAAATTTCGGCGAATTTTCCGATATGTGTATTTTAATAGGATTATTCAAAAATATAAAATACCGAACCCCGTTAATAGTAAATGCCGAGATCAACGCAATGGGAGCTTGTTTACTAACACATATAAACAATAATGTTAGCAGATACCATTACATTGAAGATGAAATTTGGGAATTTGACGGTACTACAATAGAGTCGTTTTCCTTTCAATTACAATAATTTGGGCCAGGAATTATATAAAGACAACTTTTTTTTTTTAAATACTATTATTATTATATGTATGCATACCTCCTAATAACAAATTAGTCAATACATTTAATGTAGTTGAAAATAAACAGTTATAATCACCATTAAGAAAACATTTGTTGCTTATGTATTGTTATGATAAATATATAGTGTTATTTAATAGTTATCCCAAATGTGGACGGGAATGGGATGGAGAAATGTTTTGGAAGCGGTGGGAATAGAATGGTGATAAGAGGATATAAATAATCCCTGGCTAACTGATTGATAAGAGAATCAGCTGATAAGAGACAAGTGATAAGAGGAAATCGTTAATCTTCAGTACAATAAACGTATTTAAAAAACTGGAACTAAAGTATGCTTTTGCCAAACATTTTTCTAACAGTGAAGTACAAAGGTTACACAATTGCATTTGTTTACTTACAGTCGTTAGATCAATAGACTTTGTTCACCAGATTGTACAGTTCAAAATATGTTTTTTCTGAAGATCAAATTAGTAAACTCAATTCAGATCATGACTTAGAAAAATTAATTAATCTTGACACTTATTTAATAGAGGCTAATTGTTCTGATGCGTGTAAAGTATAACCGGGTCAAATTTCGAAGAAAAGCCACAGAAAATAAGTAAAAAATAACTAATATACTACCGGAACTATTTAAATATATATATATATATATATTTTTGATATTATATTAATAATTATTTTATCCTGACATAATTCGGACTTTAATTTTGTATTTAATTTTTTATCTAATCAGGCTTTCTTCCAGGTTGTGGAAGTCAAATTTTCAATAACTCTTTTGTTTACTTAAAAAAGACACGGAAGTGAATAGTAAGAATTATTTTCATTTCACACATTAATAACGTGTGTTCACGACTTAAATAATTTATTATATAATGTAATTGTATTAGTCAAAATAATTACAACAAAAAAAGAATAATGTGTTTTAGCAATTTATCCGAATACAATAATGTACCGGAATTGCCTATGCAGAACGCCGTATTAGAAAGATACTATGTTTAATATTTTAATTTGATATTAAATGCAACAGCCAGCTTACAGTTTCGCGTAAAATCGTTTATTCGATTAGTTAGTTTCCATAGTAATTCCTGAAGACCTTTCCTTAACTGATGAGCGGGTAAAGTGGTCACATGTCTGATGTCTTGAGAAACAACAAGTCATAACGGAAAATAATAATAAACAAAACCAAAAAACAATTAGAATAGGAATTAATTTTATTTGAAATTGAAGAATAATAACACATTTTGTTCACACGTACAATTAAATCCAGTCCAGTGATTACACTTTCGGAGTGAAAAAATGTGAAGTCACTTAATAAATAGTAAAATATATATTGACAAAAAAAAAAAAAAAGTAACTTATTATAATGTTTATTCACATTTAATAAAATAGTAACAATGAGTAAAAAATAATTTGGACTAATGATAATAATAAAAATTACTTCTAGGTATAATAAAATATTTATAGGAATGGATACATTAATACAAATTATACATTTATGTAATGTTTAAACACAAAATAATAAAAACCCAAACGATAAATTGATAAATTAAATTTTAAAAGAAAAACTATCTACAAAAATATAAGCGTTTAATTTATTTTTCCAACACTTATCGTTAATAAAACTTGGGTATTACATTCTCGTTGTTGATAATAACAAAATGAAAAAATAAAATGAACCTTTCGATGTTACCCGAATAGAATAATACAAGTAGAAGAGTTACAAAATAAATAATTAAACTAACACGTAATTACAAATGCTGATTTTTTGTTGAACAAAAAAACTTTTTTTTTTTTTGGCATACGAGGGTAACAACTGTGTATTTTAAATGAATAATATAAGGTTGTTTACTTCATTTATAAATAGAGGTATAGCTTGCAGTAATAACAATTATTAAATTGTTTATAAATGTATGCTTTGTTTCAGCGCTTTATATTTCTCGTAGTATGAACGATAAATGTGATAAAGTATGAAAAATAAGAAATTTATAGTAAGTATAAAACCGCAACTTGTGCGGAGGAAAAAAAGGCCAGGTATATTAGTTGCGTAAAATAGGTAGGTACTTCACATTTGTAAAAGCGTTATTTTTAATCAGTTAACTCGAGATATTACGTATACCACTCGATTATATTTAAATAATAACTTCAAATATATTATATATATATAGATAAAAACAAATTAACAATCTTAGCTGCAATTTCGTTTAAAAATATATTTGAAAATGGTACTCGCTTAGCCAATAAATAGTTAGAACAGAATTTTTCTGCAGACTTTGCCATAATATTGTCGTACGCTAAATTTCAATGTTTATGCTGAAACCAAAAAAACATAAAGGAGTATTGCGCGGAAAGTATTTATTTTGTAAATGTTTTTTTTTTTTTTTTTGAGGTACTGTGTAAGTATTTTTGTAGGAGAAGTTTTAGTCATCACTCGACGCGCCTATTATGGTGAGGATGTACAAGAAAATATTGATAATGTCCACGTAAATGTTCAACGCTGCGAAAATATACTCTTCTGGCGACAACGAATACTTGTGGTCGCCGCCGACCATCAGCTGCGTGTCGTATATCAAATACACCGAGAAAATCAACGCGCCGGCCGAAGCGATTATGGTCGTCATCAATTTGCTCGGCCAGAACATGGCCACGAGACTGACGATGAGTAATATAATAGCGGCCACCATCAGAAAACCTCCCATGACGGTGAAATCGATTTTCGTCTGCAGCGCAAAGACCGTGAGCGCAAAGCATAGCAATGTAGTTATTCCGAGCGCCAACAACACTTCTTGCGGGTAAAAACGAGTTACGGACACGGCCACCAAAAACGATTCGGCCACGGTGAATACAAACAATAAGATAAAGTTTGTTGGAGTTTTTCGACGTAAATCTTCACAGCAGGCTAGCGCGATCAGCGTACCAAACGTGATTACGATCGCTATCAAACTAAGACCCGGATGCGTTTTCACGTAGGTTTTTGTGGGTTCGTGGAGAGTCGAAAAAGCGACAAAAACCAACGTTATCAGTAGTTGACACATAAGTATGCTGTACACTTTGCTGTAAAAAAAAAAAAAAAAACAAATAAAATAATTAACAACAATTTCATTAATGGGCTAAGATCATCGTTGGGCAATATTTATGAAATCCGTAAACAAGTAATTTATTATTAAAAACAATTATTCTATAAAATTATCGTAACATAAAATCTAGATAATACATAATCGATCAAACAACACTCACCTAATGAAATGTCTACGGATTGTCTTGTCACTGAATCCAAAATTATCCGGCGCATTGTAACTGTTGTTTTGTGGTACGTTTGGTGTTCCGTAAGCTTCGCCGTATTGGGGCGGATATCCACCATATCCACCGCTAGGTGCATATCCACCGCTAGGTACGTATCCACCATCTGCTTTAGGATATGGAGCTGCTTGTGGATAAAATCCTGGAGGTGGCGGTGCTGAAATATAATTAAATAATATTTAACTTAAAAACATATTATTGTACCGAGATAAGCGACTAGTAGTAAAATATAAATATAAAAATGTATATTTATATAAATAAAAAAATGTTCTTTAAATTACATTTTTCAACGAGAAACCATTAAAACTGTATCAAATGTATGCAAAATTTATGTATGAAAAAAAAATGTTGACATTGGGAACAATAGTTTACTATTAACATTTAATAAACTTTAAAGTAATATACCTGAACCTGTTCCATAAGGTGTTTGTGTTTGTTGCCACGTACTCATTGTGAACTGTACTTATCAAAAATTCTGAAACAAAAAAGGAAATTGTATTTTAATAATTAGATACAAACTAATCGTGGTACAATAATGTTAAAGTGATTAATAATATTGTATTTATATGTTATCATTTATTAGGCTTAGCCCAGTACATTAAATATATATATATGTCCGCCAATTAGTTTGTCGGATGTAGATTTACTATCTAAATATTGCAGTCTAAACTAATACATTCACAAACAATAGAGCAATAATATTTGTTACGGTTTTTCCGATGCAAACACATTATTGTCCCCCCTGCAAATTGTTTTTTAGAATTATATTTTTACTAAATAGACTGTGAAGAGAAAAAAAATTACCATTTTATAAAAGAATTTTCATGTACGTATAAATGATACTGTACTGCACACGTTGAGAGATAATTTTCTAACGCAGTAAATAAACTAAAATGTCATATCCGACTTCTAACAAAATAGCCATTTGAAAATAACAAATAACATTTAAATGATTTTTTTTAGTATTTTTTAGTATTTAAAAAAAAAATTTTAAAACAAAAATTATCCGCATAGATTATAAAAAAGTTTATAACCACCTTGAAAAATTCCAGTAAATTCATACCATCTAAAAAAATGTATTATTAAAAAAAACCTTTATGACTGAGCTTATTTTATGGTGTGTTAGCTGAAAATAGATTTGAAATGACGTGGCTTGAAAAAAATAAAACATTCATAGTATATTGGCTACAAAATATGGCGCTAAAATAAAAAAATAAATTAAATTAAATTGGATTGGATTTTTAAATTATACAGTTAAATTGAATGTAGAAATTTATCCAAAGATGACATCAGAAATAAAATACGTATATAACAATGAAATACGCCTATAAGCAATTAGTCACCACATTTATGGAGTAGACAACAACAACACTGTTGCAATCATGGTAAATTATATTAGGTTTTATCTATATATTTCATTAACCCAATAGCAATAAAAAATAACAATACAATGAACAATTATAGTTGTTGCCGATTAATTACTGTTGTACGGTAAACAATAAACCGTAATATTAAGTCGTATTTCTTTAGGGCAAAAAAAACAAAGACATACTCAAATTTTCACAACACCTCGTCTTAATTCTCGGTTGTGACGTTTTTGAATTTACCAAAAATAAACACACACACACACACAACTCTACAAAATATTATACTGTTGGCAAATTTATTGATTATAGGTATATTATGTAACGTTCACCATGGCACCGCCGGTTATATAGAAACAAACGCGGCATAAAAAAAATGAGAAAATATTAAAAAAAAAATATATATATATAATAATAATAATAATAATAATAAACAAGTCAAATCGAGAAGCCGCGAAAGTTGCGAACAGTGTGTTGTTGTAAAACGAAATCTGGCATTTGCAGACGGACCGTTTAAGATTAGATTGCACAAACAGATGCAATACTTACCGTTTTGTACAAATCCAACTGACACACACACGACAACACTAAATAAAATGCACACCGATCGTATTATTATAATATAATATATAATTAACACTTTTGACACTGTACACAAATAGCAACCAAGTACAAGTACACAGATACAAGTCTGATGGATTATTATCGAACACTGAATTAGAAAAACAACACAGTGACTCACTAATGACGACAAGAAAAAAAAACTATTTTATTATATGTATATATTTATAAACGGCAATAATATAATGTTGTGTGCAGATTATAGAATGCTCTAGAACTTTTGCGCGTTTATCATATGCAGTATGGCCAAACAGCTGCTGGTAACGCTTCTCGATAGGGCTTAGCACGTGGTTTAAATATACTAGGTTATTGCGTGCCCACTTTATTTTCATTATCAATTCACAAAAAAATGGCGGCGTACACGGCACACACGGTACATTCGCAGAATAAATGAATTTCATTGGCCGAACCCTTTGCGCCGCCATTTTCGTCGAGATGCACTTACCTAGTGTATTTCAGCCGTTGTTTCGGATTTCGGAAATGCGTTGGGGCGACAATATAATTATCATTGCATTATGTTAAAGGCTTTGACGTTACACAGTGTAGCCACTGCCATAAATACAAATTACCGTATCGATAATATAATAATACACGGTGTAAAACCCATATAGTCTGTATTGTTTTTACATGTATATGTAAATAATATGTTTATTGTTATAGGTTGTCAATCGTTTTGTTTTCAGAAATTTAAGCAGACACTTGAAATAGAACGCCTTTGTACATAGTTAATATATCTTGCCCGATTGTATGCACTTTCATTGTTTAAATTTTAAACTATTGTACAAAAAATACACAACGAATTACCAATGACAATATATTTTTTAAGTAGAAATATCTATATATATATTTGCATATTCAAGGTTGGAGCTTGGGCCTTGAACTGTAAGTGTATTTTTAACTTTTAAGTTAATTTTTTCTCCTAATACTTTACTAAGTTATCCTGTTCTGTTTTCGTGGTGATAACATAATATCACAAGTTGCAATTAAATTAAACTTGTAAAATATTATGTGTTTGGCGAATAATTGTTGTTGTTAATTAAATAAATAAAAGTCCATTGGAAATCCAAAACCCGATTGCTTGTTGTAAAATAAAATTTAACAAACACTTAAAAATAGTTTAACGTTACTCAAGATTTTAGGTGTACGTACAAGTTTTGTAACAATAGTTTTAATACTTTACTTGACTGGGATTGAAAATAATAAAAACAAATACTGGATAGTTTATCAATTTAAATTACCCAGATGCTTCAGAAATCTTTATTTCAGTATTATTACGATATACCACGTAAAATTCCCTCAACAATAATAATAATAATGAAATGTTTTACTTTAAACGAGTTGACAAAAAAATCAATAAATTCCTCAGCCTTACATGTATAAAACTATAATCCATACACTGTCATGTAACATAAGTATCCGATATCCATCAATACGTTGTATGGTATTAACGAAATTGTAAACTTTTCTATCTGTATACTTATGGCCTAGAAGCCTTATTAGAAGCTTAATTTTTAAAACAAAAACAACAAGTTCTTTTAAGCTATTCAAGTTAAAAACAAAATTATTGGTAAACATTTAAGGTTAATTAAATATTTTATCACATATACCTAATGATAATTGTTTCATGTTAATGAAAAAATGTGGAAAACACGCAGGCATTGGCTTGAAACTACTTTTCCAGTTCTCTTGACATCCAGTCTTTTTTTAAGGCTTCCATTTTTTTACGTTTCCATTCTTTATTGGCATTTTTTTTCGATTGTACGGATTTTTTTTGCGCTTCAATCGATTGATCACCGTTTTGTATTATATCTAACTTATTGATTAACTTCTCTCTAGCCAGCTTTTTGTTATCGTCCACACATCTGGATTCGTGACATTTAATGACGATACCGGTGGGCTTGTGTTTCAGTACGACGCAATTGGAATTTTTATTTACCGCAGATCCACCGGGACCACTGCCTTTGACACAAGTTTCCTCCAAGTCGTTTTCATTTAAAACTGGTACTCGAGATCGGTCAATAACGTGTTTGTTTTTGTGTAGGCTCAAAGCAAATGTTCTATTCTGTTTTACGCCGTTGATGGGAACAACTAACAACACTAATTTTCTGTATAAATATTGCATGACTAACAGTGTACAATTACTATACTATTGATTTTCTCTTTAGTAACTCTTGACCTTTCTGAAAATGTTTAAGATGACTATAAAATAAATGTTATGTAACAGTTTGGAATATTTCATATCAATAGTTTCAATTCATTATACAATGTATTATTTACTTAAACTTACATCGTACGAAAATTGTATTTCTTTAGGGTCGGATAATAGTTTATTTTGTTTAAACTCTTCTTTAATTCGTCTTTGATAATAGTTTTTGTTGGTTAGTTTTAAGTTGGAACCGTACTTCAGCAACTCCTTGTACAATTTCAATACTTGCAAAGAAGTAACGGACATGCCTAAAATAAATAAATAATCAATTCTTAATGTCAAGAAAAATGTGACGTTTATCGAGCTAACGTTATATAATGTTGGAACTCTTGTAGTGAGAAACTTACTTAAAATTATCGACGATTTGAATCCAATATAGTTTTTAGTATTGGAATAATTTTGAGTAGGGATCTAACGATCGGTGATCATAGAACTGTTTAAATAATAACTGCAGAGAAAAAAAAAAATATATTTTTTTAATTTAATTATAACTGACTAATTTTGAATTTATTAAACATTAAATTAACTAGGAATTCCAGTTTTTTATTACCAAAAAAATACCTATAACCTGTGATTAGACTGGATTTATAATGTTTAGAATTTAAAGTTAAAACACAGATAAGGTAAAAAAAAAAATGTTATAAATTTAAAAAAAATTTTTTAATCTAATTTGTGGTTAAAATTTGAATGATAAGACTGATAAGAGTGATAAGAGTATTACACATGAGATCAGTGTAACCTATTTAACAATAATGTATAATGTGTACATAAAATTAATATTTTATAAACTAATTCAACCCATTAAATGGTAATAAATAAAGCTTGGATGTTTATATATTATGACTGCATATTTTTTCGGTGAAATCAGATTTATACCCAAATACAATATATTATATAAATTCGATTCACAAAGACTAGATTTTAAAGCAGCAAACTTGTATTGTATATTATATTTGCATATTTGACACTTCTGCACATACATTTGCCTACATAATGGTTATTTCTAGATTTAGTAGCATATTTGTAAGTATAAATAATAAAAATGTTCACTAAAGGCATATCAATAGTTGCATATTTTGACATTTTCCAATGTATATAATAAAATTATGGTCATTAACATCCAGTTAGGCAAAATTATAGTTTTCGTTGAAAAAAAAAATCTACCTACCTAGAAAAATAATGTTTTCTCTCCTGAAAAAAAAAAAACATAAAATTTGAAACTGGGCCTTTGTTCTATTAAAGCGTCTCGACTATTTTTTTAATGGGTTTTCTCGAGCGTAATCGTCTTGCATAATGCACTTTTTTTTTCATAAACTATACGGAAATGGTATTAACATTTTCATACAAAGACGATTACTTGCAAATTAAATTACATATAAAATGTAATAAAAACACTTACTTGTTGTACGCGCTCTAAAGAAATTATACTTGTGTGTAATAAGCGTTGAAAAAAGAAAAATCGTAGGCTCTAGTAGGAGGCACAGTGCCTATATGATGGCCTACGCGCAGTCGATCGTCTTGCCGTTTGTACACGGTAAACGTTGGCGGCGTTCTTGCTCTCTTGCCGCCACCAGACGTCGCGCCGTCGTTGCGTTACACCGCTCCAAGACGGACGGTCTTGCACATTCTTCCATGGTTTATCACTAAAAGGCGATATTTCGTCATTTCGTGCCTGCCCACCGCTGCGGACCGCCTACACTGTGCCTGGTGGCTATTGCCGTGCACTATAATATTATAGTAGTAGTAGTAGTGGTAACGTCCACTGGGCCCTCTCGACTCTATCCTGTTATTTCGTGTTTTTCTTTCCTCTCCGAATTTGTGTCCAATTTTTTTTCGTTTTCCGATTATCATATCATCGACGGCCGGATGTGTGTTTCTCGGTGTTAAGTTTCTCGCTCGACGCAAATCGAGAAACGCGTGTCCAACGACGACGATGGCTGAACAATAATAACGCGAAACATAACACAAGTGTGCCGCCGTACTACGTCGTAATCGAGATCAATCAATAACGGGAACGGCCTTTGGGTTCTTGTGATTGCATTTTTTTTTTTTTTTTTTTTTTTTTGGAATTACACATCTATTATCGATTACACGTTCGTGGCCGTGTGTGTGTGTGTGCGTGCAAAGGAGGTACGAACGACAACAACGTTTTGTCACGGTTTTGCGATTTTGTTTGTTTTTTTTTTTGCAATTACACTTGAAATTTTATTTTTACAGAAATTCGGCCCAAAATGATCGACTTGACGATTAAAACGTTGGACTCGCGCAATCACAAATTCCGAGTGCCCGACACCGTAAGTGTACAAAACACCATATGTCCTCGACGGTATCGTTTCGACGTACTAATTTTGTTTTTGTTTCCCATGACCCGTTAGTTCACCGTGCTGGAACTCAAAGAACACATTGCGGAACAAGTCAACGTTGCCGTGGTCCAGCAAAGGTTGATATTCTGCGGTCGCGTCCTCAGCAATGAAACCAAACTCGCCGACATCGGTAAGTCTTTAACGTTACGAGAAACATAGCGTATTATCAACGCGCTCCGGTCGCTTTGAGAACATATCTCGGTTCGTTGTCGCATCAACGGCGACTGGGTTCTACCCAACCGCAACATCGTCACGGTTCGGCTCCGTCCGGGTATGTTCTTAAAGACGTGATCGGAGTATACACGTATACGTGTATAGCTAGGTTAGGTTAAGCTAATGCATATGAATATTTATCGACGCCAAGGTATATGCCATTAGTTCAGCTTAAGTTCATTTTACCGTTCAATAAACAAAATTATTTTCAATCTCGATATTTGCCGTTAACGATTGTCATCGCACCGTGCGTGTACGTTATCGTGGCAAAGCCATGTGTAGTAAAATTCATTATGAATTATTATTGTACTTAATAGAAAAAAATAATACCTTTAATTCCCCATCCATCATGTAGCCTAACGGGCCTTTAATGCCTAACGCTGCCATGATGGTTTCTTGACAAATATGCTGTTACTGGAGAGGCCGATGGTGGCTCATTTTTGCCGGACAATTGCTCGCCTGTGACCGGCAACAGTGAACATATTTCTCTAATACACTCGCTCTATACATCTCGCTAATACACTGTCGCCCAACCTACTCGGCCACTCTTCCTCCTTGTCAACCATAATTTGAATATTTATTTATAACCGAGTAAGGATATAATATCGTAATTGATTTGTTTTTTTTAGGAATCGATGGAAAAGTTATGCATCTTGTTCAAAAAGTACCGCGCTTGGCGAGTACTACTACTGGGACGTCGTCGTCGTCTTCCACGACAACAAATACGAATAGCCGTTTAGGACAAGGCGGTATAGGCCCAGGTTTCAGAGGATGGCACGCGCACGACCCTACAGTAGTATTCGGCGCTATTGGTATACCTTCAGATTTCATGCACGTACGAGGTACGTATTTCTCATTGTATTTTATAGGGTTAAGTGTGAAACTAATTTTAGACAAAATAAAATATCAAAGTTTATTCGTCTTGATAAATATTCAAAGAAATAAGTAATTTATAATATTAACATGACGTACAAATTAAACATGATCAATTTATCGCTAGTGTTGTAAATTGATTAGTTAATCGCTTTTGTGTTGTTTTTAGAAATTCCACGTCCGGCTAACAACAGGAATAACAGCACCAGGAACCGATTGTCGATGGCTATGGATATGATACAAAAAAGCAACGCGATTTTAGACACGCTCGAAAACCCTTCGGCCAGTCAGAACGAACAGGCGTCTACAAACGATACAGAACAACAGCCGCCGGAGCAATTTTCAGAAGAACCTACGCAAGACGAGGCAGCCGGCGAAAGTTTCTCCGACGCTCTTTCCCCGCCGACACAACCCGACCAGGATTCCGTAAATGTGTAAGTCATAAAAATAGTTGTTGGTTTTTTTTTTTCAAATTAAATTTACACATTATTTTGTATGTATTTGTATTGTACCCGCTTAAAATATAATACAGGAGCTATGAAGTCGACGAAACGTACCCAAACACTGTTGTCGTTACAATTGACGCTACACATCATATGCGGATGCCTCAAGGGTTAATGCAACACATGCAAAATCAATTGAACGCCGATTCCGCGAATCAGTTGAACGCCGATTCCGCGAATCAGTTGAACGCCGATTCCGCGAATCCAGTTGCTCGAGATCCCAACGAACAGAGTCAGGGTTAGTAAATATTATTAGGTTATTTTTTTAGTATAATTGCTTGAAAATAAACCGTTAAATGATTTGTTTATGTATTTTACAGCTGTTGAAGACGAAGCTGCGTCGGCCTCGGTAAACGTTTCGACTCAATCGTCCACCACTCAGCCACAAGCAGAACAAGTTGCCGCCAGTACAACTCCTGCAGCAGCAGCGGCGGCGGCGGCAGCTGAACAAAATCCAAGGTGAACTATTATTATCTATTTATATTATTTTTTTTAGAGAGTGTGAGAGATAATTAATTACAATATTTTTAATATTTGTCATTTAGGGACGACCAAACTGCAGAAAATAGATCTATGTCTATCAGCCACGATAGAAATCGTCTTAAGAAACTGATTGAAGAACTGAATAAACTGAATGCCAGATTTCAGCCATTTTACCATAGTTACTGTCAATATATAACCGACGATCCTCAATTCGAATCTGCCGATGTAAATATTTTACAACCTCACCTAGTTGGCCATCATTATTTTTTAATCTTCAATCGTTTTGCCCTAGGGTGAAAACGGTTCGACCCGAGCTCAAAGCGTTTTCAACGGCGTGTCGGAAGTGATGCATTACATATCGCACATATATCACGCTATAAGCGATCTGAAAGTATCGTTCAACAGACCGCCTCCGCGTCCGTTCCAGTCGCGCGGCTGTCTTTTGCAAAGAGGCATTTTACATACGGCCCATTCAATTCCGGTGGCCGCGGTGCCGCCGCCAACTCAGCAACCCAGCTCCACCCAGACGACCAATTCGAACCAATCCATTCCTAGCGTACGAGCCTTCAGACTTGACTGTAAGTAACGTTGTTGTGACGTGGTGTTTTGTGCATCATATTTCTTAAAAAATAAACACAAATATTTATTTCAGTTATGAACCCCGAAGGAGGGACTCCTGAACCGGTTAGTGTAAACTTAACAAATTTAGCTCAAGCCGAAGCCAATACAAACGCGGCGGCGACTGAATCGAATGCTGAAAGTAACAACACTACTAATAATACTTCTGGTACATCCGAGTTTCCAGCCGGCACTCCGCACAGTGTTGAGTTGATGTTTGATCTTACTCCGGGCGGTATTCGAATCGACTCTCTCGAAGCGGCTTTCGTAGCTCCTAACGCTTCTTCGGCGGCGCCAAACCAACAGCCGCCAACAGCTGCGTCTACTCGTAAGTGTTGAGTGGCGAATGATTTGAAAATTACAAAAAACCTGCACTATGAATATTTATCGTGTTCCAGAATCGACAACGGCCAGCAGTGAAGTGCCACCGCCCAATAACATGTCGTCGATGCCAATCGATTGGATGGATCAAATGATTGATGTTATTTCTAGTGGCGTACGTCGTCCGTTCATGCCTGATCAACCTTTAGACTGGGTTAGCGTTCCAACGACTTCTACTCGGACACCTCGCGTCACTCCGAGGACTACGGATTCTTCGTCGACGTCAAACACTCCATCTTCGGGTAGGTCACAAGTAGTGGCATCTTATCTTGCATGTTTCCTTGTGTACCTAATAATAATGCATAGAAATAATATTTGTTTTTAATGCGATTACGACCTAATGTTTACGTTATATTGTTCTAGGAATATCATCGCGAGAACGAGGAAACTCTCGTTTGGATCCGTTTTTGCCATGCAGTTCACATCATTTTGAATCGCATTTAAGATCAATGGTGCTAGCCAGGCGGCCGAGAGGAACGTCCGCTGGTAATAATTCGAGTTCTAGTCCGATGACGCCCGCTTCGCCGCCCGAGATGAGACAGTTCACAGGCAGACGTCGCAACAGGCCCTTCGACGATCAAGAGTTGGGCTTTGGCCTGCACGTACTTCCTATTCCTTGGGGAAGAAATCGTAACAACGTCGCTACGACTTCGGCAAACAACACTGCCGCTCAAACTACTCCGCAGCAGGCTAGCGGCGGGGCCAGTGCTGCAAACACGATAGCTGGACAAATAAGTAATTTACTCGATTGTGTTTTTTTTTCTATCGGTCGGCGTCACTGTTTAATACTGTACGTTGTTGTACGATTTAGGAGTGGGCATGGAGAGCGTTTTTAGCACAATTGAAAGAGAAGCCCTTAGGTCTCGTGACGCCAATGGACAACCCGCCAATATTTCAGTACAAGTAAGTGAAGAAATTTACAAAAATTAATTCATATATTACAAGGGTATACCTAAAATAATAATATATCGAAACGATGAAGTCGATCATTTTGATTATTGAAAAAAAAAATACCGACCAATAACTGATTTTATTTCGTGTTCATAGCCGGCTTCTTTAAATAACCGTACTTCTGGTATAAGTATTGGTTATTTGCAAGTGAGTTTTATGATTATTATTATTGAAAAGTAACTTCAGAATGACTTAGTTACCTAGACATACATAGTTGCCTACATCTTATTTTTTTATTTTTTTAGGGTCTCGAGTCGCAAATAAATACAGATCTATTGGATTTACGTGGTCGAGACGAACTTTTGTTCAGAACTATTGGAACTATATCTTTTTTCACCAGCATGGCAGGTCGATCCGTGCTGATGGACATTTTCCTGACGATCGCTCGCGAATGGACTCTACACGACATACTGTATTTGAACACAAGATCTGAACAGTCGTCCATCGTACAGCATCCCGTTTCCAGACACAGAGACGCTTTGACCAATTTCGTTTTGGACCGAATCATGCTTAACCAGCCGCCTACCAACGCCAACATTGAAGACGCAGCCAATCGTATATATCAAGAGCTATTGCCATACGTCAATGTCATCGTATGTATTATTTGATTGGTTTTTTTTGTTTATTACTAATTTTTGCTAATCGATCTGTTCAATCAATCAAGCATTGTTCCGTGACAATACGTTCCAATGTGGATTTCGGCGCGACAATTTTGAGATACATTACTCTGAACCTTCGCGGAATCGTTTTTTGCTGCACCGAAAGTAAGATTTATAATGTTTTTATTCCATTCTGTATTGTCGGTGTGCTGTTATTTTTTTTTTTCTAATTGCTCAATTTCAGATCGAGCGGGCGCTTCCAACGACATAGTGACGTCGTTGAGTCGGTTCTGCCAAGGATTGTTTTCGATACTCATTTACTGTTGCAATAACCGTTCTGTGTTCAGATTAAACGTCGCCGCATTATTGGTACGTATCGAACAAGTGTTCGTATTTAATTAATTAAGACGAGAAATCCCCTAACTTTTCGACGTTCTCGTCTTTGATTATTGTCGTTTCAGCGATTTTTACCATTGCCGGTTAATCTGCAACGTCTCGTAATGAACAACGCCCGTTTGAACATAGACCGTTATTGGGAGGCCATAAGCGATTTCAACATAAGCGTCGCTTCCATATGCAATTACATTGTACCATCCAGCGGCAGCAGCAGTCAAGCGCAACCGACGTTGACGGTAAGTCGTAATCGAATAATTTTAAAAATGTGTGTGTGTGGTGTTTGTATAATATAAAATTCCTTTGTTCAGCCCAATCCGGAACAGTCTTCCAATTCGAACGCCGCCGAAGCCAACGATCCTTTACCCGAGGTCGTGCTCGGATCTCAAGAATGGCACCACAGCGTTCCGCCGGTAAATCTATCTGAAATTTGTCGTCTCTACGTATAAATTAGAATATATTATATTGTTAATGAATTTATTGTTAAAAATATCTTTTTTTTTTTAAGGAATGGGTGCCCGTGATTTCTAGAGACTCGCAACGCCAAAGGCGTCAAGGTGCGCAACCGCCTTACAGCGACGCATACTTGTCCGGCATGCCGAACAAACGTCGAAAGATCGTCACCAACTCCAAACCCCAAGGGTCTCTGTCGCAGATAATTACAAGTGAGATTTATTTTTTATTTTTTTACAATCGGTTATTTGATGTCAACGTGCGTTTGTGTGTTTTAGAAAATCTGGAAGTAGCGATGGGCGCAGCGGGCGTGGCCGTCAACAAAGAAGTCACAGCCAGCGTCGGAGCCGATACTGCGGTACAGAACGCGTACACAGAACGTATTAGGACGTTCGGCAGGTCCGGTCTGGACACCCATCCGGATTTCAGTCCCGACCGATATCCGAACGCTTCGAAATTTTTTTACAATCACAACCGCCAAAATTGAAAGAAAAAATTAATCGTAATTCACACATTTAGTCACATTATATAATATTATTATACAAACTTTGTTTATTTCAACCTGGTTTTTACTTTATTCGTGTTTTTCAATTTTATCTTCTACTCTCTTAATATGTCTAATTAAAAATAATTTAAAATAATCGTAGCGAGAGATTTTGCTTGTATTAAAATATATATATTCAATTTGGTTGTAATAAGTCAACCAAAAATTAATAAAACATTCTAGTAGGCTATTCGTCAAATAATTTAACCGTAGATTTCAATGTAAAGGTGTTGGCGAATTATTTAATGATATATTTTACCGAGTACTATATGTTGTACACAACTGTAATGCTTTTTATAACTACTATGTATATAATTATATATATATGTACTTCTAAAACTATGTGTAACTACTGTGAAGTATAAAAATACTACAATATTTATTGGTTTGTCGTAAAAAAAAAAAACAATTGTTTTTTTTTTTTTTCATTAGTCTTTTTATCTAATATTTGTTATAAGGCTAGACTACATAAAAAATATTATTACTATTTTAATTAAACTAAGAGAAATTGTTTTTGTTCTATTTAGATTAAATATTTATAGGCGAATAATAATAAAATGACTAAATAATATCGATATCATTTCCAATTTCGATAAAATCAATTTTGAATTTTATTGATCTGTAAACGAGTAAAACATATACTAGTAATATTTTATTAATTGGATATGTTAATAAATATTAAACGTGTATTCAATATATAATATGGTCACTTGTGTTTTTAATCGGCACATTTGTAGTTAAACAATTTTTTGTAATGTAACATTATGATATTTATCACATTAAATGTTTCAAAAAAAAAAAAAATACAAAACACGGTTTATTTGTTTTTTTTATCCTCGGGGTTAAAAAACCCTCCCCATCATTTAAGTAATCTCAGCTTTCCGGTGACGGGTTTCAGTTGGTCGTCGGATCCGAAAAGTGCGAGCGCCGTGAACGAATTCGGCGCTATCTCCGTTAGACCCGCGTCTTGGACGCAAAAGCACGGTATATTGTGCAATTTTCCTGCGGTGCATATGCGGATTAGGTCGGCAGTGTCTTTGGCTTCCAAGACGATTTTTCGACTTCTAAAATCAGATTTTGGTGAGTAAATGTATACCAGTCGAGGTTTGAAAAACGATAAGATACAAACATTTATTTTCATAGAATTTACGTAGCTTCAACTATATAAAACGCTTACCCTTGATCGTCCCAAATGTGAAAATCATTCTTGAGACTTTTGCGACCTTTGACAACTTCGTACAAGCCCAGAGCAGCATGAGCGGCCTATGAAAGAATATTATAAGTATACTGTATGTTTGTATGAAAATTATTCGCCCGACCTGAGAGGCGATTTTTCCGATGCCCATTTTGAGTCCCATGTTGATTACGATGACCATCTTGTAGGGAATGTTCACGTCTTCCCATAACTGATCACCGTCGTCCTCTACTAAGGGTATACAATCGTCGGACAACGGTTTGGTCGGATTAGTCAACAACTGTTCGACAATCACATCTTTGGGTACGCAGCATCCGGCCGATTCGATTATCTAGCCAAAAATGATTATCACTCTCTTTAGCGAGCAAATATATTAGGCACTCGTGCGACAACATAAAACGATTACTATTACTTTTAACACGTCCGCCTCGGGAAACCCCATTTCGATCAATTCTTGAGCTAATTTTTCTTTTTGTACATTCTGCTGTTCTGTACATTCACTATCGACGGCTTGGACTTCTTTATTCTCTTCGTTAATTGAACTCATAATATGAGACACGTTTATATTATATGCTATTTAAACAATTCAACGCATTTGTTTGTACAAAAAAAAAATCTCGACTGAAATTAACGGTTTGTTGAAACTCATTTGTAAAATTTCAAAAGAAAAATCAACGGGCAACAAGTCTTATCATATTATTCTTATCATAAAGTAAACACACTACCGGCGGCCATTTTGCGGTTATCACAAGATACAGTCATCCATGGCTGCTCTACGCAGTCACTATACAGAATAACCAGAAGGGAAACTTAACGAAAAAAAAAATCCACGGGTTCTAATCATAGACCTATAAAGAAGTCTTTATAGGTCTATGGTTCTAATGAGCCGCCAAAAAAGGTCCACTGTCATATTGTTTTTACGACTAAGAGAGTTAGACCACTGTGTATTTATAAATCAACCTTGAGATGGACTGTAGATAATAATTCCAGGAAAAACTATGTTATAAATGATTGTATATTTTTTTTTAGTTTAATAATCCTTGGATTAGTTTGGTGCAGCTCTATTGTAATTTAATTCTTTAAGTCGTTGTAAAATCTTTTATTCATATCCTTCATTATCAAAGGCCATGTATTCTGCCCAAGGTCTTCCTCTTCCAACGTGTCCTTCAATTATTATTATTGCCATTAATAAGCTCGAGTGTCTTAATAATAACATGTGTCCTATCTCTTCTGGATTGAATACTGTTCCAAAACTCTGGTTTTTTTTCTTTTATCTTATCTACTAGTACCTCTTAATAATTTGTCACCCTCTCGGTCCATGGTGTCTTGAGCTTTTTCCCGAAGCACCACATATTCTGTCAAAGGGTTTTGGCTTATTTTTTCCCCATCGAGTCGATTGTATGTGGGTTACACCGCAAAACGTCGCCCGACAAAACGTCGCCGGACAAAAAATCGACAAAACGTCGCCGGATAAAAAATCGACAAAACGCCGCCGGACTAAACGCTGCCCGTAAAAAGACCGCCTCCCAGTAATGCCAACACTAACAATATGTGTATATAATATACGATTATTAATGGTGCTAGTTGTGCTGCCAGCATGACATATTATTAAGGAGTAAATAGTAATCATCCATCTCATTTGACCATATTAATTTTTAAATATTTATTATTATGGTTAAATGACATTTTATAATTGAATTTTGAAAGAAAGAGCTTTTTGAAAATTAATGTGTAGCAAAAAAAAAAAAAAAATAGAAAACACTGATCAAATACTTGTACCTCTTTTAATGTTTATTACAAATCAATGGTTATACAAATTTATAGTGACTTGGAAAATGAAACCAAAACTAATGCAATAAAATTAAACTTTTTTTCTTTTTTGAAGCCACACCACTTTTACAACGAACGAACCAATTTAGGTATACCTAATATAAAAACAATCTAATGTATTTTTCATAGACAATTTTTAATTAAAATAAACTGAAGAACTAAATTAATCCGTGCTCGCGACTTCCATCAGACTTTGTTTATTAAGAAAAAAAATACTTAAAAGTATACAAAAAACGGCAGGTCTTATGTGAATAATAACAACTATTAAAGTCTTATAAATAAAGTCTTCATCTGTTGTCTTTGCAGAACCACAAAGAATATGGACCGAAAGGTTAATAACAATTAAACGACGGCTATTATATTCCAATTCTCCATTGAAAAAAGAATATACGTTGAGATGCAGTGGCGCTAAAATCGTTTTAAGACGAAAACATCACATCTAAGTCACGTGTGTTGTCCGAAACGTTAAAGGATGATCGAATTAACCCCTTAGATAATTCCCTTTAGGGATACTATAGTCCCCTAAAAAACAAAATATTTATAAAATTGAAAATTTATAATAAGAGCTAAAACAAATTACGATTATATTCCAAATGTTTACTTATTAATACTTATTTTGACTTAATCTACCACAAACCAGGCAAATTTTACTACACTCGATAAAAAAATGCAATCATTTAAATAAAAATCGCGTTTGATTTAATACAATCATCATTTGGTATTGGCCCTATACATTTTTTCATTACTATCAACAAGTTTTAATAAACTGACACATTATTTATACACTTGATAAAACATTTAACATGTTAATTAATATTACATACCTACACTTTATAGTAATATACCTACTACTAATTTGTTTGCAAATCACTAATGCAATCATGTGAGATATTCCATATACCGATTACCGAGTACAATTAAATAGTACCTAACCAGTTGTACTGTAAGTATAAATGGCACTACTATACAACATATAAATAAGCATAATACAGGGTGATCCAACTAACGTAAGACACTCATTTTCCCTGAAAATATAAATATTTTGAAAACAATTTTTTTCCTAAACCCTTAGGTACATATTTTACTACATTTTTTAATATTTTAAAACATTTTATCGCCAATCCTTATAAGCCAAAAAAGGGGATTTTTGGTTTTTTTAAATGGCAACATATGTTTTTAATTACATAAGTTTGTAGACAAAAAATTTAAAAATGTGTTAGCGTTAATTTTTTTTATTTTTATTAAACTGTTCATTAGTTATGACTATGTTAAGATACTACATTTCCTCTTAATAATAATCATATTTCTTCGGTTTGTCCAAAACCGGTAGCACATCAAATTCATATTTATGTTCGCATTGTCCAATTGGCGATAACATTCTAACAACTAGGAATTCACTATAAAATATTTTGAAATAGACAAAGGTTCTTATCTACAGATTACTTAGATTATAGGTTATTTATTATATCTGATTATGGTACAGAGTACGGTAACATGTCAAATTATTTGTACGCAATGTAATAAAACTACTCGTCTTTGTAGTAACGATTGAAAATAATATGAAATACAGTCAAAAACTCAAATCTTTATAAAGTCATAACAAATGAACAAATAAATGAAAATTCAAAACTCAAACGCTAACATAATTTTTAATTTTTTGTCTACTAACTTATGTAATTAAAAACATATGTTGCCATTAAAAAAAACAAAAATCCCCCATTTTGGCTTATAAGGATTCGTGATAAAAATTTTCAAAATATTGAAAAATGTAGTAAAATATGTACCTAAAAGTTTAGGAAAAAAATTGTTTTCAAAATATTTATATTTTCAGAGAAAATGAGTGTCTTACGTTAGTTGGATCACCCTGTATAAAAACTTCTATGAAACTTTTGTGTGTATATTTTTTTTAAATTGCTCAATTTTACTGCCTTACCTTATAAAACAAAAATACTACACTTTACTATTATTGTCTTTGTTGTTTATTTACACGAATAAATAGGTAGCAAAGATGAGTATCAGTGATCCCTGGATTCAGAGTGACGGACAATCTCAATAAAGACTTTAGCCTAGTTACACTTAGCCTAAGTAATAGCATCATATTTTGATTTACAAATCGATCAAGTAGTGCAGGTATGTGTATAAATAAACACGGTTACTATATTTAACCCTTTTTTTTAATGACTTAAGTGGTACACTCTGAACTATGCAAAATATAACACCTAAATTATTCCATTTGAACGGCGCAATTTGTAGTGTTAATTACATATTCGAGATCATCTCGTCGATGATCTTTTCAATGGCAAAAACATATTGATAAATGAACCCCTTTCAGACAAGTTGGTTAATAGATGTAGTATTATACCTTGCCTGTCAAAGTGATTTTAAAACGCCTACAATAGAAAAGATAAAGGACAATATTACTTGTGAACAACTAGGCGTTGTTGTTATATTTCGGTGAGTATTGTGCAAACGATGAATCACCAACATTGTCCGATAGATTTTTTTTTCGCAAGCAATCCAAATGTGTGTTTAAAATATTGTCATAGCACGTCAAGTTTTTGAGAAAATAAATTTTTAAATCGACAAAAACCCCTAAAAACCCGCTATTTCAAAAATGAAAATTGTTCTCATCAAATTAAACCGCTATAAAAAAAAAAAAACATGAGATAATAAACACCCCATAAAACTTATAGCATGGATCCTTGACGGCTTACAACCCTGAAGTTACTAAAAAAATAAATATAAAATAAAATACATTGACAAAAGTAAATATTTTTTGGTTTTTTGAGTTGAGCCTTCTGTCTATTAGCGTTATCCAGGAGACAACACATGGAGTTTGACTGATTAGTCTCCCAAAACATGTGTGTGCTTGTGTACACTGTTTATAAATGGTCAAAAAAATGTTTTTCAATTTTAATAATTTTTAAAAATAATTAAAATAGTGTCAAAATTTAATAGTTGCTGGTAAAAATTAAAATTAAACCGATTTCACATAGTCAAATCTGCTAATTTTTTTTGTTGATGTTTGATAATCTGCTCCCGTAAAAAATGGTTCTTTTTCCAATGTTTTTTTTACATGGTTTTGTTGCATTGCTTCGTATTTTTATGTAGGTATCTGACTGTATGCCCAGAAGAGTGCCAACAAGAATAAAAATATTCGGATGTCCTGGGTGAAACAATGCATTTAATTTTGCATGAAAACTTTCACAACTGTTAGTTGTCCGATTAGTGTTTGCTGACAAATCACACCAAATTTTTAAGGGGAAACTGTCCAACTTCATTGTCAATGTAATTATCTAAAATGTAATCTGTGAAACTGTCAATTCAAATCACATCACATGGTTCACCATCAAATCTTCCGTGAAACATTCAACTATGTCATTTTCGTTTGAAAATGGAAACCCGAAAAAGTACTTGAGATATCTACTTTTCTCCGAATTAGACTTATGTTCTTTAGACAGACCCAACTTCTGAATTTTTCGCCACCAGCTTTATTTTACCAACACCATTTTTCGGGACTCAATTCAATATAGTCCGTCCAAATTCCCTACTAATAATAGCAAAGGACACTATGCTTACGATCTTATCTACGTAATAAAATCAAACATATTAAGATAATAAACAGGACTCAATTCAAATAACTAAAAGTAGGATGGACTCAATTTGATGTTATCCGTTTAGACGATCGTTTTTTCTCAAAAAAAAAATTGTTTTCCAAAAATTAAAATAAGTATTTTTTTAAGGTAAATAACGGCTATCACAGTGTGTCCGTTCTACAAATAATTTTCAATAATATACGGTAATTTTGCGTTCCCATAGGCGGCGGCACGTGACGGGACGCCCGGCTGGGACAACGGAACGGGGC